CGAAAGGTGAATTTTCGCTTTCGACGGATTTTTTGCCAATAAAGCTGATCGTTAGTAGAGCCAAGGAACACTCGAGAAACTTGATCCCTTATCAGCACAGCCTTATCGCCTGAGCTAGAATATGTAAAGCGCTCATTCCCAGTAGCCAAGCGGTGCTCCCTGCTGAGCTAGTGTTATCGGAAAGAAATGCGATGATAAGAAGCATTCTCAGGAAGCTTTTCAAAGCTCAAAACGGTTTTCGTTCTTGCCTTAAAAGTACTAACGAGGCCTTGGTAGGAGAAAAATGATAAAAGTGAAGAAATGTTTTTCTTTTTTTTATTGAATATCTAGCTCGATAAATAGATATCAATTCTGGCCATGGCCGCAGATTTACCTTTATTGACGTTTATTTATCGTCAACTATCTCCGGTCAATTAGAAAAACGAAAAGAAGCCGAATTAATCCAAAATCAATGCGAATAAATTCATAGGGTGGTGCCATGTGCAGCTTATCCAGCTTAGGGGGCAGACAAAACGTCTGTTAGACCCAAACCTATCTTTTTCGATACAGTTAGGAAAATAAAACATCTAAGAAATTGAGCGAGAGGTAAATCGCGTTGATCTACGGCAGTTTCAGTTATTTGCCCGATCATGTTCAGCATGAAAGTTCAAGGAATATTCTCTCAAAACAACAGATTTGTGAAAACTTGAAAGTGATCGGAAACAAAGAAAATTGCTTTCGTTAATCCAATTCAACTTCGGAAATTTGACCTTGGTCAAGTATTAACCTGAATCCGCGTCCTTTCCTTTGCTAACTTCCCAAGACTATCTGCCTGCTGCATCAGCTGCTCTTCAACCCTCTTTTCAGATTAGCTCGTCCTTGAGAGCAACTTGTTTATTTTCGAATTTCAAGGTCTATTTTAGGACTGGGAAGAGTGGTTAATTTTTTATTGCTATCGGAAGGGTTTAGCCTCGCACGCAGGGGTTGAGTTTTCGAAGAACACCAAAAGTGTTCTAAAGCTGGATCCAGTTGCTTTAGGAAACTGAGGATTAGCCACCATTTGCGGAATTGAGCATTTCCCAGCCCTACTAGCCAAAAACAAAACGCACGAAAAAGGTACTTCCGCTTCACTTAACCTAAAGCCAGCCTGGCCAAAATAGAAACAAATCATTATTCGGTCTTAGTACAGTCAAATCTATGCTAAAAACGTGACTTGAGTAAAACTAATTTGAGACCAGTTCTGTCTTTATTTTTTATTTATTGACGGAAAACGATAATGGACCTGTATTTGTTATTCCAACTTCTTAAACAACGAGACTATCGGCAATCGGTTTAATTTCGATTCTGTGATGTTTTGCCGTTGTTGGAAAATCTGCGCTTCGATTGGGGTTTTAGACGAAACAGAATCTTCGAAATATCAAAATCGCGATACTCGTAATCGCTTCCCTCGGCAGCTAAATCTTCTAAATACTGTTTTGTACCTACCGCCGAATTTGCTTTGATAAGCCGAGCTCGGCAGCGCGCGCGATTCCGATTCCGCCGGAATAAACATTCCAGAGGAAGCCCCTTCTTGTTCTACTGATATTTCAAGAACAAGACCTCCCTCTATCTTATTAGCGGAGAGTCTTTATTGGGACTAAAAGGATTCCTCAGTCAGTATTCGGAATCTTCGCCAGCTGTAGTCTGTGCAAACTGGCCGATCGGATCAAGATGCTCCTTATCTTTCCAACAAAAAAATTCAAATTCAATTTTAAATTAAATTTTTGGGAAATTTTGGAAGATGGCCCTCGAAAGAAAGCATAAACAACCAGCAGGAGTTTGTTCATCGCGGCGCAACTATGCAAAGTAGACTGCTTATGCGAGAGAGATGAAAGGAAAGCGCCGCGCGAGGCACTTTGATACTGAACGGTGCCCGTTTTCCAGGGTATCAGCCGGAATATGAGCCGGTACCAGCTCGTTAAGATAAGCTAAGTTTGATATTTTGAAGAAAAACTGTCAGTTACGAAAGTATTTTTCGGTCAAGTTTTGAGGCCGGAAATCAACCTTATTTCGTGGTCCATTAGCTCAGACTTGCCCTGACTGTATCTCCACAGCAGAGTGGCCATCGAGTACAATTTTACAACACAGTTCGCCACTGTTTACTCTCTTGTTTAGGCGCATTAGGGTCCGATTGCAATCGCTCAAGAATTCTCCAATGATGAATTTTCAACGCTTTAGCCCAGAAAGTCGTTTTTATCAAGATTTCTAAAAATTTTCTAGTGTAAAATTTCACGGGGATAAGAGTTTCGTGAAACTGATATGAAATTTGAGCTGCAGGTGTAGATGTTACAGTATTATCAAAGAAAGCGACCAAGAATTGCCAGAAAATGAAGGATAGATGAAATTTGGGTTTCTGACGTTTTCAAAAATATTTTCTGTTTTAGGATCTATTTCAAAAATCAAAGAAGCTATCATGGGAAGTGCCCATAGAGTTCAGGGGAGCATAAAACCGCCTCAAATGCAAGGAAAAGCAGGGATTAGTGCGCTATCCATAACGCCGCCCGAAAAGACTGTACATTTTTCAGCGGGTCAGAACTAAGCCCGGCTCAAAGTAGAAGCGGCGAGTTATATCGAGCTCAACCAGAAATAATCCCCAAAAGCGGGAAGAAATAATCCTAGCACGGGGCTTGTTCACAAGAGGTAAACAGAAGGAAGGAGTTAATTAGCGAATCCGGAAGTGGCTTACTTTTCACACTAAAAGTGAGCCAGGAAAAATCTATGCTTGGAGCTATGAATCCTCTGTAAAGAGTATTCGAAATTTGACAATGCTTGAAGCTTTTCTTTTCAGTCAAGCCATTTTTTAAAAGATCACCTAGAATTTTTGCTCTGGCTCTGATCGCACCTGCATCAGATGCAATTCCCTGCCTTTGATATTGTTTATGAAATGGCGGAGGATCCGTTCTGACTAATTATTCTCCTCTGGCCTCATGTAAAAGTCACTTTTTCTTATGTGATCTTCAAACAAGGCCCCGCGAAATAACCGGAACGGCCTATTACGGCCGTACTCTTCTATGATTTCAATGTTTAACTTGGTGGTAATTAGGTCAATAAAACTCTCCACAGTCTTTCAAAAATCTCCTGATCCCTTCTCCTCAACCCAGAACAAGACAATACTCGACAATTCAGAAGTTTTGTTTTAGCAAAATTTTCACAGCTGTTTCATTTTCGCGCTCATGGCTGGGAATAGAAGGGTCACGTGATTAAGGCTAACTGTGGTTACCCACTTAGGGCGAAATGGGGGGATGATTTTGCCATGGTCCAATTAGTGCTTAATGGAAGTGAGCTGTTTTGGCATCAGAAATATTATTTGTAATGGTACTTAATCCGACCTAAGTCGCGGTTTTTAACCACTTGGGCCTTCGTCTGCCCAAAAAATCTTTATTAGCACAATCATTGTGACACAATGTTCGATTCACGCAGCAGGAAATTCTAGGGAATGTCTGTCCAAGCATAGTTACGAAAAATAATGAGATCAATATTTTGAGCCTGGGAATTATTGGACCTTTTTCATTATCCGGAGCCACTGGCTCGCCGTAGGGGTCCTTCCTGGGGATCCATACTGAAAGTCCCTAATCCAATCTCAGTATTATCATTATCGACTCGTTTGTCCAACCTGGAAATTCCCCTAAATGAAGTATTATTCCAAACACGCTCTTTTCTGATAAGATTTGCGCCTTTTTATCCCTTTGCTAACATTTCTTGATCACTTGGCCACAAAGACAATAAACGGATCCTGTAATCACGTGGCCACGGTCAAGTCTACCCTTGAAGTTTCTCGGAAACGGAAAACATGTGTATTTGGCTTTGTGAACCTGTGATAGGCGCAATGAAAGCTGCGGCGGCCCTTTCAAAAAGGCACATGCGCGGGGGTACCGTTCCGCTGATCACGCGGCAGCGCTTTTGATCAAGGCACAGTGAGAGTTCTGTAGGCATGCGGAGGATAATTATTCAGAACGGAGTCTTACTTCGCTTTCAAAGAGGAGTAAAGCGTACGCGTGAAATATACAAGAATTATACCGGTCTGATGAAGCTTCAGGCCGAGATTTGCACTAGCAAGAGTTGCCAGAGTTCCACAGAAGACGAAAAATGATTTCTGTGGGAATATGGAGGAATACTCGTATTCGAAGTGATTCTGAGAGAAGTCTTGTATTTTACGATAAACAGAACAAATCTCTGAGAAAGCTCAACATTCTCACCTCAGCGCTAAACTTGCATTTTACAGGTGCAGGTAACTTCTCCCTGACCTTGTTCCTATTTAGGTCAGCGCCGCCCAGCCTGAACTACTGTTTATTCATTAAACTTGTAGCATTTTCCCAAGTCCTGTTCAATTTTGCATTTTACAGTAGCAGGTTAAGTCCTCGGGAAAAGGGTCTCCTGCAGAGCTTCGACTCCGGAATTACGGTCAAGAGCCAATCGTACGAATCCCCCACCGCGATAATGAACAGCTCTGTGGGTGATAGGAATACGCGAGAGTCAATGTTTGGCGAAAAATTACAGTCACGTGGAAAAAGTGGAACGAGATATTAACGTAATAAACGCTTGATTTAAAACTAAAAATTTACCAAAAATTATTTTCTACTGATATCTAAACAACTGTTTGAAAATTTAAAAATGAAAATGAAGACCCTGAATTGAAAAACATCACCAATGGGATAAGTCGTAACATAATTCCAAATCCACCGTGAAGATCGAAATTCGAGAGCTCAATCCTTGAGAACTTTTCCCTTATCATCATTGTCAATCGCTAATCCGGCGCTGGCCTGGCCGAAATCGTCCCGAGACCGGAACAGAAACAGGAGAAGCGGCGCAAGCGCGCGGTCCGAACAGCGCCACATCGACGGCTAGAGGGCCACTAATCACCGATAAAACTTCTCAGCTCGCAGGAATCTCATATCATTCTGAAATTGTCTTAGCACAGCAACAAAAAAACACACCCAAAAAACTTTTCTTATACTAAAAATCCTTCAAACTAGAGACTGAAAATGAACTTCTTCCAAAACGCTTCGACTCCTACTTCCACCGCTACTGGATCATCTCGAGTTCCTTACCCAGGTAAATGCTCTTTCTATCGAAGGCCTTGAAGATTTTTTCATTAATTTTTTGGCAACACTAACTCGATTTATTCAGGCGATCCTCACTCTTACTACGCTTTTGCCCAGCAACTCACCAAGGGTCTGACTCCGATCCAGCAACAAGCCCTCTACCAACAGCAGCAAATGGCTTACGCCGGACAATATGCTAACACTGGCCTCACTGGCCTCTATGGCAACCCAGCATCTACTGGCTACGGTAAGTGTTTATCTATAAAATAGTTTGTATAGAGAGGGGGAATAAGAAAGTACTGTGTAATTCACTCGTCCGGAAGCGGCTTGATCAAATGCCCCTCCCACACCGCGACAGGGGTTATCATGAAGGGGATTAAGACTTCGATCCGGCCACGTGCCTATTCTGTTCTAAACAACGCACCAACGGATAACCACATGTGGGATGGGTTTAACTTTTTTGTCGAACAAATGCATTAACTTTCATTTCAGGCGCTGGACCTCGAAAACAACGACGAGAACGAACAACATTCACTCGAGCCCAGTTGGAACTTCTCGAAGAACTCTTCGAAAAGACAAAATATCCAGACATCTTCATGCGTGAAGAGATGGCTCTCAAGATTGGTCTTCCAGAATCGCGAGTCCAGGTTTGGTTCAAGAACCGACGTGCCAAGTTCCGACAGCAGCAGAAATCTCCCAAAAACACTCCGTCTAACACAAGCGTCGAGAAAGAATCCGACAAATCGGACGCCGATTCTGAAAAGCCCGCTACTCCAGATGAAGTTGATCTCAACCTCCGATCATCACCAAACTCCAGCCAGTCACCAAATTCGTCTGGTTATGACACTCTCGATTCTGGCAAGAGCATCAACACTGCTGAGAATCTCATTGAAGAGGCGATCAACTCCCCAGACAAGGTCCAAGTCGAATATGGCATCAAACAAGAGGAACAGCAAGCTGATTTGAGCTCTATCGGAGAGTTCACTCCAGTCGAGCAGCCAAAACTTGACCAGTCATCTGACAATGCTTCTGATGACTTGACTCCACTCACCACTTCCTCTCCTAAAGCTGAAGAAAACAACACCACTGAAAACTTACAGGTAAATTTAGAAACAGTAAATACACTTAGCCTATAAAGTAGGTCGGGCTCAAGTCGAGCGTTAAATATACACATACAGTAGCTCCAATTTTCTCCCACGATTACGGAACTAGGTCCCCGGAAGTTTGTGTATTTACCACTATCGAGGCCTTATCAACAATTAGCGAACACTTTCTCAAGCTTAAATTTAGACTTGGTCCTCTCCAACTTCCTCTTCTCAAAACCAGCAACAAACTACTCAGCCAGCTTTTAACGGCGAAACTACCACTACTCAACAACAAACAAGGTAAGAATGAGTCAAACTTAATTGAGACTTTACTTTCTTTAGTATTCATTGAACCAGATTCTAACAAACTATTTCAGCTCTTACTACGACTCTGTGATGTACCAACAGTATTACGCTCAATACATGGCGCAGCTTCAGCAACAACAGCAGCACCAGGCCCAAGAAAGCCAGTGGAAATTCCAAGCCCTCTGAGCACCTTATCATGTATCTATTTCTATTCTCCCATAATTAACTGAATGACTTTTCCCAAGATCATTTTTCATCATTTTACTGCCATCGAACTGCTACATTTTCTGTATATTAATTCATTCTTCTCCTTGATTCCATTATTGAATAAATGTCAGTAATAAAAACAACTAGTGGAGTATGATCATTTCTTGTTTATCCCGCTGTATTTGCTAATGCCTTCATGATTTTTTGTCACTGGCAAATATCGGCTCAGGATCACAATTCATGTCCGATTTTCGAAAAGTTTAAGTCGTCGAGAATCATTAAAGTAAGAGCTTATATTAGTGACCTAAGCGGTAAAATTTGCTCAAGTCAACTTTAATAAGCCCTCATTTCAATTGAAATCAAAGTAAGTCATGTGTTCGAAGAATTAAACTCTTATAGAATGAGCTACCAATCTGCATGAAAACATACGTGCTACGTGTTCGTCTAGAAACTTTGAGTTTCTATCTTGATTTCCCTCGATCAGTTAATAAATAGAAGTCTTTTTAGGCTTTCACGGGGAAAATTTCAGCTTCAAAAATCAATATCAAAGTTATTGGAAGTTACAAAAAGCAATAATGCAGGGAACATTGACAATCTAACCGGCCTGCTTCTCTACGCTCACAGAAAAACATTTAAAAGTTTGTATTTATTGAAAGTTATTGGCATTCATTAGTGGAAAGTTAGTACAAAATATTTCAATTTTCTTCAGCAGTAGTCTCGTAGCAGGAGTCTTGACAAACAACCATGCATGCGCGCCTAGGGGTGAAAAAGCTCATGTATCCAAGGAGCAAGAGTAAGAATCCAACAACAAACGAATCGATAGTAACTTTATGTGTTTCAGAAATGATGAGAAAATTGAGAATTCGTATGAACCTTATTGAATAGAAATTTATAGAGATCTTAATTCTTAAAAAGTCAGATCATAAAGTTTATATTTTTAAAAACATTCCTGAGAGCGTGAACGGTTTTATTAGTTCTTCTGTGGCAGCAACTTCAAATACTTTGAGGCAGATCCAAATTCCAAGTCCAGCGCTAATGAATGCCGCGATAGCAAGGAAGACTTCCAAGGAGCTATTCTGTTTGCATGAGAAATATTCTAGGTTAAAAGTATAAAAGCATAAGTGAGCTCCAATCTGAGATAAAGCAAACAGCAAGGTACATTCTCACGGATTTCGTCTAAACAATTTTTTTTATATTTCGTGAGTTTGACAAAAAATTTATTATTATGTCATAAATTAATAACCTACCACCCAAGCAACAATTCCGAAAAAGCCATGAAGAAGGATCACAGCGAATAACGCGAGGTAGTAAAAAACGAGCCAAGTAGGAACATGCATTGATTCTAACATCAACGTTTTATGACATCAATGAATTATATATTCGAGTAAAAATCACACTTTTAAATGTCAATTAGAACGTTTCCTTCAATCGCTCTCCAAATTGACCAGCCAAGGCCGTAACCAGTAAAAATAATAACTTGATGAGGTTTATGAGCTTTTAGTTTTAATATTTTTATATATTTCAATCTCATAAGCTTAACCAATCCTAAAATCAACAAAGCAAGAATGCCCGAGTGTTTCTCCGCATTTGCCGTTTTCGCCATTTTCTTAGAAATCTCTTTAAAATCAAAGGAATGTAGTCGAGAGTGTCTGGCACCAACCTAGACCATCGTAGGTCTCGGGTCGTAAATACCGAGAACGGTCAGAACTCATCAATCTGGTGCCCTAATTGGGCTTAGTCACGAGATACTTTGTAAACTTAGAGTTTATGATTCCAAAAAAGCACACTTTTTGGCGACAGCTTTTGTTGCTCTCTAAAATCATAACACAAGTATTCTGACATCAAAGTAAATTAAAAGTCTCATACTGTATGAGACAGGACAATCTCCACTTTTTATTGATATGAAACTCTTTCCACTTCCTCATACGTGTTTTAGGATCAAAGAAAACATCGCTGCGCTCATCCATGAAAGATATCATAATTCCAAGATATAGCCAGTTTTCTCATACACGGACTTAGTCGAATTCAAAAAGTGCTGTGAACTTTATTATGACATCAAGTGAAGAAATAGAAATATTTTGTGTACATATTATCCTCCTTTCAAGTTCATTGAACAATTTTACTCGTCTGAAACTTTTGAAGTCTTTTTTGTCAAATCTAGTGGCTGCTCCTCATTTGTCTCCTGTTCAATCTTCTTGGGAGAGGATGGAGCAGTTGGTGATTTGTCCTCGATGCGCCTGATTTTTGATGGTAGTGGCGACTCGTCACTTTAAAATCGGAAATTATAAATCTTGAAAAGAGGAAGACGAGGTTTACCTGTTGGAATCATCATCAACGACGGTCACGCAGCACTCAGTTGCACCTGTCTCAGAGGGCACGCTTCAAATTGAGGATTAGGGGAAAGTATAAGAAATTGATTTTTTACCCTGTTGGTGTGGAAGGAGCTCCAGTCGGTGTAACAATGGATAGCATGCTTGGTAATGTTACCTTTGGCGTCGAGCTCGGAATAGGAAAAGTTGGGCGTAGTGGCGGCAGTGAGAAGATATTCCGCGTAAGACCTTGTTGCTGCAACAGGAGATACTGATAAGTGGCGATCTGATTGAAATTCGGGAAGAGGGGTGATAAGAGGCTCGGCATGGGTGGTGGGCCAGTGTGGGAAGGAGAGATCGCCTTGGCCGGATGGAAAGCGGCGCGGGCTGCTCCGTCACCGCCCAGCTTAAATCCTGGAGCAGCAGGGGCTGATAAGAGAAGTAAATTGAAAGTGGCTATCAACGATCATACCAGGAGTGCCGAAATTCGGAGTAGAAGCTGGACAGGCTCCTAAATTTGCGGATGCTGCAGCGAGTGAAGCCGCGGCGATGGCCGCTGAGTTTTGAGCAGCAATAGATTCAGAAAGAAGAGCAGCTAAGGAATTGGCTCGATGCGAAGAGGGTGGTGGTGTTGACGGTTCATCTAAAAAATAAATTATTTTTTAATCAAATGATATTTTATTATCGTATGTTTTCAAATATTTACCGAATATTCGTCGTTTTCGAGGGTTGATAGTTGGTTTAGGCGACGTTGAAACTGATGGTGGAGTAGCCTCCGTTGATGAAACTGACGGCGAGTTGGTGATTTTTATTTCTGCTGTATCAAAGTGCTCTGGAAATTGAACGAATTTGTAGACAAACTTCTGCCCGTTGACTTTCTTGATGATGTTCTTAAAATTTTGAATGAGATAAAGCTTTTATAACAATTTATCTGCCCTTTTGGCCTGGCTTGTCATTATCGCACCTTATCATAATAGTAACGTAGTGCTCGGGAAAGCTTGTCGTAATTCATGTTTGTCTTGTTTTTGCGCATTCCCCATAATCGAGCCACTTCTTCCGAGCGGTGAAGCTTGAATTCTCCTTCTACTCAACCGTAAGTATTGAATTTGAAAAGTTTTCCATTTTACCTTTTGACGTCCAGGAAATCAGATGACTGGAATTTTTATGATCCATGAGCAGCTCAAGTAGAAATTGCCAGAGTGTGATGTTCACGTCGAAGCTGCCGACTAAACATGACTGATTAGCGCTTGAAATTGAGGAAATTGCTTTCCCGCTTAAAAATTTATGCATTTCTGTATCTAAGCCAACAAATTTTACTAAAAAATCCTTGAGTCTTTTCTTAGCACGAATAAAACAGCATTTGATGTTCCGAAGTTAGGTGGAAATCAATTGTCGTTGATGATCCCAAAATTGCGGAACGGGTAAAGTGCGAAAAAAGGTAATGGCGGAAAAGCAGTAATAGCGCTCGGGTGGCTTTGACGGGGCTTTTCAGGGTGTGAGAAATACATTCGACACCGGTCGGTGCTCTATGCGGGGCTTAGCTCGGCTGCGCGTGCTGCCGGTGGAGGTGTTAAATCCGACGGAACCTCTGTTCCTGCTTGGGTATTCCATTTCACTTCTCACTTGAGCCTAGTCAGAGCAAATTGACCCTGGCACTAACACCAACTGCAGAATGGAGAAAGCCTCCGCCAATTTTCAAAATGGCTCACAGAGGTGTTAATCTCAAAAGCCATTCCGGTTGCTCGAGTTACGCTGCTTGCTGAGGCCGCTGAAAGCCCCAGTTTAGCGAGGTGATGCACCACCAGAATCTAGAGAAAAAAGCTCCGGTAGGCAAAATTAATTAATTACAATATTGGGAAAGCAAACTGAAATTAAAACTGTATAACATAATATGCTATTGTATGCAAACCTTTTGAGTACTCATTTGCTATCGAGTTGATTCCAGAAACAGGTGGTAGCCCCAGTAGATTTTTAAAAGGCATCAATTCCATCTCAGTGAATTCTGTTGAGTCTCTCTTTTTTATAATGGCGGTCTTCCGTGCTTCGTGTCTTCAGGATGTTTAGCGCTATTCCTCGGTAAAACGCACTGCGGCGTAAATTGCCTTGTTTCTCTATCTCTCTTGTCTATCGGTGTCTCTCTGGCACAACCCGGCGGATGTCAATCGGAATCGAATGTTCTTGTTCTAGAAGTATCAGCAAGGAAGTCCGACTTAGCAGGTCGCAACAAAAGGCACCTGTTAATCACGACCAGCCGTCAGAATGGCCCGCCGCAGTGTCTGGTGAAAGGCGCCACCACCACCGAGCGCCGCCCGGATTATAGTATCCCCCGACCTATCCGGGGGGATACTTGCGATGCTAAGCCAAGCTATTAGCCCAGCGCTAGAGCCGCTCTATTCTCTTTGCCTTTCTACGCAGGCTGCATTATCTTACAAAGCTTCTTCGTTTTCGATCCGCTCCTTTCCCGGAAATATTAAAACCATCGCGGTTTCTCAAAAATATAGCTGTTTAGAAATTCAGTCTCATAGCTCAACGATTAGGCTTCAGAAAAGCCAGGAAGGAACTAATGTCGATGAGCGCAACGATTGAAGATATATTTTATCGCCGCACGCGGAAGGATATTGTCTTCCGAAAGGAAACCATTAACAGAAAACCCCCGGTGGAATCACCAAGAAAGGCAATTAACGTGCATTTTGAGCGTCTTCAGCACAATTCATTCTTTTTAGAACCCTGATTTAGTGATACCGATTTGACGATTAACAAATGTGTTGTACCACGATTCGTGGGATCTTCTATATTCTTTCGTCGCCTAGCCCGCCTATCGCTGCTGATTTGGTTGAGAAAATCAATTACCAGTAGCCGGAAGAATTCATCAAGCACAGCTGTCTTCCCACATTCCGAAGCATTTTTCGACGGTAAACGTTTTTTTCTGATTCGCCACACACGAAACAAGTATGTGTATAAATATATAGCGCCATAAAAAGTTAATAGTAGTTTCATTGGAAGGAAGATTGCCACTTTGAAGCGTTGCTCGAATGCTTATCGCCTGATAATGAATCAGTTGAGTACCATTTTTCAGGAATCCGAAGTTGCCAAGTTGTCGGTCGATGCCCGGAGATCAAAAGAAATTATGATAACTCCAGTGTATAGGCGGCAGTATATTTCTCAACAAAGTGATCTAAGTGCCCTGTTCCTCCGAATAATTGTCGCAGCGGGCGCTCCCGGCCGCACAGTCACTGATAACGCGGCGATAACGCTGTCGAAGGTCTCGACGTCCACCGGCAGGGTCTCCTCCTCCGGACTATCGGTGCCATCGAGATCCCCATTTACATTTCTTAGCATTTCCATATATTTTACTTCCTCACTCTTCGTGTTAACTCCACCTGGTGTCGAAAAAGAAGAAACGCGCAGACGAGGAGTACCGGAAATGGCAACACAAGTGGCAAGATAGATACGCGCAGCTGATAACAACCCCGGCGACATGCAGCGAGCCCTACTGATAGGGCACTGGAATGCACAACGCAGAATACATTTTAGGAAAAGGAAGCACTATTATCGCGATCATTTGCATAAAGACTTTGTGAGAGGAAAACGACTTTGAAGTACTTTTCGTTCCTGTTTTTTTTTATTTTTACTCTTGCATTCCATGTTGATAATTTTTGAAAAACTGTTTAATGTATTTGATAAAATAATAAAAGAATTCCCGGCACGGCGTTGTTTGTCTGCTCTCCATATTAAATGAGTACTAGTATTTATTAAAACTGGGATCATGCAATGAGTCCCCTTTGTTTCTCTTAATTATTTTGAAAAACACGATTTCCAGAAGATAACTTATAAATGAATTTCATATGGAAAAATCTCCTGTTTTGGAAAAAGTTCTGAACCGCAAGTGTACTCAACTTGTCAGGTGCACCGACAATGGGAGGTACTTCGATATCTGTCGGTGATAAGCTCCTGCGGTGTTGCGGAAACAGTGCCTCGGCGGTGGCGCTTCTGCTGGGCCAAGCATTGTACTCAAAGTAGCGATAACCGGTGGAAGTGTTCCGCTGATAAGCGCTCAATATCGGCGTAATCGGTATCTGACTATGGAAAGCGTGTTTTCCGTGTTTCTATATCTCCCGCTGTTTACGGATTTGACCGATAAGTACCCGGCAATCCGTTTTGAGCACCCGATGAACTTATCAAAAACGAATATCGGAGTGATAATAAATGCCCTCTGCCGAAAGTTGTCTTATCTCATTTCCTCGCAATTTGTTTTCGGTAAATTTTAGAATCGACCTACAGAAGAGAATAACTAGTATCGCCTCATCGAGATGAAAAAGAGTTCGAATTTTTATTTTTGTGGTTTATTTGGCAGTTAACACTGGGTAAAAAATAGAAGGCATCTTTGTGTGAAGTTTCAGAAAATAAAACTTGTTGAGGGAAAATCGATGCTTCATACACTTGTTTCAATGATTTTTTGTCCGTTAGAATACAAAAAGATGGACGCGCGGAAAATATTGTGAGTGATGAAAAATGTGAAGTTGGAGCAGGGGATCAAACGAAAATGTCGGTCTGTCGCTGCACTCTCGCTCGGCATTTTGGACATTTGAAATCTCGGTTTCCCTTGAGGGAGGCGTTGCAGGTCTTGCAGAAACAGTGTCCACAAGGAGTATTCACCGAGAACTTGACAGAAGGGTAGGAAAATATCGCATTAAATGTAAATACCTCTGTGGCTTTCTTGATGTCGAGGCAAACTCCGCATTTTAGAGTGCAGAGACGACCGTCCTTCTTGCTTTCGTCAGTGCCCTCGATAATTTCTTTGAGGCGATCCACCTCTTCTTTCAGCTCCTTGATCTGTTCATCCTTTGACTGCATTGACTGAGTCACACGAGTAGCGAAGGATTGTACATCTATTGAAGCAATGAAATCAACGAGGAGTATTAACACTTACCATTTGCAGTAAGCGCTCCATTTGCCGCTGCAGGAGCATTATTAGGAGCAGCCGGCTGACGATTTGCTCGACCGAAAGCACGACCCATGATGGTTTCGAAAGGATTTTCCAAAATATCATCTCCCTGAATAAAGAAATGAATCTTATCATTAAATATGGAACACGTCAACTTCGAGGTTTCTAAAATTCTTACATCGTTATATAATATTTCTTCTCCAAATCCGGAAAATCTGTCACTGTTATCACTAAAATCGCCAGGCAAGTAGAAATAGTCTTCGAAATCCTGTGCCTCATCTACGTGTAGATCACTAAATATGAAAGTGAGGCGATCTTGAAAATATTTATCATGCAAACTTGTAATCGACGCTGATGTCTGATTCGTCATCAATTTCTCCATCCTCAAGAAAGTCATCGTCATCACTGAGTTCATCTGGAGGAACGGCCCGCGTGTTTAAAGCATCATCTGGGATCCGATTGACCGCTACAGTTGGATTTGAATTTGAGGCATTTCCACTTGGTCGGGGAATAAGATTCCCACGACCACGAGAATTTCCACGAACAGATGCACTATATTGGATGGGTCCACCTCTCCATAGAGCTCTACCACGACCCGATCCACGACCAGTTCCGACTCTTGGTGTGGGTCCAGCCGTTTCCGGGTGGTTCGCCGTCGCAATTGTCGCAGGAATCGACTCACGCGAATCGCCTAAACTGGGTGGAGAGTAGGTCGGAGGATGGTAGTTCCGACATCTCGTACCAAAATTACATGACCCATTAAGGTAATGCTGGCAGACATTGACTCCTCCGAATCCTCGACCGCGTCCTCTAATCGACATTCCTCCTGTCCGGCGGTTGCCGCGACCTCTTCCTCTGTAGCCCGACATTCTATGAAGAAGACTGGGATTGTAATGACGAAAACAATTGCAATTTATCCATATAAAATTTATTTATCAATATTAGAACTTTTCAATAAGTTGTGGTTTAGAATGCAGAAATTTAGGCGTTTTAGCCGAAAGGCAGCAAGTGAGGGCAGTAGAGAAAATAGATCCATAATAAAGCTGACGATAGACATGTCCTGATTCCATATAAATTGTATGATATAATATGAAAATTATCATAATTTTGAGGATTTTGGGCTACGGTAAAAGCATTAAAAATTGAGTGAAAAGATTTCAGAATCAGTTGTGCCGATTCAGAAGAGATGAATAACAGTACGAGTTCCCTGGTTACATGTCGGGCAGGTGATAACTGAAGCTAAGTGAGGATCTTTGGGGAACCTTTTGACGCATTCTTTGCAGTAGATATGGCCGCATGGAAGAGTGCAAAGCTAAAAATTGACTGGATGAATTAATAATTTCAAAATTAATTACCTTTGAAAGGCCAAAATATTCAAAGCAAACTCTGCAAGATAGCGTATCTTTGCTCTTTTCGATTTCTTCTTTCAGCTTTTGGTTTTCTCTCTTGAGCTGCGCAAGCTCTTCTGCTTTTGTCTTGACAAACCCAAAGTTGGCCAGGTATTGAAGAATGACATTCATTGCTTCTGGATCTACTCCTTCTGGGGTCGGCACCTGGGCCGCCCAGTAGCTGGCCCAGCCCAGCCCAGCCCAGTAAAAGATTTTCAGGTTAGTGGCCCAGCCCAGCCCAGTTTGCCCAGTTAGCCCAGTTTTGCCCAGTTAGCCCAGTTTTGCCCAGTAAGCCCAGTTTTTTCCAGTTAGCCCAGTTTTGCCCGATTAGCCCAATAGAGCACTATTCAAAAAATACTATTAAAAATAAGGTTTATTAGAAAAAATAAAGTTAGTGATAAAAAACTATTTGTTAAGATGATTTTTGATAAACTCGGCGATATCTTCGCAGCTTCCATATTGAATATACTTCTCCACAGTTTCGCTCTTCAAAGCGCAGCGAAGCTTTGACAGGAACAAGCTCGAGACAGAAAAGACTCTTTCGAGCAAAGAAGTCGAATCATGAGATCCACGGTAGAGCTTGATAAATCAAAATTTTCAAATATTTAAATTATATTACTTGGATAGCTACGGAAGACAACAACGGCATTCTTGATGTTTGTCTCGACCAAAACTCGTATCTCCATTGACACTCTGGTATTTCTTTCACCATCATCTCGCAAATGACTTTAATTGATAGATTAGTAAAGATAATTCTATAAATTTACATTGATCGAAAATTCCATCTTCTTCACCACCCATTTGAGAGTATATAAAGAGCTCGCTTTCGATCGTCTTTGACTCATTCTGATAAGTTTTATCTTGCGAAGATTTGTAGAGTCTTGGAAACTTGCGCGCTAGAATAATTTTCCCAAAATATAGAAAAATTCAATAAATTACCGATTCCAGAAACTTTAGACGATTCTTTCGGAATTGATGCAATTGGTTCGTCGTAGGACTCAGAAAGCGCGATGATAAATTTTTTGGCGTTTTCAATGTAATCTTTAGTAGAACTCTCCAAAACATCATCTAGTTCCGAGCAGAGCAGAGATCCAGGAACTTCTTTGAGCGCTTCCCGAACTTCTTCAAAATCGAGGGCACGCGTTGGAAGCCAAAGAAAGGTTTGCGCCAGTTCTTTTGAGGAGATTCGATTTTCAACTTTTGTTTTTGTCTTGCATCCATTTCTGTCGATAGTGTAATCAGTAATCTGCTCAGCGATAGTTATGAGCAAGCTCTCGCTTAAAAAATCAGATAAATTTTCTGAATGACTGTACCTGATGATTTTCTTATATCCGATCGAGTTTTTGATATTTTCGACCGCGAAAATGATCAACTTTGTGTATTGATCATAAAGTTGACCAGCATTTATCTTTTTCGAGTCCGAATCAAAAAGATCCATTGTCGTTGACAGGGGCACTAGAATATCAACAGCCGCTTCGACGAACGCCTTGTCTGGAAGCGCAACTTTCAATCTGTGTTGAGGATGACTAAGTCGCTCCAAGTCAGCGATCACTTCGAAGTTGATCAAAAGTGCCTAAAATTCATCTATCAAATAGGATCCCCTTAATATTTTCTTACGCTCATCGAATAAATGATCTTTCTAAACCTCGTGGAAGTCAGAAAATCGCTCCCCAGAGAGGGATATTTTTTGTATCGTTCAGCTACAATTTCGATGTCTGTCGAAGTCACATTCACATCGTCATACTTTAGAAAAATATTATTTTTGGTCGGAAAAGTGTTTTCTACCTGTAATTTCAGCTTAGCTTTTAGCAGCGCAGCTTCCTTTCCGATCGGTCGTGCTGTTAGATAGCAATTCAATGACGCGTACTGGTGACTCTCGGGAGTCTGAAAATTCTTGCTTCCATGAACGAAGACGTTTTTGCATCTTTCATATTCGATGCTCGCCCTAGAATATATTGAGACTGATGACCAGGTTCGTGAGGACTAGGTTCGTGTGACTAGGTTCGTGAAATTTTAAAAAGAAAAATTTTTGGGCAGTAAGGGAAATGGGTTGATGACTAGGTTCGTGTGACTAGGTTCGTGAAGACTAGGTTCGTGATGACTAGATTCGTGTGACTAGGTTCGTAAAGACTAGGTTCGTGATGACTAGGTTCGTGGGACTAGGTTCGTAAAGACTAGGTTCGTGATGACTAGGTTCGTGTGACTAGGTTCGTAAAGACTAGGTTCAAGATGACTAGGTTCGTGGGACTAGGTTTGTGAAGACTAGGCTCGTGATGACTGAATTTTTTATGTACTTAGGTGATAAATGATGAGTAAACATCCTCGATATTATATTGTTGATCGTGTGAGCGGCGCAGCCTGAAAAATTGAGTGGTCCAAGCTCCCTGCACAAGTTGAGGGCCGCAAAATCGCTGCTTATTGATACAAATCCTTTCTTGACATAGTCGAAAAGATTGTAACTTTTAAGAAGGTTTGTGATTGGTTGAATATTCATATCCATCTTTGTTGAGTTGATGCTGATATAGCCAAGTAAAACACGGTGTGGAAGAATATCCGAGTCGGTCAAGATCAACAATACTCCACAGCGCTTCTAAGATTTTTATTTAAGACAATATAAAAAAAATTGACTTACTGTCTCATGATCCGCACCCCTTTTCATATACTGATGGTCTAGCATAACATGCGCGCATTTCGACTTAGCGATTCTTTCCGCGTTGTCTTTGATCGTCTTTTTCAGCTCTTCAATATGCTGACTAGCATGACGATCCAGTGTTTTTGAACTCGCGCCAACTTTTTGAGCAAGATTTCCGATGGTTTCTTCGTCAACATTGGTAGGGACAACCGCTCGAATAATCGCCTCGTACAGTTTTATCATCAATGGAGTTGAAAATCGACTCATCGGAATCACTCCTATAAAAGATTTATATTATTGTTTACGAATTAGAGAAAAACCTGTAGAGATAAGCTGACATTGAATTTTTCGAATTTGCTCGATGTCGTCGTCTGACATTTTTGGTTGAAATCGAATGGTCGTGAAAGAGGCAACTTTAAATATATCTTATGACAAAGACTCATTATTTTCATACTTGATGGTTGATTTTTAACGGAAACTTTTTTATCGCGTGAATTCCCCAGAAAAGCGCTTCGTAAATGTCTAAGGAAGTATTTTCCATAGTATTGACAACCAGAATTCGTTTCATGAGAGAGAAAAAACTTAATATTTTGTTAATCTTTCAATCTAGTGGCTTGACTTTCAAATACCTCTTTTGTTTTTTCGCGACATTTTTTGGAGGCGCAGCGAACAACACAGATTGGTTTGTTATCCACTAAGTATTCTTCGAACGTGCAAAGAGTTATCGTTTCTTGAGACGCATCTTGTTTTTTCATAAACTCAGGATCGGTTCGAAAATTACACTTTGCATTCGTCACTACTTGATTCACGAGCGGGATCCATTCGCCCTTTCCTTCGTTTATAACCTTCGTCGCCTCAGCGAACGAAATAAAATCATGGTCGATTTTTCTCTTTTTACCCATAATCGAATAAATAAGGAAATTAATGATAACAAGAGAGCGACCATTCATCTAGAGAATCGAAGAAAAAACTTTTACTTGCTCTAGAATTCTTATTTTTTGAAAAAATCAACTATCAATGAAAATCGGGCTTTACTGGGCTAAGCTGGGCCAGAGTTTTTTGTGGCCCAGTCCAGCCCAGCTGGGCAAACTGGGCCACTGGGCTGGGCAAACTGGGCCATAGCCCAGCCCAGGTGCCGACCCCAGTACTCCTTCTATGAAGAAATTATTTTTTTAGACAATTCAAAGTTCCTGCAATTACCAGAGGATAATTGATCACCCGTGACGTGACGATTCCTACATTTATCGCCGAATCTGCAAGTTTCACTGGCAAGGAAGAATCGACAGACATCGTTTGTCTTCTCCACCGCGACAGCTCTTTTCTTTGGCTTTTGGGCTTTTTAGGTTTCTTTTCTTGAGGGTCTTCAAAGCAAATCTTCGCCTTCTTTGCTTTCTTCTTCTTTTTGCGTTTTTCTTCGTCGTACACGAAGGCCATGTTTATGTCCGCCATTCTAAAACAAAAGATTGAAGAAATACGGAAAGTAGAAAAATATATTTGAAGAGTAGAAAAAATAAATCACACACTGTCAAACTCCAGTGAGTCAATAAGGGAGATAACTTTAGGATCTTTTGAAAGAATAGCAAAAAGCTCCCACGCTCTACTAGCTCCTTCAGTTTTCAGATTTGGCACGTGTTCCTTCAGAGAGTAGATCTTCGGGGAGGGCAGGAAATTATCACGAAGAGTTCCAGCAACAACTGATAAGTCGTCGAGAACTAATCAAGTCGAATTAAAAATTCCTGCATTTTTTCGGAGCTTACTTTTTTCAAGAGTCACTTCGGGGTCACTGAATTTCTCTTTCGCCCGATCAACAAATTCCAAAAACAGAAGTCGGAATCTCAGATGGACGAGAATCTTTTCTAACGTCTTTTCCTCGTCTTTTATTATTTCGTAGACGTCATGGCAAATTGCTTCTGGGAAATCCGGGCAAAGAAGCTCTTAAATACCGGTAATTTTTATCTAGAGAAATCGCGACCCTTACCCACTAAGCTGTGAAAATCGGCGATTCCGAGCGTTTCATCGCCAAGCCCGACTGCAAACGACTTTTCAAGAAGGCGAAGGAATTGGAGGCGATTTCTGCTCGTTAGGGTGATAAATTCAAACTCCCCTTGAAATGAAAATGACTTGTTTGTCTATATGATATAGACTATATCTGTATCTTTACTTTTGAAAAGGTGCGTTCCGTTCGCGACGCTTTTGCAATAATTGCCCAAAAACTGAGCGATATTAATCGGTTCTTTCGGCGAAGTGGGATATTTCGTGACTGGCATTTGTCGACGAATGCGTATTTGCAGAATTTGGTTCAATGCATCTTGCATGTACTCGGGCACGCCTTGCTCATTCAAATACGGCATTTTTGAGTGTCTAAACGGGAATTTCAATACATACGATATTCGTCGTTCAAAATGTACTTTATTAGGACCAGGTTTCTTTCCTTGAATAATCTCGGAAAGCTGTAAGTAAAAAAATCAAAATAAAATGTCGCAGAAGTGGTAAAACGCAGAGAACTCTACATGTAACATGACTAGTTTAGTTTTTCGTTTATTTTTAAAAGGGTGAAATTGAGGAATCTTTGAAGACAGCTGTGCTTCTGGTTGAAAGAAAAATTGTAAAATTGTTGGTTTCAAAATATATGAACAAAAACGAACAAAGGCAAGAAGCAAGAATTATTTTGGTCTTTTTTCGATTTCGGTTTGATTCAAGCTACAAGTAAACAAATCTAAACGCGGTTACAAACATAATCGCGCAAAAAAGTGGGCTTGTCTGGAATCTGTAGTCAGACAGGAGTGAGTTAGTAAGTGATCAGGACGTAGATCATGGAGTAAAGGTAGTAGAAGAAGGACAGGAAGTAGAAAGCCATCTTGGACCAGCCCTCGTACATCGCGTAGTTAAGCGAGTCGCGATTCATGATTGTGGTAGGATCGTAAAGGCCAGCCTAAAGATTGAAGGAGAGAATAAAAGAAAGGACAGTACCCTTGTCATTCCTCTTGGACGCTTGCTGTATCGCCATGCGTGGTAGGCAACCTGTTTCAGTTTCAAAAGCATATTTTTCAATAATCAGAATTCTGATCATTTGATCTATTATCATTTGGAATCCTAATTTTAGAATATTCTCACGATATATCTTTTTGAAACGTAACAAAGGTATGTTGATCGTCGCGCTGGACATCTCGCCGCAAGAAAACATCAGTACAACAATGAGCAAGTGAACAGCGTACTCAGGCAAAACGAGAGGGTTAAGAGAGTTGCACTGATCCACCGGATTTTTGTAGTCATGCTGGAGCTCGTCGAATGCTATCAAATGCCAGATTGCGAAGAATATCTTTGCAAGGGTTGAGACCAGCCCAGTTTTTTCATAAATAAATTAAGTTTTCAACCCGTGACAAGACTGCTGTGGCAATGAGCGCCATGATGTAGCACATGGCAGCGAAGGTGAACGCCATTTCGACCACCTTCTATAACAATCAAAGATTACAAATAGAGTTTGAACTTATTTTCATTTATTTTCGGTTGTTGATTGTTTGGCAGTCGAGCAAAAATTTTGCATAGATGGGGGAATGTAAAGTATATACTCTTGGTAAATTATCAGTAGAACAGAATATACAACTTCGTGGATTAATAGATAAGGCTGATACAAGGATTTTGCTCTCGGTGTTTCGTTCAAGCGTATTTACAGAAAAGAGCGGGGATTTGGAAAAGGTTTATTTAGGGAAAACGCGCCGCGGGGCAGGCACCGGGTGGTTGTTTGCGTAGGCAAAGACAGGCGCGCTTGCACTCATCGAAATGCAGCGGGATAGGGTCGCTCCGAATTTTCGCTGGTGGCACTCGCGGTCATTATTAAGCCCGGTTAGAAGGTCGTTATAATACTAGAAATGTAAGTCAGCTGTTGATAGGTATAAAGTCATTATCGTACCTCTTTGGCGTAATTAAATAATTCCCGAATGGCAAAGTTCTTGTTGAAGTCTTGGATGTGGAGTTCGTTCTCCTCCTGAAAATAAAGTCAATCCTCCGGTTAAATTGAATATAAATTACCCTCAAGAAATGAATGAAATCATCTCGCGGGATCTCTGGCCGCATTTCGACCTCTTGAAAGTAGCTTTGTACCCATTCACGGAAGTTGTTGTGGACATTCTTGCTGAAGAGCACCTTTGACGTAGACTGCGCTTGAGCTAGCAGTGGGTCGCTTTCGGTCGTTGAGCAGCCGTCGATCAAAGTTTGAGCGACTACAGTCAAACTGTTGCTGACAGCGACTGATTTGTTGATGTCGAATAAGAACTCAGGGTTCTATGAAAGAGAAATCAATATTGATTAGTAGAATTATTTCAAATTACTTTTATAAGATTGACCCAATAACGCAAAAACAAGGAGTTCGTCTTCCACTTATGAATCGTATCCGGATGCCGCTGAGGGACCTTCTGGAACTCGTCGTCCAGAAAATCAAACATGTACTTGATGCACATTGGCATTTGGTACTGCCGGTCCACCACAGAAACAATCGATTCTATCAACACTTGGATCGGCGTTTCCAGACTTTCTTTTGCTCTGATCATCGTGAGCGTGAAGTGATCTGGAGCAGCCTAATTGAAAGTTAATGACAGATCAAAGATGGAAGATTATACCAGTTTCCGCGTGCTCATGCCATCGTAAACATGATGATAGTCGATTATCTGCCGCCCGTCTCGAACTGTTTCTCCATGAAGAGGTGTTCCTGAGCGGCCCATCGTTCCAGTCATATTGCTAGATGAAGGATGGTCGGAAATATTGATTCTAGAACGCGATAAGGAGGAGCCAGATTGATGCGACTGGCCTAGCATTGTGGTGCTGGTTGATGGCTTGAGCTCAAGGTAGCGCTTGTCGGTGAAATCGAGTTTCTTCGTATTTGGAAGGAAAAGCTTATGATAATGATCGATTGTGTTGAGTTTACGAAGTCCGTCCTGAAAGATATATTATGAAAATTTTCTAAATGAGAACGAACTTACCTTCGTTTCACTGGTTGAGTCAATATTCTTCATTAGCCGACGAACTGGATTTTTCAACGAGTTGTCAACGTATTCCAAGTCGTAGTCGGCCACTGAGTCACGCTTTGAGTATTCCATGTCCCAGAAGATCGTGTCCAGAATGCGCTCCTTGATTTGATCGACAGTATCACAATAAAGCCCAGATATCTAAAGAATTTATTTAGAAATAGCTTCATATGGAATCTGAGGAAAGGTTATTTATTCGAGCAATTAATATACCTGAATGAACTGGGGCTCGCCGCCCTCGTGGTGAAGTACCGTTATTGACAATTGATTGGTATTGATATTGATGACCCTGAGGAGATACTGCTCAGAGAGGGTCATTCTCGAATGGCCTGTGATCTGATCTACTGGCTCAGAGTGCACGAGATCTTTGAGCTTTTTGAAGAGATTGAAAATGTGTTCACCAGTTCTTCTGTAGACAGTTCTGTACATGAGCATTGCGAACCAGTAACTTAATATCAAATTAGAATACGAAAGAATGAGATGCAAAGCTACCTCAACATTTTTTCACCGATCGTGTTGGAATGTCTAAACAATGTTCCCAAGTTGTTCGGTTGCATCTTCTCAATCATATCAATAATTAAATACTGTAGAATCAGCGTTGCGTATTCGAGCTTTCCCTGAAGTGAGATCATCAAGAATGCAGCGAATTTGGAACGATCACGTGATGTGAATCTTGAATTGCTTTCCAGAGTCTTGATGAAAACAAGGAGGAACTCTCGCTGCCCCAGGAGCTTTTTGAACTCTTGGAGTCCCATCGAGCGGTCGATGGTGCCTGCTCGAGAATTCTGAGTTCCAAATGGACAAAGTTCTCGATGATAGAGTCGATTTTCCTCGTCTTCAGGAGGAAACATAAAATGAAGAATGAAACTCCTGTACTCGCGGAACGGCATTGTCGGCGGCATTCGCGATTCTGGACGATTTTCCTGAATTCCTCCGAGAAGATGTTGTTTATATTTCTCTGCTTCGTCCTTCTGTGTGCGATCGACTCCCTTCAATAGCCGATCTTTCTCTTGTGCAGTCTTTCGTTCTTTTCTTCGGCGAGATTTTCTAGCAGCAAAGACGACAATCGCGAGGACAAGCGCTACACCAAGACCACCTCCAGCAATGATGATCATATTCGACGATTCATACTCAATTTTTTCGACAGCCTCAATTTCAAATCCACCATTTTTCAATATTAAGCTTGGAGCGTCCTGGTCCGAGCCAAACACTGCCTGATATGCCGCAAAGGAAGGTGGAGTCCACGAAATTACTTCGTTGCGGATGACGATGATGCTGCTTCTGTTAAGTTCTAGTTCGTTTTCTTTCGATCGAAAAATGAGTCGCCAGGGAATGTCTTCACATTCTCTCTCCCAACCCAAGCAGAAAGGTCCACCTTTGATCATATACGAGCCAGAGCTAACAGTCTCATTACTTTCGCGGGTCACCTTTATAATTGGTTCCTTGTTAATAACATTCACTTCTGCTGCCGTTTGCAAGGATTCAGGTGCTTTCAGAGTTTTCAATTCTTCTTTTGATTCTTTAGTTATCACCAAGTTGAGTTCCTCACCCATTAAGGCACCGGATGAATATGGACATCGACAGTAAAGCTTTCCATCACTGTTACGACACTCTCCTTCACTTCCGTCTTGTGATTTCAGCAAAGCAAAAGTAAAAGCTTTAGCATGACCGTCTTCGAAAAATTGAACTTCAACCTCACTTGATCCTTTTTCGTTTTTGATACATTTGTCTGGCACAAACTTTTCAAGTCTTGGATCTCGAATTTGTTTCACTGACAGTGAAATTGGGGAACTTGAACTGATCTGTAGATAGCTTGAATCTTCTCTGATTGATTGATAAGACGCAGTAATGCATTTGATTTCGTTTTCAAGACGAGGCTCAATGATCGTACATGGAGAGCCGAGGATTTGGATTTCAGCGTGCCTCCCAGCATCAAGGAAATCGCCTCGAATTGTGAACTCTTGAAATCCACCACTGTAGACGAATTCTGGATAAGATAGAGCTTTTGGGTTACCGAGCTTTACACCAAGAGAACTGAATTTCGCAGAGACTTGATAATCAGCAGAAGTTGATAGAGTAACTTCATCATTTGTCTTTCCATCAGCTCGTATATTGGATTTCGAATGGAATTCACAGCAAGTCTTGTTCCTTCGCTCTGGATTCTCGAAGCCATATTTGGTGCACGAAACAACTCTGCAGGGATAATTACCGATGAAAACTTCGCTATTTCCAACAGGTGACGGATTGAAGTTGCGACCTTCTATTTCCACGATAATAGGTCCAGAATTCAGTGGCAGATGATTGGGAGTCACTTTACTGATATCAGGATTTGGACATGTTTGCAAAGGAAGAACTTGATTTTCACTTAGTAAGCCATTCTTACTGATTTCGCATTTTTCATCTTTGATCGAATATGCACAGCCATACTCTGGCTTAGCATTGAGACATCCAAAGCACGAGTGTTTAATACGAGGACATTCAAACATGTCAAATTGAACTTGAACGTTGTCTCCAGCGGATCTATCGACAATCACTTCGTTCCCATTCATATTGACCCTGATGGTGATATTGACGGGATACTCCAAATCGGCGGAAGCGGGAATGTCATCGAACTGATTCTGAAAGCTGAGCTCGCCAGGGTGTGCGTATTTGCCGGAGACATTCTTGTTTACATCAAGATATTCTAGTTCAACAAGGATATCATCTGCTTCAGCGAGGTCGAAGTCGTCATTTATTCGGAAGTTTGATGCAGCCAAAGAAATTGTTTGCATACCAGGTCGTTTGTAAACATATTCGTCGAGAAATTGAACATTTGGGCAGGACGACTTCGATTTAAGGATATTCTTGATATGAGGGCATTCTTCTTTTGTATTGGCGCAGTGGTTGTCGGTGTAGCACCAGAGACAGAAACCGTTGTATTTGGGATTGAGGCACGTATTGCATGATTTGAGTTTGTTACAATTGAATACTTCAATGTCTGCTGTAGCGATGCTCACAAAGTCTCGCCCCTGAACCGGTGCAAATCCAAGCGAAAGTTTTACAGAGCTCGAGGGACTATTTTCCATCGAAGCTATAAAATCACTTGGCGGCTTCTCGCAGTCAACTTCGTAAACTCCGACTTGTGAGTAAGTCTCAATCGGCTCATTTTTTAGCGGAACTGACACGGGTGGACTATTGCTCTTTGTAAATCGACACTGAAGCTCTTTCATAAGAAGAGATCTTCGTTCAGGAAGACCATCAACAGTGGCATGAATTGAGGAGAAGGACTTTCCCTTGCACGATTTTCCTTTGTCGCACAAGTTTTGGTAACTAATTGTTTCCTCTCTAACAGAAAGAGAGGGACATTTATGTGACCATGGTTGCCTGAAATAATCTTCTGCTTCTTTCGACAAAAAGCGCGGTTCTTTAACTCGCCGAGGAAACGATTGATAAGCTGGATCGTTTTGTTCGCACGTTGAAAAGTCTGAACATTTTCCAGTAGTGATACACCAGCCACAAGTTGGATCTGACTTTTCTGCGAGGCAGCTTTCACATGATGAGTACCGATCACACGAGTTGACCTTCTCAGCTCGGACAGTTTCACCGTCAAATGTCCACTTAGTAGCGTTTTTTGTGATCGAGTTCTTTATCGTTTTCTCAGCAAAAGAATCGATTTCAGCGAGGTACAGGTTCGAGTTACTGGGACTGAGGGAGGCAACAAATCGTCGAACATTTTCGCCTTCGATGACTTCGATAAAGTTGTAAGCTTTCTCGTTAGATTTGACGCTAGAAAAGCTCCAGCTTTGAAATGAGTTCTCAATTCTCAAGTGATTGTTGCCTTCGTTTGAATAGCTTTGGACAGGAACCAGGGAGATAGAGTCAATTGCGGTTATTCCCATGCTTTCCAGCGTATATTTAAAATCGTCATCGCAAATCTGCTTGATGTTCTTAAAACGAGGATGGCAGTCTTCTGGGTTGTTCTTGATCCAGTCTGAGTATTTGACATTTCTCCATTGCGATTTGTCGCAGTTTTGAAACCTGTCTTGAAGGCGATTTTGAATTTGGTTCTCGAGCACGGACTGTTTTTGAAAACAGATTGATCCGTCAGACATTCGGAAGAGAATCGACTTCTCTGGCGATCGACGATTATTTCCCCAAGAGTACTCAAAGCTGAGAACATCAGTTACTTTTGTTTTCCCCCCGCAGTTGACGGCGAACTCGAGAAACTTCTTGTTTAGGTTGCGATTTTCATCATCGAGGAGGCAAATGTGTGCAAATCGACTTTTCGAAGTGGATTCGTAAGTGTTGTAGCCGACGATAACTCTCTTCTGTTTGGGGAAATGGATAATCGAATGAAACTGCGGTCGCTTGTCCCAATCAACGCCGATGTTGAAGTCGATCTTATTGTCAATCGTTGCGAAGGCGGTTGTTTCCGTACTTGAAAAGATCTCATCTGCTCTTTGGAATTTGTTGTCTCCTTCGCTGAACCGTCTGATTGACAGAGGCGCGTATTTTCTCTTGATGTCGTCTTTTACGTTGAAGGCAACTACCAGCAGTGCTCGACCGTCGTCGTCGGAGACAATTTTCGAGAATACCTCGCCGATTTCAACGAGTGGATCATCAGCTTCGCGCTCCATGAGCCTTTGATCTTTTGCAAGGAAAAAGGATCTCGCCCCGTCTTTGCATGGTCGCCCTCGCTGATCGGGAAAGTTGTTGAGTTTGAACATGTGGAAGGTGCCGCCAAAAAAGTCATCGCAAACGATGAGCGATGACGACTTTGGATAGTCGTAGATTTGGAGCGACTTGACGATGCTCGAAGAGGGACAGTTGTTGTCGTAAAAACTTCTGAGAGGGTCAGCCGAGTCAAGGCATGTACTTTTCGCTATCCACTCGTCTGAAAAGAATTTGTCAACTTCTTGACCTGATTGTGTGGATTTGAGAGTTTGAGGGCCGTTAAATCGAGCAAATTTGATAACCCAATAAAAGTCGATTCAGGAAATTCAAATCGGGGCTAAATTAATTAAGGACCGAACCATTATTTTCGTTGATTTGAGCAAATATAAGCGATAAGTAGCGTTTGTTTATGTATTGACTTATAGGAGGAGCCCTTAAATGAGCTCAAGTGGGATTTAGTTATCTCCTCTTTGTGTGTTTATTTTTAAGTACGCTTCTAGCCATTGACTCACCAGAGCAACTCGGCGAGATACTTTGGTGCTGCGCTTCCAGCTTTGTTTGCTCTCCATCGAAATTCCATCGGAGAATGTTCTTTCCACAGGAAGAAAACAGCGTGCTCCCGTCATCTGTGACAGCATAGTGCTGCTCCGGGCACCGTTCAGCGGCAGATGAAAGTAAAAGCGTTAAGGAGAATAGCAGGTTCCGCATTTCTCATGTCATCGCAAGTTCATTCTATAAAAAACGAAAATAATTTCCTCTGTGATTTCAAATCATATTTTCGATAAAAAATTGACTCTTGGAGATTTCAATGAAACACGAAAAATCGCAACGAAGAAGGCAAGAGAGGGGATTGAAGAGAACAAATTTGATCTTTGAAAATCAATTTGGATCCGAAAGCGGGCCACGGCGGGAGGTCTCCCACCCCTCTGCCAAAAAAAAAGGATGAATTGATCAATCAACGTTAATTCTGGCAGAATATAAGATTTTACCGCCTTTTATCAGAAAAAATTATTCATAATTAATGAGGATATTAATCTTCTTCACAATGAAGGCTCTTGAAAAAATCTCTTTGGATAAAAGAAAGAATAGCTAAAAACGTTAATCAGTTAAACTTTAGCCTCGCCCTCAAGGACTCATCAAGTTGAATCAGAAAATAACTCAAATATACGGTCGACACTGGTTATGTCGCCGAATGTCGCCGAATGTCGCCGAATGTCGCTGAATGTCGCCGAATGTCGCCGAATGTCGCCACCTATTTTTTAAAACCAGGATTTTTGGAAAGAAAACTAGTTTTCAACCAAGAAATTTCAAAACAAACTTGTTCAAGAACTGTTTTAGCATAATTTCGAGGCAAGGAAGCGCTCCGCGCAATTTGTGGTAGGAAACTCACTGGTCGGGCTGGACACACTTCTATTGCCGCGCCTCCTACTATTCCCGCCTTTTACGGTTCTAGAACAAGTTTGTTTTGAATATTTGAGCCAAAAAAACAATTTTTCTTTCATAATTCCTATTTTTTCGAAAATAAGTGGCGACATTCGGCGACATTCGGCGACATTCGGCGACATTCAGCGACATTCGGCGACATTCGGCGACATTCGGCGACATAACCAGTGCGCCCCAAATATACTGACGTCGTCTGACTAAACAATAATTTGAAGAAAAACGGCTCTTTTGTTAGAAATTGTTTTAAATTCATCAAGTGGAATTAAAAAGTACTAAAAATATTTCTTCAATTGGCACCTATTACCTATCTCTGACGTATAGACATTTTCTCTAAAAAAAGAAAGCCGCAGAGGCTACAACTGTCAGAATGTAATTCAGAAAAAAACCAACTCAAGATTCCTTTTTTACGAGCTCGGCCGAGGAAAATAGATTATTCGCTCTGCTTGTTGTATTCAAGCCAAATCCTCCTACAATAAATTATCCCCAAAATTTGTCACAGCTGGCTATTGTGCGTTTCCTTTCTTAAAAAAGATGGATTTGGATAAGGAAGGATTTTTCAGTAAGGAACTAATCATTACGAGAGCTTCAAGCATTCTAACCAAAATTTTCCAAGGATGTTTTCGCCTCCTCAGATTAGTTTTATTCTCTATTGAAAAAAAAAGCGTCAAAATGGAGAATCTGTTTTGGTACTTTTTTCGGGGCTGTGCCGGGGAAAAGCGCGCCGTCGCTGCCCACTGAACCCAATAAAATCTCTTTCAAAAATGACGAATACTAAAACAGTGGCCGATCGAGCCACGAAACTTGTATCGGTACTTGGAGCAACGAGTGGAAGGATTATTTCCGGTTGAAGGCGGAGCTACTTGATCTCACCCTCTCTCTTTCCGAGCAGAAGACTATTTTCTCGGCCTAGGGCCAGGGTTTGAAAAGTCTGAGCATGAGCATGCTCAGAGCACTGAGCATGAGCACTGAGCATGCTCAGCGTGCTCAAGCTCAATGGAAATTCCAGCGTGTCGTGCTCAGCCGTGCTCAAGCTCAATAAAATCTGAGCATTCGCGTGCTCAGCCGTGCTCATGCTCACGAGTCTCTGAAATGCGTGCTCAAATGCTCTGAGCACGTTTGAGCAAAAATTTTCTTCTTTTCTTTATTTTCAAATTTTTTTCTTTCTTACGGGCCGTCTCAGCCCCGTTCCTTGATTTTTGAATTTAAGGGGCTTGACAAAGGCTTGGAAAACTGAGTTGATCTATCTCCCCAACCCCACCCACACCCATAGTTTTGAAAATTGAAATTATCTTGGTTTTAAGCATATTTATGGTTCTCATTGAAAATTTGATTTTTTGTGTTCTTTTATGAAGCATGATTGCTTGAGCATGCTCTGAGCATGAGCATTGAGCATGCTCAGCGTGCTCAGGCTCAGTGAAATTTGAGCAGGCGGGTGCTCAATCATGCTCAGGCTCAGCTAAATTTGAGCACGCAAATGCTCAGTCGTGCTCAGGCTCAGCAAATTTGAGCACGCGGATGCTCAATCGTGCTCAGGCTCAGCCAAAATTTGAGCTCTCCGTGCTCAGCCTTGCTCATGCTCAGTCAAAATTTGTGACTTTTCAAACCCTGCCTAGGGCCTTATTTGGGTTCGGGAATATGTGTAGAAAACCTGAGTCAGGGTACTCAAAGACCTTCTAAGAAAAACCGCTTCGTAAGAATATAAAAATAGATTGACATTCAACAGATGATGACTTGACGAAGCCGCTTCATATCATAAGGGAAAATACACTTATTTATGTCGTAAATTTGATGATAGACTCTGTATGATACTCTAAGTTTCTTGGATAGCTAAAGATTATTCATCAAAAGGTCGTCTCCTAATCATCGCCCGGAAGAACCTCATAAAGCCCGTTTTTCCAGCTCGGGAAAAGAATGAGAATGAGAAAGCGAAGTACAATCAAATATTTGCGCATTGTTCGGGGGTCAAAAAACACGAACTCAATCGGGTTTGATTCTTCCGTGTGTAGGGAAATATTCCCGGATGTCCGAAATCGAATAGAATCCGAAATTGGCCGCTTTTAGAAATGGGAGGAAAATGCAGGGAGGGAGCATTTGTGGGGGAAGATAAGACTTGGCCGCTTTTGGTGATAAGAAGAGATGAGATTTCCGTTGAAAGGGCGAGATTTCAGCTCTGTGGTATTTTTTATCAGTTTTCGGGTGTTTTCACGAAAATAATAAGTGCATATCTAATTGAAAACGGTAGTTTAATTGAGAGGACATTTTATGTCTGAAAAATGATTTTATTTCATGTTTATCAGAAAGAAACCTTTATAAATTATAATTTATTTAATTTAACTCTTGAATATCTATCAGCATGGGAGATAAATAACATAATAATTCGTGATAACGATTAACCTAATAATAGTGATAAAATTTAAATAATGTTAATATTAACTTTTGAAGTTATTAACTGACCGTTAGAAAAACCTTGGATACGAAACCATTTTTTTGATAAAAGACCAATCTCTTTATTTATTCTTCTTATCACGAATCTCTAGAAAAGCTATGAATTTTGCTCATTTTGGTGTTTGTACGGAATGTGGCTGGGACTGGCGGCGATTTTTGGTGTTTTGGAGCGTTGCGATGCGATTGGCCGCTCTCGGCCAGCGCTCCCCGCCGCGGGAAGCAAATTCCGATCTCGATAATTTCGTTTTCAAAGAAAAGGGATGATCGTCCTTGCTGCGCATACTGGCGCCGGATTTATTGCCCAGAGGAACAGAGACAGACATGTCAAATTGTTGAAGACAGCTTTGAAAGAGGGTCAGTTTTATATTTTTAAACTTGTAGAGACGATAAAATAATCCGTATTGATGAAAACTGCGTTCCCATGCGTAATTATAAAATTTTACATTCAGGCGTGCGTGTATACCTGGCAAATGGGTGTCTCCAGGAAGCGATTTCCCAAATTGTCTCCGTCCTTGAAAACGATTCCGTGACAAATGCCGGCCATGGAGGAAATCTGACCGAAACTGGCAAGAGGGAAAACGAAGCCGGTCTGAGTTTTACGAAGAGAATCGGCGGGGTCGAGGAGCGAGGTCACGGCGCCGTTTCGGGCCTGAATAATGTTCTCAATCCGATTCAAGTGGCAAAGAAAATTGCAGAGCTCCAATCTAGGCACGGAGATTTACATGTTTGAAAAGTGTGAAATTTGTTGATGTTTATTATTGTCGTTTCCACACCTGAGCAGGTTTAATACATCCCCGACTGACAGAGGCAAGGACAAACAAGGACGCATCCCTCCTATTCTAATTTCCGGCCCTGGTGCTGAGCAATTCGCCAAAAACAACAACATCAGCTATCGCGAAGATCTGCCCATCGCTGAGAAAGCGCTCAAAGTCTTCAAAAAGTACTCCAAAGTCCTAAAACGAGCAGCTGAGAAAACAAACGGGCCTCCTGAGAAGATTCAAAAGTCATGTGACACGGTAGGAGCCGTAGCGATGAAAATCGAGAAGAATGATAACAACGAAGAGTATTCATCCGATTCCGTCGCTGCTTCAAGTTCTGGTGGATTCGTCGTCAAAAGAAATGGAAGAGTCGGATCAGCCGCTCATCTTGGTGCTGGATTCTGGTCGCAGGAAGATTCTTGCACCACGTGTTCTGGCTGCGGCGAAGAGTTGATCATCCACAATACTGCCAGACTCGCTTGTTCGGAGGAGTTTCTTTTTGACTCTCACTCTATCGCTTCAAATTTTCCAAGTTCTTCGAACACCGGCATCGAGCTTGGATTCCTCAAGCTGCTGAATGACGGAAGAGGCGGAATAGAACTTCAGTATTTGCACACTACAAGCGACTTTATGATAGGCTACGTCTTTTTGAACCCTAATTTATCTGACCCAGACACTCTAGCTTACAACTGCCATCATTCGGAAAATCCGAAAGTGGGAAACTCCCAGTACAGTTCCTTTAGATTTTCTTACTCACAAGATTAAGAAGAATGATCTTCTGATTAATTTTAATCACGCCTCTGGTTTTAAGAAAAATGGCGGATTCTCGTGAAAGCGAAGCTGATTTCAAAGATCGACTCCACGCAAAATTGCAAAACTCGGGCGAGCTTGAGAAGCTCAAACAGACGCTGAGAGACAGACTCCAAGAATGCGGATGGACCGATTCCATGCGCAAGATTTGCAAAGGTTGGCCAACACAAATTTGTGAAAAAGTAAACTGATTTATTTAGAAAAAGTGCGCGCGTCGAGTATTGAAAACGTCTCGATCGACGATTTGGTGAACGAAGTAACGCCGATCGGAAGAGACCAAGTACCAGCTGAGATCAAAAATGAAATTCTTCTGAAACTCCGCGCCTTCCTCGACGAAGAAGCCTAGATACAATATTTTTTTTAAACAATTGGTCGTTTCTTTTACTCTGCCATTTACTCTCCGTCTTTTTCTTGTTGAAATTTTTTTAATTATTATTACTATTAGAGCGTTTTTAAAAACACAATTCTTGTTCTTTGATACTACTCCTGATATGTTTCTTTAAAAAAACGGGGCGAAACTTTCTGGACGACGGACGGCATAAATGTATTTTTTCGATTTTTTCTATCTGAGTTGATCGAGTTTAGAATGTTAAAAGCGTGTAGCCGCCTTCTTCCTAAAGAAAATATTTTAATAATTCGCCGAGCGGCGTCCAGAATCCCGTAAGTTCCTCCAACTTCCAGCTTCAACCTCCTTTTTTCCCCGTCACTCGCACGCACTCTCCTAGAATTAAATTTTATTGAAAAACAATTCGATGAACATTTCCACTCTCTGTCTTCGGTGATACTCCAAAATACAAACAGCCCTCTTCATCATGATTTATGATTGTCCCTGTTTCCTTTTTTTTTACGCGGTGACTGTACCTAGAGTGAGATGGAATACCTGTCGCTCAAATCGGAAAAGTGCTCGGAATTTATTTGGTCTCAGTACCGCACGAGCTCGGTTGGGACTCAGGAATGGGAATGAATTGATTTAAGGGTGTCCAATTCTTATTTAAGATTTCAAACTTTCCCATTCCTTCTAGGCTAAAACGCTCGACCTTATCGCGATCGGAGAACAACAAATTATCCCATTATCTTCTCTAAAGGTCGTTTTCCCTCCGATTCGTCTTTCATAGCTCTAGAATTTAGCTGCTAGACGATTTGAGAGTTTACTTGCTGTCTTTGGAGAGAACTCTCGCGACACGCACTTATCTCGTCCTCGAGCGACCGGGCCCAGCAGATATCTGCCTCTTTTTGGCGATTTACTGTAGCAAAAACGTATCTTTCGCCGGTTTTCCCAACCTCTTGCGTTGGTACAAAACTATTTTCGCCAAATTCGGCAGCAACTTGCCCACTGATCCAAGGTACAGTTACAATTTGTGTCGTAACTTACCAGTTTGTACTCTAACAGGAAATATTTTTGAAAGCAAATCTGATGGGTCGTTTTAGAATGGCACAGGGTGCAGCGATTGAGCTCTCGGTCGACGAAAAATATAATCTCATCACCCGAAATTTGGAGGAAGTTGTTGGCGAAAATGAGATCAAAGCTATTTTGGCTGAGAGAAGCGTGAAGATCTACTGGGGTACTGCTACCACAGGGAGGGATGTTTATTGATGTCGCCATAATAATTTATCGATGAAAATTGAGATTCCCCTCATAATGATTCTCAAAATATCTCCGTGAAGGAAAGCCTCACATCGCCTACTTTGTGCCAATGTCGAAAATCGCCGACTTTCTGCGCGCTGGCTGCGAAGTGCAGATCCTCTTTGCTGATCTGCACGCGTGTCTCGGTAATCCAACCTTGTCTGATCCCTTTCTAAACCAATTACGCTTCGTTTAGATAACATGAAAGCACCATGGGAGCTGATCAACTACCGCGTCGAGTACTACCGAGAGGAAAGGGTCCGATTTCAAGCTTTATTTGGATTTATAGTAGCACGTGATCTTGAATCGCTGAAAAGTGTATTACCGGAATGCTTGAATCGATCGGCGTACCGCTGGACAAGCTTTCCTTTGTCAAGGGCACGGATTACCAACTCTCCAAAGAATACACCTTGGATGCGTATAAACTATCAACCATCGTGACGGAAAAAGACGCCAAGAAGGCTGGAGCCGAAGTCGTCAAACAATCCGATTCAGCTCCACTTTCTGGACTCATCTACCCAGGTCTCCAAGCGCTTGATGAGGAGTACCTAAAAGTCGATGTTCAATTTGGTGGTGTTGATCAAAGAAAAATCTTCATGTACGCCCGAGAAAATCTCCCCAAGGTAGAAATCATTGCAAGTCACTATTTTTCAATATTTTCGTAGCTCGGATACGCGAAACGATCGCATCTTATGAACCCCATGGTTCCTGGCCTCACCGGTACTAAGATGTCTTCGTCCGAAGCAGATTCAAAGATCGATCTCCTCGACCCTCCATCTGCAATTAAAAAGAAGCTGAAGAAGGCTTTCTGCGAGGAAGGAAACATCGAAAATAACGGCCCTCTCGCATTCACTAAGCACGTGCTCTTCGGATGCCACGGACAGTTCGAAGTCTTGCGAAAAGAAGAATGGGGCGGCAACAAAATTTACAAGGATTTCCAAGAGCTCGAAGATGATTTCAAAGTAAGACTCACTTGAAAAGATCACATGATCAACCTTTTCAGAATAAAAATGTCCATCCTGGTGATCTGAAAAACTCTGTGGGAGCTGCTATCGATCGTCTCCTTGCTCCTATCATCAAGAAATTCGAATCCGAAGAAATGAAAACATTAGCTGCAAATGCCTATCCTGTTGAAAAAGTTACAAAAGTGAAGAAAGAAAAGAAGAAACATAATATCAGACCTGAAGGCGTTGAGCCTAAACCAAAGCAAAAGCAACAGCCAAAGGAAGCTGAGCCTCAAAAGCCTGCTGATATCTCAAGGTTTGAAGTTTTACGTTCTTCCTTTTTCATTCGATCTTCTAGGTTACTAATGAAAGTAGGAAAAATTACAAAATGCGAAAAGCACCCGGATGCAGATGCCCTTTACCTGGAAGAAATCGATTGTGGCGAGGATAAACCGAGACAAGTTATCTCTGGATTAGTGAAATTCGTTCCCCTGGAAGAGATGCAAGATCGAATGGTTGTTATTTTGTGCAATTTGAAGCCCGCTAAAATGAGAGGCATTCTTTCGGAAGCTATGGTCATGTGTGCGTCTACTCCTGATAAGGTAAGATCAACTAGGCCTCCAAGATGTGAAAATTATAAGGTTGAAATTTTGTGTCCACCAGAAGGTGCCGTCCCTGGCGATATCGTCACCGTCGCTGGATTCGAAGGCGAACCCGATGCTATCATCAAACCATCTTCGAAGAAGCAAGTTTCTGCTTTTGAACAAGTCGCTCCAGATCTGAAAACAAACGATGCTCTGGAAGCTACTTACAAGGTCATTTAGTAGCTTTATGTTTCGGCCTTAGATTATTTGCGTTTAGGGAGTCACTTGGGAAGTGAAAGGAAAAGGAGCAATCAAAGCGCAAAGTCTGCAGAATGTTCAAATCAAATAATTTCTGGAAAATTATTTTTCTCTGTCGACCTGTTATGTGATTGTTACTGTATGGGTTTAAAAGTGCTTTGCCCGGGTTAGGTGAATAGTATTCACTGAATACTTTACTTCCATGATTCTTGATTCTCGTATTTAGAGAGCATGAATCGAGTCGGTAATTCAGCCCGTATTTTGAGGCAATCTGCACTCCGCACGGTAAGATACTCATTTTAAATCAATCCTCACGTACTCAAAGGAAAAATCAACTTTCACGAGAATGACGTCCGTAATTCCGACTCAACCTTCAGGACAAAATCAGACTTCCCTTTCCCCATCATTCACGACGCCGTCAATTCATTTTAACCCTTCTACCTGTTACTATCCCACGACCAACAGTCAAAAAATGTCAAAGTTTATTGAAAAATGCAAGAGTATCTCCTCCGCTGCCGGAAAAACGATATCAACGAAGAAGTTATCCGAGTTCTCGCTTTCGTCTGTGTCCGTAACATTTATCTGCTCGATGGGCGAACTGGCTCTTTGGGCAGTTCTCAACTTGGAAAACGGTCTTGTCGAGTTTGTGATTGATGACAATAACGGGCTATGAATTTTGAAGCATTTTTCTCTTATTTCGCGACAAAGAACGCTATAAATATTCATAACCCCGGATAGTTCCTGAATGATGACGGTTTTACGCTTTTCCTCTTCAATAAATTATACGAAGCTTTATTAAATTGACGTTGATAATCGAAAAGTCTTATCAGCGAAATCGAAACAATGTAATATTTGCAAAATGATAGATATACTCTCAGCAGGTCGGGTCACTTGGACAGTTTCCATCAAGGCAGACAGTTATTTCGCAGGTCAGGAAAAGCTCAGCTTGTGAAGACGCTAGTCCACCTAAAATGATATTCTTATTGAAATGAATTTGAGAAAGAACTCGCACCTTCGAATTCAAATTGGAAAGCAGTGTAGCTCATGTCGAAGCTGTGAGTGTTCAAGAAGGAGTTGTATGTCTTAACGATCAATGGGTTCGGGCAACGATTAGCGACGATCGGAAATGTTCGGTCAGCATCGTTTGGGTCATCGTGTATTGTACAGTCCGTGATGTACCACTAAAGCAAAATCTCTCCCACCAGCTTTATTCTGTTAAACTTGCCTTAACGCCATTGACGATAGCAATAGGCTCGATAGCTAGATAAAGCTGCTCGCCAACGACCACGACGTTATTGCTGTCAGCTGGAGTCGAGAATGTGAAATCGTTGTAGTACTGTGCGTTGAATGCAAAAGAGCCGTAGCCAACAGCACCTCCTGTAACTGCCATTGACTCGACTTCAATTATCGCAGTGTTCGTTGATGCATTAGTGTTGTAGCGGCATTCGACCTTAATTTTTGGTTAGATTCCTCGTACAGAAATTTCTGATTTCGATGAGATGAATTACCCCAAGTTCGACTGCGTTATCGAGGACGATGTTGTACTCGTTGAATCGAGAACCACTGATGATTTTGTTTCGAAAGACAATTTCCTCTCCTTCTTGTGATACTGCTGTTCCGCAGTTGTCTAGACGTGTGGTCATCGAACGCGAAGCTCCGGCGTTGTTGTCTCTGAATCGAGCGCAGTCGCTCATCCAGCTATCCCATCGAAGGTTCAAATTCTCGGCATATGACAAACTAGAATCGTACATAAACTTAATAAGTTATTCATTGGGGTTTTGTCCTACCTTTTGTCGTGGAATATGCATTTGTCAACGTCAACCGACATGTATTCTGGACCACAGGCAGTTCTGATTCTTCCAGTTTCAGGCCTACATGTTTTATACCCGTCGAGTTCCCAACAATTCGGACACTCGCAGAAATGTTTAGAATTGTTACTGTTACAAAAGTGCGAGCAGCCTCCATTTGCGCCATCAAAGCAATCTAAAATAGATTCAGATCAATCTTATTCCTATAACCTTACCGATATCTTTGCATTGGAGGGTCACAGAAATTGGATTTCCTTGAAACTCAAATTCATGAGAAATGAGCCCAGTGAAGCTTGATACACCATTGACAAAGCCCTCGAATATCTGACACCCAGGAATTGAAAGAGATCTTCTGCAAATTGTTCCGTTGTAAGGTGCCTGAACAGCGAATATTCCACCGCTCAAATCGTTTACGACAGTTTCGTAAAGTAAGCAATCAGGGCCTCCAGCTGATCCATCTCCTGCACCGCTTCCCTCATATTCTAGACAAGCTGCATCTTCAACTCTTGTATGGCAGAGAGGAACCTGGGCATAAATGCACGAAAAAATCGAAAAACTTGAAGCTATCTTCATGATTCTACGATCTCTCTGAATGAGTGCCACATGGCGCGCTGTCTTTTATTGGAAAATTAACCGGATTAGAGATACTAGAATTTCATCCCTCACCAAGTTTTCCTGCTTTTTGAAATCAATACTTGAACATAATGAAAGAATGACTTATCATTAACCTACAACCTGCGTCGAGTGTAGACCACTACGCTCTTTCTTGGCTGACATCAACAAAGAATTTCAAAGTTTTCTTTTAATGAGGATGTTATTTTTGAGTAGTTAAAGAATTTCCGCAGGAAAACCAAGGCGGAGACTATCTGAAAAAGCTGGGATTATCGAAATGAACCTAAAAATTTTATGAAATAGTAACATGCTATGATGACGAAGCGATAAATGAAGCTACAACTTAATAATTAAGTAAAGTCTTAATGAGACAATATTGGTTCAAGAGGAGTGAATGAATGCAATAAGAAAAAGCGATGAAAGAGAAATCAATTTATATTCTTTAATAAATTTCATTTTTCTTGTTACACTCGATGCTGAAAAGGCTGTGCTTCTTGAATAATAGCCGCCCTCTACGCATCTAATCCTTCGGACACGTAATATGTTCAAACCGTGAAGTACCCTCTTGAGCATTTACTTGATAATACGAGATTAGAGAACTCAAAATAATCCTCCAAAGCAGAAGTTCAAAATACTCCAAGCAAATTTGCATAGCACCGTTTTTTCTCGAGAATCCAAAAAGATTATCCAGACCGGAGCAAATCGAATTAAACTTCCTCGAGCGAACTCGCTGGCTTCAATTTTACTTTTTATAGTAATTTATTTTTTTACTTTATTTAATTTCTCCCGCTGATAGTTTATCGTGTACCACCTGAGCTCATGTGTTTTAGGCCGATAACTTATCGATAAGTCCTTCAATAACTATCATCAATTCCCGCAAAGCGTGGTACACTTATAAGCAACACATCTGCTCTTAGATAAAAGTTATTTACAGTAAAAGTATGTTCCCTCTAAATCAGAAGCTGTAGTGAAAGAGCAAGTCTTCCTTGATTTCGAATTCTGAGAAATAAACTTGTGGCATTTCAAACAATTGTTCAATTAATACCACCTCTCCGCTTGAGTCCACCTCTTCCAACAAAGCAAGATCAAAAATAGATAGAAAAAAAGGAGAAAAACGGTCGCTAGATTTCTTAATAAAGGTACGTTTATATAATATAAATTATATTATCAACATGAAATTAACGCAGCAGGCATTTGAAACGACCCCAAACGTTATCATGCTCAATGGGAGCTTAATTCTTATCAGAAGACTATTTTCAGTGGGAACGTAGTAGCGTCACGGGTCCCTTCGCCCAAGTCCCGCGCGATCGATTTCGGTGGCGCCGCAGCACCACCACGATCGCGCGTCCTTGGCGGTGATGCTACCGACCGCTCGGATTTTTTTTTTGCAAAAAAGCTGAAATTGAAACACGTTGATTAAATTTGCTACAGTAACATTTCTATACCTTCAAAAACAAACTTAGAGAAAAGAAAATCATAAGAGATATAAACGAAGATCAAAGATTAATTAAGGGAAGGGCTAGCACTTTTACTTAAAATAGTTACGATCGATTCTTTTGTGAAATCGAAAAGTCAATTTTGACCACCTTCTATTTGCGATTTTATTGTTTCGGTGCCAGAAAAATTGACCCAGCAAATATGGCGCATTTTTTAAACATTTTGAATATCGCGCTAGCCCGCAGGCAGATTCTACCGATTCTAGAGATATATTTCCACTCTCAGAAGCATTTTTATGAATAGTGAAGAATGAGCGATTTAAGTGATTCTGAGAGCTTCACCAGGTTTGTTCCCTTTTTTCGACGCGTTCGTTTGGAAGGTGCGAGTTCTAATCGTGACAACTCATGCCACCTTTAGACATAAATGTCGGCGTAATAACAACCACCGACCGCAAAGGATGAACCCTTTCCATGTTGATGCACCTTTTTCGATTTTTATCATCTTGGTTTTTGCGAATTTTTAATGATTTTATTGCATTCAAGTTTCAACTTTGCAAAGCGATAAGAACCGAATGCGCCAATAATTACCGCTCTTCACAGCTAATTAGGGCAATTAAATGCGACCACTTATGACCTAGAAATTCTTTCTTACTCCTAATATACGATAGCTACGTATAAGATCCTATTCAAAAGGTCGTTCTTATCCGGATTTCGCGGGCACGCACGTTCCGAAGTTGTAGCGGGAAGGATTTCGCGTATTTGTGGACCGCGCTAAAAGGATCAGTTCTATCAACTCCTTGATTGTTTATCTTTATATCTCTGAACATCAATCTAACAAACAAAAATTGTCTAAAACTGTCTTTTTCAGCTCGTCATACACTTCCTATTCCGACAGTTTAACCTACTCGGACGGAAGTTTAACCGACTCTTCCGACTTCGACCTTCTTCTTGCCACTCCTCAAAGAACCAGCCAGAACCGGCCAGAAGCTCAAGCAAAAACAACGGAAGAAGAAAAGATGAAGAACCAGTCGAGTGCGCTCGTCAAAACTTCGACTCTGGAGTAAATGATCTCGAGCTGATTACTGAAGCTGAGGCTCTTGAAATTCCCGAAAAGGCTGAAAACATGGTAAGCAAGAGGGAGCTCTTGAAAGTTTGTTGCTTTTTTGGTAATCAAGCGCTTGAATTTCGGTCCTTACTTTGCTTTACTGTAATTATTCTATTTGCCTCTCAAGATGCTTTCCTAGAAAATCAGATTTTAGCTTAGAAACATAGAAGCTAAACAAAAAAGGATGATAGCAGTTCGACATAAAACTGACGCACAACTTTCAAAATATTTGGAGAACAAAGGGGATTACATAAAAGTTATTGATTCTCGCGTCCATTACTTGATGCCACAATAAACAGATCTTCAAACAAGCTCTGTGATCACATTAGAAGTCGTTGAATAGGGTTGCTGTGAAATTACGGAATTATGCCCGCGGAAATAGTCGCTGATTTTGAAGCGCTGTTTTGGCGAAAATTTGAAAATTACACCACCGCCACTACATTCTCGAATTTCTCAGGGTTCAATTATTTTGACTGATCGGGCGCTACCGAGATAAAGAAAAATTTTCGCTCTTTTCGCTTGAGAAAATATATCATTCTGTCGCCCCCAAATGAAGCGACTTCCTGGAGAGTTCTTGAGAATTGTGAGTTTTGAAATTAGAAATTTCTATTAGCTTTATCTTTGATAGAGCCTGATTTTAATGTTTATCCAACGCAAATCAATTTTGAGGGGAAATCAAGCAAACACTGAGGTGATTTTAGGCAAACTTTTCTTTATTGAAAATAATATTCGAAATCCTGCAGACCTCGTCCCATTCTGACGTCCTCGAGAAACCCAAAACTCATCATTTTCTCCTTTCGCGGTCTCTTCCTCGACCACTCTATCAAATCAAATCACCATTATTGCTATTTGAGATTGGCCCCTTCTCCTCACACATGAAATTGATATTTTGAGAAATATCAGCGCTCTACTCGACGCTCTTCTCAAGCTGGGACTGTTCTTAGAGATCCGGGGTGCGAGATTAACTTGCTCTCAGCGCCACTCTTTTTTGATATTTTAGAAATAAAGAAGCTTTTTAGCCGATTGAGTTGCCAGCCCAGATCAGGATCGAGTTTGATCCTCCATCCCCTTCTACCTCCTTAATCACCTCAGAAGAGCTCAATCATCAAGAGGCGGAATCGAAGTTCGCCGAACCAGAAGTTCCAGTGATCGAAGTTCGTTCTCCAAGTCCTCGCCAAATCTCCAGCACAAGTCCAGTTGATGACCAAACAACAAGCTCAGCATCTCAAGGCTTCCTGTCCATCGATTCCGGCGTTCGACTCCGAAGCTCGTCACAAGATAGCCACCACAGCGTTCCTAAATCATGGAGCGACTTCGAGAGCGAAGCCAAAAAGTGGAAGGTCAGTCTAACAGACGTGCGGAAATCTAACCCCCCTCCACATGGGAAACAAATACTCCCGGTCAAGCTAGGGAGGGAACTAACTCAGAGGATAATCCAACAGTGGAATTTAGTTACGTCCTCGTTTGACGGAATGTTTGAACGTTTTCCAAATTAAACTTTATTTTTTGCTAAAATGCAACTCAAAAATTGAGTAATCATCGAAAAATATGTAAAGAAAAATTATGGGATGAAATATTTTGGAATGACTTTTTGGTCATCTATTGTAACGTCGCCCTCTTCTTCTTCCTGTAGTAAAACTAATTAGGCATGGGAAGCGCGGCGAGGCATTTTCCTTCCTGGCCCTACGTTCCCTAAACTTCACGTGACCTACATCTAAACGTTTCGTTTTCAGCCCGTCAAGGTCGCCGCGCCAAAAGAGCGAGAAAGCAGCAAGACGAGGTCACAAGACTCGGAGCCAGGTAATTACCTTAGTTGAGTAAAGCAATTAACGGATTACTGTAATCGCCTTGAGAGACCGTCAAGGACATTGTTTTTTCAGCTTTCTAAAAAGCTAAGAAGCTTACTGGAAAATCGGTGATTTTCTGTGATAATAGCATGAACCGGTCCTTTAACCGTTGTCAAGATATTGTTGATGTAATGAAATTTATTAGTATTGATCAATTTTTCTTTGAAGAAAAATGAATAAGCAGTAAGACGAATAATTTATTGAAATCCGAAGCTAAAATTGTCAGGCTGATGATCGATGCCAGGCGATTCATTTTCTCCTTCCATCGCACCTTTTTTTCCTCAAATTTAGCTTTGGTTTCGATTCTATGCAAATTTTTCTTAAAAAAAAGAGAGTCAAGAAAATTCTTCAGAAATGTCACAAAGCTCGGAAGGGTACCGGAGCTCGGCAGAGATTGATCAGGAGGTGGAGAAGATTGTGGCGGATACTTTTAAAATTCCATTGAGACAAGGAATTGAGACGATTGAAAAGGAAGAAAAGCCAGAACGGAAGATTATCGAACGGCCAAGGAAAGGTTCTACTTTAGGAAAAAAGCACTTTGTAAACGTTTCAAGTCTGAAATCCCTTTGATCGTAGAAAGTAGAACACGTTCTCAGGCGGAACATCGACGATTTTGTCAGAAGTGCCATTTCTCTGTCGGATAACTGTACCAAGCTCGTTACAGAGCGCAAGGTGAGTCAGCTAACTTTCTTATTCCTGGAGATCTGGAAATCCTCGCCCAGATGTTTTGTGAAAATTCGTGTTTTTGAATTTTAAAATTTGAAACTCCGTCTTTTTGAACACCTGAAGAATACGCTTTTCTTTTCAGAAAGATCGAATACCGTCGATTCCAACAGCAGAGTCGAAGATTCCTCGATGTACTTCGGATTCTGGCCATTCAGATTCTAGCCTGAGGGCTGAGCCTCAACGTGTCGAGAAGATTATACGAGTGAAGCTTATTCAGTCTGGAGATAAGCTTACTTATGGATACCTTCCCTCTGAAGATGAAAATGCTGAAATGTTCGATTCTTCGAAGTCGATTAGGTAATTCGAAAAAATGTTATAACTTATGCTAATTTTAATTTGTTATCTTATCGGCGCCCAGTGATAAGCCGACGCAACGTTCGCTAGCTTGAATAGCTAATCGTTGAACTTATGCTTGCGAGAAACCGTTTTCATGAACGTAACGTCATATCTTTTTCTAGTGCTGGATCAACACTCTCAACGGAGCAGGGGCTCAAATCAGCAGCGCGACAGGCGACTGTGAAGCGCCGCGACACCTTCACGAGAAACTTTGACAAGGTAAAACTGCCATTTATCAAGCTAAGGCGAATCCACCACCGCCAAAGAAAAATAACGCCCCGCTCCCACTGATTTTTTTCTTTTCAAAAGGCAAAAATACTTTCAATCCAGATTTTCGGTTGTCAACTAAAACATTCTCTAAAACCCAAAATTTCTAATAGAAAAATCCAAAAGTTCAGAAATAATTGCAAGTACATGTCATTTTGTTTAGAAACCGTACGCGTATTTTCTACGTTATCTACGATCCCCCGCTGTGTTTTAACAAATATTTTTAGTTAGAAAAGAACGCTCTGCAAGGTGTGGAGAAAATCTACCAGGCACATCAGAGCCGCGCACAGCAGCTTCTCATTGATCTTCAAATTTCGATGGCAAAGAATGGATACGGCAAATATCGACCTCAGCCGATAAGGAACTCGAGGGCCAGCGATAGTCTCCTCATTTCGGAAGTTTAACTTATTCCCACTCACTTGCAATAAACGTTTTCCAACACTTGTAGATAAAAGCCTGTTTCGTGTTTTCATAATAAAGAACATGTCATTCGATCGATTTTGTTAAATGGAGATGAATTTATAGCAGGGAATAGCCTAAGGCTTAAGAATTTTCGTAAGCGGATTTTTAAGATTTGTTTTCGATTTCAAATTGAGCGCGCTATTTGATATTGACTCAGTGTCTATCCGTGAGATATTTTTCATAACATAAAAGAAAGAGAAAGAAGATGTTTTCGATGAACGCTTCGACTTTTGCGGACAACCGGGACCTCATGCATCCCAATGACCTGATAAGTCCGAAGACGATACCTGGTTTTAAGGTTTACCAAGCATCTAATGGCTCTGTTGTCAAACTAACGGACGTTATGAAGAAATTCAAGCCTCAAATCGAGCATCATAATAAGAAAGAGTCATATATTGCTTTCATTGCTTTCGTAAACGTAAAACATTTTTATGACTCCGACAAGCAGCTTTTCAATTTCAATTTCTTAAAAATAAAAGGGAAAGTTGAACCAGTTGTGCCAACTTATTATGTGGACATTCTCAGCAAAACAGAAAAGGGACCCGTCGAGAAAAAAATTCTGGACATTACATATCCCGAAGGCTATGAAGAGACGCCAGAACTTCTTGTTGCTAAAAACTCGTACATAAGATGCGCAACAAGAAAGGAAACGGAGATGCAACTGATGATGGTAAACATGGCTTTTTTATTAAAGAGTCGAGCAGTTTTTAGATGGAATTTACTCAGAAACAGATGGAAATGGAAAATCAGAGCTTGCGAAAACAACTTGAGGAAATGCAACTATCTTACAATGCCCGAATTGACTCCTCAAACGAGTTTATTCGACGATTAAACGAAAAACACGAGGAGCAAAATGCAAAGAAGATAATCAAGATCGCCGAGCTCGAAGACAAAATCGTAGTATTAGAGGAAACAAATTATACACTGAAAAATGGGTTATTTTGCGACAATGGGATGCATAAACACCTTTTTGAAATGGAAAAGAGCGTGACTGAACGCTTGAAGAAAGAAGTGACCAATCTCAATAAAGGAATCTCAAGAAAAACTGCTGCATTTGCGGAAATTTCCTCTGAAAACGAGAAACTGAAGAGAGAACGAGATGGATTAGAAATAAAAAATATCGAGCTGAAAAAGAATGTAACTGGTGTCTCAAAAACCGTAGAAAAACTGAAGCAAGAAAATTCGAAATTGAAAGCAGAGGTGCAAAATTTGAATAAAGCAGTGGATCGAAAGTCAAGTGAATTGGAACAGTCAGGGATAAGGAACAATAAGTTTATTTAAAAAAATAAATATTTTACTATCCCTTCAAAGGTTTTACAGAATAATGAGTCCATGGCCGTTATTCAAAATGATTTTCAAAATCAATTGAAATTCGAAAAAGAAAGAAACACTCTCCTCGAACGAGAAAGAAATCTCAACTTGTCCGGCGACGACTGCCCTCTCTGCATGGAAACTTACGACTCTGACGAGCGCCACAGATGCTGCCTGACCAGGGGTGGATATTTTGATATCAAACCAGTTTTTCAAAACTGTCGAATCATTTATTTCATCGTTTCAAAATTTGAAATTTCAATTGAAATAGCAGGAAAAAGTCGATGCAATGGCTGAAATCTATTGAAAATGAAAAAAAAAGCGTTTTCAAAAGATAAAGCTTCGTGCGGAGTTTTGAAATGAATTTGAAACTGCAATAATTGACATTTCAATCAGTTTTTCTTGAGTGGTCTCCGTTTGCCCAAGTCGCCGTTTGCCCAAGTCGCCGTCTGCCCAAGTCGCCGTTTGCCCAACTTGGGCAGACGGAGATCTTAGGCAAACGGCGATGTGATTTTTTTTTTAATTGATTGATCATAAAATGATAGAAGTAAGGCGACAATTTCATTATCATCACTTAGTCTGCTGGTTGCGCTCGTAGAGCCTTCGTAATGGATGGTTTAATTATGAAAGTCGCTAAATTCTCAATAAAAGTCCTAATAAACTATTCCCGGAAGAGTTAATCATTCATTATACTTGAAGTATATTCGGTCGATCATTAGGTATATTCGGTCCATAAATAGAGTTTCCTCACACTGCAGCAGCGGAGCGGACATTAGTTTTTTGATGAGCCAGAAAATATGCTTGACTTTGGTACCGAGTACCAATTTGGTTCCGGCACCGTCCGTCTCCCGGAGGTTTTGGGAAGAGTTTCATCAGTTTTTCCCTTTTTCTCACTTCTCACAATTACTGTTTTCCCTCAGTTTCAATCAGAAACAATTCCAAAAATAGAACGGACCGAAAATGAATCACAAGAAACAGCAATATGGGAAACCATCAATTCAACCAAGTTGGGGATTAGCGCTTGTGAGGACTCGGCGTATCCATCGTTTCCTCAATGTGTAGGCCTCGGACGTAAAACAAGCGATGTAACTTTACCACTTAAAATCTATCCTATCCTGCTAATTTTGATTTCATAATTAATTTCTTTAAATTGAATTATGATTATATTTTCAATTTGATCGCCGTCTGCCCAAGATCGCCGTTTGCCCAAGTCTCCTTCTGCCCAAGTTGGGCAAACGGCGATCTTGGGCAGACGGCGACTTGGGCAAACGGCGACTTGGGCAAACGGAGACCACTCGTTTTTCTTGTTTAGCGACTTGAAAGGAATTTGAAAAATGAAATTGAAAAAATGAATCGTTGCAAATTTGAAGAAGGCGCAAAAGGAAAAACTCAGCGCGCCTGCCATCCCTTTTTGACTCCCGCATTTCCCAAAATCCCGTATTTTTAAAATCCTAAATTTCTGAAAATCCCGTAATACTTTTAATCGCCAATTTGGATTATGGGAAATGCGAGATTTTTTTCTTTTGAGTTAGTTGCTTTACCAAAATTGATTGATCATATAACTTTATTTTCTTGGCTTCTCCACAGCTAATCCTGGCTTCACCAACTTTCATCCCGTGTTTAATAACTTCGATCCTCGCTATACATACGTCAATCCTGGTGGCTCAAACAACAATTCGGGCGTCACTTTCTTCAATCCTAGCTTCTCAGATGCCAGTCCCAGCTTCTCAGTTCTCTATAATTGCTTCTTGAATGTCGATCATGGCTTCTCCAAGATTAGATTGACGTTGGTAAAACCTAGATTGAAACTAATGACGCCGGGATTGACGTCGAAGAACCCGGGATTGACATTAGAGTTGCTATGATTGAAGTCGGTGAAGCTAGGATTGAAGAAATTAGGGTTCCAATTTTCGTCGAAAGAATATTGAGCTGAGCGAACGGCTCAGCGGTCGACCGCTTAAAATTTTTGAGCGGAGCGAGCGGTTGAGCGTTTTGACAAAAACAGCCGTGAGCTGAGCGAGCAGACTTTGAGCAAGAGGACTGTAAGCAGTGTATTTTTTTCCTCAAAAAATACTTTTTAAGTTTTTATTTTGAGTGTCGACTAGTGTTTGACATAAATTTCCAAAATGCGGCTGAAGAGTGTAAAAAATCTGTAAGAAGTGTTTTGACCAATTATTTCTAATAATTTCTTTTATTATTTTCTTCATTTACTCACCAAAAACACTAAAGAAAGTGTTGACTTACCGCTCAACCGCTCACTGATCTCAAGTTGAGCGAGCGGCTGAGCGGTCTTGTTGAGCAAACGGAGATCAGCTCAACTCAGTGATTTTTGAAAATGCTCAGCTCAGCTCAGAAAATTATCGCTTCGCTCAGCTCAGCTCAATGATTTTTACACAATTTTCATGCTTTACCTTACCCCGCCTGGGTACACCACCTCAGACACAGAGGTCGAAAAATAATTTTTTTACACAGAAGGACTTTGACTATTGGAAAAATAAAATAACTGTAGAGCTCTTTATCTAAAGCTTTCTCCTGGTGATCCTTTTAGCACTCTCGGTTAGGGTCAGGGTTGCCCAATCGGATCGGAATCCGATCGGAAATTCGGTCCGATCGGAATCGGATCGGTAATTGGTCGGACGAGGCAACGAAAATTTGGTCTTGTCCGATCGGTATAATCAGTTTCGATCGGTAAAATTGGATACGATTATCCGATCGGAAAATTGGTAAGAAAGTCGGGTCCATTCATTCGAAAACTACTAAAATCTATCACTTAGACAGAATATATGCTTGTAAAAAGTAATATTTCTGTAAATTCAGCAATTTTTTTGGCATGTTTTTCCCAAAAATTCTTATGGTAATTCATCCAATCTAGGTTATTGAAGTCTGTTTCCTGACGTAACTACACAGGAACCTGTCTCAGCTCAGGCCCTGACCAGGAAAAATAGGCCTGTCTTTAGTCAGGGACAGAAACAGGGTTAGGGCCTTTTTTACACAAAGAGGGGCCTTATTTTACAGAGAAAGGGGCCTTATTTTACACAGAAAAGAGCCCAAACTTAGTCAGCTTAGTAGCGGTAGCTGAGCTTAGATAGCGGAGCTGAGTGGAAAGTTAAGCTAAGCGTAGCGGAGCTGGTAGAAATTTTCTTTACTGTAGCTGAGCGTAGCGGAGCTGAGCAAAGAATTTTTTTCCCGTAGCGGAGCGGAGCGGAGCCGTCAGCTATGCAAATGTACAACTCTGATTATGTGTAATGAGCATATTTAGTTGACTGCAAATTTCTAGTGAGTGGGGAAGAGATTTTCTTTTTTTCGGCGGAAAATCACTAGCCTACCCGCCAAAAACACCTCAGGAGGTGCATCCGTCATTCTAGCCATGCACCTCAGGAGGTGCATGCAGTAATTCTCAAAATACGCCGATTTCCAAACCCTAACCGAGAGTGCTAAAAGGATAACCAGGAGAAAGCTTATCGATAAAGAGCTCTACAGTAATTATATTTTTCCAATAGTCAAAGTCCTTCTGTGTGAAAAATTTATTTTTCGGCCTCTGTGTCTGAGGTGGTGTACCCTTGGTATATGGCCACGAGAGGTGCATGACCACGAGAGGTACATTTCTCGAAATGGCCACGAGAGGAACCCTTCCCCACATGTTCCAGCGTGTAGCTCAGGCTATGACGGTAATTTTGAGCACAAGAATTCCTTGTCCCGGAACATCTAGGAGGTGGTACAAAGTTCGGGAAGTCGACCAAAATTGGTACCTTTGAAGAATATTTTCCTTTTTTCTATAATTTATGAGTCTAACTTCACTTTTTATACCTCTTCAACGCATCGTGTCCCCCAGTGTCCTCCAAGGCTCAGCAATTTGAAATTGATTTGAAAAATGAAAAAAGATTGAAAAAATCTGTCCAGATTTGAAAACCTTTCGCAAAATGCAAAATGAAACAGTTGAAAATTTCAAAAAAGGCTCGGCGTCATTATCATTTGAAATGAATCTGCAATTGCGAAAATGAGTTGAAAAAAGGCTTATCTTTTGAAATTTCAAATCAAAAACGGTTGAAATAATGATTTGATATCAAAATATCCACCCCTGTGCCTGACTGTATGTGGCCACCAAAATTGCCTTCAATGCTTTGAAAAGATGCTTCGAAAAAACTCTGCCGCTAATTTAAAATGTCCGATGTGCAACATGAAGTTTTCAAAAAGCAAGATTCTCAAACTATTCTAATCTGACAAAATAAACAAATTTTCACGCAAAAAAAAGGTTTATCATTTTTTCTTTCCAGCAGTAAAAATAAGTATATATTCTTCTCTTCATCAGCTCGATTTAAAACCGGATAAAATATTCGTTTTTCTTCATTTTCTCCATAAATAAATTTTCGACTAACTCACCAGGCGGCAATTAAACTTGCTTCAAAGGCTTCATTTAAATTATTACTCTTGAATTCAGAACTGGTCAATTAGATTAGCAAGTAGCAAATATTATCTTTTCCTACGCAAATTACATCAACAATTCCTTCGTGCAAAAACAGTATTTTATTTGAATAACAGTGAACAAATCGAATAAACTAAGTATGAGAACATCAAGGTCTTTTAAATAATCGGAAAAGTTTCAAAGTGAAAGTAGATTGCGGCGAACGTGTAGAGTGAAAATATTACGCTTTGAAGAGCGGCGGAAAGGTTAAACTTGCGCAGAAGGACGTTCGGTACTCTGGTCGTGGTGGCGGTTTCGATTCCGTTTCGTAGAAGGATCACGTGTTTTCTTCTTCCGCCGGATCTGCCCATCAGTAGATCGATCTCGCGCGCGGTGAGACGCTAGAATATGTTAATTCGCCGTTCAAACTAATTTTCAAATCGTTTGAAAACTTTGACTTGATGACTTGAATTATTCAAGTTCGAAATCGATATCACGGTCGTGTTGAATAATCAACTTCAAATGCGTTTGTCGTGTCAGGGAAAGTGTTCAATGAAAAAAAGGTTGAGCACTTGATCCTTTACGGTACCTTTGATGAGCGCTTCGAGATCATCAGCGGGGATCTCGCTCGGATCCTTTGATCTGATCTTTGAGCGAGAGCGGCGTTTCTTCTCCCGTCGTCTTTCTCTTCTTTCTTCAGCCTAAATCGGTGGATGAGCATTTGTTTATCAAGATGGAACTTACGTCAAGTCCATCAGCGTCGTCGTTGAGCGTCATTTTGCTCATTTGGCGGCTCATGCCATCCGTAGTCCGACGCGATTTCGACTCTGAGCGCTTCCGCCTTCTAAATTTCAGCCTTATTTATGTGCGCTGGAATAAACCGGAATTCAAAGATGCGGATTTGAATCTACTTAGGAATTCTACCCACAATATTTTATCTTACCGTTCCCTGCGTTCCTCTTTTGTTTCGTCGGGATCTCGTTCTTCACGTTCCCGCTCGCGACGTTCTCGTCTTCTTCTTCGCCGTTCTTCTCGCTCTTCGTCGAGTTCAACTTCACCATTAACTAGAAACAAGTCATAAAACAACTTTGCTTTCAAAATTTCTTACTATCCAGAGTAGAAGCATCACGATTTCGCGATTTCGACCGCCGACGTCTCCTTCTTTCTTTTCTTTCTTCAGAAGTTTCTCGCTCTCTACGTTTCTCCCGAGTTTCACTGAAATTAAAATTGAGTCATTCATCAAATTAAGAAAGAAACCTTCTATCTCGTCGTTTTCTTTCTGGATCCTTTGAGCGATCTCTTCTTCTCTTTTCCCGGTCTAAAGATGGTTAAATACAGCAAACTACCCAAATATATTAAATTTGCGCCGCACGTGTTAGAAACTTACCGACGGAGTAATCGCGATCTCTGCTTGGTTCCCGAACAGTTCTCGATTCCGACCGACGGATCGACATTGCGGCATCTCTTCTATCGATGCTTCTATCTCTTCGATCTCGACTCTCCGCCCGGCCACCTCGTCTATCCCGACTTTTTACGAGTTAAAAGAACTGTGTGTTTTAGCGCATTCGCCTTTGACATATTTGAGGTCCGGCAAGTAGCGATGGTCGTTTAGAATTAATGCTAATTTCGAATTTAAAACTCATTCTTTCGCCACGTTGCGTAATTCGGGTGCGCTCGCGAGACTCTCCGCGGGTTCGCGTTCGCTCAATTGATCGGTTTCTGTGGTTCGTCCGGTCTCTGCTCTCCGATCGTTCTCTGGCGACGGATTTCATCTTTGAAATTCCAACTGGCGCGGAGTTGTCGCGATTCTCGCCACGTGACATTGTCCTTCGAACTTGTCCTCCAAACATCGATGCCGCAGATGAGACAGAAGCTGGCACAGCTGATCCTCCTACGACTCCTCCACCGGCGTTATTCTTCTTCGCCATTTGCTTGAAGAAGTTCATCGCGTTCCCTGGCGTAACGTCCTCGTCTTGCATGTTCGTCGGCTCATGTCTCGACCGAGACGGTCGTAAAACAGAAGCATTGACGATCTGGTCTCGTCCAAAGCTCGATCCTTCTTCCTTTAAAAATGTTATAAAGCTATAAGAATAGTTTAGAAAAAATGTGTAATCTAATGCAGGTGCAAAGTAATGCGAGGTCACACCGGCGCGAGTTCGATTCAAGCTGAAGATGATTTATTTTCAAGAGAGAGAGTCAATCCGCTGAATCATAACCCGCAACCGTATTTATTATGCTCTTTCATAATTTCTCATTTCTCCGATAATCGAAATTTCTAAAGCTAGTTATTGAGAAGAGAAGGACTCACTTTGACCTGGTGATTTCGCCTGTCCTTCTGGTGATTTTCCTCCTCTTCGGAATCCGTGTAATATTCGTTCGGCGATGCGTTAAATTCTTCGTCATCGTTCATCAACGTGTACCGTTTCAGCTGCGATTAAGTTTCAATCTTACGTTTCTTGGGTCAAAAACGCCCCGAAGAATTGTCCCAAAACGGATGAAAACATTCCTGAGGTCTGTCGTTTCCTCTATCCGGAGAATCATACCGAGACCGTCCACGATCATAATCTTTTTCTTTCGTGTCCCTGGAGTTCTTCTCTGAGGATTTTCTGTTCCTCTAAAAATATTTCTTATATTGAAAAAATCGCCCGGGAATGTTAAAAAATACCTTTGATTTAGTTTTGCGGTTGTCCTCCGAGTAGTCAGAATCCTCTTCGGACTCCTCGAACATTCCACCACCTTTCCCAGATACAATTTCTTCAAAGTACAGGAGCGTTTCTCGCTGCTCGAAGCTCAGCTGGCTGCCCAAGTACGGGTTCTATCATTTCAACAAAATCGAAAATAAAAATCTGCGACGAAAAAGTTAAACCCATTTTCCTAAGTTCCCAATATTGTCCAATTCACCCACTTTTCCCCGGACATGTTCGTACTGCTCCCGCAGTCCTCCAAGCGGACCCGCTTCTTTCCTGTTCCTATTTGTTAAATTCAGCGCCACCATATCTACAGGATGTTCTTCCTCTAAATGAGAACGTGGACCGATGAATCGCATTTCATTAGCAGTTGTTTTTGTCGTCGTCGTTTTCATCTAAGCAATGAGAAATCCTTATTATAGCTCCTTTTTACCTGAGAAGAAGAATTCGTCCCCGCATACTGTCTTATTTTGGATTCTTGAATTATTTACGGAAACAAAATAAAAATGGGCTTACAATTAATCCATGCCTGTGCGGATTTCTATTTTGATCATAAGGCGCGGTCGAAGTTCTCTCATGATTCTTATTCTTATAATGATTGAGACTCTTCAGCGGGTCCTTTTGACCCTTTTTGAATTTGTTGAACATGGAAAGTCAAAAGTTACGATGATGTGGAATGAAATTTTTTACTGTTTCGTTTGTTTCCGGTGTACGGTGTTGTGGTCGGTGGTGGAGGGTGGAAGTGCCCCTGGGCAAACAATTTCAAATTTGACAAAGATTGACACATGTTAATTTCACCGCTGCCTATTCCACGCGGTTTCACGCTTTCATCTTTATGATATCATTATTACTGGGGATCGTCTGTAAGAACCCGATTCGACATCGCAACAAGTTCATGAAAAGCTTTACTCGCAGTTTGATCGCGCATGAGAATACGAAAATGTAGTCAGCTTACTGAAAAAACAGTAAGTAAGCAGTTTATAAGCAGACTTGAATGATAAGCGTTGAGGAGAATTTTGATAGGAAAATTAAAGGCGTCACGTCTCGTCATTCTCGATTGAAAGCGCTTTGATCAAGAAGCAATCATTTATGATTGTTTTAATGAAACGGTTATTTAAATATATTCATCCTTTTTTCTCGAAATACCAATTTTTTAAAGATAAAAAATGGGCACAAAAATAGTCATCGTTGATTTCAGTAGTTGTGAGTACAGCTCATCTGACTACTTCATTTCTTTCATTTCTAGGGCTAAAAATTACTCGTTTTCTAATCGAGTAAAGTAAGATAATTATCTCGCTTTACAGAAGTTGAAGTTCAAATCGTGTTGGTAGGAGCTCTTGGTGTGATGGCGAGAATGTTCGTCGAAATGCTTCAGTGATAGGGTGGTCTGATAGGGATTTGCATGAGGCGCCCCTACTGGAACGATTACGTCGCAGGGACCGGTAGATTCTGCCAGACAAAATAATAGTTGACTGAGAGAGGGAAATGATGAGAACGGCTTTTAATTATTTTCTTGTTTTCGCGATTGCTACCGACGCTCAAACACTCTCATGTTTTGAATATATGAAGACGATACATGAGTCTAGCATGATGGATAACATTTCGATAAACAATACAAGGGTAAGCTATCGAAACATAAAAATGATGATCCCCCAGAAATCAAAACAAGATAGACAACAAGAGATAGAGTGAAAAATCTAGCTAACTAACATGAAATTTAGTTGAATGAAAAATACAGAAAAATAGAGGAGAAGATGGAAGAGCTGGAAAATCAAAAAGAATGCGAAAAGAAAATCTATGATGTAGTATTCTGCGTAAAAGTCTGTGCTTTAGCAGAAGGTAAGAGACTTCATATAAAGTAGTGGTAGGCATAATTTTCCATCATTTTGCTATAATATAGACATTTCTTATGAAAGCCCTTCAGGAGAAAAATGCAAGACAAGCCTGAACCCTGGAGATGATATGTGCGATATGGACCTGGAATGCATCGAAGGAATCTGCACGAGTATAGATATGGAGCTCGATGAAACGGCTGATGATGATTACTACGATGAATATGAAGATGAAGAATCTGCTGAAGTAACTGTTTTATTCTAACGGATCTCCTCTAATGAGAACGACAACAACTTATCCTGATTCAAGCTTTTAGACGATCTTACTGTGCTTAAACATTCGCTCAATGTTTCAGACCGTTTTTACTGACTGTCTTACGTAACTGGGATGAATAAAGAATCCCTACAGCCATTTTCTATCCAGGCCTCCCATGGTGGAGGAGGTCCTCTAACATATTTGTGGCCACGATTCGTGGCCCACGAAGTCTTATGAAAAGTGTACATTCTGGAAAATTCTGTACGCCTTGTAGACTTTCCAGATTTACTGGTTGAATAAGGCTACGTGGCCAAAAAGGGGAAAAAGAGGAACCCTACCGATTTTGTACGCATTTAGTTGAATTGAATTGTGAGTCTCAATTTTTGAACGATTCCAACTGTCTCAAGAAATTCTCAGCGTGCGCTCATTGGCCGAGCGCTCTTTGAAATTTGGAAAGCGTTAGTTGAAAAGAGATGGAGAGAAATATTGTCGCCGTCGCAGTAGCGGGGTTGGCGTTTTATCTGTGGAAGCAAGAAAAAGGGAAAGAAGGAAAGCAGGAAAAAATAGAGAAATGGTTCGAAAATTTGTCACTTGGAAGAATATCAGATTCAATGATTACCATTGCTTCTACTCCCGGACAAGAAATGAGTTTTGAATAGCTTGATTATTGAAGTTTTCAAATGAATTGGAAGATTGAAGTTTTATAACTCAAGAATAGTCCGCCGTGCAATAAAGGAAATCTACAGCCACTGTCGTGGTTACTGTAACTACGTCGGCCTCGATTGCGAATGGGTGGGCAAAAACAAAACCGCCCTCATGCAAATATCCGTCTGCACACAAGTCGGCATCAAGTGCTTTCTCATTCGCCTTTCGAAAGTTGACATCAGAGTATGCTACGAGCTGATGTCATTTTTGCGCGATGAGGATGTCGTAAAGCTTGGCTGTGGAATCGATGGCGATTTTAAACGACTCCAAGAAGTTGATTTTGTTATTTTTCATCCTTCGACCATCAGGTGAAAATCCACATTTTTCTCGTCAGTTTTTATGAAATGGTAGTTTCTTCGACCTTCGCCAAATCATCCCTGCGACGAAGTATCAAAACGGTGGTCTGGCAAATCTTACCCGTCAAATTCTAGGAAGAAAACTGAACAAAGACTATCGAGTGCGCTGTTCTAATTGGGAAGCTGAAGTTCTTTCAGAGCAGCAAAAGACTTACGCAGCTGATGATGCTGTTTGTGCTCTTCAGGTAAAGCTTTTGTATATTTCTGCGTATTCTATAAAAATGTGAGAAGAAATGAAAGGGAAAATTAAGGTTTTATTTAGATTTTAGGGAAATTGATGCAAGAACTAGGAGAATCACGAGTCCAATACTTTGTGAATGAATACAAGAACACCGTCTTCAAGGCAAAAGCAAAACCAGCAAAAAGTAACAAAGAAGAAGCTGGCAAAATAGGCCAAAATGCGCTAGAAGAAAAGGTCAAGCGTCGACTGGAAACCAGGTAGGGGCTCAATTTTAAAGCTGTTTTTTACATATTTTTCAAGAGATTATGGCTCTGACTACTTCAACCCTCAGTCTGCTTCTGTGAGAAAAGAACCGTTGTACAATAACTGCGTTAAATTGCTCGCCCCTGATGGAGAAGTCCTATCGATAACTGATAAGAAGAAAGCAGATTGGTAACCGACCACCCAACTTCTTCTGTAAAGTTTGTTTTAGGTACGTCAAGAAGGGCCTAGGAGAATTGGTTGAAGATACAGAAACGAGCTTCATCGTCAAGCTCAAATTCGAACCCTCCGGAAGACCAAATACCGACTCTGAAAAATACTACGTCACAGAGAAAGAAAACGTTTGCGTCGTCTGCAACGAGAAAGACGGGCTCTTGAGGAAGAACGTCGTCCCAAGAGAGTATCGAAAGCACTTTCCAATTGTCATGAAATGCCACGTCTCGCATGACGTTGTCCTGCTCTGTCTCAGATGCCACGGAAGATCGAATGAGTTGGATTATTTGAAAAGGAAAGGATGAAAAAATTCCAGAACTAAAAAACTTTATCACTTAACTTCAACCTATAGGCTTTAGCCTCCTACCCCTTTTTTATCCAAGAAAAGAGCTAGAATCGCGACCAAATTCGACGCGCCACTTGGAAACGCTGATCTAGCGAAAGCGATTCTGGAGCCAAAAGATCGAAGAAATGTACGATCAGGAGGAAATGCTCTTATCAAGAGCCGCAACAAGCTGCCAGAAAAGCGGGTGAAAGAGCTCGAATCTATCATCATGAAGTTCTTCGGCGCAGAAGAATGGAATTCAGAACTTGAGCAGAAAGCATCGGACTTGCCAGTTTTGGCTGGGAATGAAAGCGACGCGCAGAATTTTGTCCAACACGGGGAAAAAGTCGTTACGTAAGAGGCTTTTTTATAGATCTTTTCTAACCTTTATCTTAGGTCTTTGATGGAAAGTGGCGGAATCGAAGAAGTTAAAAACTTCGAAGTCGAGTGGCGACAACACTTCCTCGACGTTATGGATCCACAGTTCATGCCCGAAGGATGGAACATCTACCACAACCACGAGCGAATCGAAGAAAAGCTCGACCGAGAAAGAAAACGAGCCGACGGTACTTACATTAAACCAGATCCTCCAACTGAACGAAATGAAGATGGAATTTATATTGAATAAATTTATGAATTTTCATACCTCGCATGAAGTTTCTAGAACATTATTTGTTTACGGATCAAATTTTTTAACAGAGATTAGTTTGAAATTGTAAATTTTCGTCGAAGAGCTGCTGTAAATCCTCAAAAAGGTGAGTTCTTCAGGGACTTCAAAGCTAATTGACTGTTTAGGATGAGGGAAAGCAGACTTTCGATGATCACAAATCGACCGGAGACGTCCGACCCGGTCGATTTCTCGTTTCTCTTCCTGTCGAACATGAAAGATCTCCAGGAAGTTCAACCACGAGAAAGTGTACACGTCAAAAAGAGATCAGATGGCAAATACAACACAGCGTCTATTAGAGTAAGTACCAACTCAAGCTTCCAACACTCACAATAACCAAGTCTCAATTCAACCAAAAATCTACCAGCGACCACTCACTACCCCGATTTTTTGACCTGAAAGAAAATAAAAGAAGACACAAAAAGATAGCTCCTCTCTTTTTGTGTTTTTCGAGAAGAGCTATCTTTAGAAGTTTTTAAAAAATTGTTTTTTCGTGAACTCTTCGTGTGAGGAGTTCATGAATTATTATTCTCCACACCTAAGAAGAACTTGAGATTTTCTTCAATCTTCTTAGATGTGACGAATTGTGGTTCTCTAGGAACGACAGAGTATCTGCTGCGATTTATCTGCCGTTCTCTAGAAAACCCTAGGATTGAATCCCATTTCGGGAAATTTTCTGGCCGCAAACTTCTGCAAGGCGGCCAGGAGAATCGTGCCCTAGAATAAATACTGTTAGAAATTGTTATAGAAGTAAAAAAAATTGTTAAAAAATAAATTTGCGATAAATTACCTGTGAAAGACTTTGGTGTGGACCCGAAAATTCACTTTTCGGAATGAAGCGCTTTGCGCGCCGAGCCCTCACAACAACTTCGATTCTAGAGAATTTCGACTTTCTAGAAATTTTCGAAAACACCCTCCGGGGAGAGTTTTGACGCATTTTTTCGCCAAAGATAGCCATAAAAAGGATTTTCACCGATGAAAAATTTCAAATTAGATATTTGAATAAACTTGCGTAGCTAATCAACTAGTGGCCAAGTTTGAGAAATTTCCATTGGATAATTTACGGTTTTTTAGCTTTCGAATAATATCTTCGTCGAGCTGACGGGCTTTTCAACAGCGATGGAGTTCATCATCAACAACGCTTTCAATGCTTTACAATCAGTTGACCTTAGTTTTAACGAAATTCACAAAATCGACGCTTCCTTCGAACAATTTCCCAATATTCGTTCACTTTATCTCCATGGAAATCAAATAAAGTAAGTCTCCTCCTTCCACTCTCCTATTAACACTCATTCCTAGCTCTTTGAATGAAGTCAAGAAACTCCGAAGTCTAACCAAGTTGAAACGCTTAACTCTGCATGGGAATCCAATCGATAATCTGCCCAACTACAGGCTCTTTATTCTTTACATTCTCCCAACTCTGCAGACATTCGATTTTTCGGGCGTCTCGGGTGACGACCACTTGTTGTACTGTCAAATGCTCAATACGACGCGAAATCCTTGAGAAACATATTAATAAACTTATATCTTCTTCTAACTGACATTTTTTTTTCTTCAAAAACCGTACTTGGCGCCCTCTGATAAAAATCATTTCAATTTTGCGCCACGTCCAAATCGAAAAAACGGAATCATAACGCGAGATAGAGACTTCAGAATGGACGCAAACGACATTTTCGGGTCCGATTCTAAAAAAGAGAAGGGTTTCAAAGCCAGGTCAAAAACCAGGTACTTGTCTGGCAATGGTTCGTTACTCGGGAACAGCATGAACGGTAGCACGATGCGAATTAGAAATGTTAAAAAAGAAGGTAAATTCGTCGTTAAAAACTCAGTGCATCACTAAAAGCTTTAGGGAGAAGAGCCCCTGCTCGTATTCGTCGCAGATTTGAGGATGTTGGCGCTTCTCCTGAAAAACCTGAGGTAGGATTTAACAAAGATTCAATTAAACTATTTCCTCATAGAATCCTCCAGCGGTCATTCCTCAACCACATAATGAGGTCGAGAATGAAGATCCAGAGGAAGACGAGTCGATTCATATTCCGGTTCCGCGGCGGCGGAAAGTCGACATGAGCAAGTCGAAGAGCGTTCTCGCGAAAAGCGTTCTGACGCGATCGAAATTGGAATCGACGCCCGCTTCATCGCGCCAGCGAACGGTTTTTGGCGGTCTGTTGGACGATGCCGCGATCGAAAAAACGACCATGCTCGGGGGTCATATGGAGACGCCGAAGGACAACAGCTTCGAAGCTGATAAAATCTCGCGCGTTACGGAGCCTGTGCCGCTTTCGTTTGGCGAAGCAGTTGAGAACGAGTCTTTTGCATTATTCGGGGCATCGGATCAATCTACACCTAGTGAACAAAGTGCTGAAGATCTGGTTCCAGAAACGCCTTATAAAGCGAAAGATGCTGAGAAAAAGTTGAAGGATAGCAACTCATCCCCATTGAAGGAAATTCAACAAAATATTTCCGTCAACAAGGTATCGAGCCCCAAAACTTTTGCTCCAGTAGAGCCTGCTCGTTCGAATTCTCTTGGCCCGATACCGATACGAGCATATGCGTCTCCAACAAAAGAAGCATCTCCTTCTAATGATCTTCCGCCTACGTCATCAAAGAATAAGGATCTCTTCAAGTCGCTTGATGAGAGCAGTTTCTATTTCCACATCCAGAATACTCCTCTGAAATCGGCAACAAATGAGAAAGCTCCCGTTGAACCACCTGTTTACGAGACGATTCCGAGTGTTGAGGACGCTGAACAAGAAATTGCTCTTACTTCTTGCGCTTTGACAAAATCTGAGGAAATTAGACCTGTCGCAGCTAAAAAGTTGGCGTTGCCAGTTGTGAGTCAGGAAGAGCCGATGGTCATAGAGCTTCAAGATAATGAAACATCAGTGAGAAGCTCGACTAAACGGAAATCCGAAGAATCACCGTCAGTTGTTCCGAAGCTGCAGAAGTTAGACAAAAGTCGACTGACGATGAACAAACGGGTCTCGAACAGACCATTGAGGGCAGTCCGCAGAATGATTGATGATCCACCGACGATTCGGCTTTCACAGTCACCGGACAAGCCAAAAGAGGTAAAAGCGAAACCGACAGGGACCAAAATGCGACGACGGCGAAAAACATCGATTGGTGAAACTCCAGGTAACTTTCTTTTGTCAAAATGAAGTTTAAATCTTTTCTTTAGATTTACGAAAAAACCTCCCCTTAGTTCCAAGAGGTCGTCGTTTTTCTCGAGATGTTCCTGATCCAGCTGATTCATTTGTGCAGAATCCTATTCGGCGACAAACTCGTCAATCTGTTCGACTTCAAGAAGGAGAAAAAACTCGAAAACCGCTTGCTGTCAGGTCGCGATCAAAAGATGCTCCAACCGAGGTTGTGGCAAAAGCACCTCAACGAAAGTCTATTCGTCCACGTTCGAAAATTCAATCTTCGCCAGAAAAAGAGCCTGTTGAAGTTGAAGCAAGACCAGTGCAGATAAGACCTCGAGTTCGAACGAAAGTGCCCTCACCAGAGAGCAAAGAGAGAACAGAGCCAACAGCAAACGCTGCGCGGAGAAAATCGACAAGACCTCGTTCAAAGCAAATATCATCGGAAAAAGAATCATCATCGAGTTCAGTTACTAAAACGGCTAAACGAAAAACATCTGCGAAAGTACCAGAAGTCAGTGCTAGACGAAGAACTCGCCTCAGTATGGCTCAAGATTCCAGTAAGCCGATTGTGCCCATTCGGAGGCGAGAGCTCGAATCCCAGCCGAATTCAAGTAAAAAGATAGAACGCGCGATAGAGGTTCCTGCTCTTCCTACAATGTTCAAAGTTCCGAAAAAGAAACAAAAGGAGAGCAAGAAGCCACGCAGTAAGCACTTCGACTCTGGCTTGGATATGATCGGGATCGGAGATGATTTTCAGATTCCAAATGCGCCGAAACCTGTTGTTGCTCCTGGGAGACTGGGTAAAACAATGGGACTGGATAATCGCAGCATCTTCGATGTCACCGGTGCCTTCAGCAGAAACCATCTGTCGACATCGATGCTTACCAAGACAATGAGCAAGAGAATCTTCGAAGATGATGATAAATATGAGCCGACTGAAGAGGTCAAACGCGCTCTTGGTGTTCTCAAACAGGATAGCCCTCTGACAATTAGTAGCCACTTGACAAGGTTAGTTCGTTGATGAACCGATTTGACTTTAATTGGTATTTTAGTCTTAATATCAAGAACATTGTTAAAATTGGTGAAGGCGTATTCGGTGAAGTTTATATGGGAGATGTCAGTAAAAAAAAGATGATCCTCAAGGTCATTCCTGTTGATGGCACGACCCATATCAATTCCTCGCCCCAAAAGCCCATTAGAGAAGTACTTGGAGAATATCTAATTGCTTCTGCACTGGAGACGGCAAATATGCCTGGATTTTGTCGAGTCCAAAATGCGACCGTCTGCAAGGGCATTTACGCCAAGGGCTTGAGAACAGCGTGGGATAAATACCACGAGGAAAAAGGTACGAAAAAGCTAACCATGAAAATTTTTTTAATATAATCTTAGAGTCGGAAAATGATCGCCCCTGGGAAGTCCTGAAGGAAAAATCTCAGCTCTACATGATCCTGGCGATGGATAATTGTGGAACTGACTTGGATTCAGCTAAATTGAGCGCGAAGGATGCCGTCAGTATTCTCAGAGGTAAGATTTATATATTTTTAAATTTTTTAATAGTTTCTTTTAAGATATATCTGTTTCAATCTCAAAGGCAGAAGCTGCAATTGAGTTTGAACACAGAGACTTGCACACTGGCAATATTCTGGTGAAAGAAATCGACGGCAAGATTGTCCCAACTGTGATAGATTTCACTCTATCACGGGCGAAGCATCCTGAGCATGGTCCTGTATTCGGTATGTTTTTAATTTACGTTCAGTATTTAATTTCGCATTTTAGCCGACCTTGAACTCGATCACGAGATTTTTGAAGGCTCTGGCGATCCGCAATTCGACGTGTACCGAGACATGCAGGTCGAATCGCAGAAGGACTGGTCGAAATTCTGCCCTACCACGAATGTCCTCTGGCTCAAGTTCCTCGCTGGCTGGCTTGGTCGAAACATCAAGCCATGCAAAACTGCTCAACGTCTCACTCGATTTGCATCCAGCAGTTCACTCCCTCACAGTTCAGAGGAATTTCTCACAGTATTCACTAAAAAGTTTAGTAGCTTGCTATAAACTTTTCTTATCATCTTGTATATAAAAATCATTCTTGAGCTATGTCATTTATTCACGGTACTTCTACCATTCCACTCATTCACTTCCACCATTCCCGACATAATGCTCAACCCATTCCCTCACTGGTTAATAAATGCACAAATAACCTAAAGTTAATCTCGTTTCTTTTGCAAAAGTGAAATCAAGGAAGACATTATTAAATTTAAATTGGCAAGCAAATATAAGATTGTAAAAATGACTGAGAACGAGGAAATCGAAGCCGAGCAGCCAACCGACAACTCCCGTGAGGGAAAGAAGGCTGCAGCAGCTCTTGATAGCGTGACTGACCACCACGAGGAGAAAGAATTCTCCGGCGGAGCAAGTATTGATTTTTATAAATGACGGATCTTTGACAAGGGTATTCAGGTTTGGAGAGTATCTTGAAAAAATCGACGACAGCAAGCGATAATGGTCCAGCAATTAAAATCACGGCGAAGGATATTGATGTAATTATGAAGGCTGTTGAGGTTGGCTATCTTTTTCTAAAGGCGATCTCACTGATGTTTTAGTGTAAAAAGAATGATGCCTACAAAGCTCTTGTCGCTGCCCAAGGAGATCTGTCGACTGCACTGAAATCTTTTCTTAACTGAAAAGCTGATGCGTAAAATACCGACTCTTTCTTCATTTATTTCAGAGAAAAATGTCGTCGAATGATGAGACCAGCGTACCATATGAATCTGCTGTCCTTGATATAAACACAACTGACCTTGCAAACGATCTTTTCAACTCAGACATAACAATCTGGCTGACTTATGCGCTAGAAGAACTATCAAAGTTTGAACAGTGGTTGAAGGAAAAAGGACTCGACACTCCCAAGAACTTGGCTTTTTTAGCGAAGGTTGCGTTTTTCTTTTTGTGTGAGCTTTACTAAAATAAATTATAGCTGCAAAATCGAACAGTCGAAGAGAGTTACGACTCAGTAGATATTGTCAACAAGTCCCAACAGCGAAAAATATCGGAATGCTTATCCCTTGGCGGCGCATTGCTTCCAGATGATCAGTATGTTAGCAAACCATTATGAAGTGTTCTGATTGGAGTTTCAGGTGTCATGCGGAATTTTCTTACCAAAAAGCTATCGAAGCAGGAGAAGAACTCGACGAAGAAATAAAAGAGATGCTCAAAAAGCTCCTTGCTGAGAAGTCGAAAGCAGCACGACGTAAGTTGGCGTCCATTTGGCTGAAACTAACCGAAAAATAGTTAAGGGTTTCGACGTGGCCTTTGACGAAGCCATTGCTGACGTAGATCGAGTACTGGCAAATGCTACTAGCACCATGAGCTTGAAGAACTAATCTTGTTTTATGACACACTGCCTTTACACTCACTCACTTACTCCATTCCGTTTCGGACAATAAAATATATTTAAAATATTTGTTTCTCCTGAATTGCAAGATAAAATATAACAGCTTTATTTCTTTCCACCGGTTCGCCAATAACTATTTCAAATAGTCTATTTGAGTAACGCCCAGAGAGCAGTCGTAATGGGAATCGAAGCTGAAATCGATAACTCGAGAAGCGAGATTGCCGAAAATTTTAAGGATGACATTATCTGTTCCATTTGTTGCTATATTTTCGAGGTACGGCAAAAAACCATCGTCGGATTCTCTAGGATAGTTAAGGACCCAGTTATTCTCGATTGCTGTGGTGGGCACCTCTGTTCGAAATGCTTTCAAGATGTTCGAAGCCGTTTTTCCAACTGCCCACTCTGCCGAAAAGCTAAATTCACTGCTAAACAGTCACGATTGATGGCTACTGTTTTGAGCAAAGTGAAGCTCTTATGTCCCGCTGATGAGTGCCGCATGTCCGTTCCCTTTGAAAAATTCGAAGAGCACAAACGGAGTTGTCTAGCTTGGAATAAGAAAACATGCCCTGAATGCAAGAAAGTCATGTCGATGAACAAGTTCCATGAGCATTTCGTCTGTTTCGAAAAGCGAATGAAATTGAAGGATTCAACTGAGCTAGAAAGAAAAGTAATTGCTCAGAAAAGGGAGATTAACATTCTTTTAACGAAAAATAATGTCAACTCTACAAAAATTAAGAAAATGGATGGGCTCATGAGTGCTCAAGTGACAAAAGTCGCGACACTTATGAAGGAGCTTGCCCGAAAAGATCGAGTTATTCTAGAAATACGAAATGAACACAAGAAGGAACTCCTCAACCTAGAAAATCAGTTTCATGCGAAAACAGCTCAACAGGACACTTTGGATTCTTTGCGAACGAAAATTGAGCGACAGCGAGTTGCGATTACAGGACTTCATCAGTGCGTGAATAGACTGAAGGATTCTCATCAGAAAACATTGCTTCAACATAAACTTGCGACACGAAATTTAGAATCAGACCTTTTAAAATCGAAAGCTCTTCTGGGCGAAGAACAAAAAAAACTGCAGAAACAATTGCAAATAAATGAAGATCACGAAAATAAGCTTAAAATAATGACCAGTGGAAGAAGCCGACTGTTAGCCGCTGACCAACTTGCTACAGAAAGGGTGCAAGAAAAGCTTACACAGCAAAGTCAAATAAACGCAGATCTTCAAGATGAGCTTAAAAAGATGACCTATGAAAAGAACTCACTTTTGAACAATGCCAGATATGCAAGGTTGAATTCAGTATATTTGGAATCGGAATTTGAAGACCAAAAACGCCGTATTATCGCTTTGGAACATGCCGAGAAAGTTGGACAAGAACAGATGCGCAAACTCAAAGAAGAAAATGTTCTTCTCAAAGACGAAAATTCAAAACTCTCTGCTCAAACTCCAAAGAAGGTTATTTACAAATAGGAATTCAATGAATAACATTGATTAAGGGTTTTATGTCTTCAATCTTCAAAAAATGTAAATAACAAAATGCAACCTCATTTTCTGACCGCTCTATCTCTCTGTCACTGATTCTCAAATGAATAATAATTTATTCTTAATAAGTAAAAAGTATATAATGCTTTTCTGCCTAGAGAATATTCGAAATGGGAGTTCAAGCAGAGGTTGTTAAAGCCAGTCGAAGCAAAGTAAGCGACTACATTTCTCTCTTTGAAAAAATGTCGCTCGCTATGAAGAAGATCAGGCGTCAAGAAAGGCAAATTTCACGAAGTGGATTGACTATTATCAAGGCAGTAGTCGTTCATCAAGAAAAGAGAGACCAGCTTTTACCAAAGAATGAAGTTCAAGAACATGAAGAAGGAATCCCGGACGCAGCAGATTTAACCAGAAAACTGCAGGAAGCCAACGCTGAAATGAAAATGGCTCTTTCGCGGCAAAAAGAGAAGATCAAGAAGATGCGAAAGTCTTACGAAAGGCTGGAACAAGCAAATTTAGAGTTTGCGAAATGGGCGGACGAAAAAACAGTGGAACTCAGGAAGGAAAACCTCGCGCTTATTGAAGAAAATAATGAACTTACTCAAAAATGTGATTCACTCGAAAGCCTTCTGGAAGATCGAGAAGTATCTATCAGAAATCTTCAAAAAAACTCTAATGATGATTCTCAGGTAAATTTAAATGTTTTTTCTTTTAAATATACGTTTAGGGAAAACTCACTAATTTCTTGAGAAAATCCTTCCGAAGATCCATCAGGAAAAGATCTCAGTAAAGTCACCTCGTATTTGTGTAAATAGGGCCTCGTTTTTAGAAGTTCACTTGTTATAGCTAGTCACTTTTAGCAGAATTACTTCATTCAATCGTGACTTGTTTCATCAGTTCATTGCCAAATATTCGCAACTATCTATTCATCCATACATTTTTCTTCATTTGTAAAAAATCTCCTCTTCACATCCCCAGTTTTTTCCTTTTACAAATTGTCATTTTACTGTCAAATTTAACTTTTAGGACTGCAAACATTTAGCACAGCATTAGACAAACGCATTTATATTTTTCATCTAAGATCATGGCAGCGTTGAAGAGACTGATGGCAGAGCATCGGCAGCTTATGCGCAATCCTCCTGAAGCTCTTGTGGCGGGTCCAAAGACAGATGACAACTACTTCGAGTGGGATGCCTTGATTATGGGACCAGAAGCAACCCCTTTTGAATTTGGGTGAAGATTATTTTAAATAAACTTCTTTAGCTTTATTTTTTAGCGTTTTTAAGTGCAGCCTTACATTCCCAAAGGACTATCCAATGTCTCCGCCTAAAATGCGATTCTTGTCCGATATATTTCACCCGAATATTTACGCAGATGGGTAAAAGACAATCACTTCTCACAAAAATAAAAGCCGGAAATTATAGCCGTGTTTGTATTTCAATTCTCCATCCTCCCGGAGATGATCCAATGGGTTACGAATCAGCAATAGAGCGGTGGAGCCCAGTGCAGAATGTCGAAAAGATCTTGATTTCTGTCATGTCAATGCTAGCCGAGCCTAACTGCGAATCAGCTGGTAGCACAAAAGAATACCTTCGTATCTCAAATATATTTATAGCCAATGTTGACGCCGCCAAACTGTGGCGAGATAATCGCGAGCAATTTCTTCTCCGCGCCAAATGTTCTGTCAAAGCATCTCTAAATCTCTAATACACGTTTCTTCAACCATTCAAGCAATGAATTAATTCCGTGACTTCTTTTATTTAGATCATGTCTCGATTAAAATCAGTGGAAGACTTGGAAAAAGAAATTTATACAGAGGCACTTCCATTGATACTGGAAGGACTGAATGCTCTGTTGGCTGAGAAGCCTAAAGATGCGATGGCGTTTTTGGGAGAATATTTTTTGTCGAGAAATCAGCCAGCTGTTCCATCGAGGATATCCAAGAAGACGAAGGTCGTCAAGATTCCAAATTACGAGGGAAAGACAGTTGAAGATCTCAAAAATATCATCGAGAGCATGCATATAACGACAGATACTTACGATCGACTGGTATGTATTTCTTAACTTAATCAGAACTAACATGAAAAAATAAGATGTCGTCGAAGCAAGAAGAACGTGGAGCCGTTGCTCTAGAACTGCTTACAAGACCTGATCCGGAGTCTTTAATCATGTCAGAACTTGTCAAAACATTGCGCCCTGACGATTCTTGAATCTTTCCTTTTCTATTTTTGTAAAATAAAATCTACTTTCTTAGTACTCGCGTTCATCATATTTACTAAAAGACTACCCGAAATCGATGTATCGGTAAAATGCAATGTTCGTTCTTTCTTTGGATTTCGACGCTCGTTTCTTCGATTGATTGTAAGCGCCCTTTATCAAAAGATGACCGAATATCACTGCGCGAAGCCACTCGCGAAATGCTCAATCACGCGTTCAACGGCTACATGGAATATGCGTATCCAAAGGACGAACTCATGCCAATGACATGCAAGGGCAAGAACACATGGGGAAATTTTCGGCTTACTCTTATCGACAGTCTGGACACGCTGCTTCTCACTGGTGATTTACGTGGCTTTCGCAAAGTAGAAGAAATCGTGAAGAGAATGAATTTCAATATCGACAAGAATGTGTCTGTTTTTGAAACAAATATTCGCATCGTTGGCGGACTTATTTCAGCACATCTTCTGTATAAGAAGGCGAAGATGCCATTGCCAAATGGCTGGCCTTGTAAAGGACCGCTATTAGATCTAGCGCTAGATGTTGCGGATCGGCTTTTACCAGGTTAACTGAGATTTTAGTTCGCCATCTTTTAAACAAATGGTTTAGCATTCAACACAACAACTGGGATGCCATTTGGTTCTTTGAACTTGAGACATGGAGTTGCAGCAGACGAGACGCCAATAACTTGTACAGCTGCTGTAGGAACATATATCGTAGAATTCGGCACTCTGTCTCGCTTATCTGGAGACCCAAAGTACGAACAGACGGCGAGGAGAGCTTTAGAAAGCCTCGTCAACTCAAGATCAGCCATCGGACTTCTTGGAAATCATATTGACACGCAAACCGGTGTATGGACTGCTACTGATGCTGGCATTGGAGCAGGTAACTGATATTAGCAGAAAGAGAATTTTAAAACGAAAAGGCGTGGATTCGATTTTCGAATATCTCGTGAAAGGCTCGATTCTGTTCAATGATCCTTCTTTGCTGGAGAAATGGCGACTCCTCGAAACACCAATCGAAACGTATCTGAACAACGGCGACGACTTCTACATCTGGGCAAATATGAATTCTGGTGCAACAACGCAAAAAGTCGCTCAAAGTTTAGGTGAGTCTTCGTTGATTTCAATTTCTGACTTCCTTAGAGATGGATTTTTTCCCGGCATGAAGACTCTTCTTGGCGAGGTTGAGCACGCGATGAAAATACATTTGAATTATTATAATGTGTGGAAGCGGTTCGGTGGTTGGCCCGAGTTTTATCATGTCGATAAGAAGCTTCCAATCCAGGGCAGAGAAGGTATAGAATCGATCTTTTGAAAATCCCAGGTTATTTTGATTGAAGGTTTTCCTCTTCGGCCTGAGTTTATTGAATCAACATTGTATCTCTATCGTGCAACAAAAGATCCAATCCTCCTAGAGATTGGTGAAGAGTTTCTTCACGCTATCAACAATACTGCTAGAACTGTATGTGGATTTGCCACTGTTGATAATGTGCTGACTGGTGCTAGAGCAGACAGGTAAGTCGCAGTAGCTCGTCCCGCTTTGATTTACTTTTAGGATGGAGTCATTTTTTATTGCTGAGACGCTGAAATATTTGTATTTATTATTCGATGAAGAACACTGGCTTCATCGAAACGAGCATTTTGCTGAAAAACTGAGAGTTGATGGCAAGGGCATTTGCCTGTTTCATAAATGTAAGTGCAATCTACACTAGAAGCGGGAGATAAATTATCTGCCTTTGGAACAGCGCCACGGCTGTTTCGATAGGCATTTTGTGTTTTAAGGTTTACATTTGTTTAAAATGAAGAAAAGCGTTTTTAGTTTAGCGTTATAAAATTATTGTTAGCTCCTTGGATTTTCAACACGGAAGCTCATCCAATCGATCCAAGCGCTCTCGAATGCTGCCATGAAAGTATTGAAGACGAGGAACTCGAGCAGTGGGTAGACGACCTCGACCTCAACGACCTTATAGACTATAAAACTTCTTCCATGACTGACAGATCCCAATCAAAATATGTAGATTCTGACGGTCAATTCAAGTGCCAAAAAATTCCCTTCTATTTGAAACTATCAGCTTGGGGTGACGTTTTCGCAAAAATATAAATGAGATTTTATGCTTCTTCTCTCCACCATTTCTTCATTCAAGCATTGTGCAATATACGAGTTTTTTTAATGAGTTTCAGTCTAGTCATTTTATCATGTTTATTTTAGAAGGAGAATATATGTCAGATAAAGCGCAGTTGCCTGAATTAACACCGACAAATAGCTCTGAATCGAATGATGAAGAAACTGAGCAAAACCCAGCAGCTATAAGGTACAAAATATCTTCATTCATCATCATCAATTTCGCTAGGAGGCTACAGCAAGAAGCAGCGGCATTAAATGGTGGCGGAAATCCTTCAGAACGAAAGCTTTATGCTCTTCTTGGACAAGAAATGAAAATTCTTATTTCTGATAATCGTGTTCTTCTCGGGAACGGACCAAAATACACTATTCTTTGCAATTAATTTTCCTAATCCTTTACCGATTCAAATAGACAAAAGATTTTGACCCGTAAAAAGACAATTTGCATGTACCGACAAAGACTTGAACATAATTCTACAGCACACAACAGAGTACCTCACAGAAGAAGAACTGAAAAAGGAAGATGCAGGTCGAAAAGTTGGAATCGTGATGGTTAAAAAAGAGCACATTAAATCACTTCAAGTCAAGCAATCTGTAAGTGCGATACAAAAGACAATTCATTCATTCCTTTAGTCTTTGGAAAGGATAAAAGAATGGCAAACCGAGCAGCCTTCGCTTGACCTTTCTATCACTGGAACCTCCGTTACTGCCGAGCAAGTCAGCCAGCTGGAAGCAGCCTATGAGAACAAACTGAACATAAATCTTGTAGATGAGAACTGAAACTGTATTCTTGAATGCCTGTGTGTGATTCAATTGGGACATATAGATTATTTAAATTACTGTAAGGCGCTTAGTTTACATATTCTTATTTCAGAGCTCGGGGCGCCATGAAGTTAAAGATCAAAATGCCCTCGAAACAGTTCGAAGTTGAAATCGAACCATCTGCCTCAGTAGCAGGTAGGAATTGTTTCACAACAAAATCGTATTAGTTATCTAGATCTGCGAAAAGTAGTCGCTTCTGCTGTTGAGAAAAAGGAGGAGCAGATGGTTTTGATTTTCGGTGGGAAGATTTTGAAAGATACGGACACGGTTGAGACGCACGGAATCAAAGACGGCCAGGCAGTTCACTTGGTTGTCAAACAACCGCGTCAGGAAGACCCAAAGCCAGAGCCAAAAGCAGAGCCCGCGAGTACTCCTGCATCGACCGCGACAACGACCTCGGGAAGTGCTACCGCTAGCTCGTCGACTGGAGCGCGCCCTGCCGCTGCTTCAACGAATCCCTTCGCAGGTTAATTTGTGTAAACTTCATCAATAATTTATGAACGAATATTAAGCTCTCGCCGGAGGAATGGCTGGTAGCGGTGGACTGGGAGGAGCAAATGTACATCAGCAAGCACAGCAGATGATGCAGAATCCACAAGCAATGCAGGAGATGATGAACTCTCCCATCATGCAGGTATTGAAAATCATTTGAATAACGAATCATCGATATTAGGCGATCATGGATAACCCTGAAGTTATGCAGAGCATCATCCAAAGTAATCCGCAAATGCGGCAACTTATGGAAACAAATCCAGAAATCGGCCACATTCTAAACAACCCAGAACACATGAGACAAGCTATGGAAATGATGCGCAACCCGAGTATGATGCAGGAAATGATGAGAAATCAAGACCGTGCGCTGTCGAACCTTGAATCTCTACCAGGCGGATTCAATGCGTTACAGCGATTCTATAATGAAGTGCAGGAGCCAATGCAGAATGCCATGGGCAGACCGAATCCTTTCGCCACGCCAACAAACGACAACAACACAACGACAGAAAACACACAAGCTGGAACACAAAATAACGAAGCCTTGCCGAATCCTTGGGCAGCTCCAACTCAAGCAAATACTGGGAACACTGGTGCAGCTGTCGGTGGAGCTGGTGGACTTCCTGGAATGGGCGGTCTCGGCGCCGCGGCAGGATTAGGATCGTTTGAAAAAAAAAGAATAATGATTGTCGGGATTCGAACTCGCATCTTCGACCGCGAAATCAGCCATTTCGCTGATCTTTCGATCGATTAACAACATTTAGAAATTGCTAAATAGAGGATTATAGCAATTTTCAAACTGTAAAAGACCCTGGAATGATGCGAGCAATGATGGGCATGATGCGAAACAATCCTCAGCTGATGCGGCAAGCATTAAATGCGGCGCCTGGATTTCAAGGAGCAAATATATCAGACGAACAGCTTGCTCAAGTAATTTTTTTTACCTATAATTGTGCGATACTTTGTTGTTTAGGTTGCTCAACAAATGGCCGACCCGGCAACGCTCGAAGCTATGTCAAATCCACGAGTCCTCGAAGCATTTCAGCAGGTGAGCATTGTTTTAATTAACAAATTAATATACTAAACTGTATACTCTTGTTTAGATTCAAAGAGCGCACGAAGTCATTCGCCAAGAGGCACCTGGCTTGTTAACTATGATGGGCGGGCCTGGAATGGCTGGTGCTACTGGCGCTTCGCCAGCGGCTACTGGTGCAGGAACTGCTCCAGCGGCTGGAGGAAATGATTTCATGGCTAATATGCTCAGATCAATGGGGTAAGTTGTTTTAATGGCAATATTACGCGTTTTAATTCTTAAATTTTAATATGTTTTAAAATAGGGGAATATTTTCTTTTCGAAACTAGAGAAAAATAAGAAAAATTTTACTAGAAACAGTCTTTTCATGTTTTTGCGCTGCCTCGAAGGCTATAAAATCGGCCTTTTGGCGCTCTTCCCCGTCGGGTGTGGTAGCGCATGCCTGTAGTCCGAGCGGAGACTTGGGTGAGGAACGGCTTGAGCTGCGGAGTTCTCGCGGCAGTCTTCATTGTGTTGAGGCGGCGTCCGCGCTAAGAGCGGCGTCAACAAGGTAAGCACGGGGTAGCCCGAGCTTACCTGGTTGCATAATGAAAGGTGATAACGAAGGTCAGGCCCTAAAGGGAGCAGCCAAAAGCCGACGCGTCGTGCGGTAGCGGGACAGCGCTGCTGAGCAGTGAGCCTGTCGTGACCGTGGCAATACAGTCGAACCTCATTCTTTTGTCAATTTTTCAATCAAAAAGGGCATCAAGTCGCCCTGAGTACTTTTCGGACAGTATTTTGTAAGATCCTCCTCTGACCCCGTTTTGGGGATAAAGGTCCTGAGTTCGAGGCTCAACGGCGCGGTATCTTTTTCATCGATTTTTGTTGTTGACAATCGATTTCAGTGGAATGGGCGGCCTTGGCGGTGCCGGTGCTGGAATTCCCCCAGTTGCTAACCCAGAAGAACACTACGCCTCTCAACTTGAACAACTGGAAATGATGGGCTTTACCGATCGAGCAGCAAACATCGAGGAGCTGCAACGAACACAAGGCAATGTCGAAGCTGCTGTTGACAGATTACTGGCGAGACCACGATAAATGCAATTCAAACTTTCTCGATATCAGTTTTAAAAATTTCAAAAAGGAAAATATAATTTTGTAAAAAAGTCCCCATTCTGAGTTGTACTTGTTCTTTCTTATAAGCATCATCGATAAACAGCCAATAGTATTTGTTCTACTGAATCACCATATACTGTAGCTTACCGTATATTTCACCGACAGAGCTTTTTTCCAATCTTGCTGTCGAATCCTATCCCTCAAATCAAAGCAATATCAAATTAATAACTTCAGTAATTCTTGAGTTCTCCGATATGCAATACTAAGTCTAGTTAAATGTTTCTCCAAAAATAATTCCTTCAAAAAGGCATCACATGTGTTTGGCGCTGTGTTTTCCATTCTAGTCATTCTCTGTCCCTTCATAATGACCGTGAGTCTTCAATCTTTCATCTGAATATGAAAAATACAGGCAATATGAAAATCAGAGGCACGTGTCAAATGTATCAAACTTTCAAGGAACAACTCGTTTTTCTTCCATGTTTTCAATTATTCTAACAAGTAGCAACCACAAATTGCTCTTTCTGTGCGACATAAATACTGCACAGAAAAAAAGCATTTACATATGACTAACTTCATTATGTATCAAATTAGCCACAAAGAGAAAAAGTACAAAGACTGCTTTGAGAAAACATAATTTTTGATTTCCCTGTGTGGCACGCGACTATGCATTTGTGACCAAAACAATACGTTGTTTTGGACACATGGGGGAGAATGAATTCGTCTTCGCGAAAATTGAAACGACTCCACAGGAGACAAGGCAAAACAATTAAATTCTTCAGTAACAATTAAGGTTGCGAATAGAAATGATAACGATTGTAGTTCTAAGAAGCTGACTAAATGTGATATTTACTGCATGAATTAAAATGATAATAAGGAAGTTTTTCTATAGAGGGCGTAAGTCTTTTATGCACTAGTAGATTTTTAAAGGCAAGAATGCCTCAATTTCAAATAATTCGTATGATTTAAAATTTTTAATTGGGCAAAAATTTCAACTGAAATTCACTTGACGTCGATATTTTTAATTGATAAATTCTCACTTTGATTCTTTTCTATCAGAAAAGAATGTTTCGTGTTAAAATAGCTACTCTAAATCTATTTCTGATCTGTTCGTTTGTATTCAAAGTGGTAATCTCTCTTGCTAGCGGGCGTTCATTTCGCCCCTTTTACTAGTTTTGGTAACGTTGCGTTGGATATTTTGGGAACACAATATTATTTTCGCTCTGATCGGCTCAAGCGCGCGACCCGAGGTCAACGCGCATTCGATGACCTCGTGCCGTGGCCCCTCCAAATTTCCTCAAATTTGTGTCGTTTTGCAAACAGAGTTAGAACTTACCCAAAGCCTGACATCAAAATGGGTCAAGACAAAGGCGTCTTAGCCGTCGTCGGTGGCAGTGCCCTAGCCCCGGCTCTCTGTTGTAACAACACGAAAACCAATTGTTGCCAAAAGAAAGCCGAGAAGCCCTGGCAGCGGCGTAGAAAGCGCAAAAATTAAAGGAAGAAATGAATCAAGAGAAAAAATGACCGTCCGTTTCATGTAAACACTGATGTCCACCACTTGTACTGGATGCGAGCGTAGTTTTGGGTTTCATTTGCAACCAGTTGTACCAAAAGCTTTTCTTTCAATCCCCTTTTTTAGACGGGGGTCATGCTGAGATCGAGAAATACCTTGAATCGGGTCGTTTCCAATCAGCTGCGGAACGCTGCCTTTTTTTGGAAGCGATGCCAACAAAGCCGTTGCCGATGTTCCCGATGGAGCGAAAATTCTTGTTGGTGGATTTGGTCTCTGTGGTATTCCTGAGAACTTGATTCAAGGATTGCTTCATCACGGACCAAAGGTAAAGATATTCTTTATTAATTTGTAATGAAAATAAATTTTCAGGACCTGACCGCTGTTTCGAACAACGCTGGCGTTGACGATTTCGGTTTAGGACTCTTGCTTCAGAAGAAAATGGTGAAGCGAATGATTGCTTCTTACGTCGGAGAGAACAAAGAATTCGAACGGCAATTCCTCACCGGTGAATTGGAAGTTGAGCTGACTCCACAAGGAACACTGGCTGAAAAAATCCGTGCTGGTGGCGCCGGTGTCCCTGCTTTTTACACTCCAACTGGTGTCGGTACTCTCATTCATCATGGTGGTGCTCCAATCAAGGTAAGCAAACCGCACATCATTATATTAATGATCGTACACTTTTTCAAGTACAACCCCGACGGAAGCATCAACATCGCCTCCGAAGCTCGCGAATCCAAAGTCTTCAACGGAACCGAATACATCATGGAAGAATCGATCACTGGTGACTTCGCCCTTGTCAAGGCATGGAAAGCCGATAAAGCTGGAAACTTGCTTTTCCGAAAAACTGCCCGAAATTTCAACGAGCCAATGTGCAAAGCTAGCAAAATGACCATTGCTGAAGTTGAAGAGATTGTCGATGAAATCCCAGGTAAAGCCAGTTTTTATAAGAAGATAACTAATCGTCGAATATAGCCGATGAAGTTCACGTGCCTGGCATTTACGTCCAGCGTGTCGTCGTTGGTGAAAAGTTTGAAAAGCGAATCGAGCGAAAGACCATCCGACAACCAGAATCAGCTGAGCCCGCTAAGAAATCCCCTGCTGCCCTTATGCGCGAGCGAATTATCCGCCGCGCTGCTCTCGAGTTCGAAGACGGCATGTACGCTAACTTGGGCATTGGCATGCCCATGCTTGCTTCCAATTTTATCCCTGACGGAGTTAATGTTACTCTTCAATCCGAAAATGGCGTACTTGGTCTCGGCCCCTTCCCGACCGAAGAAGAGGTCGATGCAGACTTGATCAATGCTGGAAAAGAAACCGTTACTATTATTCCTGGCTCATCCTACTTTTCCTCCACTGAATCCTTCGCCATGATCAGAGGCGGACATGTTCAGCTTACGATGCTTGGCGCCATGCAGGTCTCAAAGACTGGCGATTTGGCAAATTACATGATCCCCGGCAAGATGGTCAAGGGAATGGGAGGAGCTATGGATCTCGTCGGTGCTCCTGGATCAAGAGTAAGGCCAAAAAATGTTCACAAGAGAGTAATTTTTGTAGGTTGTGATCACTATGGAGCACCAGGCACGTGGTGGCAAGCACAAAATCCTCGACGACTGCAGCCTCCCCTTGACCGGCGTCAAGTGTGTTGACAAAATCATTACCGAAATGGCTGTTCTCGAAGTCCGAGAAGAAGGCCTTGTCATGACTGAAATCTGGCCTGAGTTCACTGTTGACGAAGTCAAGGCTGCAACTGGCTGCGATATCATTGTTTCTCCCGATTTGATCAACATGCAGCAGATCTAATTTTACCTTTTGTTTGTTCTAAGCTATTTATTTCAATAAAGATCATTTCTGACTTTCAATAACACTTTACATAATGCTTAATTTGGCAATCAAATAAAGCACTCAGCAGATGTTATTCCATCATCACGGAAATCTATTTTTCTGATTATATTCTAACCCTTCGCTGGGGTGTCGGCGGCTGTTTTGGTCTCGGTAATGGACCCTTTCTCCAAAATAAGCAGCTCAGTTGGTGGTGTTGTAGAAAAAACGTAACGGCGGTGTTCCCAAAATTCACTTTTTCGTTTTCTGACAAATAACAATATCTGTGTCGGGTGAAAATGCGCTCTTGATTTGGCCAAAATGGTTTTACGAGAACCCCCAAATCCGACAACGACCGGTATCGAACACACGAAACAAACAAACGCCAAAACAACCTCACGTTAATGAAATCGCTTAGACGTTTATTATGAGAAAATATAGCCACAAAAATATGCGTTATCGAAGGTTTACTTGTCCATAAACGATGTGAACATTAAAAGTATATCAAAAGCATAGTTTATCTTTTTTGAATTCCGATTATGATTATATTGAATGGAAAAGCCTTTGAACGTTGTTTGAAAGTGCCAAGTTTTGTTTTCTCTTTTGGAATCTTAAATCTTTCTTTATTTTATTTTTGATTTAGGACTTATTAACATTATTACAAGTTTATGGAAATAATTTGTATTTGAGAAAGGACTACTGAGAAAAATATAAGAAGGTTGACATCCTATGATGTTTTGATTCAAGAGAAGCGTATCATAATATATAAAAGTAGACTCATTAAGCATATTTTTCGCTACCAGCCGGTTGATTGGTTTGTTTTGGGTAAAACTGGCGCCGCTGGTGGCGCAGTGGCGGCGCTAATGGTGGTGCTGTTGGTGCTCTATCGGATTATGTGTGTTTTTCGATTTGCTATTTCCAAAATCGGCCACTATCGATAGAGTAAATGAGTAAAAACTAGTTTTGTATCAAACAGAGAGTCAGTTAACGACACACGAACGCCACGAAAGAGTTCCTGGGCGACTTTGGCACAATGTTCAGCGGAATATACGGCCAGACGGCTCAGGATGGAAGGTCAGGCACACCGGCCAGTCACTATCCGGGGCTGGACTACAACAACACCAATCCCTACCTATGGCTTAATGCAGCAGCTTCGAACCCTGCAGCAGCCGCCTCTTTAGGTAAAACTTGCTTTCACTTATATTTACCCATTATAATTTTCATAAAACTTAATCAAAGGAAAAACTCCTCAATCTCTCGAAAAACGTTTTAAAAATAGTTACTGTCTTACTAAGAGTGTCAACGAAAAAACTAGTAGTAGATTTATTTTGAACCTATGAAATTTTCTCAATCTTTGGAGATACTTTATCAATTACTTTGACTCATGGTTTCCGGTTTTCTAGTAATTTTGCATATAAAATAAGGGTTTCCCTAATTAAGCGCGTTGGCTTTTGAGATTTGGAGAGGCACTTGTTCTCCAAATCTGGAATGCGTTTGGTGCCAAATACTCCGTGTGGTTTGCAGTAAATACCCCGGACACTCGCCACTCAGAGTAATATTCGACGGCATAACAAAACTCTTCACGTCAAAAGTTCACACCCTAAATAAACTTACACATGGTTGATAAAATAAATCAAATAGAGTCTATATCGGGCGCCTTGCTTATTATCACCACGCATTGCCCTTGCTAACGCTTGCTGTCTAGGTTCGAATCCTTATGCTGCTTCTTATATGCAAGCAGCAAGCCAGTATGGTCCTGGCTTTGGCGGCGATCTGAGCAGTTTATGGACGATCCCAAATCAGGCGGAGCTTTTCAAACTTGTCAGACCGCCTTACTCTTATTCTGCTTTGATAGGTAAGCATTTCTTGATCAAAAATTGTAACATAAGATTATTGATAAAACTTAAGTATCAATATCGAATGATTCTTTTAAGTTATTTTTATAAAGATAGCTATCGTTTCTCTTAATATTTCTAACAACTCAATAATCTTCTATGATTTCAATTTATTCTCAAGATTGAACAAATGAACAAGATCCGAGTTAATCTAAAATTTGTACATTCTTCCGTTTACGTAATTATTCAGCAATGGCGATCCAAAATGCGCCAGACAAAAAGCTGACGCTCTCGCAGGTACTTTCTTTTCGCATTTGGCGCTTTTAAAATTTACATAATTATTTAGATTTACCAGTACGTGGCGGAGAACTTTCCGTTCTACAAAAAGTCAAGAGCTGGATGGCAAAATTCCATTCGCCACAATCTGTCCCTCAATGACTGTTTCAAAAAGGTCCGTCAATTTGAAATTTTTATCAAACTCGTAACACTTCATCAGGTTCCGAGAGATGAAGATGATCCGGGCAAGGGTAACTACTGGACCTTAGATCCAAACTGCGAAAAAATGTTCGACAATGGAAACTTCCGGTAAGCAAAAATTAATTATTGATAATTTCGCAGTCCTTAATTTCGGTTAATTAAATAAATTTCCTACTCTCTGCCTTTTCCGGCGGATTTATTTTGCCCCCGCACGGGCTGGCCAAGAAAAAACGCTTTCTTCCCAAAATAAGCGCCGAGCGTTTTCTTGACGGTGGAGAGGGACACTCGCGAATTTAACGTAAATACGAAATTCGAGCATCCATCGGGATTGACGATTTCCGTGTTTTGGGGTAAACGCCACGGAGACTAACCCGATTCGAACTCGCGCGGACCAAACAACCGGTCTAACTTCATCCGATTACAACTTTACGTTCAGTCTCAGTCGGACTGGCGCCGGGACACCCTGCCAAAAATCCGCCCCATTCCTTCTTAAGGTCTTTGATGCTGTCTTAGTCAAGTTAGAGGATGTTTCCACCACCCTTAATCTTCTAACGCTCATGCAGAAAGCCTGAAGCGTTAAAAATACGTTCAGTTTGGAAAATTGGAAAAGTTCGATTGTTATGTTACGCAAAGAATTAAATAGTCTTACCTTTTCGTTCGTTTGTAATATCAATATATGTCCATTATTTTCACAATTCGAAATTGATTGATATATTTTGTTATGATTAAATCAAACGAAGATTGAATTAAAATGGATTGTACATTATCACATGCCAATTATACTCATATTCTCAAAACAGAGAAGCTCTGATGGGGGTTTTTGGAATGAAATGTACCCAACCTTAATGGAAGTTGATTTTGTCCGATTTCGCCGCACCCGGTTGGCAGGCCCCACGCCCAACCTATGCTCTGATCGTTTTCCATTATCGCGAAAAGCGCTACCTCCGGTGTACCCTCTTTGTGCATGAGGCGATAAGCTCATCTTGATTTTTCTGTGTCCTTCGTTTTGGAAACAGTCTACACGAGTTCCTCCGATATCCCGTCGAGATCGGCGATAAGCGCCCCGGGGCTTTTCCATTTGTGATCACACTATCAGTCTGTGTACTTTTCATTGACAAAACAAGGTTTTCATCTTCGGCCTCTAGATTCTTGAGCAAGCGCAAAAAGGCGAGTTTAGCATCAAATTTCAGTTGAATAACCTTTACGATAACAAGAATTCAAAGATCATTTCAGACGAAAACGCAAGCGCAGAGATGCGAATGGAAAGCTCGACTATGATCGACCTCCAGATTACAACCTCCCACACGTCCCCCATCCTCCTGGAAATGTTGCGGTAAGTCACGAAATCGATCTTTATGAATCTATCAAAAAATATTTTTAGACAAGTCCAACTGGAGCTGTAGAAGGATCAACAGAGCAGCCTGCCTCGCATCAACCACCATCAAGCGTGGCAGAAGCAGCTACACAGCAACATCAAGCAATCGCTTCCACGTCATCAGATGTCCCGTCGACAACACATTTGACTCCGGCGCACACTTCTGTAATTCAAGAACAAACTCTTGCGCCGCCACTGCCGGCTCAGTCTCCACTTCCGCCGCAGGGAAGCATTGCCGCCGCCGTGAAGACCGAGCTGAACATGTCTCTCAAGACTGAGATCGATGCCCGACCTCCGCCAGTTCCGGATCAGGTAACGATAGAAAAACTTGTTAACTAAGCCAAAATTAGAAGTCTATAAATATCCGTATCCTAAACTTTTTCTTCAGAGTCAGCTGGGAATAAGCTGGGGCGACCAAGCTACACCTGCTCCTCCGCCAGTATCCGACCAGGTAGCAGAATTGAAGCGCTAAAATTCTAGTTACCATAACAGCTCTATTATTAGCCCCCTGTGCCCACATCCACGATCTCCTACAACCCCGATTACAACGGCGGCGCTTTCACCTACAACTTCAGCGTAAATAACATGATCCACAAGGCTCAGGAAGGTGCTGCAGAGTACAAACTCTGATCAACGCCTCTATTTATGTTATCTTGTCCCTGTGGACGGTTGTCAAACCTGGTGCAATTCTACAAAATTGACTGTAAACTGTGACTGCCAAAATGCTAATTTAAGAATTGATTCATTCTGTACAGAAGCCGTGATTTTACTCAGATAGAATTCACCACTGTTGAAGAAGTTCCAAATTTGAAATAAACTTTGTATTCATGTGCAATGGTCTCTTCCATGGTTTCAAAAGATAAAATAGGAAAAAGCTATTCAGCAAATCGAAAATCGGTTGATGCGTTTCACCCAGCATATAAGACGTCTTCCTCCTCCATTTTACCCCGGAAAGCCTGGAGAAGGGGCCCCTGTTGGTCGTTATGTGCGAAATGTCTCTCTTCCGTACTCTCCTGATCACAGAACACCGAAGGAGGAAACCGGAGGCTACGGAGAGCATGCAGATTATATGCGCGCCAGAGTCATTGCTGATGAGAGGCGACGCAGCTGGGCCAGATTCGGCAGTTTGAAAAGTCAGGTCTCGGTTAGAGATCTGTTTCCTTCTGAAGCGGAGTATGCTGAGGAATTGGAGGCCGAGAAGAGATGGTGGCCCGAGCTTGAAACGATGAAGAAGGAACTGCAGAGAATTGAAAGTCAAAAAGAACAGGATGAAGCGCTGAGGTAACTTCTTATGCAAGATCTTAATTGTAACTTTTCTTTAGGCAACGACAAATTGCTGCAGCGATGTCGCAAATGCCGAAATGGATGAATATCTACAAAGGGAAGACGCCTGTTAAAGATCGGACGCCCGGAATTCGCCAGAAATTGATATTGGAGAAGAAGAAGTCGAAAACTGACTATGTAGTGCAGTCCCTTACGAACGAGGTGGGATATCTTTGAACTCATTCAACTTAACTCTTTTTCTAGGAAGCAATTATTGATTTGGTCGGTAAGAAATTGGACCCACGCTCGATGGAGTATAAGCAGTACGTTTCAAAAATGCAGCTTGAGCAGAAGAATCAGAAGAAACGAAAAGCTGCTCTTAAAAAGCGCGGACAAGCTACTGTTGATGACTGATAAATCTTCCCTTTAAATTTTTTTATAATAAACTCTGGGATTTCAGAATGGATGCGATACGAAATTTATTCTTGAATAGAAATTCAAATGACAATACAACTTCTTGGGATCCCAGCTCAAACAGGGACTCCAGCGGTGGACCCGATCAGAATTTCTCGTCATTTTCGGAAAGCAAGACTTATGAGCAAAACGGAATGACTGTAACAGAATCTACTTGGACGAACGAAAACGGAAAAGTTACTGAAACCCGAAAAACATACACTCTCGATCCAGAAAACCCAAATCAGGGAGTTCAAAGGCCTCCGATGAATGATTTAATTCTTGGGGGTCGTTCGCTTATGGGAATGCTCGACCGAGCTGAAGACGACTTCGACAGGATGTTCGGACAAATGGAAAGAGAGATGAACCAAGTGATGAATTCAACGATGCCGATTTTCATTGAGTTCGGCAACCGTGCGCAAGATTTCCATAGCCACCTTGTTGATCGTGAAATGAGGTAACTTTTAAAATGAAATAAAGGCGCTTATTAGATTTAGGAGACTTCAACAAAATGAAGATTCGCCCCATCATCCGCAAAACATGAGCAATTCTATCCGAGATCATTTCGTTACCGCTGCGATTCCTCAGAGAAAGAGAGAAACTACCGTTGAAACTCCAAAATTTAATCCTCAATTTACTGCACCTGATTATGCGAAAGAATTCAAACAAGGAATCTCCAAATTTTCATGAAAAAAATGTTGTGAAATCCCGTCCGATATGTCTTTAAAACAATTAATTGATAATAAACACCACAGATACTTTTTAAATAAAGAATGAGTGTTTGTTGAATTATGCTCCATTCGGTTGAAATATTCTATGCATGCAGTAAAAGTGTACGAAATTATTATCAAAAGTGATTCAATAAATCTGTCCTCATAAGTTCCAGGACAAGCAAAACATGGCCTGGTAGGGCAGTATCAAAGCATCGCCGCAGAGAGATCAATCGTAAAAACGCCATATGGCCGCGCCATCTAAATCTGTTTCAATATCAAGCATAGATCAGTATCGGAAGCGGCGTCGGCACTTTCTAGCGCCAGCTGTAGCGACCAATTACCATTGCCTAATTGCCATATGCGGAGAAAGATGGCGCTATTTTTTGCAGATATAAAAGTGACATATAGGAATCAAAAAGTCATATCAAACAAGCAAAAACCAACAAACAAAAAATGCCAGCTCTTATCCAGCGAATTGTCGAACCCGCTACCGTCTCAATCGACACTCACCTTCCTATCATCGACCAGGACATTATCTACGAGTCGCACGCAAACGAAGGATATCTCTACAACTACTCCGGATACGGCCTCAAAGTCTCCGACAAGCCAAGAGGAGTCAAACGAGTCCGAAGCAAAGAAAATCTTCTTACCTTCATCCAGATCGCACAGCAGCTCATGCTCATCCAGTCGAAAGAAACCGGCGAGTTCCTGACTGTCTCCAGCCGAGGAAAAATCTCATCTTCCTTCCTTGCCACTGAAGGTTCTCTTTGGCGGATGGAGAACAAATCTACTCACAAGAAATTCCAGTCTTTCACCAACAAGTCCACCGACTGCACCCTCTCCGTTAATCGACGAGGCAAAGTTCTCTGCCGTCGGGGTGCTAGAAAACGATCAACGAGTTTCATCACTATTTCTCGACCTCGATCAAACCGACGGCTTTAAAAATTGACTTGCTTCTTATTCTATTTGTACATTTTATTTACATTCCACAAAGTTCAATATTTCAAATACAACCGAATCAAAAATTATTTCTTAGTTTTCTTTCTGAACATTATTTATTACGAGTATTGCATGCATGATTTGATTGAAGACATTTCTACACAGTCAAGAATTAGTTTCTTATTGCACTTTTGATATTGTCCCAAAAAGAACTTTGCTCCTCTTCGGAGATATTTTTCTCCACGAGCCATCCAGGAGCGAACATAGCTATTGAAATACCTTAATGAAAGAAAGATATAATTTTTTACCAGAATTGAATCCATGCTCCTTTGCTTTTGCTACTGAAAGATGTGTGTTCTGTTCTAGGGTCGGCACCGACCACCATTTTTCGGGGTCGGTTTGGTCGGTCCCCGTGAAAAGAGGCCAAATCCGTGGTCGTTTTGGTCGGTCGGGTCGGCTTTTTTGGTCGTTTTTTTTGGTCGGTTTTTTTAATGAGCAAAATTAACATTTGTCAACATTCTTCTATCGCACACAGCCCTCGAGGGCCTCGGATCGAAGCATTTTACTGTGGCAGTCGATTCGCCATGAAAAGTTAAATTTTTAAGAGCTTTAGCCCGGACTCGCCGTCGATTTTTTCTTGTCGCCGGAGAGAAATAAAAAATCGCTCAAATGCGTAGGTTAAAACCGACCAAAAACCGACCAACCCGACCAAAAGACACAAAAAAACCGACCAAAACCGACCAAAAGCCGACCATCCAAAATCGAGGTACAAAATATGAGGTCGGGCTGGTTGGTGCCCATAAAAACCCGACCATTTCCGACCAGGTCGGGTTTTTGGTCGGGTCGGTGCCGACCCTAGGTTCTGTTCTCCACCTCCATAAGTGTTCCTTCCAAAAACATCAACACCGTGGTAGACCTTCTCCTTAGGGATGCTCTTTCGATCACAGAACTCCTCTCCGGCCTTTATTTTTTCCTCCGTCCACGTATAATTAGTAAATAGACCGTCGCTGTACTCGAAGAATATTTCATTTTTGTCGTTCAAATGGTCTTGCCACTGAAGCTTGCCTTCCGATGTAACAGCGTCGTACCAAATAACGAGTGATCGCTCCTTTAGTAATCTCAGAAACTCAACTAAATTTGGAAGGAGTTGCTCAGGAACTTCGTTTTCAATATTTATCAGCCAGCCATCGAAGCCGTAAACTCGCTGCAATTTGAGCATTTGATTGACTGCGAGCTCAAAATTTCTTAGCACAGCACAACATCGGAATTTGCCCTCATCCCATTCTGTTATGAAGGTTCCAAGACAAAGAGCGCCATTCTGGTGAGATTTTTCAATCCAAGAAGTAGCTAGAAGTTCATTTTTTGGAGAATATTTTCATGGCCATACTTGGAACGGTTATAAAATTATGCGAAAAGTAGATGAACATGCTTGTCTGCTCCCAAATCTCACTCGGAATTTTAAGTCCATCATCACCATTCGGGTAAATGTCATCGTTGTATCCACCCTTTATAAAGTGATTGAATCAAATATACGCAAAAATTTACTTTCATATCGTGGCAAAGAATCAGCTTATTCTTGACTCCTCTTTTAACTTTTCGGACAAGACCATCTGGTGCAGGGGTAATAGGAATAATATCAGTTGTTGCTTCCTCTGACAAAATTTGATCTTCATCCCAGAATAAAAGCTCTTCTAGTGATTTTATGGGTCTGCAAATTGATCCCTTTTCAGAGAAATGCCAATCATTTTTAGACATTTTATTTGCTCTAAATTTATAAAAAAGTGACGATTTAGGAAAGAACAATTTGATTGTGGTATGAGTGGAAAGGAGTCGTTAAAATATTCACAATAGATTTCGTCAGATTCTCAGCGTTTGTAAGTCCTTCCATCACTTTCGGAGTAGCGCAAGGGTGAAGTTTATAAATACGAAGAGGCTTTGCTTGGTATTTGCAATCTTCTACAGAAATATTCCCAACGAACGAGCTTTTATCGTCAAAAATCTTTTCCCAGCATTTCTCAGGAGCAACTCGGGCACCTTCAAGAGTTGACAATGAGAAGGCAAGAGTAGGAACTGCGTAGCTTTCAGAAAACTCGATCAAAATGAATAAGATATGCTCTTCTTCTTCAAAGCTTAAATCAAAGGCTTTCTCATAAAATATTAATAAATGCGTTACTTGATTTCCTGCTCAAATTTTAGCGTCTTGCTATCGCTTGTCCAAAAAGGTGTTTCGTTGCATAATTGCTTAATATTTTGCTCAAATTCAAGACGAGACAACATCTGAATATCAGTTTGCTTTTATTGGTGGCGTGTGAAGAGTTATCGAATGGATAAATGTAATTTCTGGACAATGGGATGAAGAAATAGGGACTTTTAGGTAAAACTACCCAAAGAAGGTAGAAGTATCGAAGATAACGTACAGAAGTATCGAATCTATTTACAAGAGTGAATTTATCAAGCTGTCTTTTCGAAGCTGACCACTAGCGGCTTTCTTGTCTCGCGCTGATTCTCTGATTGCGCCCAGACTGAAAGAAGCCCATCAGATCCGAGAGTAAAGAGGACTCCTCCAGAGTCAGATAATGCAATCGAAATGCAGCTAGCGGCGGTGGTTGACAAAGACCGAACATGCGAAAGATCAATGCTAGACCAAAAATGAATGGAGCCGTCCACGTGGCCAGTGATGACTGCATTGCAAGCGCGCCCTAAATTGAGTTAAAATCTATAACAAAACTGAGAGATAGTACCTTCAACAGCATTAGTCCATTTGGTACAAAGAACGGGCGATTGAGCATCACAAGCAGCAACAAGTTGACCATTTATCGTCCACAATCGAAGTTGTGAATGTCGCTCGTCGTCTTTTGAACAAACTGTGACGATTTCACCAGTCTGGTTAGCCGTCGCAACACAGTTTACTCCGGCAGGATGACCTTGAAGCGATCGAATATAGGTTCGCGAATTGAGATCCCAAATAATTGCCGAGCCATCTTCCGATGCAGATACAATGATAGAGAACTCAGGGCACACAGCAAAAGCGTGAATTCGATCAGAATGGCCAATAAGAAAACTCCCGTCAAGAAGACTCGGTCTAATAAATTAAAGTTGGAGCTCCAGTTAGTAAATTTTACCTGGTTTTTGATGTTTCAAGGTTCCAAATTTGTATGATTCCGGTCGCGAAACCGATGATAAACTGAGACTTTGAAACGGGCTCGGCACAGACGATTTGGTCATCGACTTCTGGCTTTAGAAGATTTATCTTTGTTCGCCCTGTTTTCAGTCGTAGAATGCGATCATCGTGATCAAAGCTTAGCAAGGAATTCCCAACGAGTCGTGTGTTTGGTGGGAGAACCGCACAGTCTGTCTTGCTGAAGGCAGTGACGTGAACAGCCGCCGATGAATTGAATGCTTTCTTCAAAATCATGATAGGAGGGGTAAGCGTTGGGCTTCCACACCAGTTACCCCACTTCAATCCACTAACGTTAGCTAAAATACCATCTTCAAGGTCTTTAGCGCGCTCGTGTTTCTTGAGCGACTCAATATCTGCTTTTGTGCGATGAGGATGTGGTGAGGTAAAGAGCTGCTTCGGGGTCTGACCATACGTCTTGATCATCGTCTCCAACGCAGTTCGCTTGACGGGATCGGTTTCAGATGCAACATCGACACCGAAGTACGTCATTGGATGAAAGACGTTGCAGGCCTTGATCGCTTCGGAGCCTGTCTGTTTGTGTCCGAAAACTAAATCGATCCAGTGATGTAGCTGGCTGCTTACATGAGCAGACTCGAGTGCCTTCAATTCGTGTTAGTCAGTTATTAGATAAACCATGCTTTACCTGTCTATGAATACTTATGAACATGCGCGCATCATTATTGCACCAAGGCGGTAACGTCACGTGATGTACTCTTTTTCCATTTTGCCTTATTCCGAAATTGAAGTTTTCATTGTTAAGCAGAAACTCTGGGAGGAAAAAGAACTCCGGGACAAGCTCTTTTACGTCCGTTGCTGAGTCATTGCTTGCGAGTTTCCATGCGGTTGCGATAGAATGAAATGTTCTGTCTGGAAGGTCGAAACTTTGGTCTTGATACTCGAGAAACATCTTGGTAAACGGCGGCAGTCGAAGAAGAAAATGAAGAACTGTTCCGGAGTTAGAGTAGTGCGAGCCGTAGTGATAAGGAGCGGTAGCTTCTGGGTTTCGTTTGAACTCTTCTGACAAAAAGTGGTAGCGCTCTTGGAACATCTCTCTTTTTCGTCATTCTGGACAGAGATCGGCACCATCAAATTTCTGTAGCTTTCGCAACTAGACAAATCTAAAGTTTCCTCTGTGTAATTTCTCAGAATGAACGGAAAGACTGGGTATTGCATGAGATCATTGAATGTTCGCCCAGCAAAAGTATTAAGAGCCATCAAATATGCAAAGTTAGAAATTTCGCCTTTCTGCCATTTACTTGTCATATCTTGGAGCGAGCTTCCCGGTGCTTCCGGTGGCGAGAGTTTTGACAGTGTTGTATAAACGTTTTCGCGAATGTCGAAGGTTGAGAATGCGAACATTTCGGTGCGCCCATCGTTGAATGCAATTTCGAGAGCACAGTCGATCAACCCGAACCATCGTCGATTTAGTCTTTTTACGGACGAAATTTCCCAGTGTTTGCAAAAACCACTTTCGTCGATCAATCCTCTAGCTACAAAGCAACTCGATAGAGGCTCGTCTCCAACATAGAACATTTTAGTCGGCGAAAGCAAAAGCTCCCCGTTTGCTTCGTGCTCGGGCGTGATTTTACGACATTTTTCAGTATTTGTGATTTGTTCGTGGATATGGAGCCACTCGATGACAGCTTTGTTGTCTTCAGCGGGGTCTTCTTTCAGGAAATTCATCATTGGAAGCGATTTCATCGAGTCCGGTTCATTCAGAGCATCATAGATCTCCGTGGATATACTTCTTACGAATTTTGACTTTATTCTTGGGTTTGCTCTTTCTAAGCGTCGTCTTTCGCCATAAGGACCTTCGGATGGGGAAAGCTGCCAAACCATTCCAGTCTGAGAGACGTTGTGCCAAACAGCTCTTTCGTGATTGAGCTGAGAAATGATCTTTCTCCAGACATCTCTTGATTTAACATCGTTGGCAGCCATCGCCTTTACAAGGGATATCAATCTTCGTCGTAATATATTTTGTCGATTAACAACAACTTGAGTCACTTCACTGGACGATGTTGCGATGTGATCGGAGTAATTGAACGCTCTCTCAACAATTTGTCGGAATTGCTCGTCCCCTTGCTTGAGCCACGCTGTTCGTAATTTGGCGCGCTTCTTTTCATACATTCGCTGTTTTGCTTCTGAAACTTTGATCTCAGAAGGACCGTTTGATGGCGGATCGTAACCGAGTTGGCTCATAAGGACAACAAGTTGGTTCAAAGCGTCAATGTCGTTCTGTTCCATATTCGCGCTGTGATAGAAAAATAGATAATGCAAATAGAGCTGGACTTGCTCCGCCTCAGCCTCAGCTCCATTGAAAATAAAAAGAAGAATGTTCTTTCGCTCGGGCTCTTTAACGATTTTCAGAGGTACTAAGCGGGCTTTACCTCCCTGTGGTGAAAGCATAAAATTGATCAAGGAGACAAACTGCTCTGAAAGTGGCAGTTTGAGCATCAATCTTCGTGCAAGCTTGGACTTTCTTGAGTAATTTCGAGCAAGCTTGTTGAGGGACGTCTCCGCATGATGATATTTTGTAATCCATGGAACTTTCGTATCAAATTTGGATGCTTCTGAGGACCAGTAGAGAAGGATATCAAATATGCGAATGGCAAATGCACTATCGTTGTCAACATTATCAGGTTTTGCAGGAGTTGAGGGTACCATTCCAGATCGTTGGGAGTATTTTGAAATAAGCTCATTAGAGAGCAAGTCATTGTGATGGCGACAGCGCGATGGGCCTTGACAAAGAATCTTCGATGTAGCGCTTTTGAAGAGAACACCAACACGGGTTATCAAATCAATTTCAGAAATTTTCAGTTTGGTTGGGGAGTTATGAGTCGATATGTTGAGATTCTGTTTTTTCGGCGTGGACATGTTCGAGCTCGGCATTTTCTCGGACGAGGCAAACATATCCGCCGCAAGGATCTCCTCACTCTGTAATTCAGTGAGGCCGAGATCCGTATTTTTCATCAAACTTTCGATAGCAACCAAGTAAACTGAAAATAGCACCCTTCTTATTTCAGTTACACGCGAACACGCCTCACAAGTATCTGACGTACTCGACAGATCATTGTGTTTTTCATCATCGATGAAATCGACGGTATCTTCGTCGAGCTCAATCTCTTTTAGCTCAAGATGTGCGAGGGACTCGATAATGTCAGACATGATTCGGAAATGTTCCGTGTTCGTCGTGGCACAGCGAATTGTAACAGAATGGAGCAAGCCGAGCAAAGATGGCGAAACTGGCTCCTTCATTGAGACTTGCTTCGCAATCGCGTTGCAAAGAACGATGCTCAAACCTCTATCCATCATTGTATCTCCAAGCTCGTCATGAGCCTCAAATAGATTTCGAACATTCATGCAAACAAGATCCAAAACGAAATCGTCACCGACTGCATTCTCAAGAAGGGCGATCAGCGGAGCGACGGCAGGCAAAGCAGTTGGATCAAGCTCGCGAACTGATCCACTAGTAGCTTCGAGGAGAGGTTCAGCACGGCTTGAAATAAGCAAAAGTGCGCTTTCGACGAGTTCTGCAGTTGATTGATGCTGATAAAGCTGGTTTGCAAATAACATGAAAGCTTTGCCTCGAACAATTTGGTGTCTGATTTCGACCGAGGCGCGCTGTAGATAATCATGAAACAATCGTAGAGAAGCGCATCGGATAGAATCGTCGTTGGAATTGGCAAGAACAACAAGCGTTTCCCAGTTGATGACGACATCGTTGAGAACTGTTTTTATTTGTGTATCTGGGAGAAGCACAACTGCATGCCGCAAAACTTCCAGGAGTCCGTTCACTAAATTTGCAGTTCCATCGGTAAGAACATACCCAGCTGAAGCATCACTATTCGTTCTTCTAAGAACATCCCATTCATTCAACACGCTATTTGTTGCACCTCGACATTCTCCGAGATCAACTGAGTCATCATTGTCACTCGATTTAGCAGAGTAATTAATAGGCTGTGGCGACTGGCCCTCAACTGGTGAATGATTGGAATGCTCGAGAAAATCGTCAGATGGCGTACCGTCAAGAATATCTACATGAAAGAGCTCTTTCTTCAGATGACGGGAGCGAAATGGGGAAGGTCTCTTTCCATCATTCAGAAGATAGCTTGAATCGGAGCGGAAACAGAAGGCTGAATGGCTTCTGATAAGCTTCGGAGATGTAATTTTTCGCCCTCAAATTCGATCATTGTTGCTGACGGGAGCGCATCGAGAGACTGTGACCTCTCCAACTTCGTTTGCATAGATTGAGATCCATGAGCACTTTCAAATCGAGGATAGAAGTAGAATTTCTTTCGCGTATTTGTCACATAAGCTTCTGAAGGCGGGTGTACTGAGCAGCAGAAATCAAAGACTTTTGCGATTATTTGCGTATCGGGGGGATATCCTATTAAAGCTCGTATCAGATCGACCATCATATTTCCAACGAAGAGTGGCATCTCCATTTTTGGTCGTTCTGAGAGAGAGATTTGGAGGGTTTCGAGAAGTTTCAACACAGCGCCAGCTTGGACAAGTGTCTTGACGTTGAAAGCTCGGTATTTGTGATTGTCGTGCACGAGTGCTTTTAGAACTTCAAACTGCAGCGCCCAAGCCTTCGGATCAACGCACCACAAGTTGCAATCTAAGAATAGTTTTAGTTGGATAATTAGATCGAGAATTTTACCGAGAATAAGATGGTTCAGCATCGATGTATCAGTGATGACTGCGCTCGTATCTTGGAGAATATTTCCGTTATCATCAAAAATACGCCCATGGCAGGCGAATCCTACAAGAGTTCTCAAAAGATCAGGGTATGGGTTTCCAGCTTGAATGACTTGTTTGACCATCAGATGGCCTTTCAATTGATGGAAGTCCCTGGCGAAGGAGTTGTTCAAGCGAATCGCTGAAAGCAGAACGAAAAGAGATTCAATTTGGACTGATGTCGAGGAAATCGGTGTCATTGAATTTGAAAAGAGAAGCAGGAACGGCCTTACACCACCCAGTTGATAAACTGCAGAATCGAGTGCTGCGCTTCTATCTGCTCGGATTTGACCTTGAAGAAGTGGAGCTCTGATGACTCGGGCTTTTTGACTTATAGGCTGAAATGGCTCCGCTTTTTGTGACTGGAAGAGAGATCCCTTATTTGAGACAGGTCCAAAGAGCCAAAGCGATTCGGGTGATTTAGCATTCCATGATAGAAATATCTTCTCGCGAAGAACATTTAGGTTCGGACGAAATGTAAGAGACTGCTCCAGGTCAATATTTTCCACCTCGATATTATATTTGAGGAACTCATGTTGAAAAGTTGTCATTGATGGGTTGAACGGACTTGTGCTTTCATCGCCAGTGGTGAGAGTGAGGTCTTGGTTGTCCGGGCCAAGAAGATAGAGAGCTATGATTTCGTCAGCCATCAATCGCCCGCGGAAAATCTTACAGCCAGAAACTCTCAATGTGTTTTCAAAGACTTCATTCGCTTCTTCTCTTCGGGAGTCACCAAAGACCCACTGCATGGTTTGCCAGCGGAGGGATTTTCGAGTTTTCGCGAGCTGTGGGAATTCTATGCTTGTTTCAAAAACAGTCGCCAAATTTAGTTGAATGACGACCTCGAAGGCAAAATGGCCTTTCAAAGCTGCGCGGGTTTCTTTCGCAGAGAAGCTCACATGATCCCAGCGACCCTTTTTCAGCTCGATGTCTACCTCCTGTTTCGCGAGAATTCCTGGTGGTTTTCCATCTCTATTATCAGTGACAATTCGAAGCTGGAATTTGCTTCCTTCGATCCAAAGTTGCAGCATATAATCACTCTCTCCAAAGCTAGCAATGTGAGTTCCATTCATGAAGTTAAGATCGTAAATTTCTTCTTGAAGAATGACTAGCCCATTATCTGAAGAAGTAAGAGACTCGTTGGAATCGTTGTCATGAAGCTCTGGATTCCAAGTCTCATCAGAATGCACTTCGCCGTAATCACCGAAGAGCCAAAAACAAAATGTCCAAGAAATGGACTCTTTCTTTTAAAAAGTCTTTCATCTCTTGGTGAATGATTCCTCGATTCCAAGCCGAATTATTCCAATCAGAAGTACCGCTTATGTCAAACAGATTATTGTAAATCTTGTCGATAGTGATCGGAATTTGCATTGAGGCGTAGACTTTTGAGGTTGTTTCGAAGAGGTCTTTGAGGCAAGTTGTGATGTCGGTGATGGGTGGTTTAGGGCGCGTGAGCTTGTTGAGCACGAGTTGGAGTGCAGCAGGTGAAACATAGTGGCGTGAGGATTTTGAGAAGAGCTCGAGCATGAGTTTTGTGATCTTAGAATTATCTTCCGTGTCCAGAAGAAAGTCGAACTTTTGGAGAACAAGTAGAAGGACATTGTGCTTAGCGCAGATTTCAACGTTCTTTTGGCTGTGAAGAAGTGACAGTACATTTTCTAGTAAAGGGATAAGCCCAGGTAGTTCTTCAGTAGAGTTTTGATCTTCCCAGAAAAGCCCGAAAATGGTGAATACGAACTTGATAATACAAGGAAATATAACGGTCCTTGTATTCTTTGTTTTGACGGTTTCTGGAGGAGGAGATCTAGTGAGTGGAGCTTCTGAAGATTCAATAGCAGAAAGATCAAGAATGATGGATCTGTTTCTTCGATGATTTTTGCGAGGACTCTTTTTCGTGCTCTTCAGCTTTGGCTCCAGCGACGCTTCGAGAACTTTTGTTAGATTGTTTATGACTTGGAGTTTGAGATGCTTCGTGTTGCTCACAAAATCACTGGCGATTTCTGGTAAAACAGCAGTTTCGAATGTCGGCCATTGAAGATGACAGTGGCTTGTGAAAAATGTGTAGAGGCCAAGAAGAACGCTGAAAATTTCCATCCTCGTTGTAAGCGGCATCGAATGATGCTTCGGAATGCAGATATAACTCGAGTCTCCCGCGGCGTTTATCGCTATGCTCGGATCACCAACTAGAAAAATGCTCTGCGCAAGAAGGGTTTTGATAACATCTTTCAACTGCAAATTTTTGAATACAGTCTTCCGCAACAAGTCGCTGTGCGCTATTCCTTCGTAGAGTTGGGTCAAATAAAACAAACAGTCGGTAGTGAGGAGAGCTTCGGACGGATTGAGAACGGGCTGATCATTTTCCATTTTTAAATTTCCAACGTCGTCGATAAGAACTGCCTTAGTGCTTCTGCAGAAAATGAGAATGATCTCTTTGGCCAGCTTTTGCTGCTCAAGGGATTCGACTTGATTCGACGTGCTGACTTTCATCGAGGACGTTAGTATTGGAAGCACCATTTTTGTCCCTTCTACGTCGACTTTCTTGAGCATTTTCAAGAAGGTTTTGAAAAGTCCCAGCGGCGCAAATGTGATTGATGATAAAGTGTTTCCAATGGAATCGAGTATTAATTGAAGTTTTGATTCATTTTCGGTTGATCGGCCGAGTTGGTCGAGGTTTTGCGATAAAATCGGAAGGAGCAGATAGTCGAGCAAAAGTCGGTTGGCGTTTTTCGGCAGGACAGAAGTTAAATGATGAATTGTTGTGAAATAGTTGACTCGTTCTTCCTCAGAGTTGATTTTAGAATAAGTGTACTGTGAAAGAGGAGCCCAGATCTTGGAATCTCTTGTGACGCATCTAGGGCACTTAGGCTGCTCGCAGCGGGCTAGTAAATATGGAAGGAATGAAAATCGCTGTTCGCTTATTTTGGAGAAGATGTCGGCGGTGGTCAGGCAGCAGCAGTTGAAACTTTGGGAAAGAAGGTTTTTGATGAAATCGAGCAGTTCTGTTGAGCAAATGTTGATGAGAACAAGCATCGCTTTCGTGAACTTGGCGAATAGGCAAATGTCGCTGGCTTGATCTGGAGAAAGATCTTTGGTCTGAAGAGCGAGGGAGAATTGTTTCTCAGCATGCTCACCATTCCAATGCTGGACGGGAAAGACTGCACTTGCTCGAGTGTTCCCAGAAAGTATTGAATTGATTCTCCTGCGTAAAATTAGTTCAGCCGAGTGTATTTGCTCCAAGACATCTGAAAATGGAGGTCAGTTCGTTTCAAAATTTTCAAAATATTTCGAAGATAATGATCAAATTGGTCAAAATAGACCACCTGGCAAACAATATGGCGCTCTATTGCAAGATGTATATAAAAACTTTTATTTTATCGTCACCATTGTTTACAAAATGTGTAAACAGTATCAGTTGCTCGTTTAATGATGGTCACTGTAATATTTTGATAAAATCTACCTTTCAAAAGCGGAATATTCGTAAATTTCGATAACGGAGTCAGTTCCAGCAGTTTCAAATTGAGCATGTAACTCCAGGAAGCAGAGAATAAATGATCAAGTTGCACTCTTCGCAGGACATTAATCATGATCAAAATCACATTCAATCCAAGATTGTCTTCTCCGTCCAACAACAGCAGCTTCGCAAGCGAAAGCAGTTCCATCATCATTTTCACCGTTTGCGATCCATCTTCTACCACGATTCTGTCGCATGCTATTTGTTCTCTCAAGTTGCTGAAAAGCGCAATCAAATAAGCAATTTTCACACGATCTCCATGCGCAGCCGCCAAATTCCTCAGAAGATCTGAAATCGGACGCAAGTAAAGAATCCCCTGGTAGGAAACGCGCTGGATGATTTGCGTAGAATTCGCTAGAATCAGACTGTAATCGTGCTCGCAGTCACTTTCTTCCAAAGCGCTTTGGAGGACTCGATGAAACGGCTTGATCATCGGTCGTTTTTCGCATATCCCCTGGAAAGAATCATGAAATAAGCATTTTTTAAAACACAAATCTACCTTTTTCGACTCTTTCTTTCGCTGGGATTTACTTATAGTCCGATTTCGTCTTTCCAACCGCGGCTCAAGCTGTGGCAGATTCTTCACCGGCAGTCGACAGAGACAAACTACCGTGTGAATGATCAAATCGGTGAATTCTGGATCGTTTACGGATTCTTTCTCGTCGACGACTTTTTGAAGGAGCTCATGGCCGCGATTTCGAAGAAAAAAGAGGAACGAGGAAAGACGGGTTTTGTTAGATATTCTCGTCGTGTTCCATTCTTCTGAGCGAACGCTTAAAACGTGAATATAGAACTTTACACGAATCACTATAAATAACGTTTATTATTTACATTTTCTTTACTTACTTTAGGAGTTCTCTGGCAAGCCTAGAAAACTGGGCAACCGAGTTCTCGGTCATTTCAATTTCTCCGATTTCTCGTTTCGCTTCATTCGGACAAAAGCCAAAGCTGCCAAACGCAAATTTACGAAACAGCTTTTTTCTTCGCTCGAAGCGATTTTCTGATTGGCGCGCCGTGGAAAGTAATTTTTCGCGTAGCAGTGCCAATTCGTTACGGTTTCTGCTTCGTTCGAGAATAACCCTGTCTGCTTACAGTCTGTAAATAAAGATGAATTTAAAAAACTTTTTGCAGGCGAAATTCTGACTTGGTCAGATTTTCAGCCCTGCAGAAAGCCCGAAAAATTTTGAGTCGATTCGACCAAGTCGTTTTCGAAATTTTCTAGAAAATGACGTCACAAATGACGTCAGAAGGTTCGAAAAAGCCGAAACTTTGAGTCTTATTTTTACAGCGTTCCTGCTTGAATTTTTCGGTGTACTATAGCTCAAATGAAAGCTTATAAAAAACTGTACTAAGGTTTTCAAGTATTCGGAAAAAAATTTTGAAAAATTCGGCTCTAGAATTTTCCGAAAAAAAATTTTTGAGCAAATGAAAATCCAAGAAAAACCTTAGTACAGTTTTTCATAGGGATCAATTTGAACTATAGAACATGAGAAGATTCCGTCAAAAAGGCCGAGAAAAACTGACTCAAAGTTTGCCCGAAATGGCCATTTTTGCCAACTTCTAGCGTCATATATGACGTCATCGTCTGGCTGTTTTGGTCTGAAACTAGTCCAGTAGACTCAGAATTTTGAGGGCTTTCTGGTGAATATAAAAACAGGCAAAGTCAGGATTTTGCCTGCAAAAAGTTTTTTAAATTCATCAAAGGGAATTAATTTTAGAATGATTACGCGTCATTTATCGCGGAGAATTACTCCTCTCGTTCGTCGAAATTCGGCTCCATTAAAAAATGTTTCCCATGAAAGTTCTAGTGGGAAAATGCTCCTCGTTGGTGCTACGTTTTTGAAAGCAGTAACACCACTTGTTTTTGGATTTGGCTTCATTTATGCCTACAGAAGTGCGTCTTCAACACTTTTTCAGCCATTTTTTCTTAATTTTTAGTCTTATTCCTGAACGACAGCTCCGCTATCCCAATTGAAGAAGCAAATCTCCATGGAAAAGTCGTCGTTATCACTGGAAGCTCTTCTGGCTTTGGAAAATTCTCGGCAAAAGGTGCAGCCGAGCGAGGAGCAACAGTTGTTCTTGCTTCAAGATCGCAGAAAAACTTGGAAGTCGCGAAGAAATTTATTTTGAAAGAAGTTCCCGAAGCGAGCGTTGATTTGGTGCATTTGAACTTGGCAGATTTGGACTCTGTCGAAAAATGCGCGACGAAGCTTTTGAAGAAATATGGAAAAGTAGATGTTTTGGTTAACAACGCTGCAATCTTCAAGCCGAACAGCTCGAGAGACCCTCACGAAACTCCCGATGGTTTCGATACTACCTTTCATGTTGGCTTTCTTGGCCATTTCTTGCTTGGAGAATTGTTGAAGGATAGTATCAAGGAGAATAATGGAAGAGTTGTTTCTGTTGTTTGCCCGATGATGAAAGAAGCGCAGATTAGTTTAACTGAGGAAAAATCCTCGACTTTCAAGCAAAGGTCACAAAACGTCTCTTTTCGATGTACCGTGATTCTCATTCCTGACTTATTTTCACAGTAATATGAGTTTCGTTTTTTGATCTCAAGCAAAGGATTTGAAAACGCATGCTTCTCGCATCATCGATCCGACAAACTACAGCCAAGACGATGCTCAAGAGAAATTCAAACACATCGAGTCGTATATGCAGACAAAGCTCTGTCTGTACATGGCGACTAAAAGATGGTCAAGAGAGCTAAATTCTATCAGCGTTGATCCTGGAACTTCGAATGAGACTTTATTGAATCGCTATACGAAGCAAGATGTTAATTTTAAAGGAACTGTTTTGAGGGCGTATAATATGATCAGATGGGCAGTCGTCTTGCCTAGCGTTGAAAATGCATCGCAGACGATTATTTCAGCGATCGCGGATCCAAAATATAATGTAAGCCTTCGCCTCGTCCTTTTTGTTTCAATTTGCTTTAGGAAGAATCTTTCAACGGAAAAGTTCTATGTCAGCATTCAACGAAAGAATACGATGAATACATTGAAAAGGTAAGTAAAAGCCTAAAGAATTACCAGTTACAACAATCTAGTCTGCTAAGCCAAAGAGTCGTGATCGATACTTTTCTCAAATAACAGCAGATGCGCCTCTTGACTATCTTCATAAAATTTCATCGGATTGGACAAATTTAGAAGAACGCAGAACCCGTTTGCAGAAAGCTCTGATTTCTCATGAAAGCTGAAAAAATACTTTATTTTAACTTCCTTCCGTTGGCCTAACTCGGGTATTTTAGGGATGAAATGTGAGAAATCGTTATTATTTTTATTGAGTGTTGCGTTTTCGTTGGATTGTAAAAATCTGAACAGTAATTTTGACCTCTCAAGCCTCGGTAAGATTCTATACCTGAATTCTTCTCATTTGCTTAGTCGGAGCATGGGAAGCTGTAGATAACTTGGACTTGTACCTCTTCAATTTATGTGGAACGTCGTCCCATTGTAAAGATGGCCTCGTCTGTATCAAACCGGCTGGCGAGGAGCATACGAAAGTGTTGATTCCGAAAGACGACTCTGAATTTGAATTAGAGACGGATTCAATTTCTACTTCATTCGTCCTCAAGAACCCAGATGATTTCGACGACATTGACGAGATAAAACTCAACGTCCAGTTTGTATGCGGACATCGACCTCTTGGTGCTACATTTCCGCCGGAGCTAATTTTGAAATCTGAGAAAGATAAGAAGCGAGAACTTACATTTGAATGGCGGACGTCAGCGGCTTGCAAGGATGAAAAGAAACCAGATAATACGATTTCAAAATGCTACACAGTGGATACCGAGAAAAATGCAATAATCGACCTCACCCGACTCGCGAATACTGTCTATTCCATCACATCTCCAGCAGGCAACAAGATCTACTACAGTCTCTGTTCTGTTCTTCCAGAAGAAGGGGAGTTTCCAACGAAATGTGCTGGAAAAGCAGCTTGTTTTGTTGAAAAAAGTGGAGAAATCCGAACGTTATTCAAAGATTCTCCTGAACCGAAATTCCAATCGCAAGACAGCTCTGTTCAGATGAAGTTTTATGGAAAAGAAGAGCTCGAGAAGGTCGCATGCTCGAATCAATTCACAGTCACTCTTGAGTTTCCTCATGTCGGAAGAGAACATCCGCCACAGTATTTTACCTCGAGTTCTTTGGGCGAAAATGAGTGTCAAATCGGAGTCATTCACAGAACTGGCGCGGCGAGACCGATCTCGGACATGTCCAGCAAAACTTGTCGTTTTTCCGAAGGTGATGTTGGAAAATCGATTGATATTCGCAAAGACTTCGAAAAATCCTCATTTTCTCTTGATGATGAGTACGATCTTTCTCTGTGCGAGGAGAATAAGAAAACCGGCTCGGATCCCCAATCACTTGGAAAGTTCTACAACGCTATTTACTCAAGCGATATGATTGTTCTCATCTATCGAGATGGTGCTGTTTGTGAAAACGATTTAAAATACGATTCAATCATAAACATCAACTGTGTCGATAGCTCTGAAAACCAAGCGGAGCCTCAGCTTGTTGAAAAATCCGAAGATGGCTGCGCGCTTACTTTCGAATGGAACAGGAACGAAGTCTGCCAAGAAAAGCTTGAAACTGTCTGTGGAATGATTCCAGTCGGATACGACGTCAGCTCGATCATGCGCCAGCCGAGAAGTCTCATCGAAAAGTTATCACGAGAAAACGTCGACGACCAAAAAGACGTTTCAACTATCGACGGTGAAAAATGCCACTTTCCATTTTCTTACACTACGACCAAAGGCGAAAAACACACTTCCAACAACTGCGAGACTTTTGGACACAATGGGCGACCGTGGTGTTGTACCACAGAAGAGTGTGATTTGAATGGCAAAGAGAACTTCGGCTTCTGCGAGCTTCATTCTCACCGAATATACAACGACTTTGACTGGGAGGTTGAAAATTCTGGGTCGAATATGTTCCTGTCTCTTTGTGGGGATTTGATGAGGACAGGAGCTGCTGAAAAGTGTCCCGAAAACTCGCTGTTCTGTGATTTAGAGCACACAGACATCAGGATTACCAACATCGCTTCTGTAGAAGAAATCGCTAGCGGTCACTTGCAATACACAATGCACGGACCTAGTGCAACTCTTTATGTCCAGCTATCGTGCACTCCAGGCGGCCATTCTTCGTACCCTGAATTCATCAGCAAAGATGGCAACAAATATCATATCATTTGGCGAACCGCAGCTGCTTGTAAGCAAGTCGAACTCGAAGGGGAAGAATGTAAAATCGAGTCTGATGGAAGAGTTCTTATTGATCTCTCTCCAATTGCCGGTCATCGCGTCGTCCGTCCTTCAGAAAAAAACGATAACGAGCTTGATCTGTCAATTTGCGAGAAGGGCCTCCAAGTTGGCTGCGGAAATCTCGAAGGCGGATCGAACGTTGGGGCTTGCTTAGAGATTGATGGATCTCAAGTTCCAATCGCCGAAAATTCAAAGAAGATCACTTTCAAAGACGGAATCGTCAAACTCGAAATGCCTTCCCAGACAAATGGGAATATAACCGCTGTGGAGATTCTATTTATCTGTGATGATGCGGAAGACGCAAATGAGATTGACTTTGAGCCAGTTGTAGTCGACGATTCCGTTTGGAAGAAAGATAACAAGAAGAAAATATCTGTTGAATGGCGAACTTCCGCTGCTTGTCCACCAATGCCCATGGCATGTTCTTTCTTTGATGGTCGATTTGTGGATCTTTCTCCGCTCCGGAAGATGGATGGAAGCGCTTATGAAGCGATGGACTTGTCGGGATTTGAAAAGGGAGATGAAGACTATCAAGAAAAAACTGTCTATGCAAACCTCTGCGGAGAAGTTCCCTTAGATGTGGACGACAAATGCCCTCACGGTTCGATTGCTTGTTATCCTGAGAATGGACTCTCACTAGGAAAAGCCACTAGTCAAGTTTTATCAAGGGAAGAAAATGCTATAGTTGCATTATATACGGATGGCTCAAAGTGCGAAAAACATACGAGCAAAAGATGGTCAAGCAAGTTTCTTATCTATTGCAATTCATTCTCACCTGATCACACCCCTCGACTGAGAAATCTCGATGAAGATTCGTGCGAAGCAGAATTCGAATGGTCTACTCCACATGCTTGTACTGTAAAAAGCACGTCTCCCAACACATGCAAAATAAAAAATGACAAAACTGGTCAAATGTTTGACTTTGGAATTCTTGCACAAAAGGGCGAAATCACAAAACATCACAAAGAAAGTGATAAGGACGTGGTTATTCAACTATGTGCTCGATCGAGGACTTGCTGCACAAGTGGTAAAGATTGTGACGTCTCGGTATGCTACGAAGACTCTTCGTCGAAGAGGATAAAAAGGCGATCGAGTATTACAGCAAGACGGAACTTGAGACTAATGACTCTGGTATATCTATGAAGATGAAGAGCTCAGACTTTTTAATCACTGTCGATTTTGTCTGCGACAGAACCCGTGGACATATTGAACTCTCTCCGGATGCACTTGAAGAAATTGGATCTACAGAAAAGTCTTGGAATTTCCAGTTACGAACAGCGCTTGCTTGCCCTAGGATGGCTGCTACTTGCACAGCTCATGACAAAGAAACAGGAAGTCATTTTGATCTCTCTTCCTTATCTGGGATACCATTAAAGGCCGAAGATACAATTACTTACGATGGAAAAGAATTCGTTTTGAGTATTTGTGGCTCCGGTCCTGATACTCAAGAAGCGCCATTGAAGGACTTTCCGAAGTGCGGTGAGCTTCCATACGAACAAGGCTATTTCATTGAGAGTTTCTATCGAAAGGAAAATTCGAACTGTTCATCGATTGGAAATGTGCAAGGACAACCGCACACCAGCTACATGAAACACTCAGACAGCACTGTTATCACTGTTGACTACTTTGGTGGTTCCCAGTGCAAAGAAGATCCAGAGCAGAGCTATTCAGCTGTTGTGCGACTTTCATGCGCCTCATTTCCCCATGAACTTGAATACGACTCGTCAACAGGTTGCGAGCATTGGTTCTCGATGTTCCATCCCGCTGCCTGCGAAATCAGTCAGGCATCGTCAGAATTTTCTGATTGCAAAGTGACGGAGCCTAACTTCGGCATCGAAATTGATTTGAACACTCTCAAAAATGATGATGGTTACACTGTTAATGATACCAATAATGGCACCAATAAAGAATACAAATTCAATGTCTGTGGCAAAGTATCAGACTGCGATGGGGGCATTTGTATCCGATCAGATTCAAGTTCGAGCTGGCGAAAGTTTACTGGCTTCTCCCAGGCGATTTACTATTCAAACCAGGTCGCACATTTGACATACGTCGGCGATGAGGTTTGTGACGAGGATGTTAATTATGTCGCCAGTCTGCAGTTCGAATGCGCTCATCATGACAATCATGAGCCATATATAATTAGCAACGATCACTGTCACTTGGTTATTGGATTTCCGACTCCCGAAATGTGTCCTGAGGTTAATGAAGTTGAATGCGATTTTTACTCGGAGCTGTCGAAGCATGGATTTGATTTGAACCCTCTTTCCCGACCTGATAGTAACTATATTGTGACCAAGTGGGACCAAGATGGCACTCCGTTGCGATACGTCCTCAATCTCTGTAGAAATATTGTCCACACAAAAGATATTCTCTGTGCTGGTGATTCTGCTTCCTGTCTCATAAGAAAAGACCCCGAAAGTTCTACAAAGCTGAAATATATCAACCTAGGAAAGATTTCTGATGATTCCTCTCCTTTTGAAATCAAATCTTGCGCAGAAGACGAAGAGTGTGCTGATAGTGAGCTGAAAGTTATCTACAAAGATGGTGATAAATGCGAAGGCTCCGACAACAAACGTTCAACGACAATTTTACTTCAATGCGACAGAGGGTCAATTATAAATACGCCCGAGTTTATGTCCGATGATGGCTGCGAAACTGTCTTCCGCTGGAAAACCGAATACGCTTGTCCAATTGATACTAAAGAAGAAATCAAAAGCTGCATCGCCAAAAACCCAAGCACAGAATTCGAATACGATCTAACTCGAATGTTCAAGCTTCAGAATCAAGGTCTGACATTTACCGATGATGGCTACGAATATCGCCTTAGTATTTCATGTAACGAAGAGTTGAATGAGTGCCCGGAAAAATCTGGAATCTGTATGAAGAAGATTAAAGGATCAGATTCTGTCTACACCTCGCTCGGGACGTTTACCAAACGCGTTATCTATAATCACGGGGCATTAACAATCACTTATGCTGACGGCGATAAGTGCCCCGGAAACGAAGCTGGGAAGTATTCAACTTTGATACAGTTTATTTGTGATAAAGAAGCAACTGTTCCCACGCCGTCTATCATTGCTAAAACACAAGGTGGATGCCATTATCTAATCCTCGTCCACACAAAAGAGGCTTGTGAGCCAACGGCTGAGTGCGGGGCTCAGCAGCTAGGAGGAAGACTTGTTGATTTCTCCCCGCTCATCCCTTCGCATGGCCATGATTTAGTTAGCGGAATCGACCAGGATCCAGAGGATTCCATGGAATCTATTTATCTCAACATCTGTGGTGCAATGGAGCCTATCAAGCAAATTGACTGTCCTCCTGGTGCCGCCGTCTGCCGATGGGTCAGAGGCGCTGGAACTCGACCGATGTCGATCGGCGATTATGATCCAACGGCAGAATGGGTTTGGGAAGAGGATGAAAATCCAACGATCGTTTACAAATCAAAAACTTCGTGCGGAAATGGCCATTTCTACAAAACTAAAATTGAGTTAACGTGTGATCCAAATCGTACGAAAGACTACCCAAGACTCGTATCTGTTGACGACGATACTTGCACATTCCTAATCGTTATTGCAAACTCACTCACATGCACAAACGACGACTCTCCTTTCAATCCCGCTCCGGTTCCAGAAAAAGATGTTCCACAAATGAAAAACTGTCAAATCGAAGACGACAAGAAAAATCTCTTCTTTGATTTCAATCAAAGTAACGATGGATCTTTCAATGACGGAGAATTCGACTATAAATATAACATTTGCAATGGACTGGATCTTTCCGACAAATGCAAGAGAGCAGCATTTTGTCGACGGAAAGAAGACGGTTCTGGCGAATGGGAGAGTATTGGTCAGAAAGATAATGTAAAAGTAGACCATGAGCTTGATCTTGCCGATGGAATCGCGCTTGAAATGGTGTTCTCTGAAGGCAAACCATGTATCGATGAGCCCGATAAAAAGTATCATACGACTATTTGGTTCAGGTAACACAACTTTTACAAATAAAATCTCAATGATTGATTGAATTAAGTTGTAATGAGCATGATGAAGAAACAGAACCCGTTGTTGTTAGTTCTGGAAAGTGCAGCGTCGTCCTTTCCTGGAACACAAAAACAGTATGCGAAAAAGTCGTAGGAAAAGACGATGATCCAAGTAACGATAAGCTCATCGATCCAGACACAGTCAGACAATGCCTGTTCACCAATTCTGACGACTCGCTATCTTACGATTTGTCGATTCTCAACCGCGTGTCAGGTAATTCAACAAGTAGTGGACTGGGTCGATTATTCTTTGTGTTCAGAAAGTTGGCAAATTTCAACGGGCGATTTGCGGTTTCTTTTCAATCCATGCGGTCTGGTAATGCAAACTGATCTGGACGACGCTTGTCGCGGCTCGATGGCTTGCGTTAAACGAGGAGGCAAATGGTCATCAGTTTCTGGCCTCGCAATTCCCAGGGCGACGTGGGACGACGAGGACAAGCTCAAACTGAGTTACGACGAAGGTCAGGACTCTGCTTGTAATCGGCGTGATCAATCGCCGCATATGAGCATTCAATTTGAGTGCGGTGCCACTATCGGCCAGCCTCAACTAATCAATCCCTTTCCCGACGGGCAATGCAGGTAATTGCCTCTCAAATCTGAAAATGACAAAGAAAAATAATCAATCCCTAGCTATCAAATAAGGTGGAAGACTACAGCCGCCTGTCGGGTAAAGGAAAGACCCGTGATTCTCGACGGTTACACTTATGTCAACCCCGTGACTGACCAGCGCATCGTGTTGCCCTCTGACAAGACATTCCGCGTTGGAGGAGATGTCCGAGATAAAACTTTTTATAAATACTTGATAAATCTTGGAAATGAACTCGACTGGTCGAAACTTGGGTCACATGCCTCTGGTGAGTGCCTTTTACATTTGTCTAGTTTTAAGAATTCATCTAGAATCAATACGTCAGGCTTGCAATGGCGCCGCCGTGTGTCGCATTGGTGGCAGCGATGGAAAGACAGTGGGGAAGTGGGATCGCTCCGTGACTGCGCGCAGCGATGGATCTGTACTCGAGCTCAAGCTCGCTCCTCAACAAGGTTGCACTGTTGTTTTTAATGTCATGTGCGACCGGGATGCGACGGTGGATTCCCTATCTTTTCTTGAAGAAACGAGCCATTGCAACATCCGGTAAAAATTATTAAATATTATTTATTGAATATGAAAATTAAATAAAGACAAACTATAAAATCGAACTCATTAAGATTCGAATGGTACACTAATCAAACATGCACGGGAGAGAATGTAGCAATGGGATCAGAAAAAGGATCTCACGTTGGCCTGTGGTTTTTCCTAATTACACTCATTTCTGGATCGGCTTTCTTTTTATGGAAGAAGGGCGCGCCGCTAGTGGACTCTGTCAGGGGCAGATTCCGAACCATCTCGGTAATAAACCCTTTTGAACCCGTTTTTTAACTCGAATCAATAGTACAACCAGCTGGCAAATGACGACGACGATGGGGACGACCTACTCTTCGAAATTGAAAATGTAGATGATCAAGTGTTCCCTCTCGTTCCAGACTCGATGGTGGAGAGTAGTGCAGCGCTAGAATCAATTCCCGAGAGCAGTGCGGAGAGCCGAGTTGCTGGAGATCCACTGGGTGCTACTTATCGCGACAATCCGAACGATTCCGACGAGGATCTGCTTGTATAGCTTGAAACACCAATTTTTAATTTTAAACATGTTTGAAACAATCAAAAACCCTGTATACTTCTAAAACTATCCCTGCCTATCTTAACTTTCTGTTTTCATCCTTTTCCTTCTTTTATTCAGTTTCTTCTATTTCCAAAGTTCGAAAGTTCTTCCTTTACCTTCTTTTGCCTTTTCTTGCTGCGACAATTAAATTTAATAATAATTTATTATTCATTCACAAAAGCCGTTAAAAATAAGCGATAAAATAGACTTGGATCATCAGTTTGACAAATCGTTTTATCGCTTATTCTTCATTTTAAAAGGGTTCACTATATTTGAAAACGAAGCAATCGACAATCCAGGTTTACTCGTGTCCAGGGCGGATTCTAAGTGCGACGGAGCGGATAATCTCTTTGCTCGATACGACGTTAAATATGTCCCATTTTCTGCAGATTCAGTAGAATGCACTCAAGCGGGCAATTGTCGAACAACACGTTCGAAAATATATTTGCTTTATAATTTTTACAATCATCCTAAATGATCATAATCTACATAATATATTGATCGATTTTACGACGCGTCAATTGCAACCACTGATTTATTTTAAATTAAAATTCTGCACTTTGACATTTGAAACTTTGAATATAAAGACAATCCTTACGTCAAGACCGCAATAAAAGCTTCCGCTCAAATATTTTCCAGAAAACAATTACAGAGATAGTCTCGCTGAAAATTTCAAGTTTGAGGAGAAACTATCTGCGTCATTATTTCTTCTAAAATATCAAAGCGGAAACGTTAATCCTGGTTTTAAAATGAGTATTGTCTGTATTTACAAAGTTTCAAAAGTCAAAGTGCAAAATTTTAATGTCAAATGAATCCGCGGTTGCTATTAACACGTCGTAAAATGACCTCTTCAAACAGCAGTTTCGGCATTTGCGAATTGAAATTAAAAATTTCACTGTTGAAATTCAAATAGACGTTCTGTTGGTTTTTCTAACGCAGGGCAGAGTCAGACTGCTTTTGACATTTGAGGAAGCGCTTTGTTCTCGCAGATCACTCGAACTTTGGGACAATGGCTCGCTTTCAATTTCAAGTTGGCTGGGAAATGTTGAGCTTCGGGGCAGATACTGTAATACTCAGCCTTTTCTAATTGTCACGTATTCCTGCTGACATTTTGGAAGACTTTTCCGATTTTTGAATTAAGGGGGTAGAAACAGCTTTTTTCCGAAAAAGGCGATTTTTGACCGTCGCTTCAGACAAGAGAATCTTACATTTTCAAATTTTTTCTTCAGATTTAGATAGATACATCTTAGATCTAAGAACATCTCCCTCGAAATTTGTTTTAGTCATCAAATTTTTGAGTAAGCGGGCTCAGAAGCAGCTCATCTCTCCGAAATTCTCGATTTTCGCAAATTTTCAAACACGTATATCTCGAGTCCGCTGATAGTTAAACAAATTTCATCCACATTTTTGTGAAGCTCAACCCTTTTTCTAGGAACATTTATGAGGAAATTCCGTGAACGTAAATAAATCTTATACTTTCTTTTATGTAGCTGCAGTCCAAAATGGAGAAAGCTGTTTCTACCCCCTTAATTATCAAAAAGGAATACATTGAAATCAGGTAGGAAAGCCGAAACCTGTGTAAAAACCTGAGTCAGGTTTCTAAATTCGTAGCTCTGCGGTTTCGATTCTAAAAGCGAAGCTGCTTTTATTTTAGCCCTTTCAGTCCCTAACTCAGGTTTCTTTACAGGCTCATACTTTTAGGGAATATCTTCAAAATACGAACACCTTTTCAGTATTCCAGTATTCTGAAAATTAGAAAATCTGTTCAAATAATAATTGATTAAGAAAGGCTTAATCCTCTCCAAACAGATGAAAATCCGTCTTTCACGTCCATATTGACCCAGTTGGAACTCCCTTCCTTCGATAAAAAAACGCGAATCTTTCCTAAATCGATTCTCCAGCTCTTGAAAACATTTGCACAATGATTTTCGAGGACAGCTGTTTGCCAATCACTCCGTTAACCCTATGCGTGACGATCAGAACTACCCCTATGCGTGACGCGGATGCATTCAGTGCATCCGACCCATCTAGAACAATTTTTTGCTCTTTTTTGCCAAGTTTTGAAGAGAAACAGCCTGAATTCGCTGTTTTCAGTGTCTAAGAGACCGAAATACCCCCTTCAACGGCGGCGAAACGGGCTCGTTGTTACGTAACATGCAGCGAAATAGCTGTTCTCGAGACGAAAAATAGTAAAATTACGACATTTTTCACGTTTTTAGGTTATTATAAAATTTGTTTTCAAAATGTGACGGAGCGGATCGGACGTGTTTTTGGACGTAGATTCTTATTCTTTTTAAATTTTTGAATTTGGGCTAAAATTGAGAGAGAAATGGATAGAAAACCATGAGCGGATGCACTGAGTGCATCCGCGTCACGCATAGGGTTAAAAAACACCTCGGGCGCGCGCTAATCATCAATCCTTCTCCAATCTGACCTTATCCTCATCCGATCTTTTTAATTTTCACACTATTTTGAAGCAAAAAGAAAAAGAGATACGTCTAAGATGTCTGCTAAAAGTTATGAAGGGGATAAAGCCATAAAATCGAGGCGAGCGCGTATTTTTGGAGCGCGCACGTGAGTTGCCGCGGAGATCTCTTTTGGACTCCGCTCGTTTTCCGCCACTTTCGCCAGTCGCCCTTCTCGCACAGAAGCACACCCAGCAGCTCCGCGACAGATTCATCTTTTTTCGATTTTTTGAAATTTACTCTTTTTTCAAGTAATAAGAGTTGAATAAGAGAGATAATGATGAGCGATCGAAAAGTTTAGGGACAACATTTTATTCAAAAAATTTCAAAATTTTAGTTTTTTATGGTTTCTTTAGCAAATAATTTATGTCCGACGTTAATTGTGAGTTGAATCAAGCAACCTCCCTACTCATGATTTTTGTTTTCTAAATAAATTTCAATGAAATTCTATTCTTACAGTATAGATTTTTCTAGATTCTAGCACCGCCTACACTAGCTACAGAACCCCGTCGAGAGAATTCTCCCCCAGCCAATTATTATCGATCTCGTCGGTCTTTCTAGACGAATTTGCTGTTCCTTGTTTTTCACTTTTTCAATCCGCGAAAACTGATTTTTCCCGGTATTTTCGCCATTCGCTGTTTTCAAAAGAGAGATATCTTTTTTTAACATCGTTTTCTATTTCAGATAATATTTATTTATAAAAATCATGAGCAACGAGGACTTGAAGGCCGAGCACGTCTCCCGAGCCAAGCTCTCCGAACAAGCTGAGCGATACGACGACATGGCCGAGTTTATGCGACAGGTCACCGAGTCTGGCATCGGTAAGTCCAAAAACGAGCAAAATTAGAAATCGATACTGACGACTCTCTCGGTTATGAGGGTGAGCCACTTTTGGCGAACTCGATAAGTTAATTTCACCAGCTGCCAATTTGAAAATAAGACCTTCACTAATAAGCTTTCAAACTCTTTAAGATCAAAATTATTTTTTGAAATAAATAATTGTTAATTAAATTTAATCGAAAACGAATAAGAAAGGAAATATGCTTCTGCATGATATATCCACTAAATTAACAACGAATCCTCTAGGCTGATTAAAAATGCAATTTTAGAACTCACCAACGAGGAGCGAAACCTTTTGTCCGTCGCCTACAAGAATGTTGTCGGCTCTCGACGATCCTCCTGGAGAGTCATTTCTTCCATCGAGCAGAAATGCGAGCCCGGAGAGAAGAAATCGGTAACTCCCACCTCCTCTCATCATTTACTAACTGTATTTGACTAGCTGTACGCCAAGGAATACCGCGAAAAAGTCGAGAAGGAGCTCCAAGACATCTGCGAGATCGTTCTCAGCCTTTTGGACAAGCACCTCATCCCCAAGGTGAAGAAAATAACTAAAATCAAGAATGCTAAAGGCCCGTTTTAGTCCTCCTCCGGCGAGTCGAAGGTCTTCTACTTGAAAATGAAGGGAGATTACTACCGATACCTCGCCGAGGTTGCCACTGGTGATCGACGAAAGGAAATCATGGACCAGTCGCAGCAGGCTTACAAGGGCGCCTTCGAGGTCGCGCAGAAAGAGATGCCCGTAAGTTTAGCCCAAGAATGTCTTCTTCTTATTATTTATTGAAATTCTGTTCTCTTCCTTGATCTCAACGCTGTTTTCTTTAGCCAACCCACCCTATCAGACTTGGCCTTGCTCTCAACTACTCAGTCTTCTACTACGAAATCCTCAACGACCCCAACGAAGCCTGCAGGTAACTTTCAACCCTTTTTCTTCCAATCATCATTGCGATTTTTCCCAGCCTCGCCAAATCTGCCTTCGATGACGCCATTGCCGAGCTCGACACTCTTTCAGAAGAATGCTACAAAGACTCCACGCTCATTATGCAGGTAATTAACCCGCCAACGCGTCTGTAACATGTCTAACTGCGCTACTGTAGCTTCTCCGGGATAACTTGACCCTCTGGACGACCGACAACCAAAAGGAAGAAGCCGATGATGCCGGCGATGATTAACTCTATTCCTCGCTCGTTATTCCGGTAAATAAAGAATCTCTATTTTCTCATCATTCAAGAATCTTTTTTAGCTTATTGTCGCAATGGAGTCTGCCATTCCCTTATATCTTTTCTGTTAGGAGGAGTTTTCGTGTGTTTCTAATAATATTCCGAAATTATTAATTAGTGCCCGCTTAGATTCATCTAAATTTTATTTTTTTTCTTCAGAAATTTCCTTTCCCGTACATTATTCCCTCTCACTAGCCAAAACCTGCAAAACAAATAATAAATTTTTGGAAATACGAGCTTCGCTGGCCCTGGCAGCACGATTCTCACTCTCTTCTCTGTCTCCTGAAAATTCTAGAGCAGAGTAAGGGTGGCGATGATTGCGCCGGGCTGAGCAAACTTCTCCTTGACAGTAATTGTTTTTCACTGACTGTAAATACGAAAACAAGCTCTATGTCCGTGTACAAGTGTTCCACAGAAACGTTCAAATTTCAAATCGAATAAACGTCGATGTTGAGCAAAAACTGTTGATTGCATTTGCATTCGTTTGAGCATTCGGAGCAGGAAGGTGGTAAACAAGTGATTCCTACAGTTGTTTAAGCAGGAAGTCGAGAAGTATGATGTCAGTTATTTGCGCTTGGTATCGTACAGAAATGATAAATACTGGTTGATTTCACACTTTCTCTACTCTTATGATCGTTCCTACTGAGACACAACATGTTCAGTTTCCGTCGAAAAAAGGTAGAGCCCTGTGAGTTCCTTGTCAATTTCACGAGGAAGGTTGTTTCAAAAGAAGAGGCCGAAAAGCGAGACAGCTTATACAAGTCGTTATCTGGACTCCCTATCAGAGAATTGCTGAGAGAAGTCCCACCTCCTTCAGTTAGAATTCCAGAAGAGGCGGGGTGGAGACGAAGATGGTGTGAAGTCATTGATCTTCGTGAGATGCCTACAAAGGCGAAGCATCTTAACATCGAGCTCGAACCCTCTGAACGGAAGATCACTGTTTCTGGAAAATCCTACACAAGAAAAACCCGCCGAGATGAAGTCGTAACACACGCCATACACAAGTGGTCTAAAATTATCGCTGTGTCCGATGATGTTTATCTAAAGACAATGAGCGCCAAATTAGAACATTCCCCCGATAAACTTATTTTCACCGCGGACCGGGCTGTTCCTCGTTATACTCCGTGTGAGAGGATTCCAATCAAAGTTCTCTCACCAAAAGAAAAGTGGGCACAAACCAAATAAAGTTCATTATTGATAATAGACTATTATTAATAGTCTATTAATAGTATTATTAATAGTTTATTCTTCTTTTAATATTCAGTGCACATCATGGAAGTCTCGTACTCACCGAACATTTCTCCAGTCTCAAGACATTTTTCAATCTTATTAATGCTCTGAAAGTATTAATTTATTATGAAAGCAATCCCTCATATGAAGCTGTAGTACTTACAAAGGCGACTACAGATTCCTTTTGATTGGCAATGTACCAGGTTTGCTCTGATTTTTCGAGGACAAAAAGTTCTTCCTCACTTTTTACTAAACCTCTTCTCTCGTATATGAAAGTTCCGTAGATTTCGTTCTGGCTTGAATACTCGTAAATACCAGCGATATCAGATCGGGAGGCTAAATGATACATAGTCTGTCTAGAAGCATTTCTTCACTCACAGAATACTTTAACTTTCTTGCAGCACTTCCCTTGTTTAGTCATATGCATGTTTTTGAAGTCTATGCATTCGAAACAGGAGCAATGATCCTTACTTGATCCACAGTAATGATTAGGCGAGCAGCATGGGCCACTGTCAGAGTCCCAGTCTTCGAGTGGGCAAGACGAGTAATTGAATTCTATTCCACATCTTCCTTTATTTTGGCCATCTTGGAAAGGCTCTATTTTTCGTAGGTACCAGTGCTTGACGAATACTTAAATTCAGTAACTATATAATGAAACTTACGTATTTCATGTCGCAATGATATCCAATTTTTGAGATTTCTGTTGAGTTCTCCATATAACAAATTTTTCTTTGCTCAAGAAACTTTGGCCACAAACACTCGAGCATTTCAGGCTCGTATTTATGAAGCCCAATCGAGTGTTCAATATAACATAAATTCGTTCTCTCTATCTCTGGGTATTTGAGAATTTTTGAAGGTTTTTCGATGTTTATAACATTCTCGTATCCATAGCCGCCGTTTCTCATGCAGATCGCTAGAAAAGCATCATCGATTGGTATAATCGGCAACTTGGGTATATTCTCATGAATTACTTCTACAGCCGCTCTGTTCATGAAAAGACACGCTCCAGAAGTGTAGTTGGGGTAAAGGTCTTCGTTCCAAACTAAGTCCTGATACTTTCCATACGAAGGATCTGTTCGCCTCTTGTTGTTGTACATAACATCTCCCCAGATATATGGTTCATCTGTGATTGATTGATTTCTGAGAAGCTGAACGAAGGAAAAGGGGTTGAGAAATATATCGTCGTCGCCTTTATAGCATATTTTCATATGAGGCGCAGCTTCCAAAGCCCATGCGAAAAACATTGAGTCTTTGAACGTAAGGTTCTGAAAACTGTCCACGAAATTTCCAACAAGAATATCATCGTGTTGATCGAGCTCATCGTAGTTGCTTGGATTGTCAGTTTCGCCGATAAGGAAGACGAAGTTCGCGACATATGGCTTGTAGAAGGTAGTATTTCCATAACTTAAAATAGCATAAATTATTGGTTTGGTTTATTTTTAGGATTTTTTTCGATTGGCCAATTTTTAGGTCGTTTCTTCCTGAATAAATCTTGTTTCAGAAATAGGGTGCCCAATTACAGATTGGTACAATTCGCTCTTTTTTCGAGAAATCTAAAAATAATGGTCAAAATAGTAGTGTGAGTCGTCTGTAATTCAAAAAATTGGGCACCTAAATCCTTACCCGTAGCTCTTGCTGGCTCGCTTGATTTAAACCGAAGTACCTACTAAGTGCACGCAGTAGAAAGATCTGCCCTACTAACCCCGACCATCGTAGTTTGGCTTCACCCGATTACGGGAATCAATCAAGTACGCGGTCTGCAGGCTAGCGATGAGTGTACAATTTAGCCAGTATCTAAATCGAAGAATTATTTTATAAAATATAATTCGAACTACCCTACTACTATTCCTAATTATTCCACTATCTTATTTCCCACTATCTCAGTACATCAGTGTATCAGATATCTTCCCAAAGGTTTACAGCCGATCTTAGACCTTCTATAACGATTTTGTCAACTATTTTGGGTTTTGGCATAAATTATGTTTTGTCCCTTTTCTCTCACGTTTTTCTGATGACGTCTCTCCTGTCTTTCTTATTCCACTGAGATTTAATTCCGAATAAAAGATCAGTCCGGGGATTTATGTTCTTTGGCTTCTTTATCACTCGATATTCTTCGACGATTGAGGTGTTTTTCCAATAAGATCCTTTGTTGATGTAAAATTTTATCACTTTCTTAGCTTTATTTTTCTCTGATCGAAGTAAAGCACTTGCATAGTTCGGCGCAGGGTACTTGCCGAAGTTCCATATAAAATAATACGGAATCAGAAGTAGAAAAGAGAAGAAAAGTATTAGTTTTTTTATTTGTAGATTCATAATAAAGAAAGAATGGAACAAAGGTTCTGTGCGGCAAGATTAAGGTTGCATCCGGGTCATTCATTTCACATGTGCGAGTTAGTAAAAAACGTTCTACCAGAGACAAAGACGTTTAACTTGCGACAGAAACTGCGTCAACAGCATTTTCTTTTTTGCAATCAAAATCTTGGTTTTCGCCATCAGCGCAGTCGTAGTTGCCGTCATCGTAATCATACTTAAGAAATAACAATAGACATAGAAGGTCATAATTTCTCACCTGATCATCTCCTGCTAACGAATCTTCTTCCTCCATAATGTGACACATATCGAAGCCTTTCTTACTCTCACAAGAAATCTCGCTCGCTGCATACTCATTTTGAATAAATGACCTCGGAGTAATCGACCTTTCCAATAGAACCGACCGCTCAGATCCTCATCATCAAAAATAGTTTGCCGCATTTTTCGTTGTTGCATTTTTCTCAAAATTTTCAACTTAGAAAACTCAGAAATGAGAATCTTCCAAATACGCGCTATCTTCATCTAGTTTTTCTTTCTTTCATCTTTGACTGAAAATGTCGCGACCTGAAAATTAAATAATTATAAAGAAGTGCTCTCATAAATCATCACCTTGATAAATTACACTGAAGAAGTTCAGGAGAATTCAGATAAAGGAAGATTAATTGCAAATTGTACGCAAATTTGCTGGGAAAGGAAACACATGGTGAAACAAACTCAGCGTTTTCCTCCGCGTTTTTCTAAACTTTAGAATCTTTCTTTAGAATCTAAAGAGATTTCTCCGAGATGAAGTTTTTCGGTCTGTGTGCTGCTTCAGTCCACGGACTTGCTCTTAACAGCACGATCACAGACGATGTCGCCCCAATGGCAGACCCGCAGATCCTTGTTATGAGCAAAAACCCGCCATTCGCCATTGCTTGGCCTTACGGAGCTTCAGAGCCTGACATTCACCATTACGAAGACTTCAATTACAACGGATTCTACGTCAAGCAAACGTGCTCAGCGAAACTCAATGGAAGAATTTATCTTTTCGGCGGTGGAACTAGCATCGAAGATCCCCAACGACAGCAAGTTGCCCGCGTCCGAGGTGATATTACTGGTTTGGATATTCTATCCACCCAGTTGCCATTTCCAATGGTCGAGCATTCTTGTGCTGCGATAAGAAACAATTGGATTATGCTTTGTGGTACTGCTGATACTGTCAGCGGAGAATACAGGTATTTTTCATTTCCCTACTTTTTTGATATAGATTAGCCACCAATGCAACGCTTTTACTGAAGACGGCAATGGTTTCTTATGGAAACGAGAGCCCGACACCAATGGTGCTCATGCTAAGAGCGCAATGGTGTACTCATCACGTGGTTACTCCGTAATTATTGGTGGCGTCGACGGATACGATTCTACTGTTGTAGAAACTATTCACATGCGCGAAGAGTACTCTGATCCACAGGTTTTACATATTTCATATTGGAACACGTCTGGTACAAGCTAGTTTTATTAAAACACGTCTAGAGCGCTGCATGGGTTCAAGGCAAAGCACTTCCAGCACCTATTGAAGAGCACTCTGCAGTAGCATTTGATAATGGACGAGTCTGGTGAGATTGAATCTATAAGAGCACATTTTGAATTTCCCCAGTGTCTTCGGTGGCTGGAATGATAATAACTTCGGAGCGACAAAGATCACTTACTGCATCCGAGAGCCATGGATTCTCGGAACGTCTTCCGATGTATGGGGCCGACGAGACGAGCTTGTCATCGCAAGGAGACAGCACCGAACAGTTCTTCTTACTTCTGGAGGGCATACTGAGCTGTTCCACATTGGGGATTCTGGACACAAAGCAATCGAAAAGTGGTCAGGTAAGAAAAAGTGAAAGAATAAATCTTGGTAAAATTTTAAGACCCTAACGAATTCTTCGATCGCTGGTCAACCAAAGCAACCCACGGCGATTTTTACGGACTTCAAGTGCCAGAAGCCTTCATTATTTAATCAACTCAATCAATTTTATAGCTGCACTTTTCTAGAACATATGAGAATAAACGATTACGATACCGTTAATTGTCAGTTGTTATTTCTGAAAATGTTTGGCGTCCAGCAAAACCAAGCTCAGGTCGATAATACAAATACAACTTCACGGAAATTATACACAAAACTATAGAATGGAATGCCTGCCAGCATGATCACCGAATATAATGGTATGAAGATGGAGATGGTCGCTCCTGGACCAAACAACCCGGGAGGTATGTTCAATACGATGCCAGGAATGCCCGCCCCGGCTCCTGCCCCAGCTCCAGCGCCTGCTCCCGTTTATGCGCCTCCTCAAGCAGTTGCTCCGCCACCAGCTCCTGGTAAGTAGTTGGTTACTTAGTCAAACAATCATTCATCTATTTTCCTTAGTAGCTCCTGCGCAAAATCAAAACGAAAGCTCCGGCTGCTGCATTATCCTGTGAAAGAGCTCTTTTCTTTTAGTGCAGAACCTGTTTATAAAAACTATCATCAATCCAAGAACGATTTGTATTTTTATTTTCAGCCTATAACAATGTCTCTCAGCAGTACAGAAAATATAGAAAATGTCGTAAAAGTATGCTAGTAGTCGGGCGTAGAGTACTTTTTTGACATTTTCACACCAGCACACTTGTCTTAGAGGGTCGTAAGCATCTTTTAGAAGACTGGTGGAGAAATCTGGTCTCCGTAGTCTGCGAGCCAATCGGGTGTTTGTCGGAAGTAGTTTACCATCTGGCCGAAAGTTCCATTTTCGAAAATGGGGTAGATGTTGATCATATTTTGGATGGCAAACTTCTGATGACCTGGGAGGATTCCAGTCTCGCAAGAGTAGTCTTCTCCAGTTTTGAAGTCAGTGGAGTAATCGACGGGTCCTTATTCATTTCGTTACAGATATAAGGGAAGATATACAAAACCTTGTTCTGTAATGTTCGTGGATCGATCAGCATAGACCTTGAAGTACGTAGATTTGTAAGTACAGACCATTGTTCCAGTCTCATCCTTTTCGCAGATTGGTTTCTTTAAATCTTTAGTGAGAATCTGTTTTGCCGAGATTTATGTACCTTCCACAGCTTGGTGTTTGATCTTGAAAGGAACGACCACAAGTGACCGTCAGGGCTGTGCTCGGAATAGTGAAAGTCACCAAATGTCATGAGACCATCATTTCCGCGGAATCCACCCTTCGTTACATCAAATGGGCACCAAACGAAAGCGGTGAATGGAGCAGTTTTCCACCACTCTGGGTCGAGATACTCTGGGTGACCGACGGTATCAACCTGGTCGTGGCTCCACGATTCAGCGTTGACCAAGTTAGAGATTCGAGCTTTCAAGGTAATGTAGCTGCTCTTCACAGTCTAGTAAACATGAAATAATATTCTGTAACGAAAACATGATAAATACCTTGACGAAATTGAAGGTACCACCACCCCAAACTGGGATCTGTTGCTCGTTTTCGTGGCTGACGCAACCGAAGTATTCTTTTATGGCTCACTATTTGAATTTTTAATTAGCTAAAACAAAAATGTGATATGAAAGCCGAACTCTTTGTTCATGGTCCATTTGCAGATGCCGTTATTGCATAGACATTTGGTTCCCATCATAGGCTTGCCAATGTTGTTATCATATCCGTTCTTGCAGGCAAGTCGGATGACGCTTACGTCTGGGTCGAAGTACAGTTCGCCGTTGTACATCGGGTCATCGAACGGAGTGTCTTTGCCTCGTCCTTTTCGGATACTCTCGATGTAAAGACCCTCTCCAAGCTCGGCGAGGAATCTTTTCATCGTGCTCACTTTTTGTAAAGATAGAAATTTACCTCCAATTAAATAGCTCTGTAAATACGGTATATCTCTCGATTTATTTCTCTTTGAGCACGATCCCATTGTCACTCAGGTCCTCGTTGAAGGTCTGTTTTCCAGTGCAGCGAGTCTGAACGGCGACTACAATTTGTTAGCATTTTGAAGACCCTCCCCAGAAACACGAGTGGCAAAAAAAAATTGCCAAAAAATGTCGGTTTCAAGTCATGGTTATCGAGTCGTGAAAAAAGTGGAGATTTCTCAAAAAGGGAGAAACTCAGAGGAATCTTAGGAACACTGCATTATATAAGCGAAGATAAAATGATGCGCATCTCCGATGAGATCTCCGTCTTATCTGCCAAGTCATAGAAACATGGAGAGCCTGGTGTGCTCTGATAAGTTTCCGCGAATCTCCGAATAGAAGAATAAAAACAAAGTTATTCCAGCTTTCATCAGTTTTAGAAGGCACATTTATGTAGAATTATCTGTTTTTCATATTTCAATAAACGCGAGGTCTGCTCAGCAGGCTTATTCAAATTCAATTACTTTGACAGCTACCCACTCGTAATAACTGACAAGAAGTTGGAGTGTTTTTACAACAATTTGTTACGGATTTGAAGTATCTTGACCTGTGATGCTTCTAAACATTCGCGTGAAAGCTCCGTGGGCGCTCGCGAGTCTCGCCCCTCATAAAACATTTTTCCGGGGTCAGAAAATCGTTTTGCGAAAAGTTTCAATAATGAAAATTTCAACATTTTTATTCACCTCCGGTATCTATGTATCCGGATATGATTTTAAGCGACATCGCCGGAACAGGCGAATGTCTGAATGGAGACTAGCTAGAAAATCATACAAGTTCGATCATCCGAAAATATCGAACAAAGAAGCTGAAGAGACATTTAGAGAAAACCTCATAGAATATGAAAAAGAAGAAAATCCAACGACGATTCTGAATTTTTGGTCAGGAGGACTTCCTCGTTTGCAAAAAATCTCGAAGCATTGTGGAGGATGCTGGCTCACCAATGACAAACACGTTGAGTACACCGCCGATGCGATCATTTTCGATCATACAAGATACAGAAAAAACCTGGAGGTGGAAACTGGAGTTATGCCGGATTTCGTCAATAGAAACACGGATTCACAATACTGGGTTTTCTGGCCGAGAGAATCAGCTTCCAAGGGAATCGAAAAAGGAACAAATCATAAGCTTGTCAAAGAAATTCACGATTGGGACGGCGCTTTCAATCTCACAGCTTCTTGCAGACTGGATAGCGATGCAATCCGCCCCTACGGAAATATGAATCTTCTTCTAAAGAATTATGTCGGAAAGTCTCAAGAAGAAATTATCCAAAGTATCATGGCAAAGAAACAATACAACAACGGAAAACACACAGCGTGGATGGTCTCTAACTGTGATAAAACTAATGGAGCAGTGGCTCGCTGGGAACTTGGACAGCAACTCATTAGATCAGGACTTAAACTTGACGGCTTTGGCAGTTGCTTTGACAATAACATCAACGGAAACCCATGGCAAGTGAAAGATCTTGAGACAGAAGGAGCCATCGGAAAATATAAATTCTATCTAGGTACTATTTTACAAAAATTATATTTCAATTTTAAATTAAGAAATCTACTTTTTATCATGTCGACTCGTAACAAATTTTTCAGCGTTTGAAAACTCACTTCACTGCAATGGCTACATATCCGAGAAATTTTGGCGAAATTCACTTTTAACGGGAGCGGTTCCAGTTGTCTATGGACCATACAGAGCTGATTTAGAGGCAGTGGCGCCGAAAAATTCATACATTTTCGTTGAAGACTTCAGCAGTCCTAAAGAACTAGTCGATTATCTTGACTATCTGGATCAAAATGACACTGCTTATGCCGAGTACCATCACTGGCGAAGCGAAACAGAAATGGAAAGAAATGGGAGCATGATGACCCACGATGACGAAATGATCTGCCAGCTTTGCCAGAGTAAGATTTAGTGACAATATTCAGTAGATTATTTAGCCGAGTTTCCTCGTCCCGTTAGACGCTGAAACACCGTGTTTTTCGTTAAAACAGTCCCGCAAGAATGCGGATCATAACGCACAACGCGTGTTTTTGTTTCAAATATTTATGGATTGAACATGCTTTTCCTAAATGAGTCTCTTTTAACTACTCTATTTTTTACCCTTTATTGATGCTAAATTGAATCTTTAAGAAATAAACGAGCGTAAATCTCTTGGCTATCCAAAAAGGATGATCAGAAGTGTCGCCAGTTGGTGGTGGTACAATGTTCACGATGAAAAGTGCACTGAAGGATTTGACCTGCCGAAATGGATCACTTCTTACCCGCCACAGACGATGGAAGATACCTACGATGAAATGAAGGGAAATCTGCTCGAAAAATCGGGTCCAAGATGAGAAATAAGATCCTTTGTTTTTTAAGAAAATCGATGCTGTAAGTTTTCTGTAAATAAAAGTTTAGGGAAACGCTCGGTTCGTGTACCATTTGGTATTCGAATACCAAATCTCCTCAAAATTTCAAAGTTTATTCAATTGATTTTTCTGATCGGAAATTTTCCCCGTATGGCTTTGGAAGTATGAATGATTGTGGCTGTAACTGTGGCTGTTGCTGCAGTTGTTGTCGTGAAATGGTTAAAGGACGCACAAGTGGTGTTTGCTGGAGTTGGACAATTGTTGCATTTCCTGGCTGAATCGCGAGATGTATTCCCTTTGGCTGTGACAGCAAATTTCCTGATTGCTTCATTGTTGCGGGGACTTGTCGGAATATTTGCTGTGGTTGCTTTGTCAGTTTTTGATGTTGATTTTCGGCTAGGGTAACGCTGTCTGTTTGAGTTGCTGGGGCAAGGTTCTTATCGATGATACAAGATGGGCAGACTAAAGAATATTCACGTATTCTTTATCAGAAAGGCACTATACCTTCATAAACATGCAGGCGACAAACGGGCGCGAAGCAGAATCCGCAAGAGGTTTGAGTTCTACCACCTCTTTTTGTTAAATGTTCGCCAAATTTGCAAATATTGTTCACTCGTTTTCTAATTGCATGATCAATTTCATCGTCTTCTTTGGAGACTGGATACTTTGGGCAGCAAGGTTTCTCACCAAGCTTCGCCGGGGTCGATTTCACGTGAATAACTAAAATTATTGTTGACGCTTTTTGCTTTTGCTGATTATTTTTAACCTTCATTAGGCTCTGATTTGATCATACTCTCTTCAGCCATTTCATCCTCCTCGACAACCATAATTTCAACCTCGTCAGTAGGCTCTTCCTTGATATCAATCTTCTCCGGATTCTCCTGAAATTTCATTTTCTTCGCTTCAGATTCCATCTTCTTTGATATTTTTGTCTTGCGAATACTCTCGGCCAATTTAGCAGCTTGAATTGGTATGATCGATTCCGTTTGGCTTAACTTGGCTATCAAATTGAAGAGTTGGAAACTACAACCGGCTGATAAGAAATTTTTTAGCCTTTCCTTGACGAATGAGCGGTTTCTTTGGGCTCCGTTATCTTGGGAAAAACGACATATTGATTGACACCTTGAGGTTTATTTTCGTCGGCCTCGAAGTATCCATGCTCGTTCAAATTATAGACAACTTTACTTTTTCCGAATCTCACACTTTAGAAAAATTACACTAAAGAGGATTCTAACGATGATCTTTACCTCAAGAAAATGTCATAGAAATCGATTTCTTCTTCATCAACTGCAGTTCTTACTATTTTTTGCAATAAGAGCCTCTTCAACATCTTTTCCATTCTCTCAAGTTTACTTCAACTCGCTTTATAGCGAGAATATATTGACGCCGCGAATGGTAAACCCAACGACCAATCCCTTGGCGGAATCTAAAATATGCGCCAATCGCTGCCGAGTGCGCACGCCTCGACGTCAGCCCCCGCGATGGGTTAATGATTCGAGGTCAGCGACGAAGGCGGAACCTACGCTGATCATTGATTTTAAGAACTCAGACAGTAAATTTATTCTCGCTTTTCAAGACAGGTCATTATTGAAACGAATGAGTTGGTGGTTATTTCACGCTCGTATTTAAATCTTATTGACATCGTTGTTTCTTCCATTGATGTCGATTGAGATCAATTTCAAATAAGAAATAAGGGTGTCTGAGATCTCCTGACATTTTCCTAGTTCTCCTTCGGTGACGAAGATTTTCTCTGCAACTTTTTTCAGTTCTTCGTCTTCATCAGGCTAAAATGCGAATCATGTGAAACTGTATCAACAAAGGATCTTAGTTATACCCAGAGAAGTTTTCTAGTTCTGGCGAACATATTCCAGCGAGCAGCCCGGCTGAGCACATTTTTCAACTGACTTTTCTCGGCCTCGGGAATACTCTTCCTTGATTTCAATTCTGAATTCTTCTATTAGAACTTTCTATTTAGAAAGTCCAACCAACCTTTTATCAATTCATCCGGTGGCAGCCACACTTTCTCGAGTTTCTTAGGTTTGTGATTGTTTTTCCTTGATCTGTGATTTTCCTACAAATTTGTGAAATTGCATGGTAAAATTGAAAAAACTACTTTTTTCGGGGATATATTTTTTGGTTGGGTTTCTTTAGGTTCTGGCTCTTCTTCGATATTTGAGAGTCTTTTAGTATCGGACTGAGGAATGTCGAACTCTCTAACATCATCATCTGCCCAGTCAAAATCTTCTCTTTCAAAAATTTTCAATAAAAGGTTATTGAAAATTTCTCTTATTGAGATTTCAACTCTTGCCCAGGAGACGTCATTTTTTATCTATTTTCTCTTTGTTTGAAAACTTATATTTACTGGAAGATTCTATCAGAATTACTTGAGAGATGAAATATCCGACGCGCTGTAATCAATATCATAAATGGAATATAATTTTTCGCATCGCTAAGTTTTGGAATTATTCACAAATATAGGGGGACGGTGAATCATCTAAGGTTACATAAACTTTGTACTCTTTGTAATCGATCATTATTTGCTCGAAATAAATATTCTGCACCTTCATTGAAAATTTGAAAAGTTTGAAAAGCTTTCCATTTAGTTCATCTTCCATGTCTCCCTATTTCATTTCAACTAGCAATATTCTCCCATAGGGGCCTTTTGAAACATATTTTACGAAAAATCTATTGCAAGTCTAGTGTTAATGTTGCATTACGGAAGTGAGGAAGATACGTGGATAAGACGAAAACAGGCGCCGTTTCAGTGGAACTCTCCAAAATCAGCCCATGCTTCTTTCCGGATAAGAAATTAATCTTTTGTGTGTCAAGTCCGGTCCAGCAAAATATTCATGCGCCGGCGATGAGTACCTGATAAGAGATTTTGATACGCGCGATAAGCAACGATCTCTCGTCACTTTTCCGCTTGATGGTGCAACACATGTACCCAAAATCCGTCTTCATTTAAGAATACGTCTAAAATTATGGAAGAAGCAAACGTCGGCATGATTTTTTTCTGTGAAATGATAAGATCAGCGGCGGGATTTTCCGCACTATCGTAAATCGTGAATTTTACTGTTGCTGTAAAAGTGCAAGTCGAAAATTATTTCATTGTAAAGATATTGTCAAATTGTTGCCTTTTTGAACGCTTCTTTTTATTTCTGCCAGTTATTATTTTGCCGAAACTGACACCTAAAAAATAATTTTAACTTTCAACTAGGCATTAGTTTGGAAAGTTTTGTTGAATCATTCTTTGCATAAAATCGCTAATAAACGGCTATACTTCTCCCGAAATCTGCATAAAATTGAATGAGGTAACTCTAAATTCTGATCAGATGGTGAAACGGCAAATTTGGCAGGAGAAGGGCGCTTTACGTTACGTGGATTGAATTGAATTCATCCCTAAGCCAAAGTACTTGACGGGGCTCTTTTTTTCTAATGCGCTCAAAGTTGCGCCCGTGAATAGAAAACACCTCACTGAAGGAGCGGATCGACAATTTGAATTTGTAGTCACTGTAAGCGTTTTTCGTGCAATTATAGAGGAGCGTTGCATTTTTTGCAGCAAAATGATAAAAGAGCTAAAAATGCCAATTGATAGGTAAAATAAATTCCGAATGAGGTGGACTAAAAGCACGTTTTTGTTGAGCATTTTTGAAACTAGCTAAAAATTGAACTCACCAGAAAACAAATATTTGTAAAAAAAAGAACGAATTGCCACATGTCACATGTGGCAATTACAGAATGATTCACACCTGAAGTTCATAGTTACTAAAAACATCGTCACCAACCGAAAACAGCATATAGAAAAAAGGCTAGTCAGAAAAAGCGTATATTTGACAACACGCAATGGTATATTTTGGACCTGGCAAAAAGTTAGTTTTTGGAAGGCAGGATGATCTCAGCCAAGCATGACTAGAAAGGACTTAGGGAAACCGAGAAAGGGTTGACATAATCAATCCCCGAGCAGCTCCACGACGACCAGGAACAAACAGTTTGACACCATAGATACCGCCGGTAATTAATATCAGGGGTGACCATTTGGGCAAAAAATTATCGTCGGGCCGACCAATTGCCCGCCCAATACCAAAAATCAAGACCCGGGCCGACCAAATGCCCGACCAGTCCAATGTGCCCAGAATGCCCAATCGGGCAATTGGGCAATTTTTCGGGCAAAAATTTTCCCAACATTTCGTGCTTGTTAAAACTTTAATTTTTTAAATTTCTCTCAATAATTTATCCCATGTTAAAGATTTGGAAGGTTTGAAATATATTTAAAAAGCGGTTAAAAAATAATTTTGTAAAAGATCGATCAGGTTGTCAAGAATAGACAGCTAACCATTAAGGTCCACTTCACACACTCTTGCATAACCGTCTCGAAAAAAGGGGTGCAAAAATGGGGTTGGAAAAATGAGTGATAAAAAGATCTGGAGGTCAAGGGTAGACAGCTAACCATGAAGGTCCACTTCACACACCCTTGCAGAACCATCTCCGCAAAGAAGGGGCTGAGTTAAGGGTAGGGACAATTTCACAAAAGGATCAAGAGGTCAAAGGTAGACAGCTAACCATAGAGGTCCACTTCACACACCCTTGCAGAACCTTCTCCTTATATCTTTTTTCTTGTTTGTGAGCTTAACGACCAATAAGCGGACAGGAAAACGCCCACGTTCATGATTTTCCCCGGTGGGCATTTGCCCAACTGCCCGATGGTGCCCAACTGCCCAGAAAATGCCCAAATGCCCGACTTTTCCAAAAGTTGCCCAGCCTATTTTCAGGCGTTGAGCCGACCAAATGCCCGCCCAAAAGCGTTTTTGCCCGAAAATTGCCCGATTTGCCCAAATGCCCAATGCCCAAATGGTCACCCCTGATTAATATCTAAATAACTTGAACCAGGTTCGCGGAAATTCGACTGGTAACGAGTTTTTTGATCACTTTCTCAGGATCAACGTTTTCGTCATTATCACACGTATTGAAAGACTTACAATTCGGAGATTTATAAAAGTATTTCTTTCTGACTCAATCCGTTCTAGTTTGATCCCTTTAATAATAGCCTATCACAGGAACTGATGCAATTCTTCTCTAATTTGGAGAGTCCTTATCTCTATATTCGGAAATAGGTAAGAGTTGCAAATCTGTTAGATATCTTTCTGGCTTCTTCGGGAAAAGGAAGAATGTGTTGAATGGGAAGTGCAACGTGTTCTCCTTAGAGACTGGATCGATCTAGATTACGAAATTATATGCGTATCGTTAAATCGGCAGTATTTCCTCTGGCTTAGCCGCGCATTTTCTTATCTGGAAAGGAACTTGTTAGTTGTCAGAAAACAGCAGAAGTGGAGCCGTTTTAGAAGCTGTTAACTGTCGTGGATACGGTAAGGCGGCTCAAGTAGAGGTAGGTGGAATTTTCTTGCAGCTTTGAATGGATAAGTTGCATCAAGACGCGGCTCCGCCTTTTTCCTATGTGAACCGGAATCATGAGCTGATCATGAATTCAATTTTCGCCCTCCCCTTGCATTTTCCAAACTGAATTTCGCTCTAAGCTATACGTGCTAAACAACGAATTTCCAGCGAAGAAAGTGCTTCTTATACCCGGATACTCATTTATTAAATTTCAGTCACTTATTTGTTGTTTTCTTCGAAGAAACTTCCATTTTTCTCACTCTAAACCTGATTCGTATATTTTCGTTATTTATGGCTTGAGCCTTTAGAAAGGAGCTCTGAAAAGATTCGCGCTAATAGACCTCTGTGCACTTGGTAAACATAGGTTGTATTTATGGTCATGTAAATATTGGGAAAGAGTAAAATGCTAAGGTCAGTATGGCATATTTGGAGCTCAGCGCATGGCCTAAAACGTGGATAGGTTCTTGTTACAGAGGCTTTTGAATTTCAGACAGGTCACCGGTAAAAGTTTTGGTGGATTTCAATTTGAAAACGTGAGCAAAAGGGCCATAAAAACCCACAGAATTCATGAATTTTTGATAGTTGGTTCGATATAGAAGGATCTCTTGGAAGGCTCCTTGAATTTCCGGAAGTTTCAACTCCAAAACCTTTTCCAAACGTTTCCTGGCTTTTTTAAACCTCATACTGATTCCAACCTCTTTACAAGATTCGTTGTCTAATGAGCCCACCTCTAGGAATCTATTGAACGATCAAGAATTCATTGCTACTCAAGAAGTAAAAGTGACAAATTAATGAGCTCATTTGTGCGACTTTTCATTTAAATTACGTTGCCTCTTACTGATCCTGGTTCAACCACTTTTCGGATTTGCGAAACGTTGCGGTATTTTTTTCGTGAACATGTTGGATCCCTTACTGAACATTGTTAGGATAGTCCGGTTTGTGGTTGATCAATTTACAAATATTCAGCAATAATAAAAAAGGAGAATGTTGTTGAGCTCCTTTTTGAGCATCTTGTCAAGAGATTTTTGCGGATTTAGTGTTGATTGTATAGAATTTCGCGAAAAAACCCATAATGCCTGAAAAAAGGAGGCTTTTTGGTCATCTCATCGATCAGAGTATTGAGGGTAATCTCAACGTTAGTCACCGTTACACCTTTATAAAGGTAAAGTTCTCAGAATCATACTCTAAAATTTAAACCCCCATTAGATAAATAGCTTAATAAAAGTGATTACTGACAGGCTTCTTATCGAAGAGTTTTTAAAATATACATTTAATTCGGCGATAACATAAGACAAACACAGAATCAGTTTCTTTTTCTAAAAGAAGCGATGATTGACCATAAAATGACGATTCACCAGGATAACCCAAAAGGTGCCAACTTTTTTAGCTATTGCTTAGACGTACGTAATGTATATTGCTATATTTACACGCAATGGCGCTGAGTACGCGCGGCGTAACGCTTTCGTTTTCATGATTTACGCTCTCTTGCGCGGGGCAGTCACAGCGCCATCTATCGCAAAACGCGCACATAAAATCGTCTCGCAGGGATCTGATGATCACAACAACTCGATTAAAGAGATAAAGATATACTGAGACAAATATGAAGGTGAGTAAATCATTAGAATATGAAAGATCTTTCTCTGAAAGATTTCTCTTTGTTGTTAATTAAGATTTGCGATTATCTGTCCATATTACTCAATTCAGACTTCACTGTTACTTCTTGGCTTATCAAAAGCAGCAACAGAAACTCTCTGCGAAGCCGAATGGCTCGGTCCTCAGCCAAATTCCCAGCTTCTCTCCTGCCCAGGTGGTCGGATCAAAATCAACAACGCTGTTTGGGGAAGAAACTTTGGCGAAACCGATGTTTGCTGCGGCAAGAACAACAAAGTGTGCTGGATCAAGGAGGGAACTCAGTGCACAATGTCCGCCACTGAAATGGTCTCGGCAAAATGCAATGGAGAGGCAGAATGCATGCTCTACGGAAATCTCAACGGGATCCTCGGAGACCCGTGCAAAAAGAAGGCGAAATACTTGACCGTCGACTACGAATGCGACTACTCGACCAATGACTCAACAATGTCCATCTGCGAGGCCAACATCGAAGGACGAACAGATTCATTTTCGTGTCCTGAAGGAAAAGAAGTCTTCATTAATTCTGCATCATGGGGACGAGAGAAGGATAACTTGTAAGTGAAATTTGTATTGATGCATCTAAAAGTCATTTCTAGCTGCTGCCCAAACAAACAAGAAGGTCAATGCAAAGCTAGCTCCTGCAGTTTGGCGTTGAAAATAATGACGATTCAATTTAGCTATAATTTTATTGAAAGGCATTTAATTTCAAATTTTTGAAAAAATATTCAACCCACATAAGTGCACCATTCGACGCCACAGCTCTTCTCGCTGCAAAATGCGGTGGAGCGTCCGATTGCTCATGGAGCAAAGACGATTTTGCTCTCGAAGATCCTTGCGCTGGAACTTTCAAATACATGAAAGTTGACTATGAATGTCGAGATCCAGCGCCACTCCAGGTAAGTAACGATCAAAGCAAAAGCTTTATTCAGGAGAACAATTTCTACAACTGCACCGATATGGTCAATGCTTTCTCTGCAAGAATGGGAGAGATCATTGAAAAAGCTTCTGACGGCGTTGAGCACATTTACAAGGTATTATATTCGTTATCAAAAGCTGGTAAATTTTTTGTTCAAGGGATGGCACAGCCACCGAAACATGGCCTTTCCCCGAAACATGCTCAAAATTGCACAGCGACTCGAGAGTTGCTGGGGAACTTGCGAGGATATCGTCCAAATCACTGATGTTCAAGAAACTCTGACCATGGATCCCGAGAGCATGTCGGTTGAAGAAGCTTATCAACAAGCACAAGCCGCCTTCGAAGCCATCAAATCGTGGACAACAGAGAATGGAGCTACTGGCGCTAATTGCGACTCAAAAGTCCGCCGAAATATCAATCACAAGTTTGTTGAGAGAAAAGCCGGTCACTTCAAGGTAAAAAATTGAAATTATCAACCGTTTTAAAAATTTTTCAAGCACTTGGTCTTTGGAAACAAAAAGCGCAAAGCTCATCTTGAAGCTAACCACGGATGGTCCCTTTAAATCAACGACACACCAAATCTTCACTGTGTAAATTGTACATAAAATTTAATTGTAAAAGATACTATTATTCAAAGCGAAAATTTGAAATAATCAATATTCTGCTTTCATTTCTTCTCTGTGTTATTGTTCTGAATAAACACGAATACTGCAATTTAAGTTGTTACTGTCTCTAGAATCAGGGGTTATTTGTAAAAATGAAAATAACAGATAATTAGTTTATAAGGCGCCTCTGCAGGTGATAGTCGATTTTCAATAAGTAAAGTCCTAAATGATACTGATTCTAGTTAGATGCAGGCCCATCGCAAAAGAAAGCCAGGGCCAAGCAAGAAGCATGCGGTACCCTTCGAAAGCGTAAGTACTGGATCAGCGGGTTTTGCCCCAAACTGCTTATGTTTATTGTAATGCTCACTTAGAATTAGTCTCTTTAGAAAATCCGGGATTCTTTCAAGCTATTTAAAATTTAAAAGCTTCCAGACAGCGCCAAGTTCAAGTTCTCTCAAAAAGAAGCAGTTTCGGACACTCTTTCTGTGATTGCGTCTCAATCATTGAGAGAAACAAATGATCGAATATTATTTATAGCCAACAGTGGTGCGAACTCGATATCCAACGCTGCCTCTGTTTACTTTCGAAGAGTGCTTCGATTACGGTCGGTATGCGGAATCTCCTCCAGAACACAGACACTTTGTGCCGCGTTACTCAAAGCTCAAGAAAGCCGGTGGAAAATCAATTACATTTTATGAAAAGTGGAGACGTATGCAGGTACGTACCTTAACAGCTGATATTAGGGCGTCTAATTTACTGTTTCTAGTATGATATGAATTGTGTGATGAAGAAATTTATGAACAAAGCTCAAGTTAATCTATCTGTGCTCCCTCCGTGTGCGAATTACAATTTGTGGAGACGGCCAAGTTGGAGAAAAGCGTATAATAAACCGTTGGATGAAGATCCATGTCCAGATTGCGATGTTCGTTTTCGCTGGGAAAAGGTAAAAGAGCCATTTTTGCTGAACGTTTTAGTACTTTTTGGATCAACACACAAGTTGCTCCAAAACTCAAGGTCGCCTTGGTGACGCGCCTAGATGTTTTGCAACTTCCGGCTAATTTCTATACACATGTGAAGCACCTAAACTAGGAAGTGACTTCAGAATGTTTGGAAGACGAAAGTGGCGCCGGCTTCGATCCTAAGCGAGTCACGCTGGCCCAGGAATCAGTTCAAGGACTCTGTCATCATGATTGGACTTCCACAGCACATTGCCATTGGATTCCTCAGATTCATCAACGAAGAGCAGGCAGTTTTTGAGTTCTTTGATCCGGCAGGACCAACTGGCGACCGAGAAGGCGTACGAGAATTGAGGTACTTTTTCAATTATCGCTTTCTCTCTAAGTTTACATTTAGAAAATGGGTAGAACATGATCTTCCCCGAAGAATCGGAAAGCCAGTGGAATTTCACCAATGTCACCGGAAAGTCAATTTCCAGCACGATATCGATGATGTGATGTGTCAGACATGGATCTGGTACTGGGTTTATTTCAGAATTATCCACGAGGTAATTGCGTTCATGGAAGCTTTTATCTTGTTACTGATCATCTTTTAGATGTCGCCAAAAACTATCGCTACGCATGTTCGTACCTTGATTGACGAAAACAGAAGTTTAAAACATATCCATCGATTCAATTGCTGGCTCTCTGATTTGTACACTATCGGCTTCAGAAACAAGGAAACTGTCTCTCAAACAAATATCGGTAAAAAAACTTTGAATCTTCTTTTATTTTACTTGAAAATTTTAGCTCAATCTGAAACACCACGTGACCCAAGAACAGAACCTACCAACGTCCCATCGACTTCTTTAGGCTCTCCTAGACGAGTCAGGTAAGAGAGAAAAAATTGAGAGATAATTAAAATATAAATCAGGGATGTAAATTCGCATAACTACGTTGAGCCAGTCCGCAGGCGAGCTGAAAAGCGCAAAAGATGTGAGATGATGAGATGCGATAGCATTTTCAGAGTTCTTGGATTCGAGAGCGAGCATTTTGATAATCCATTTGACTGTTCTTAGCGCTTCCATTTTTATGCCATCCCTGATTTATTCTATCGAATTACGATATTTTGTAAACAATTTCGTTTTAGACATGATCGCTCTCTAGTAAGAGTCAGTCGTCAACGTCCAAGTCGGTCATCCAGGGGAAGTGTATCTCATCGTCAATTCACGTCAGGCATGGGTTCAATTTCATGAACAGTAGAGAAAAAACATGTTAACATTAACTATTTTTTATCAAGCTACACAAGTCTGTAGAGTAGGGTCGGGCATTATCACGTGATGACCGCTGGACACGCTCAAATTTTTTTGGGTGATAGCCTGGGGGGAACTGATCATAAAAAACATAGCGGCCCTTGCTTAACCCATCAACACCTTTACCATTTTAACCTGTTTTCTAATTAGCCCGTTTTTGGCCATTTTTCACGAAAAAACGTATTTTTACTCGATTTTATACGGAAAAAACAAATAATTATTCTTAAACAAATAATTGATCTTAAAATGCAGACTTTCGTATTTTACTTCGGGCCGTCTCAGCCCCGTTCCTTGATTTTTGCATAAAATCGAGCAAAAATAGCTTTTTTTTTCAATTTAAATGGCCAAAAACGAGTTAAACAGAAAACGGGTTAAAATGGTAAAGGTGTTGATGGGTTAAGTAAGGGCCGCTATGTTTTTTGTGATCAGTATCCCCCAGGGCATCACCCAAAAAAATTTGAGCGTGTCCAGCGGACATCACGTGATAATGCCCGACCCTGCTGTAGAGAAAACCCTATTTCAGTTCAAACCGGAAGCGTCTCCACAGTAAACCAAAATCGCCCAAGTCCAAGAAGAGTTGAACGAACTATCAGCAACGCTGGTTCTGGTGCTGGGACAAGCTCAAACATCTACCGACCGCCGCATGCTCGCCGAGCTCTATCGGATCCTCAACGTGCGCGGGCAATTTCTCCGCAGCCAAACGAGCCGACCCTCATTCGAAAAGAAATCCGACGAGCGCGGCCTTAATTGCGAACTCTCAAACGAACCTTGCCTGATTGCATTTTGCTCTTGCATGAATAAATTTATATATTTTAAAAACAAAAAGTCATCTGTATCGTTTGAAAAATTAAATAACTGCGGATGTGATTGAAGAAAATTTTTCAAGTGCTATCGAACGAAGAGTGTCTTATACGATTAAGATTACACGTTTACCGGATACAATTGGATCGTAGCCAGTCAGCGCTTATTTTAAGAAATAGTGAGGAGCCTTCCGACTCTAGTAGTTTACTACTTTACTATACTTCTAAGCAAGTAACTAAGGAAGAACACGTAGCAAGCGAAACTAAATACGAGTTACTCACGAAACTCGCTGAGGTGTTCTCTTCCACCGAAATTCCGGAAACCGCAAACTACTAGTAGATTCAAGAGGCGATTGAAACTCTCTTGAATCGAGATCTTTCCTAGGGGAAGAAATATGCATATTCGGCCCCGGTTTTAGTTTAATAATATGAAAAGGATTGATAATGGGACGTGGCATCAATTATGAAAATTGAATATACCAGCAATCTGTTCAACTTATAATTGCGCAAATACATTATATCCAAGGTCGTTTTTCTAACTTGTCCGTTTTTATTTGGTAACATGTGAATTAGCTGAAATTTGAACTTTTAGAAAGCTTTCTCAGTATTTAAGAAATCTGATGACCAGATGATTCTGAAAGTGGATTCTTGTGATCAGCAGGGTTTGCATTGAGTTCATAGTTTGCGACGAGGATTTGATCGCGATCGGCCTTTTGAAATTCTCCTCTGAGTCCGATGTAGTAGACCTGATAATTATTTATTGAAATCAGGAAAGACTCCTGTACCTTAGAGATTTCGTCTTCAACAGAACTCGGGAAGAAAAGTGACAAATGAAAAACGTTGCTAAACTTGGCAGCTTTCAGTGGATATTGCAAATCGCCTTTTGGATCTGGACTACGGGGATTTAACAAAATTGTCAAGCAAATAATCAAACCTCAAATCGATCTCCTGGTCCGCTGTTTTGCTTTGAGCGTCATCAAAAGTCATTCCGGGCGAGTTCTTGAAGATTTTAACTTTTGTCGGTTGCTCCCCGTCTTCTCCGCCGATGATTATTATTGAGAAAATCTTTACGTTTCCATTAAAAGGGATATTGAACAAGAGCTCTGGGTCACAGTCAGAATTCACAAAAGTCTCTTTTTCCATCCTATCTTCATAGCTTTTGAAAACTTTTCGACCCGAGCCGTCGACTTCTTCGCCGAGACACTCGAAAGTAGAGTCGTTGATCTTCGTGTATAAACTTATAGAGGGTCATTTAACGCTATCTTGCTTGATGATAATGCGAGGATTGGCTTGAAAACCCTGCCTGAAATCAGTTGAAAACTCATACTGCAGCGAGTGATCACAACCTCCCCCACAACTATGCGAATGCCCATGCCCGCCCATTCTATAAGAGCACGATTAGACGCAAGAAACGGCGCGTTCTGCAGAATTTCTCAGCGAAGACTTTTTGTTAGAAATGTTCAATAATTTTGTATTTTAGTTTTTAAAAAGAAGATATTGCACTTGATAAATACATTAATTGCGATGAACTCTGTTAAGATTATTTCTCATTTTCTCTAAGATCGGAAATTGATAATAACTTCTCCCTCGATCTCCCAAAAGAATAATTTAATTAGAACCAGGATGTAATTTTTCCTAATGTCATTTTGAAGATACAAAAACTGAAAATAGAATGATACGCACCGGATACATTAACTCACCGGCGACGAAACTTTTTGGGAACTTTTACAGTCGTTACTTTTACTTATACTGGATATCCTTCGGAAATATAAGTTATATTGCACGAGTTTGAGATGAACAAAAGCACAGAATAGAATGGGGTTTAACAAGGTCGAAATTTCAAATAATGAATTGTGCCTAGGTACAACAAACGATAGAGAATAAGGAGGATAATACGTAGGCTGCACGATTCGGAAAATTCTAGTTCTCAGTTTGTTAACTTAGTAACTGACGGATTTCTTTGTGTACGTGAACGAGAAAGTCGACATAGGAGGTTGTGCCGGCGCCTTTACTGTCTTCGTTCTTAAAATTCGGTAAGCGCGAATTGCTTACTCAAAATAGCAACAAACCATTAGTCTTCGCATTCGCGATTCTGTTATTTTGGCGTCTGGATGCCCACATCGAATAATTATTGGTTTTAAGTTTCGTCCTCTTAGCGTCGCTAAACTGGCCATCAGCTGATTCATCGTACTGTTTTGCTCGGTTTCTAGCTTTGGAAGACCGTCGGGGACCTCCAGGGGAGAGTTGACTCCCCAAATTGATTGCACGTCGTTTGGAGTGACATTTTGGCCGACCCAGATGTACAATTGAAGTCCATTTTCAATAACATAAACCTAGAGAGTGTAAAAAATTGCTACACGGTGAATATTACCTGTTCTTGTTTGAATCTTTCGATAGAACATCTCAAAGAAGGTTTGGGAAGTGCGGGATCCAACGCAGTATTAAGAATAGGATAAACACATGGATAGAAATACGCGCAAGAAGCTCGAACATTCATCTGCAAGATTTTCTGCCTGAGATAAGCCCGGTCGTCCGTATTTGTTTCGTGATGGGGGAAAATGCCGTCGTCGCATAACAAAGAATTCATATATGCTGGCATGACCTAGGAATTGATTTTAAAGGCAGTAAAGAAGGGCAGGAATTTACCTTTAGTCTTTCAGGGAGAATCAGCTGGCCAATTGAGCTAGGATCAGCGCAATGTTTTCGATAGGTAGCGAGAATATTTGAAAAGCGTTGAATTAATCCTAAACACTTTCTGTTACAAAATTGAAACGGGATGGGCCGCTAACCTTCTTTGAGCTTCTGTGGCGAGGTGTCTCTGCAACTTCTGACCGCCAGTTTGGAAAAGAAATTCATCATCGCATCTGTTTCTGCAACTTTGTATACGTCCGCTAGTTGGCTGATTACGCCGAGCTAGGAAAGTTGAGAAACGAAACGTATTCAGTTAAGGAACCTGTAAATTGTGAATTCTAAGGCGTCTTTCGCCAAAGACAGAAGTGTACAGCAGTGCGACTTGAACAGCTGCACCTTCAGATTCGTTCAATTTATCGTCATGTTTCAACTCGATTGCGATTCCCTTATCAGCATCCAATGCAGCCAACTCAACGTCCTAGAGCAAGGTAAGTTCTAAGGAAGAGAATGAACAACAAACCTGTGTATTTGTCATATAAAAAGAACCGACAAAATCAACAGCTCTCAGTCCAGCAGTAGTTCGCACTTTCAAAATAGCGTCAAACGCCGTTTGTCTAGTAACAGCTCGAATCGCATCTGATGTAAATTGTTCCCTGTCCTTGTTGATATCAAAAAACTAAAAATTTACAATAAGAATCGAGAGGAAGCGAAATAAAACCTTACCGGATATCTGTAAAGTGTGCCGCCTGTGAGATGACAGACATGTGCCATAGAAGCAACGTCAACATACTGAGATGGGAAGAGGAAGAGTTCCACAGAAGTTGACGCAGCAACGAGATCTTTTCCAACCTTTTCGTAGATTTTGTCAGCAGCTTGGAAGAGGAATTTTTCTTTGTCAGTACCTAAAAATTTATTTATAGAGAAGAAACAACAAAGACCGCACCTATGAGTTTTCTGTCATCTCTGTTCTGCAATTTTCCAGGAGCAGCAACAGTGGGCAGCGAAGAGTGGAACAGGAACAGTTTACCAGCGCGTTGGCAGGAATCAAAAGCTTGAGCGGCGGCTTGAACGACTGGCAGGAAACATGCATCAGGAGCTGGTTGGGGATTTAGCTTTGAGAATTCCGTTAGAGAAAAGAATTCAAAACAAATAAATACCTGTGGAATTTGACCTAGTAATAAATCAATGTTTTCTTTGCATTTGTCTGGATCGACGAGGAAACCGCGCTGTAGAGGCGTGAAGATTTCTTCCAAATCTCCAACGACCTGATAGAAGAAATTTATATAAGAACTTTGGTTGTATATAAATATATATTTCCAATATTTGCGGATCAGTATACCATCATTTGGGGCTGGCTCAGGTCTTCGCTCAAATTGAAGAAGGAAATTGTATGCGAGTAAGTCACAAAACCGACTTTGACGGGACATTCTCCAGTTTCGGGATTTCTCGGTAGACTGTCAAGAATTTTAGGAATAGTTTCACAGACCATGTGCACCTAAAGCAATCTCAACGAAAATTCAAAAGAGGCAAACTTACGAGTCCTGTCCGCATGGCATTATACGAGACATCGATAGCGAAAATGAATCCTGGCGGATCAGGCAATTTATTATTGGTGCAATAGTCTTTCGTTGCGAGGAACTCATAGCTGCCACGGCACAATTCTGGCCTCTGCTGGCGATCCATTCGGTAGCCCATATGATCGGTCATTTGGAAGTAATGCTGAGGCACTTCTGTAACAGCGTGGCACAAGTGACACTGGAAGGATCTGCCGCCTTCGATAAATCTCCACTGAGGGCAGACGTATGCTTTGCATCTTTTGCATCTCAGAGGACCGAATTCTCCAAAATCAGCCAGGAGAACTGGAGGTTCTCCTTGATCAGGTTCAGCCATTGCGTTAATACTCAATGTCATCGGGATCTGCGTTTGCTTCGCCATTTCGGATGTAGCTGGAAGAGAATATAAAGAAGATCGAACGTATCTGGGGGAACAGGAACCGGCATCTTGGATTCCCCTAAAACGCGTTTAGTTCGTTGCAAATATAGTAACTATCTTAAAGGGTGGTCGAAGATGTTAGTTTGTTAAAAATGAAGATGACACCATCTAATTTGGTGCACCTCAAAACCTTTTTAAGATCACTTTCGTTACTCCTGTACTTGGATCTATCGTTTTCTCATAAAATAACCTTTTAATCTTTGTCGTACAAGCAGGTGGAACTGCACCCTTATCTGTCGTGTATGTCTGGTCGTCGAAAATTGCTTGATCATTTTGCATTACTTCGATTGGCGATGGAATCGAGTCTGGGTCCAGTTTTTGTCTCTGTTGTTGTGGATAGCCACCCATTCCAGCTCCAGGGCCCATTCCTGGGCGCGGTGGGCCACCCATTTGTTGTGGTGGCCCTCCCATTGGGGGCATTCCAGGTCGGGGTGGCATACCTCCCGTTTGTGGGGGCATACCGGGTTGTTGGGCCATCCCAGGCTGTGGAGGCATGCCTGGTCGTGGAGGCATTCCTGGTTGTGAAGGCATGCCCGATTGTTGAGGCATTCCAGGCTGTGGTGGACCGGGCATTCCGGGTCTCGGTGGACCATTATTCATATGATTCATTTGAGGGGCTCCTGGACCCATGTTCGGACTTGGCGGCATTCCTGGCATCGCTGGCCTTGGTGGCATTCCTGGCTGTGACATTGGAGACATTCCGGGACTTCCCATAGGAGGCATTCCTGGTGTTGCTGGCATAGCAGGTCTAGGAGACATTCCTGGATTCTGAGGAGGTTGACCTGGCATAGCCGGCCTTGGCGCCATTCCTGGCTGTGACATTGGGGGCAAACCGCCCATTTGTGGCTGCATCGGCGACTGTCCCGGCATCTGTGGAGGCATTCCTGGTTTAGGCGGCATGCCTGGCATCTGTTGGTTAGGCATCCCTGTCGACATTACTGGGGCCATTCCCGGGGCAGAAATTGGAGTTGGACCGGGCTGGCCTGGGCGAGGAGGGCCGAGATTCATTTGTTGGAACTGTGAGGAAGGAGGCTGGAATCCTCCCGGGGTCCGAACCCATTCGGTTGCATAATCTTAACAAACCATAAACGAAATCTGCTTTTCAGATTTTGAATCAGAGAATAAAGGGGATATTCAAATCTTGAGAGGAGTATCTGAATAAATTAGCCGCCAAAATCGATAATTTTTAACAAAAAGCTCGTAAAATTTAATCTTTGAAGCGGATTTTCAGACTTTTTTCTTCAGATTTCCTCTTGAGATGATCGAGCAGAGTACTGTGGGTGCTAAAACAGAACTTTCAGGACATTGAACAGTGATAAAAGGGATAGCTGAGAATTGGTGGCTACGTGTCACTCGGCCGAGTCATTTTATTTGGACGAAGCGAGAATACGGACTACTGATTGGCCGAGAATAACCACTCAAAGGCGAGTTGGAAATCCGCGCCAGAGATAATCTCGATCCTCCTCATATGTTTATGGTTCCTGTCTGCTGCATACGAGTTTTATAATTTATAAAATGATGTTTCAAAAGAACGAATATCCATCAATAATATATATTTCTTGAGTGATCTCCTTTCCTCTTACCCTTGCCAAAAATTCTAAATATCGAACTTCTTTAATGACTCGTGAGCATGATTCTCTTACACAGAGTATTCAGAGGCAAAAGAATGGTTCAAGACAAACGAGCAGAAGACGATACCCTCCCACTGAAGTTTAGCAATCCAGCTTGGAGTGAACCCCTTCACGGCTGGAAGAATGCTTGCGAAGAGTGTGAACCTGAACCTGTCTCATTATTGAAAACAGATATTTCCAAAAATTTCGTGCAAGTAGAAGTTCACGGTTGGTTCAACCATTGCGACTTTGCTCGATTGAATGCGAAAAAGAACGTAGAAAACGCAAGAATTGCTCTGAGAAACAAAGAACTTGGAATTTACTTGAGCGAAGGAACGACTCAAATCAAAAGTCCGCTAAAAGAACACTCGACTTTGAAGCAAGTGATGAATGCAAGTGCCGATTCTGTTCTCAAGTTTGATTTCCTATCCAGCGTGAGTTTGGAAAATCGACAAGTTCGCGTGAATGAGTCAAAGTCTATCGGAAAGGGTTCTTAATCAATTTCTACAATTCTTATGAAAATAATACATCTGTGAACCCGTTAAACAGTTGTCAGTCAACCTATCTGCGTAAAAACACTCCTTCCGCAAGCAAAGAAAATATCAGAAATCTGGAATGGCCTTTGTGATGCGATCCGCGAGCAAGGGACTTTTCTCAACATGAATCTTGGTTCCCTAAACCCTGAAAATCTCCGCGCTAAACGTAGAATTGAGTTTGCTGGATTCTACACCAACGAGGAGAAACTTCCAATTTGCCTGCCCGTAATAAGAAATGAAGACCGATTGATAGATGAAAACTGGCTTCGAGAAATTTGTTCAGCGATGAGTAAACACAGTAAGCATCAAAATATGCCGAATCTTACTGGAAGAGATGAAGAAGAGCACACCTTTCAAATTCCTAGAAATCCTAATCTTGATGTTCTTATCAACGTCCATGAAATTTTGAAAACGCCGGACTTACCCATCGTGAAATTCACCAAACGTAAGCGCACTGGCCTATTTCACTGAATCTATGAAAACTTTAGTTAGATACGGATACTATCATTACGGACAGCAAGCAATGAACGATACAGGCTGGGGATGTGCTTATAGAAGTCTTCAAACTTGTCATTCGTGGTTCTATCTCGCCAACAAGACGGACAAAAAGCCTCCAACTCACCAAGAGATTCAAAAGACTCTCGTCAGACTCGGTGACAAGGAAAAATCGTTCATTAATAGCAGAGAGGTAACGACAAGATTTCTTCAAAAAATAACATTGATTCTAGTGGATTGGAAGCTTTGAGGTGCAAATGATGCTCAACGAACTCGTCGGATGCGACTCAAAAATCATCAACGTCGCCTCTGGCTCAGAAATTGCTGAAAAGGTCCCAGAACTGATCGAGCACTTCGAAACTGAAGGAACACCAATTATGATTGGGGGCGGAGTTCTAGCACACACAATCGTCGGAGTTGCTTATGATGAGCTTTCGGGTGCTTGCTCCTTTTTGATTCTGGATCCGCATTACACAGGCCCTCATCTTGGGAAAAATATTAAGGTTGATAAAGGACAAATGAAGTCTCTGTTAAATTTCATTTTAGGATAAAGGCGTTTACTGGAAAGGACCTGATTTCTGGAAGACCGACTCTTATTATAATTTATGCTTACCACTGTCCTAGTCTTGTAATTCTGTTACCTTGTGCAATTACGCTACTATCTGTAAAATAAAGTAAAATATTCAACAACCTCCGTGAAAGGGATGAAATTCCGCCGTCGCGCCCTTGGGCTGTTTGACAGCAGGCATTGACCCGCATCACAGATTCATCCCTTTTTTTCTGAGTTCTTATTTACATTGATAAAATGGCATTTTTCACCGACGAGTCAGTGACGGGTTTCGCCTATCTTCGCACATACTCGTTCATTTGCAAAGTCATGGTGCTTTTTCTTACGCTCGTTCCGGTTATTATCCTCTCAAGAGATTTCTCCTCGGTAAAGATGAGCATGGAATACGAAATGACAGTTGGACAAGTTTCCATTCCACATAGGTTTGACTAGAAGTGCGATTTTAAAAGTGTTATCAAAAATTTTACAGGCTTTTAATGTCCGCCCCAGGAATGGTATGCGACAAAGATTTCCTCGAGAAAGAGAAGGAAATGCTCGAGCAAGATGAAAATATCGTATTTCTGCATGCTGACTGCCTTTCTCAACGCTCATTACTCTCTGCCCGAGGATTTGGACTACTCGTTTTCATTGCCGCCATGTTGTCGACTATTTTGTACATGTCCCCGCTCCCGTCTACATACGGCATATTCTCGTGGAACTTGGCAGAGCAAGTGTGGATCGGGCTCTCCATCGTATTGAATTTGATGGCTGGTGTCATTCCCATCATTGAAGGAGAGATGAATTACAAAGACGCCTTGCACTGCAAGTCTGACATGGAAGCACTTTCTATCCCTCAGGAAATGTTCAAAATTTCTGTAAAAATCTATCTTCTCAACAGAAAATTATGAGCATTAAAAAGGCCTCCGTCAATGAACTCTGCCCTGATGGCTTCGAAAACCTCCGCGGTAACGCTGTAATCTCAGGAGTCTTCTTTCTATCCTCCCTTTGTCCCCTTGGCGTTCTTCTGTGGCTCACTAGAAGACAGAAACAAGCCCAAATCATGTAAATTTATATTATAGCTTTTTACTGATATACTCAAAATACACTTTGCCAAAAGTTACTCGCCGCGACATATTTTATGCAAAAGCCAATAAGCAAATTCAGACGGAGGTAATCCAATTATTGTCTTTCTTCTTTCAAGTACAACACTGACGTTGAATAGTTTGCCATTTCTATTTCCAAAAATATATGCAATGTGAAGGTTATAAAATGCTTTTGAATAACTTTGTTTGACAGAACAATTATACAGATGTGGCATCGCATTAGTCGTTCATTGCACCATCCAGCTAATGATCAAAATAAAGGAATAGATAACAGCCAGCTAAAATAATCCATTTTCTATTTGAAAGCATTGAAAACTTACCCAGACCATGCTCTTTTCAAAGTAATCGCCCACATTCGAGCTTCTTCCAGTTGAAATCATTCCTCTTCGAGTACAACTGACGGTAATTCCATGAAATCTTCTTTTTTAGATGCTAAGGACGGTCGCCAGAGGGCGCTATATTTGATGAAAAATGAGTCTTATGCACAATTGACGAATAAATTATGAATGTGGGGACTACTTTAATTAGATCGGTGATGATTAGTTGATCTTAATTTTTCAAAGATTTGCAAGGCATATTTTATGTACACGATGTTGAATACTCTTGTTTGCATTGATGGGCACGACATAAAATGATATCAGCCCTTATGGAACGCAAAAAATATTTTCACTGCATGTATCAATATAAAGGCCTCAAGTTGAGGCGTTACATAATAGGTACTCTGTTCAACTAAAAATGAGGTCAGCTGCCTCTCACTCGCTGCGGGCGGGATTTTTTTCAACTTGAAATTTTGAAGCTTGGCAAATATCCCTCCTCGAACAATACCAAAAAGGCGATTTTTTTGTTCTACAAGAGATAAAATACGGAAGAAAAAATGGTTTTCAATACGTCTAATGCTGCACTCGAAGCTCTTGATGGCCAGGTCCAAATTTTGTTCAATCAAAAAATCTTGAATTTCCAACTTTGACCTGCATAAAGTAGCCTCCAACAACAAAGACAGAAGAATGTTAATTGCGATATTTTGATAATCGCTTCGAATGGAGCCGGATATCCTGCTCATTCCTCTCTCATAACAGCACAAAGCGAAGTCTTTCGGGTATTTATCGATTATATCAACCAGTAAAGACTTATTTATATTGTATCTCTATTCTAACGTTCAAAAGGTGATGCTCGAAAGTGGATTCAAAGAAGGAACAGATAAGCGAATCCAAACAAATGTTAAAGAAACTACTCTCCGAAATCTGCTGGACGCTGTTTACTGTCAAGATGTTTCATCTTTGACCTTCACCCAGGCTTGCGACTTGCTTCAAACTGCGCTCTACTACGAATTCGATCACATTTGCAAAATCGTTGTTAAATTTTTGGTGCAATGCTGCCGCCATCGTTGCCCGGAAAGCTGCTGCATGTTTGAGGTTAATTCGTTTACGAAACTGATTATCATAATTCAAAAAAGGATCCATCCAGTGTAACGACAGCGCTGGCACGGTTTCAGGAACGAGAATATTACGCGCGGAATATCGCCAACATCCAGCATATTTGCGATGTTCTCTTTTTGTTCATCCACAGGCAGGCTCGGGAACGTCAACTGTTCTCAGCGTTAAACTCATCTAGTCGCAACAAATTGACATCGGCGTTTTTGCCAATGTCATTGAAGAACGTTTTGATAAAAGTTTTATGCGTCTACAAGAATGACATTGACAATAATTTTTGGCATTCCTAAAGGAGGAGAATCCTCGCGTCGCAAAGATGGTCGCTGCTATCAAGCAGACTCTCGAGGTACAGTAAACAAATGAGTTAATATTGGAAGCAATTACTCGATGAATTTCAGAATTATAAACCGCCAGTTATCAACACATTGAAATACGGAGAAATAAAAACGATCATTAGCGCTTTATTGAAAGAAGAAAGTTGGAAAAGCCAAGATTTGCGCCCAGAATTGCCTGTCACGACATGTCTTTTATTCGACATTTTTGATGTTATTGCCAACTGTGATGATGATGTCACGCGAGATACTCTTGTTCAGGAACTGACTTTTATCAATATTTATAGGCTCGCTTTCCATTATTTGATAAAGCTAGAATAGAACGAGATTCTTGTACGAATCTTGAATGTTACCGAATTCATCCAAGACGTGAACATCGACAAGATCCAAACTCTGCAGCCATACTGCTGCAAAACGTATGGCGAATGTAAACATCAGCAAGAAATGCTGGAATCGAGGCACAAGAGTCAAATTCGTGAACAGCTAGGTAAAATACGGAAAATATCTTGGGGTAATCATTTTCATAGTATCCGACCAACACGAATTCAAACTTCGAACAAGCTTCACTGCGCTGGAACATTCGTACAGAGATAGTGATGATGAGGAAATTCTGGTTGAGATGGAAGATGAAATGAGCCCTGCTGGTAAGGAGTCCTAACTAAGTAGAGTCGCAATTGAGCAAAAATTTATATTTTTAGAAAATGTGATTGATCTGTTGAACCGCGATGGAGAAGAAGTCTCGCCAGTTCCAGAGAGTGACTAAATTCTTCATTACCTATGCTTCATAAACAAAAAATAAATGAACTTGCAAATTGTTCAATATAATTCATCCCTTATCCTTGTATAAATTTCGGAGGCACTGCAGTTGAGGTACGTTTCATAACCAGGGATATTTGCAACGTTGACTGAAAGTGACGGATCAGGCGTACAGTCAAATTTGCACGAGACTGTGAGAGTCCAATCGCAAGAAATATCGGCTACTCCTGTATAATGAAAGGCCATACAGTCCTCATTCACATGGCATAAATTGGGCTCGTTATTATTCCAGGGAATATAAATTTCTTCGCCGCATTCAGATCGAAAATCACATTTAGTTGTAAATGCGTTTCCACCAACGTAAATGAATGATTTTCCCGAGAATTTAGTAAAAAACTATATTAGACTTATATCAAGATAATTTCTTAAAACTTACGATAAGGTATTCTGCATTATCACGAAATGTAGCTAGAGCACCTCCTTTGCTTGAACAAAAATCGACAGCATCCTCATAATTTAATGACACCTGATCATACCACTCATATGTGGGGCACTCGGCCGAAAAAACAGCAGAAATTTTAAGGAAAAAGAGCATACACTTACTCGTTGTAATCTTCATAGTTAATTTGATCTTTCGGATCATCTTGGCATCGAACAGAATGATCAAATATTAAAACGCATCTTTGAAACTTTCAAATTGAAAATGAAAATGAATTTCTGTATTGAAATGGCATCAGAATATAAGATGAAAGGAGGTTATGAATTCGTAATCCGTATTGTTATCTGTCAGACTTCTGTGACCTCGATTGAAAAAACTTCATCATCCACGGATCTGAATTTGAATTGCAAGTTAACAATAGAGCATAAATAAGTGCAGACTTACGAAGTTTCTGTTAGACTCTTGGACTTGGTGACTTTGCTCTGATAATAAACACTGTAGCAGGACTTGATCGCAAGCACCATAATTATGATGAAAATGAAGACGATGTTTCCAATTGCTTTTGGATCCGTCGGGTACTCTTCTTTATCTTCCACGCTTTTCTCATTTTCTGTCATGGATTTTTTGTCTTGAATTGAACGATCGTTTTTATCCTTCTGACCGGGCTTTGCAATATTTCGCCCCTAGGGTGTACTATTTTTTTCCTTCATCCCTTTTCTGGCCCTGAGTTCAGACCAACGGATCAGTAAATGTGAAACGTATGTTATTCCTGGATGAAACATCGCTCTCCACAAATTACAGTGCAGTAGTTGACGCGCAAACTGGACTAAGCAACGCTGGTTTAGGTGATAAGCATGGCAAGATCCCTTGGCCTAGTACACTTGACTCATTCTGTCTTTCATTCTTCTAATTAGAGACAGAATGACGGAGGAGGCTATTTTTCCAAGCTGGACACCCTTATCCATTGAAAAGGATGGTTTTGATACCAAAGGATATTTTGGTGAAGTTTTCGTCCTAAACTCTGCTCCCGGACAGAAAGCTCAGGCCGTGAAGGTAGTCGAGATCTAATAACAGTCTAGTTTAAATTTGACTAGATTTTGCCAATCATGTCCAACAAATCTGATGCTGATGAATTTGCTGTGGATACGCCCGAAGATCCTAACGTTGAGGTTGAAATAATCAAGAACGTGAAGAAACTCAAAGAAGAGAACGTCGTCGCTGGAGCTCCTCGACGAATGACGAAAGTTCGATATGTCGACCCTCTTTCTCAACACGGAAAAGCCGAAGAACAGCTTTACAAGCGGCTTACCGTCTTGAAGACTTTCAAGAACGAGAACATTCTGCGATTCAGGTAGTTATTTCATTCAGTCAAAGTCATACATTTTTGAAGAGGCTTTCAAGATGATGGCGAAAGTTTCTGGCAGATCAGCGACTACAATCCATCTCGAAGCGTTTTGGATCATCAAAGATGGCTTGGACGAGCATTGAAGGAGGACGAGACTTGTACCATCACTTGTGGTGTTCTAAAAGCACTTGCTTATCTTCGATATCGAAGAATCGTCCATGGAAACATCAAAGGTAACTGGGCCAGTCTGGTACCCTGACTAGGTTTACTGTCTGAATGATCGACACTGTCGATTGGACAGTAATTTAATTCCGATTTCATTCTGTCAATACAAATTATTTCCTAGCGAGCAATATAATGTTCAATATTGAAAATGGCGAGGGCATTCTCTCTGATTTTCGTCTACCCGGTTACCAGCGATTTGATGAGCTTGCTAAACCCGAATCATCCCTTTACTACATGGCTCCTGAACTTCTCCTCACTCAAGGAAAAGAAGCCTCAGAAAAATCTGATTTGTGGGCTCTTGGGGCGACAATTTGTGAACTCATGTCTCGATTCCCTCCTTACAATGATATGACTCGAGAGGAGGTTGAGTCTGAAATGAGGAAGACTCCCTTCAAGCGACCAAATCCTCCATCAGTAGCGCTTGATCACTGTAAGGACTTCCTTGCAACTTGTTTCATGGTTCCTGCTTCAAAGCGACCGACCGCTGAATTGCTGATGCCCCATCCATGGGTTTGCCGAGGTCTTTCTTCTGGTCTATCTCACTTAGAATTGACTGGCACAATGCTTTCTGACTGGCAACAGACGACTCTAATCGGTGTTTATGCACCTACTGACACTCCAATCCCCGGTATTGATCACTCAGTCTGTAAGAAATTAACGTCAATTCTGTAGGCGCTGACACATCAAGACCAATTTACAAGCACTGGGACAACAAGGTCTATATTTTCTACTTCGAATCTACTGCTTCTTGGCAGATTGCTGAGATGAAGGATCTTGGTCGACCAAGGTAGAAAAATATAAAAAATCTCCCGCCAAGATTGTTAAGAGCTGTTCTTTACGTCCAAGATGATGTTCGATGGCCTCAATTAATTGGTGCCACTTGGAAGGGCTGGTCGAAGAAGTTGAACAAGTGGGCGCCAGTTGAGGATGCTTCACTCGATGTTTTCTACACAGCTGAAGACTAATTTGATGCTTTTAAGACCATTATTTATCTTTCAATCTCAGAGAGACGTTTGCTGCCCATTAAGAGCAGTGGATGAGTTAATCTCTTCTGACTGTATGTACATTTAAATAAACAAGCCACTCAAAAACTCGCCTAAAGTAGGTCTCGCATAATAGGGTTACTCTCCTAGAGCCAGGGATCCAGGCCTCCATAAAATATTCAAACGTATAACGTATTGGAGGTTATAAAGCAGTCGCATCTACTGCAGTGAGTATCAATTACGCGTTCTAACTTAAATAAGAGAAAAATGAAAGTTTTTTCAATGTTTATGCTGATTTTTTCAAGTGAAAAGGTCGACGCAAGGGTTCACAAGACTGACTTTCTTAAGCTTGACAAAGGTCCTTCCACAGGACAAAGCTACCCCTTCGTCTTATGGGTAAGAAATAAGCAAAATCTTAAGATTGAAAAATCCATATATTTAGCCATACAATTGGATGCTGAAAGGAGACTACTTCAAGCAATAACTCTTCATGATAACTTGACAAAACTGGTTGAAATAAATCCTTTTCTAGATAATTTAGTTTATGGTGTATTCTTTATTCGTAAAACACTAGTTTGAAATAAGCCTTGCCAACATAAATGAGCGGTAATAATATTCCATCGCGAAAAAGATCACGTGAAAGTTTTCAATCTTCTGAATCAAGTCAAGCGCGAAACCAATTTTTTCAAAGTAGAATGAGCACTTTGTCACTAAAGAAGGTAAGGTACGATTCATTGACTAAAACTATGTTTTCTTCCTACCCTAGAATATGATAGAATCTGTTATCTCAAGGGACAAAGAAACGCTTGAAGCCAGAAAGTCAGATTTTGAACGTATTCTATCGGAAATGAAGCAGCTGAGGTAAAAGAACCAATGATACGAAGTTAAAAGCAAGCTCTAAGTCTGGATATCGCAGCAGGGGAAAAGCAAATAAAAGAAATCAACGACGAAGTAGATAGCATTCTGCGCTTGAGCTTTTGAAACGTGTTCGGATGATGATGAATAAAATGATGCATATTTTCTGATGACTTTTATTTACAAACGTTTTTTAATAAGGCGAGTAGCGACCAGAGGAATAATCGAGTGGTGTTTCTTCTTGAGTCGGAAGGAGTGGGATTTCTGATAGATATGAAGTTTGGCCGCAGTACATTGGATTCAGGTTTTGGTAGAAGCAGCTTAGATCTGGAAGACTAGGATATGTTTGTCCGTGAGTTGGAACGGAGGGAGAAAAGGACGTTTCTGGAGAGCTGTAACCAGACTGAGACATGTCGATGGAGCTTGTCGGGGAGAGACTGTAGGAATTATTGAAGCCTGTAAATTGAGTGCCACAAGTCATCGCATCAGCTTCATGGATCACCGTCGCTAAATTCCTTATGTGCTCGATCGCTCCCTCGAGAGTCTGGCACTTTGACATCTTCTTTCCCTTCCATTCCCCGTATGGGATTTGCGCACGAAGCTGATCAAACGCATCGTTGATTTCCTTCTGTCGAACGCGTTCTTGATCGTTGCGACGGGCGATAGCTTCGGGAGAACGGTACTGTTTACGGTAGGGCTTTTTCGTGATTTTTCCAGTCATTTTGGAGCACTTGTGTAGATGTGTTTGGAGAAACGATTTAATGATGTCCAACTAAATGGTAAGCTCTTATATCCCAGAGTTACCTTTAGCGCCAGAAAAAGTGCAAGTGCACCTAATCATGATCAGATAAGGCGTCATGAGAGAACAAACAGCTACCGTGGTGCACAAGAATGACCAGGTGTTCACATTAAGGTGCACGATGTACCTGCAAGCTGCTATTCTATCTTTATCTAATGAATCAATTATCGATCCCTTTGATATGATGATGATCTGCTAATTGAAGCTTCAACTATTACTAATAGTCTATTAGCAATGCTGGTAGCAATGCTACTTTCACCAAAACTGTTGTGAAAATACAAAATATGTAAATACTCGTCGTTAAATATTAACTAAAAGTAAATAAACTTCACCGAAGGCATCTATATTCTTTCTGCAAGAGATAGACTCAAGTATGTGGATCGTATTATTGTATTTTATCTCATCCTTGTTTGCTGAAAAGTCAGTGCATTTGGGAGAACAGTGCTACCCGACTGGATTCGATAGAGAATGCTGGATTCAATGCACAAAAGACTTCGTTTTCCAGATGAAAGATCGTACTACTGTCGTCTCGGAGAATCGGGCTCAATTAAAAGCCTGTAGAGCAAGATGTAATGTACCAGAGTGTCAACCTACAGAAAAGCCTACACGGAAAACGACGACCATAGTTTCGAGAAGAACTCCTCATGAGCCAATATCTCGAATTGAAACGCGACGAGTTATTCAAAAAATTTTCAGCTTATATAGAAGAAAAATACCTTTTTGTCCTATAGAAAAACCACTAAACCTGTCTGACGCGAATGGTGTTTTCAAATATTCTTGTATATATCTCCGTGAAGAGATTCCTCGTGAGCTACACAATGGTTTTAAACAAAGCGATGGTTCTTATCAATATATGGAAAATTGCAAATATAACTGTACCCAGAGTTGCAAATTTTGTGAGCTAGCTGAGCTGAGCTATCTGAGCTAGCTGAGCTACAGCTCAGCTCAGCTCAGCTCAGCAATTTTGAGGTGAGGGTCAGCTCAGCTCAGCTCAGCTCAATTTGACCTCAGCTCAGCTAGCTCAGCTCAATGGTTCTTCGAAAAGTGCCAGCTCAGCTCAGCTAGCTCAATTTTAAGCTCAGCTCAGCTAGCTCAGCTCAGCTCAGTCTATTGAGCTGACAAAGATCGAACCACTTTTGATTGGTCGTTTTTCAAAAACTTCGACGTATTTTCTATTCATGCTTTCCTGTTGGTCAATTTTAGATAGAAATAATTCGAGTTTTCTTTGAAACAAGAGAGAAATTAAATAAAAAGGGCTTCCAATAAAGAAATAATAAAGTACAGATGGTAAATATGTGATTGCGAATGTGAGAAACTGGTCTAGAGGTGTGCGAGGGCAGGGGCTCCCTGTCCATCTACGCTAGAAGGTTGAAACATTGACTCATCCACATAAATGATACCACTGTATAATATTTTGGAGGATTCCTTATTGTTAAATGACAGAATAATTTTTTTATGTCAAAAAAGCGCGATGTTGCGAGTGAGATGCTGGTCTAGGGGTGTGTGAGGGCAGGGGCACCCTGTCCATCTACTCAAGAAGGTTGAAATTCGCTTCAACACATTTTTTGGCATTTTTATAGCAAATAAAAATCAGCTTTCTCAGCTCAGCTCAGCTAGCTCAGCTCAGCTCAGCTAGCTCAGCATAAAAAATGGTCAGCTCAGCTCAGCTAGCTCAGTTTGAGAAATCATCAGCTCAGCTCAGCTCAGCTCAAAAATTTACAAATATGCCCCAGCTCAGCTCAGCTCAGCTCAATTTTTTTGATAAAAACCAGCTCAGCTCAGCTCAGCTCAGTTGTTTTTTATAAGGAGCCAGCTCAGCTCAGCTCAGCTCAATTTCGACCTCAGCTCAGCTAGCTCAGCTCAGAAAAAATTTTCAAAAATTTGCAACTCTGACTGTACCAAAACATACTATTTACAATAACAGCCCTTATTGACTTGTTAAAAATAAAGTGATCAAATTGTCATAATAGGATAATTCATGCGTACAAAAGAGTTTGTTTCCTAGAAACTCTTTGTTTTCCTTCCTACGCGGTCCTCCGGGAAATATAAGTCCTCCGGGTGCGCGCGCACTCACTTAGACTCACTGCGCGGTTGAATATAAGTTCGTCTCTAGAACTGAAACGAATCAGAGCATATTTACGAATTATGAAGAAATCAATAGAGAAACGTTATGCAGCAGGCATGGATTTCTAACTAAAAAACAATATAGAAAAAAAACATCAATTTATTTTTCATGTAAAAAGTAATAAAAACAGTAAATATTCGAGAAAACACTATTTGTGAATGATTAAAAATCCACTTTTCTCAGGGCGTTTACGTAAACGTCCAGCAGAACGGCAACGCGACGCCCGGTTGGGCACAGAGCCCAAGAGTCAATAAGGCGCAAGCAAAATGGGCTGAGGCACAGAAGAGGCTAAAAATTGACAAAGACACTGGTGCAGGATGCTGTGGCTACTTTTTCTCCTTCATCATTATTGCTTCTTCACTTATTATCGGCGCGATGGCGCTCAGTTGGGTTAGGTAGCGCAAACATATAAAAAATCGATTTTTACTGAGTTTTTAGAAATGATTTGCGAACTACGCTTGAAGAAGGCAGCTTGGACATCACAGTGGCAGGCGTTGATATCTCCTTCGACATCGACTTCATCATCGCGAATATGCCAAACGATACGGATATAGAAATGATCGACAATAAAGACAAGGACGAAATGCTCAGTACAGCCGTTTACTACTCTCAAAGCGTCGTTCTTCCATTCTTGGTCACCGCCTTCTTCTCTTTGACTCTCTTTTTGGCCTACTGTTGTAAAAGCAGATGCTTTGTCATTTTCTCGAGAATCTTTTTGATAATCCTCATCATCATCTTTTTACTTGTCGCGGTGAGTTTTTCTTCAAAATATCGCAAATTCTGTGTTTTGTATAGTCATGATCCTGAAAGAGTTCAAACTCAACCATGATTTCAGGTGATTGGCTTTGGCGGCTATCAAACAGCTCCAAAACTGAAGCCCTTCCTTGATGAAAACGTCAACATCAACGCGATGCTCAGCGAGTCTATGTCACCAAACACCACTGTATCCTCCCGAGCAACGTTCAACGCGAGAAACGCTGAGCCAGAAAACGAATTCAACATCACTGAAATCATCCTTAACTCTCCAATTGGTGAAAATGCTGAAACAATCGACGTTTCTGAATTCCAAGAGGCTTTCATGGCCGAAGGAATCGACATTAGCGAGATTTTCGGGGAAAATACGGTACTCAACTTGACCGATTTGAGTGAGCAAGATCTTCAAAACTTGGAAGAATTCGCCGACCAAGCCGAAGCTGCTGACGTTGACGTAGAAGGTGTCGCTCTTCAACACATTTCGTAAGTCGTTAACTCAAAACGTCTCCTTGCAAATCCAAAATCTTTTTAGTGATGAAATGGCCGAAGCTGATCTGTGGCAAGAAATTTTGATTGAAAGCGGCTTGCTTCCCGCCGTCCGGCAAATGCTCCTCTGGCTAGGAATCGGCGCTGCTTCGTACTTCGTCCTCCTCGTCATTCAAGACATAATCGCCGGCAAAAACCTCAAGAAGTTCAAAGAAGCAAAACATACACCTGTTGACGACTGGTGATAACTTTGTTCACACTTGCCTGTATTTTCCCAAAATAAACTCACTTTCCTTTATCGAAAAATCATCAATTTCTTTCTTGTTTACTTAGAATGCAAGCATTGCCGAAAGGTTGGAAACGCGAGGAAGTGCTTGTAGTCGGCCTAGCTAAACATAAACTCACAGAGACGATTTACATCTCACCAGAAGGGAAACGCATTAAAACGAAGAAAGAACTGATGCAAGCGCTAGGGCCCACGTGGAACGCGCCCGAATGCTTCGATTTCAAAACGTAAGGATTCTCCATTTCAGGAAAATCTCGCCGGGTGACTTTTCACACTCTTTAGTGGAAACGCACTGGCGCCATTTTTTATTGACCCCCATTGATTTTTTTTTCCAAATTTTCTGAAGATTTTTCTCCCGAAAACTAAATTATGAGACAGAAGTAAATTTTCATCAACTAAACTAACTAGGCACTAAAGTCTTTTTCAGCGGAACATTCTCTCCCGACCTTCTCAAGATTAAACAAGAGAAAGACTACAAGAAAACCGACTACATTATCAAGCACGGTGTTCGCCCGATCGAGTACGACTTTGATCTTCCTGTTCGGTAAGTAACTTTTCTTATTGGCATTCTCAAATGAAATTAGTCGAGCACAATGGTGCGGAGAAATGCCTCTAAAACTCGTGCGTGGTTTTCCAGACAACAAGGTCGTCAAGGACTATCCAAATCGAGAAAAAGACGAATCAGCAAGACCTGTCCCCCCTGTTCGCTCCCGGCCATGCCAGCTTCTGTCCGAGAAGAGACTTGAGAAGATGTTCCCTGTCGATGTCCACGGGGAAAAGGTTGGGGATGTCCCTCTCCCAGATGGAATCAAGGTAATTCCCCACTATTCTCTGTTAAATCTAACGAGTCTCCTCTTCAAGCCTTCGTTACCGGATGTGTTCGACGATAGCTGCGTGATGACTCGACTGAGCTCGCAACTAGTGAGCACGAAGCTCCCCGTTCAAGGACAAAAAGAAGTCGTCCCGAAGCAGATTGAAATCGCCGAAGAAGGAAGAAACGTCAATAAAGCTTTATGTAAGATTTCCTTTCAGAACTGCTAGTAAAATGCATTTTCAGTGACATCTGATGCAGTTCAACCGCTTTGCACAAACGTTAGCATTTCTGACAAGGATATTTATGCCCAAGAAGATAAAGGTACTACAATCGCACATTTCTAAGCAAATTTACAACTTCTTCAGTTCGACGAACTCAACTGGCACTTGCGGAAATGATGAAAAAATATCGCATGCAGCAACAAGCTTTAGTCAACTAAAAACTATTTTCCTGCCATCCCTTCCTATTACGGAAGATTCTTTCTATGTCCTACAAAACTCTATTTTAAACTGAACTATCCTATTTTTAAATTCTTCCCAGAAAAAACATCTGATAGAGAAAAAACTTCAATACATGTCTTTCAAAATAACGCAGCAAAACGAGGATTCTGATTTTTCAGATTTTAATTCTGTTTCAAATTCAATCGATGGCAAATCGCATATTTGAATCGGATATTGGCCAGGGCGTAGTTTTGATCACATCGGGCGGCACTTCGATTCCGATTGATCCGGTACGTTCGCTGGAAAACTTTTCAACGGGAGTTCGAGGAGCGCGGCTAGCAGGTGCTTTTTAAATTTACCTTTTTTCGTGTTTATCTGATAGAATACTTCTTGAAGGCAAACTGGAATGTCATTTTTATTCATCGAAGCAGTTCTGCACGGCCGTTTCGCCACAGATTGGACATTGAAATGTCGCCAGAGAAATTCCTTCTCGTTCAAGACGAATATCGAAAGAGCAAGGATCGATTGATAGAAATTGAATTTAACACTTTGGATGAGTATTTTGGCATGCTAGAAGAGTATTCGAAAATTCTAGAGGTCTCCATTGCAGAAAAGAAGATAATCCTTTTAGTTACAGCTTTAAAATTTGCAGCATCTTTCATTCGAAAGGAAATTCAAATCACATTTGCAAAGCTCGGAAAAAAGCAGCGGCAGTTTCAGATTTCACGACTGCCTCGAAATCGTCAAAAATTGACTCGTCTGAGGGATTTAGTGTGATTGAGCTTGACAAGGTTGAGAAGATCCTTCCCTCTGTGACATTTTCCTGGGCACCTTCTGTTTCAGTTTTTTCATTCAAGCTAGAAACTGAGGGAGATAAGGTCGAGCCCAAGGCAATGAAGTACTTCGACCAAGGTATTGCTACGTGGCAAAACTGTATGTATTAAAATCTCGAGCAGGCGTGAAAGGAGTGATTGGAAATGTGCTTTCTTCGCGACGATGGAAAGTCAGTCTGATCATGAAAGACAAGCCCACTATGGACATGGAAATCGACCCGCTCAATTCTATAATCGAAATCGAAGATCTTCTTACTTCCAGACTTATTTCTGTCCTTTAACTTGTAGTTAATCCGTACCTTTTTTCTATTTATTCATAAAAAACGCAATATCTCCTATGGTATCAAACGAAAATTCAACTTTTTAGAAATCGCAAAAAAACAGAAACTCAATGTGGCTTGTTTTCACCGGGTGCACGGCCGGGCTCGGCCTCGAACTTGTAAAACACCTTGTTCAACAACAACCAGCAGATAACTTCGTCGTACTTTGCCGAAACCAGACAAAGGCTATGAAAGTTTTTGGCGAAGTTCAAGCGCTCGTGAAACAGAATGACGGCTCCTTTCACAGTAAGACACTGATGATGAATTAATTTTTAACAAAACAGTTATTCATGGTGACAACTCTGACTTGAGTTCAATAAAAAGCGCTGCGTTAGCGATTTCCGAGTTGACAAAGAAAGTTGATTGCCTCTTTCTGAACGCCGGAACAATGGGGAGTTGTTCGTTAGATCTCGGCTGCGTAATCCGCTCATTACTTGCTCCTTGGGAACTGCCCTATCGTTTCGCCACTGGAGACGGACTCATCAAATACTCTTCCAGCAAAACCAAAGATGGTAAATGCTTCTGAATTTATTCACAGAAAGAAAATGACCACAAGCAAAAGAAACGCGACTAACGCAAAAGTATATTTCATATTTTGAAACCAGTACTTGTCCGAAACCTTCTCCGCGCGTTCCATAAATAGACCAGCTGCGTCTTCTGAAAATTTTAATCAAAATATTTCGTTTTGGAGAGAGCGACTTACGGAGATCATTAGCTTGGTTTTCTAAGTCGTCTAGTTTGCCATGTTGGTCCATTTTGGCCTGGATATTTTCTCGTAGAAGACCGGTTAGTTCATCGAGCTCTTGGTCTAGTTGTTCTTCCTCCTGTTGATAACCCATGAAAATATTTGAAATATTACGTTGAATTTACGGCTATTGTTCTCAAAAACTTGCAAAATTGAATCAATTAAATGATATCTAGAATTCAGGTTTCGAACAAATCTTCCAAACAAACGCCTTATCCCATTTCGCCTTGATATGCGCTCTTCACTCTGTCAAAATCGAAAAAACCATTTGGACCAGTTCAAATACTGCTCGCCCGGAAGCTTTCTCCATCGATGGTGATCTAATATCTACGTACCTTCGATTCACCAACTCGACTTTCAGATATCGAAGGCGTCAGCGTCAAAGACCCTTATGGTGCGTCCAAGTTTCTCGTTAACTTGTTATCAACAAAAATGTCATCTGACGGGCAAAAATCGTATATTTGCGACCCAGGAACATTTTCTTCCAATATTACACTGTCCATGGTACCTGCTTTCTTCAAAATCTTCCTTACCATTTTCTTCTTCATTGTTCAACCCTTCCAATCCAAACTTACTCGCTCTCCGCAAAACGCAATGAAAAGCATTCTATACACTTTTAACCAAGGTAAATGCTACTCTACATGCGAATTTATTTGATGGAAATCTTCTTTAGATCCACCATTCAAAAACAAGAAGTATGAATCCCTTACTTCATGGACTGGTTCGCCTTACATTCGCGAAGCTGAGGTTAACCTCTCTCCGGAGCTCGCCCGAACCGCCTGGGACAAGATGGATAATATTTGCTCAAGAATAAATGTCGAATAATTTATAAGTATTCTTGTTACTAATTTACCCCTTTCAGAATGAACAAGGATATGCGGTCTCTTAGAAAACTGGCGAAATCAACTCAAAAGAATGAGAACACAAATCCCGGCAATACAGTAAGAAACAATTTATAGATCGAGATATAACGTCTTTATAGGTTTCGGAGGAAAAATATTTGAGGCTGTCAGAAGAGTACCGGATGAAAGTAGACGAACTTGAGGCCAAAAACTCGAAATTGGAAGTAGAAAAGGACGACTGGAAAAGGAAATTCTCGGAATTGGAAGCGAAATACGCAGAATCAACAAATAAGAACACAATCTTGGAGGAAAGTAATACGGAACTCAAATCTCGCGTGAAGTCCTTGGAAGAAGACGTCGCCTGGTTAAAACTACCGAAGGACGCTCGACGCAGACAACAACATAGACAGCAGCGGGAGCGAGCCCAAAACGCAAAGAAAATCGAAGCCATTCTCAAGAATCAACACTTCCAAGATGATCCAACGGAATACACTGTTCCTCCGTCTCGTCGAAACGGCCGCGAATCGACAGGGTCGAGTACTCCTGGGCGCGTCGAAGAACCTGTTTTCGACAGCAAATATCTCAAAAAGGTTACTCACCAAAGTAAGACTGAAATCTATTCAAATGTAGTACGACTTTGTGGATAAATCGCTCTACGTTCCGACAGATACGATCAAGTTCAAAGAAGGCGAGTTCGTGAAGGCCCAACCGCTCCATCGATGTTCTACGGGGCATATTAATTCCATCAAAGAACAACTGATGGAAGAGAACAAGGAAAACATGAGCAACCATGGTAATTTGCGTTCCATTTTCTCCTATTAATTTTTAGAGCCCGAAATCGAGACGCAATCATTCCGATTACTGGATATCGACTCTGACGAATTCGAGGGGGAAGAGTCGGAAGAAGATCTCTCCGACAGTGCTTTCGAAAAAAGGCACGCAAAACTCGAAATCGCGGAGAGGAAAATGGTCCAAAAGGACAAAATCGCGCAGCAGCAGCAGAAAAAACTGAGGCTAGAAGAGAAGGCCAATGAGGAGAAATTTCCTTATCCTCCACATTTGTACAGGTTGGTCTAACTCACTCTGAAATTATCCTACTGAATTTTAAGTGGTAACGATATACAGGCGATTGCCGTCGGAAAGGAGAAGCCAGCGCTTACTGTATTTGGTGCTGAGTTGCCTGCTTACGAAGAGAATTCCTTTTCACTTCCGTGGATTATTTCGCAGCAGCAATTGTACAAGGCTCGCCAGGCCAAGCGAAAGGTCGAGGGTTCAAAGATAAGGCTAAATTTTCCCTTTCACATTTCCGTTTCCATTTTCAACCCTTCTCAAGTCGGCCAGCTCCGGAGCTCTGTAACGAAATGACGATTCGTCTATTCGCTCCTTCAACATAGTTTCCCTCAATTAGTCAACTCAAGTCTCATTTATCTACCTCATTTTTAAGCCCTGTCAAAACTGCTGCCACAGCTTTCTTTCTCACCAGGAAAAACTTTATATTTTCAATAAATTATCGAAAACTTTAGAATGTGTTGAGTTGTATTTAATTTTATAAAAAAATGACGGAGAAGCTGACGGCAGAAGATGAGGTCCTTGTGCAGAGGCTTTTGGGGCAAGAGGTCCCGCCGAGTAGGCCAATTGGTTTTCCGCCGTCTGTGAAGACTATGCTAGATGATGTTGATTCCTTTCTGGAGATAAACGATGACCATTTTCTGTGAAGGGATGAATTTTAGTTCACACAGATACAATCTTTTACTATAATTTAACCAGCTTAATTTTATCATCCTATTAATTGCCATCTATCGATCACGAAAGGGAGGTCCACATGAATAAATTATGGTCGGGGATGGAGCCTCTCCCAGATTATCGTGGATTTCGGCAAATCAGGTGTTGGAAAACAGGCAAAATTCTTGGTTATGAAGAGGCATCATTAGATGAAAACACTGATCGATTTAGTATTGCTCGACCTCGCCCCAATCAAAAAGATAATGATGGCTATCGTATGGGAGTCATTGGAAATCTTACTACTGGTGTCCCATTTTTACCAGGAGGCTTTGATCTTCCAGAGGAGAAGATTGAGGAAAAATCTGACTTTGATGACATGATTGATTGGAATAATTTGAGGAAGAATCCACCAGGAATGCTCGGCATGGATTTCGACAAAAGGACTGGCGATGAAATGTCACTCGACGATATTATGAACCAAGAAGCGCAAGAAGATACCTTCAATTGGATTCCAAAATATAGACCTGATGATGGAAGCCTCTCTGAAGTTCCTCCAGTGCCAGAACAAGCTTCAGGAGAAGAGGACTCTGCCGAACAAGCTACCGAAGTTATTGATGCGCTGAATATATCAGAAGTTAATCCTCCATCTGATAAATCACAAGAGTCGATCCCAGACGCGCCAGTGGTCCAGGAAAAGCAACAAGTTTACATGGTAAACGCTGATAAAACTATCGACGTTGATTCTAAGCCCTGGTCAGAGCTCCTCCCCGATCCCGCGTACAAGTGGCCTTTCGAACTCGATTACTTTCAAAAACGCGCTGTTCTCTGTTTGGAAAAACATGAATCTGTCTTCGTTGCCGCGCATACTTCTGCCGGTAAAACTGTTGTCGCTGAATATGCAATCGCCCTGTCCGCGAAACACATGACAAGAGTCATTTACACCTCTCCTATCAAGGCTCTCTCTAACCAAAAATTCCGCGACTTCCGAACTACTTTTCAAGATGTTGGCTTGCTCACTGGTGATTGTCAGATAAAACCCGAGGCAGGCTGCCTCATTATGACGACTGAAATTCTACGGTCGATGCTGTACGCGGGCTCAGATGTAATCCGAGATCTGGAGTGGGTAATTTTCGACGAGGTGCACTACATCAATGACGCGGAACGAGGAGTCGTTTGGGAAGAAGTACTCATCATGCTTCCAGCGCATGTCGGATTGATTCTCCTTTCGGCAACAGTACCAAACATTGAGCAGTTTGCTAGTTGGGTGGGACGCATCAAAAACAGGAAAATATTCGTCACGAGTACTTTGAAACGCCCCGTTCCATTGGAGCATTATTTATTTACTGGCAATTCCACAAAGACGGCTGATCAGCTCTTCAAAATCGTCGATCAAACAAAACGTTTCTTGCCGACTGGTTATAAAATGGCCAAAGAAGCGAAAGAAATTAATGCCAAAAAATCAAAGAAACCACCTTCGGATCAGGCGATTTGGAGTTCTGCTATTGAATGCCTCAAGAAAAGGGATGGACTTCCCGCTGTGGCGTTCACATTGAGTAGGAAACGATGTGACAATAATGCCGCTATGCTTACAGGGGTTAACTTGACAACTCCAGGCGAGAAAAACGAAATAGCGCTATTCTACCGCCGCTGTACTTCAAAACTAAAACCTATCGACCGGAAGCTTCCCCAAGTCGTCCACCTTGAGAGTCTTTTGGAACGAGGAATCGCCGTTCATCATTCAGGTGTCCTTCCGATTCTAAAAGAAACGATCGAGTTATTATTTGCACGTGGCCTCGTAAAGCTGCTTTTCGCTACGGAAACATTTGCCATGGGCGTGAATATGCCTGCCCGAAGTGTTCTCTTTGACTCGATCAGGAAACATGATGGAAAGGGGATGCGCGACCTTATTCCCTCTGAATACATTCAAATGGCGGGAAGAGCAGGTAGAAGAGGGTTGGATACATGCGGAACGGTCATTCTAGTTCAAAGACAACAAAAGGTTTCGATTCTGATTGAATAACTTGAAGTTATATGTTTATAGTGTGCCGACCAGCAAGAGCTAATAAACATGATGCTCGGAAAAGCCGCTCCGCTGATATCCAAATTCCGCCTTACCTATGGAATGCTTTTGAGCATTTTGCGCGTTGGATCCTTACGCGTAGAAGATATCATGCTCAGAAGCTTTATCGAGTTCGGTCGGAGGGGGCAGCCGACTCAGATCAAGGAATTAGAAGCAATCAAAGCCAAACGAGATAATTTTAAAGACTTGGAAGCGAAAATTGATGGAACTGAATTCGAGGACTACGTTTCTACAGCAAAAGAAATGGTCAAAGCTCGTTGCGCCGTAATGACAGAGGTCTTCAATCAAGGAAACATAAAAGCTATGTCTGCAGGACGGCTCATTCTAGTTCAAGAGAGAAGAATAGCTGTTGTACTTGCAAAATCTTCAACGACTGTGACCTGTCTTCTGAATAAAAAGATTCCGAAGAGCTCCATTTATAGAATTTGTAATTTGGTTGAATTCAAATTTGAAAAAGATGACGATTTTGAAGCAGATGTAGTTACAATTCCTCTTTCAGGTAAATTCAAATCAAGCGTATTCGTATCTAAAAATTATTCAGACGTTTCTTTAATCTTCAAAGAAACGATTAATATCCGCCACGAAGACATTCTATTCGACTTCAAAAAGCTTCAAATTGGAAGCGCTGCAAATCAAGCATCGATTTTACTGAACAAAACTGCTTCGGAAAAGCCACTTGAGCCGATGAACTTCATCAGGGATTTTGGCTTGAACTCTGTCGATCAAGTGGAAAAGGTTTCCATGCTAGAATCGCTTGGCGAGAGGCTGATTCAAAACTCGTCGCCTAAACTGCCGTATTTTGCTGCGGAGCTAGAAAATGTGGTCGAATTGATGGAAATCAGGCGGAAATATAAAGAGGTAGCATTTAGCTTATCAGAAGAAAGTTTGGAGCATTTGCCGGATTATAAATCGCGCGTTAATCTTCTCAGGAATTGTTTTTTATCTTCTTTATTCGTCATTTTTTATCATGTTTTGAAAACAAATAAAAGACATTGGAATTATATCGGAGATCACGGGGATGTCGTGCTCAAAGGTCGCGTTGCTTGTCAATTCCGTGGAGGAAATGAGCTTCTTCTTACTGAAATGCTACTTTCTGCTGAATTCAAAAAGCTTCAGCCAGCGGAACTCTGTGCCGTTCTCAGCTCGCTCGTTTTCCAATCCCAAGTGGATAACGAAACGGAGCTTATTGAAAGGCTACCAAGTAAGAATGTGTCCTCCTTGATTTCATTTCTGACGTTTCATCCTTAGAGCCGGCACAAGAGGCGATCGAAAAGATGAAGAGCACTTGGGAGGATGTTCAAGCGAAGGAGACTCAGTTTGGAATACTCTCAACAGATCACGATTCTGCTGCCCCATTGCGATTTGGCTTGTGTATGGTCGTCTTCAACTGGGCGAGTGGCGAGTCCTTCAGGGATATCATGCGAATGACGGATATTCAAGAGGGAGTCATTGTCAGATGCATACAGGTAGTCTTTTTAACCACTAAAAAAGCTGATACCCAATTTTAGAGACTGGAAGAGCTCTGTCGCGAAGTGAGAAACGGAGCGAGAACAGTCGGCGATTTTTCCACCACTTCGAAATTGGAACAATGCTCCGAAGCCGTAAAACGCGATATCGTCTTTGCTGCCTCGCTGTACACCACGGGTAACTGATCACTCACTGCTGATGATGCCAACCACATGTTCACCATTACTGTAAATTACAGTTCGAAAAAAAATAAAGTTCAAAAAGTTCGCTGCGAACAGGATTCGAACCTGCGCGGGGAGACCCCAAGAGATTTCTAATCTCTCGCCTTAACCACTCGGCCATCGCAGCTTGACGTCGTCTCTAGAATGTCGCTATTTATTGGTGCTTTTTGTATGGGCCCTCATGTGACCGCAGATGACCTCGGAATCGATTGTAAGTGCATTTGTTTTAGAATGAACCGCTCAAACCGCACTTTTGATGCTTCCGGTCTGACGGGACTCGAGTTGACGGAACGCAGCTTCCGCGCTCCGAAGTCAGAAGCCAACTCGCATCTGGAGGAGCGACTCGCACAAGCCAACGAAAGCAGAAAGGAAAAGCTCGAAATCATTCGAAGATACGTCGCGGAGATGAAGGAAGACCTCCACGGGTCAGTAAATTGAGTGAATAGCCGCTTGCGTAACAGCGCAAGAATTTTCTCGCGAATGTTTGCGTTTAAAATATTTTCAGCGCGCAAAAAGAGCTTTCTGACTTTTCTCTCCAAATCACTGAATCGCGAAAGAAGGCGGAGCGACTCGAGAATGCGGTTGAGGAAGCCTCACAGACTCTTGAAAGCGAAATGTAAGTCAAAAACAGTCGTAAAAACAGAGTTCGTTTCTATGGCGATGATTCTGAAAATCTATCAGGGAAGTTAAATTTACTCAGAAACGCCCTGCACGAGGATTATCTCGAGCTGAAGGAGCTTGAGGAAGGAGAATCAAAGTGTAGAAAACTCGCTGCTGATCTTGACCGACTCTTGTGGGAAGAGCAAATTGATCAGCAGAAGATCGCACTCTACGAAAAAGTCCTTGATGGTAACAAACTCATATCGAATGAAAGGAAGTTACATACGAATTTAGTTTTCTTCGATTATGAGCAGCTGACAGATGGAATCATCGCTGGCGTAGCTTTCACGGCATTCGGCCCGCGGAAATTCGTTGCGCCCAGCTCCAAAGAGTTCCTCAAGACGTTGAAGAAGATCCGCGGCTATAATCCCGTGCCAGATGCGAGTGTCACTGGGACGAACAGCAACTGGAGCGAGCATCCAGTGCTCTCTTCCGCTTCCGACATTTCCTTTACAGCCTCAACTGTCAAAAAGTAAAATCAAGAAACCGCTAACTCTCATTTTCTATCTCTCTTCTGTTCCGAAGCATAACTAGGGCCAGCGCGTGAAAAATCAGCATGCAGAACCCCTTGAGGTAAAGGGCTGAAACTTCGGGACAATATAGGTTTTTAGCGAATCAAAAAAATTGTAACAGAAAATTTTTTGGTCTAGTCAAGTGATCACGTGATACAGGCCCTCGAAAACCTAGAAAAGCTTGACGAGCTCGATCCCCTGGTTGTAGTCGATCACATGATAGCTCAAAAGAAAGAGCATAAAGAGTACTACCTAGAAAGTCAAAAATATTTTTGGGCCCGATTGTAGTTTAGGCGCTAGAAGCAAGAGAAGGCCTCGAAATGGGTGAAATTCGGGTAAAAAATGGACATCATTGGGTGATTTCTGTCAAAATATGCTACAAAAAGGGTCATTTTTCACGTTAAAACTCTCCATGCGGACTCACATGATCGCGGGCCCAAGAATTTTTCTCATCCATTCAGAAGTACTTTTTGAGCTCTTTCTTCTGAGCGATAAAGTAATCACCTGTGATAAGGGGATCAAGCTTGACGAGCTTTTCAAGCTTTTCGAGGGCCTGTATCACGTGATCATGTGGCCAGACCAAAAAAATTTCAAAACGAATTTTTTTCGTTTGTCCAAAAACTCGATTGTCCCAAAGTTTCAGACCTTCACTTCAAAGGTTTCAAGAGGCTGATTTTTCGCGCGCTGACCCTAAGCATAACCCTTTTTCATCCCTATACCCTTACGGAGAATCTGCTGAAACTCATTTTTATAACAATACATTACTTCGTTTTCTTTCCTCTGACGATCTCAAAAAAAAATGCCTAGGCAATTTTTAACGGCGCTATTTTTACTTCCACCACCATTCCGACATGTTTATAATGATGGAGAAAATGAAGCAAGAAAAAATAAAATGTCTATTTATATATTTCCTCTTGTCAAGCCTCTACTCTGCCAGCTATTCGCATCCTCGCTTAGTTTCAAAACTAACATTTATAATAATAATAAGCGCTAGTCCAAATCGTCTCCTAGACAAACATGATCGGTCAAATAATGATAAACAGAGGATCAAGCGTTATCCTTAGACGCACCTTGATCGCTGCTCAGTCACGTGTTACCTTGAGTGAAGCATCAAAGTTAATTCCAACAGTATCAAAGGTGAGCAGCTTTGGTTGTTGTTAAACTTGTATAATCCATCATTCTCCAGCGTCTTGCCAGAGCAATGCCAGGAATTAGAAGCGCCGAAGAAAGCAAGCTGAGAACAGCAAGCGCGATCAACTACATGCTCTCACTCGTGTTCTTCTTCTGGGGGCTAACCTTTTGGAGTGTGCCGATGTGGCGCGTTTTCTGCGAATCGGATCAAACTTCTTGGTTTTCCGCTTTTGTCGGCGATAAAACGCACAGTGTTGATGAGAATAAAGTCAAAAGTATGGAGCCGATTTATGATCATCCATTGATTGTCAAGTTTCACGGAACGTAAGTCGACTTTATCCTTCAAAAATGGAGATTTAATAATATTCAAGAACTGATACGGATCTTCCGTGGGATTTCAAGCCCTGTCAAGACCAGATTATCACGTATCCTGGCGAAACTGCCCTTGCCTTTTATGAAGCGACGAACAAAACAGATTACCCAATAGTCGGCGTATCTACCTACAATATCAATCCCTACGAAATGGGCCCGTATTTTAATAAAATCCAGTGCTTTTGCTTTGAAGAACAAATTCTCTATCCCGGTGAAACTGTAGAAATGCCCGTATTTTTCTTCATTGATCCTGATATCGAAGATGATCCGACTGTTTTCGATGTACACGATATTATTCTAGGCTATCAATTTCATAAGGTTGAGAATATTGAAGATCTACCAGCACTACCTGGTTTTGAAAATATAAAGCTGCAGAAAGCAGAGAGTTTGGTAAAGCTCTAACTTTTCCATTTTCCGTTCATCCAGTTTGTACCATTCTGATGATTCAGAATGGAAAAAGAAACGCCGAGAACGACAAAGCGAAGGGATATCGCATCGAAAAGACAGAAATACTTTCAGCAGCAGGAGCAAGTCAGACAGATTCCACCGCACTCGCCTGACTCGCTTCAGAACAATCCTACACGAGAAAGGTATTTTCCATTTCGTAATATTTAATATCTAACGTCAATTCGCAGTATTCAAGTGGAACCAGAACATGCGGATGAACTAAACACAAGTAGAACATACACCATCGAATCTATCAGCGATCGAGAACAACGAGAAAGAGAAGCCTTCGAATCCTCCCTCAACGACCGAATGTCACGTCTGCGATCGTGCACTCCCGTAGACCATCTGGCAGCAGATTCGAAAGCGGAAGAAGCTGCGTCCTCTGATAGTGACGATCTCGTACTGTTAACACATCGGCCAGAGGAAAATGTGGGATTGAATCGAGTGGAATCGAACCCCGCGATCCCGGAGGATCCTGCTGATGATTGTGCAGACTCGCCAAGGTCCTTCGCAAATGTAAATGATGTTGAGGAATTGGTACAAGAAGAACTGACCAATAGCACGCCGCAGTCGCCCGAGATAGTGGAATCCAGCCTGGGCGCTCAAAATGAAGCTGAAGAGGAAAAAAGAGACGATTCAACGATTGCCGATAAAGAAAATGGTGCTGCTGACGAAAGTCAACAATTGAGTGACCTCTCAAAGTAAATATCTCGCCTAAAAGGAATTTCTAAAAGTATTTCTAGGGAAAATAGTGAAGTCATTGATGAAATTGAAGAACAATCGACAAAATGTTCAACACCCAGACCTAAAACCGCTTCTCCTTCATCAGAATCTATTGATCAGCTTGATCAACCCCAAGTTACTTCATCACCTGCTCCTGATGGAAGCCCTAGAGCGCAAGATGACAAGGAAAATGATGTCGACGAACAAATTTCCCTGGAAAATATCATCATTGAACACAAAAGCGAGCCCACTGAAGCGATCTTTGAAGAGGAAGAAGAAGAAACAATAGACAAAACTGATGATAACGTATTGAAGAGCTCGTCTTCCGTTCTGCTGGATGAAGATCCGCCAGTTGCTGTGAGTATGCCGGCTGCAGAAGCTTTCATTGCACCGAGATTGATGAGTGGCTCTTATAAAGACCAAAGTGAAGCACAGGATAGTCCTAGATCATTTGCTACAGTTGACGATGTCGAAGATCTTTTCAACAAGAAGGAAGTCACTGAAGAACCAGCCGAAAACAACACCCCACGAGCTTCGGTCTCATCCGCTCGTGACTCGCCCAAGGCGACTCAGATTAATGGAGAAGTACAGTCTGATGTCCTCTCAAGTCGACCAATCAGTCAGGCATCCATCAAAAACTACCGTGAACTTGTCTCGGCGCGTGAACAAACTGAAAACTCCCTCGCTCCAGTTCAACAGCCTCAAAGTCTCTCTTTCCTCTCACCTACTTCCTCGATATCTTTAAATATCGAAAATAATTTTGATGACACAATTCAAAAATCCTCCTCCTCGTCTTCCTCCTCGTCGTCTTCATCTTCGAAGTCTTCACGAAAATCATCAAACTTGTCTTCAGTTAAATCTGGGTCATATCACCTCTCAAATCCTGGTAAGACAATACGAAAATAAGGATCAGAGTTCGCCTAGCACATGAGAAAGTAGACAATTTCTCGTCTATAAAAATAACCTTCAGAAAATGAAGCTGGCGAGGAGCTTTCAGAACGCGCTGAAACACTATCCCTACGCGACTTAGCGCCAAATAGCCCTATTATGTTCACCATGCCTTCAAAGACACACCCAGAAGACGGTTTGTTCCTTTGTTCGCTAAACACATTCGATACAAACGACACTTTAGAAATGGACGAAAACTTACGGGCGATTTTGGAAAAGAGCAATTCAATTCTGAAGCAGTCACATCTGCTCGTAAACGAAGCACAGGTGAAGCTGACTGAAGAGTTCAAGAAAGAGACGCCTAGGGGACCGAAACAAGTTCCTGTTTTATACGGAAAAAGAAAAGAATCTGACTTGCTGGAGTCGCATCGAGGCAACTTTTCGAGGCATTGGGAGCACGCCGCCCCGTAAGTAATAATTCCGAGCAATACTGCTGCAGTAGCCTTAGATAAACACTAGCGTACCGTGTAGCTTATAAAGTCATTCATCTGTGCCATCAAAAAATGATTTTTGATTCCAGATTATCATGGGAGCACGAGGAGACGAAGCTACGTCGGCCTAGATACAAGGGAAAAGTCAAGCCAAATTACATATTCGATATCTAGTTGCTGCTAGATTCGAGTATTTCTTTTGCTTTTCCCGATCAAGTATGACGACGCTCAACTTTACCTGAACTACTACGCCCGTCCCCATCCCTAAACGTCTCATTTTCAGGAGTTTGCCTGATCTGCCTTCTGAACTCATCCTCCAAATCGCTTCATATCTTCCTACAAATTTTACTGTTTCAACATTTTCTGTTTTATCATCTCAATTTTCATTCCTTTCCGACACTTTTATTCACAGACAGTTACACTTTATTAAACAACTGCCCGAGAGTGATGAGCAAATCGATTTTCAGAATTTAGAGGGCCTCAGAGTTGAAAGTTTTAAAGGCCACTTATGGCCGCTAAAGCATCTTCAAATAAGCCCCTACCTGACTACGCTTGAACTTTCTCACTGTAGTATATTTCTTGGGGAGTTTTTACACTTCATAAAGGGGGAACAAAATCAACTCAAGAAACTGATCCTAACCAATCTCGAAATTACATGGGCTCCGTTCGAGGAAAGTGACCTGCAACTTGAGGAAATCCCTTCTCTCGATCTACAGGAGCTCTCAGTTTCCAGACTTGAGCTCTCTAGGGCCCCGTTAGAAGCCAAACAGATACTCAACAACACAATCGTTACTAAAATTCTTTCGCCTAAATTCTCCGCCAACCTTCAAAGGCTCTGGCTTGACATGACAAAACGAACTTATAAAATCATTCGCGCCTATCACGTCAACAAGTTTCTACTCTCCGACTACCCGTCTGAACTTACAGTTTTAAATATTAACAGTCTTGTAATGGGCATTCAGCCCGAACTATCAGCAGGTCGAATGTCTGAGAAGCTTGGAGAATTTCTCAACTCTCCAGTAGCCCATCAAAAGCTACAAGAGTTGTACATTAATACTTTTCATAATAATCCTTTGCTCATGCTTGCGATTTCGAAGATGGAAAATCTAACAGTGCTAGATGTGGAAATGTGTAAATTAACTGACAATGATTTAGTGTTGCTTCCAAAGACACTAGTTGCTTTAAATCTTTCACAAAATAGAATTACTTCAAAAGGACTAGAAACCCTGCGAACAAGAAGTCTGCTAGACCTTGATGTCTCGAGGACAAATGTTTGTGGGAAGGCTCTTGATTTTATTTTACAGAGGCAAACGGGTCTTAGATTCATCGATCTCTCAAAAGTCGTCATTGAGGAAGCGCTTGAAACAATCAACCGCTTCTTGGTAAAGTCAAGTTCAATTAAATGCATTGTTCTGTCAAGTCCAGAGGATTTAGTGCTCCAAATGATCGAATCATACGGTGTCAGATTATTAAGTGAAACTCGATTTTTGCTCACAATCTTGGAAAGGCGACAGTTGCTCTCTGACTGCTCTTTTGTTCCTTACATTTGACCTCCTGTCCAATCATTTTTATCCTTATTTGTGATTGCCCTTTATTTATTTTTCCCCATATTTTTATTGTACATTGTTGTTTTTGACAAAACTCTACTTTTCTTACTGAATAAATTATTTTTTTAAAAATAGCCTTTCAAATGTCAAAGTCATTTCAGAACATGGCATGTTGAGAATTCTTCCTAGAACTATTCACAGCTCCTCCCTTAGGGACAGTTTAAACTTATCTAGGCTAGTCTAACTTACTTCGATTCTGTCTTGAACTGTAGCAAAGAATATTTTCATTTACGAGTCGATACCTATTAGACAGAGACGGACCTGCTCCTACCACTATGTCGGATAAGGCGGCGCAATACAAGCAGCAGCAAAGCGAATTCGAAGTCCCCAAGTTCGACGCTGAGGGCAAGCCTCTTTCCAAGAATGAACAGAAGGAACGGGTCATTTCTACTATTCCTGGCGATACGGTTAAACCTTAACCCAAGCGTAACGCCCTCGTTAACCCTTATCTCAATTCTCTTATCGCGCGAAAATGATCCTTCAAATTAGCGTTTATTGAAGGAAATGAAGAAGGCTAAGGAGCAAGCCGAAAAGGCCGCCAAGGTAATTTTCCCATCCCCTTCACTCCTTTTTTGTCGAGCACAAAGAAAAATCATGTTTTCGTACATTTGTGAACGATTTTTTTCTCAAGAGGATATTCAGAAAGCCGCTGCCAACGCAGACAAGCCCAAGAAGGAAAAGTCGGAAGCTCTGGCCGCCGATTCGGAAGACAACCTAACGCCGAACCAGTACACCGAAATTCGAAAGCAAAAGCTCGACGCCAAGAGAGCCCAGGGCGAGAACCCGTACCCACACAAGTTCCACGTCAGCATCGGAATTGGCGAGTTTATTAAGAAGTACGGAAAGCTCGAAGACGGGACGACCCACAAAGACGATGGAGAAGTTTCTACTGCTGGACGAATCCACTCGTTCAGAGCCTCCGGAGCTAAACTCGTGTTTTATGATTTGCGCAGTGAAGGTACCCTTTTATTGCCACTTTCTTACGTACCATTTATAATGATTGAACATCACATGTTGTTAAGGTGAAAAAATCCAAATTATGGCCAACCTCGGGCAGTACAAGGACCCCGAAGAGTTTGCCAAAATCATTTCGGAGATTCGACGAGGTGACATTGTCGGCGTCAAAGGTTTCCCTGGAAAGACGAAGAAAGGAGAGCTTTCAATCATGCCCACCGAGATGCAGGTCCTCTCTCCCTGTCTCCACATGTTGCCCAAGTTGCACGATGGCAAGTTAACGCATCCACGCATCGAAAGAAACATTCAATTATAGGTCTAAAGGACAAAGAAACTCGTTATCGAAAAAGACATTTGGATTTGATTATGAACGCTGACGTGCGACACAAATTCATCGCCCGTGCCCAGATTATCCAATACCTGAGAACTTACCTCGCCAACAATGGTTTCTTAGAAGTCGAAACTCCAATGATGAACATGATCGCTGGTGGTGCTACCGCTAAACCTTTCAAGGTATGATTATCGATAAATATTTCATTCTTCTTTCATTCTGACACTAAGACAAATACAGGTTTTTCCTTATATAATTTCAGACGTTCCACAACGACCTCTCGATGGATCTGTTCATGCGTGTTGCCCCCGAGCTTTACCTGAAGATGCTTGTCGTTGGTGGCTACGATCGAGTGTTCGAAATCGGAAAGAACTTCCGAAACGAAGGCATTGACATGACTCACAACCCCGAATTCACTGCTTGTGAATTCTACATGGCCTACGCTGATGCCGAGGACTTGATGAAGATCACCGAGGAGCTTCTCTCTGGAATGGTCAAAGCGATCACCGGCGATTACAAAGTTAAATACCACCCTGAAGGTCCTGATGGACCAGTTTGGGAAGCTGACTTCTCTCCTCCATTCAAACGATTTTACATGTTCCCTGAGTTGGAAAAGATCTTAAATGTAACTCTTCATTTATTGCTTTGTAACTAAACGGACTTGAGGTCAAACTCCCCTGCCCTACAAGCCTGCACACAGAAGAAGCCCGTGCCGCTCTTGACGCCATCTGTGTCAAGCAAAACGTCGACTGTAGCGCTCCACGAACATCTGCCCGGCTCTTGGACAAGCTTGTCGGCGAATATTTGGAAGAGGCCTCTATCAACCCTACGTTTATCTGCGACCACCCGCAAGGTAACAACGCGCAAATTGAATCGATAAGGAATTTCAGTGATGTCTCCGCTCGCAAAGTGGCATCGATCGGCGCCCGGTCTGACTGAGCGATTCGAATTGTTCGTCTTCAAGAAGGAAATCGCCAACGCGTACACTGAGTTGAACGATCCCAAGGTCCAACGCGACCGTTTCAGCCAGCAAATGGCCGACAAGGCCGCTGGTGATGAAGAAGCGCAGGGTTACGACGAGAATTATTGCCAGGTAGTTAAACCATTATTACGCTGAAGTATTAGTTTTGAACAAAGAAGTGGGGAAACAAAAACATTATTGTTCGATGAGAAAACAAACTAGAGCAGACGAAAATCATCCATCAGTTCAAATTTGAACTTTCCTCCTTGATTTCAAGGATGTTATTTTTACGATAATTTCAGGCATTGGAATACGGTCTGCCGCCAACTGGAGGCTGGGGTCTAGGAATCGATAGACTCACCATGTTCCTGACAGACTCGAACAACATCAAAGAAGTGATCCTCTTCCCCGCAATGAAGCCCGAAGAAGCCAATGAGAAGGGTGCCGAAGAAAAGAAGGAATGAGCAATTTACCGAACGAAAAAAAACCTTTTACTGTCCTGAAATAAGTTAAACCGCTACTAATGCGTGCCCTGCCTGAGCGAGTGTCCTAATGAATAGACCTAAAGCTGCTAAAATTTAGCCACTCAACTCGGCCGCGCATTTTGAAAAAATCCAATGTTCTGTATTTTAATCTAGGTGAATTACTGGTATACTAAGGGAATGAAAAAATACAAAACACTGAAGTATATTTATGAAGATAGCCATACAACCTCGTCGACAATTAAAATTACTACTCTCGGAAAGAGAGAGGAGACATTCACCGTCTCTTGAGGATCAGTAATTATAGACGGCTTTGTAGGTTATCCGAAAATTACGTGTTGTTATTTCAATACAGCGAATTGTTTTTGCGATGCTGAATTCTGCTGGAGAATTCGAAGATCACAGATTTTGATTTTGAAGTTAAGGATTAAGTTATTGCTTCATTTTTCAATTAAAAAACCTTAAATTTCCCTCTCATTCAAATATTTTTTAATTAATAAGTTGAGACGTAAGAGCAAACATAAATTACTAAAGTCAAATACAGGCAATAGAATTTGTCTAAAAACGAGATTCTGAAGGAAAGAAATTCGCGTTTTATTCAAGGTCAGCTTTTGTGATGGTCCGTTTGCACCAGACCGCGATGCTGTAGCTTCGTTTTCAGTCTAGTAGCCCAGTGTGGTAATTCAGAAAGGATCGAACCAAGTAGGTCACGAGCGGATTGGCTATCAAAAACCGCCTACGCCTCCAATTTTGCTTATAAACGTGCGAGGGTCGATTTTGAAAGCATTTCATTCTTTTCGGGCGTCGTCTTATGTCGGGCGATCTCTCTTTTTTCACTTTTCACTTCAAAAAAATTTTTCCTCCCGCGCGCCCATTGACGATGTCGTAATTTTTAGTAGAAAAATTTCGAACAAAAAAATCCAAATTTCTAAAAAAACTAAAAAATGCCGGTCCTTTGCTTCGTGCTCGATACCTCGGCCTCGATGAACCGTAGAACTGCTCAAGGTCAACGGGTCATCGACTTGGCAAAGACGGCCATCGATAATTTTCTCAAAAAAGTAAGAAAACGACCCACATTAATTTAAAATTTCGATCATCATCAATTACGCCGAGGACTTATTTTCCAATTTCTCAAAGAATCAAAGCTCTAAGACAGCCCAGAAGAGACATAAAAAGGGGACCTTCTTCAGAGAGCAAAACGGGGTTAATACAGTCACAGAACAGTACCGTCGAGAATTAAAAAAGAAAGAGCGCTAGAATCGACGGCTTTTTTTGCGTCGCGTGGATTATATTTTCACTCACGTGCGCCGCGATTTTGTCATACGGAGCGCCCTCCTTTGCATAGCAGCCTGGATAGGTTAAAAGGCCTCTTCCTCTCATCCCCGTTTTCACGTCGGATCTCTTCCTCGCCTCTACTGTTGTTTGTGACCTCTGTTGACCTCTAAGCTCTCTCGCAGAGGGTCACTCTTCGTCTTTCGTCCGTAAAGGAGCATTTCCTTGTTGGACAGTTCGTTCTTTTGAGTTGGAAAGTTTGCCTCGGTTGATGTTTGTTGACGGTCGATATGGATAGTCGAAACTTGAATTACGGCTTTTGTCATTTAGGTCCGCGCTAAGGAACCCTCTGCGAGAACTGACCAATACCTCCTGCTTACTACTTGCCGAGAACAAACAATCAGGGTAAGCTAAAACAGAGAGAAAACCATCATGTATAAAAATATATATTCCCCCAATTTATTTGATCTGGAGCTGTACTTGTCATGTGGTTGTTGGACTATTATCTCCAAGCAAAGGATACTCGTATAATTACAGTGTTAGTGTGCGAGTGTAGCTGTGACGTGGGACAGTTTATTTTTTCATCATGAAAAGAGTCTTTCCGCGGGCGGCCAATCCGCGCAGAGGGAGATTCGCGACGCGGGTTGACGTGAGTGCTTTGAGATTACAACAATTACGCTTCGTAAAACAAGTACCGCATGATCAAGTATCGAAAGACTGACTCGCATTCTATGAGTCTCAGAATGAAACACTAATCGATCAATTCACAGGTTGGACCGAAAGACTCACCGACAATCTTCTGGCGCGAGCTGCACAACCTTCAAGCTGATGATCAGTCCGATTTGGGCCACTCGATCCAGACCGCCTTTGATATCCTCAACATGGAAAGATACGACCACGGTAAGAGATATTCATCCATTCTCTTCCTTGATTTCAATCGGCGATTTTCAGAGCTGGACTCGATTGGACGCGGGCGGCAACCTTGGTCGATTCGGCCCTCGGCCGTCATCGTCCTCAGCGATGGTGGAATCTTGACAGCTAAGAGCTCGACGCGCAGCGAGCTCGAGCTTCCTGGTTCGTCATTACCTGGCTCAGCCCTTATAACAGAGCCGTTTAGATGGGATCAGCGTGTCTATTCCCTCTGTTTGAGGTTGGACGGGCACGGCAGCGGCGACCAGGTTGATCGCTCGGATGAACGCGTTGCCCACGGGATTGACCCGCTGGCTGGCTTGTGCGACGTCACTGGAGGAAAAAGCTATCAAGGTAAATCCTCCGCAATAAACAGGGATAATAGCTGAAGTCAATCTTACACCTTGGGCACTCCTCTTCTCCTCTTTTGTATCTTATCCTCATAGAACTATGATAATTTCCTACCTCTATTTTTTAATTCCGCAAATTCCACTGCCCGATTTCACATAAATTAATAATTTATTCAGTCAGCCACCCGAACGCCGTTATGGAAACTCTTCAAGCAATCAACGGCGATCTTCAAACATCCGACCGAGCCGGCATCGTGATGAACTTCGAAAAGATCCACGATCGATCCAACAGCCGACCAGAACTCTCCAATGGCCCAGAATCTGGCCAGAAGTGGCACAAGACGCAGCAGATCGTCTACGTGCGCACAAAATACACGACTGGTAGTTTCCTTGGTTTTTGGCCTATTCCTGAATCCTACTTTCCTGACCCTGATGCAGAAAAGCTTCCGCCTCGCTCCGCACAGCCCGTAATAAAGTTCAATACAAGAGATGTTAAATTCCGGGTAAGCGAGCTCCAATCGAAAATAATCCTAATCAACTACTCTAGTGTCTCCCGAACTTTGCATTCGATAAACTAGAACTCCAAAAAGGACCTCTCGTCGACGCAATGCTCGCTCGGAATCGACCCGATAGCGCTTGGCAAGTTTTTGTTGAAAACTCGGGCTCCATTCCCGGAATGGAGCGGCCCATCGGATATCTCAAGCCCAACTCTTCAAACGAAGTCGTTCACCTGTTTCTTCACCCTTATGATTATGAATCCGCCCTGACCCTTATTGACGAGCTTTTCCAGTCGAAAATGAATCCAAGCCAGCTATGGAAGAAACAATGGGAGCAATACTTAAAAGAAATTCCAAGATACTACACTCCTCACTTACGGTACCCTTTCCTTGCCATCCATCTATTTACTCAATTAAAATTCTAGCAAATCACTCCAAGCCGTTGGTGCGCCCCCTGGACTCATCCCAGAAGGTTTTGATCTCAAGCTGCCACATCAGGTCGATTCAAAACTGAAAAAGATCAAATCGCAAGTAAGTCGTGACTTCCTTTGCCGGAACTTACAAACCTATTTTTAGCTGCGGAGCAAAGTCGAAGAAGTCATCGAAAATCTACGTCAGTACCGAGAACGAATCGCAGTCAACAGTGGCAAAATGATTCCATTGAAAGAACTCAACTTCGGTCTTGAGAAAGAAAATCCAGAATTCGCGAACTTCTGCCTTGTCGAAAAGGCAAAAACGGGTCCTAAGCAACCGCTTCTGGTATTGATCTCTTATCACTAATCAAAGCTCATATTTTGTTTAGGAACCGTTCGACGTAGATAAGAACGACATCTTCAATCAATTAGAACGAATGCGCGCAGCGTTCAAGCAGTGTCTGATGGGTGGCCTTCCCCTGCATCACGAAGCCATTCTCCATGAAATTCCACAAGCCAATATGGGCAACTTCCAGGAATACGAGAAAAAACGCACGAAGCACACTCTGCGTGATCCATTTGAGGAAGATTCCGCTTCCAAAAAGCTTCATGGATTCGGAAATCCATTCAAGGTAAATTTTGTTATTTAGGGAGTATCAATCTTCACCCGGTCTTTTTAGCCGAAGAATGGACTCATTGACGTTGACGGTCTCGATTTTAACGAAGGCACTGGCTCAATGAGAAAACGTAGCAGTAGGGGAAAGGATGAACATACCAAGAGAAGACGCAAACGCAACCTCTCTTTTAGGTATTCACGGCGAGCATGTACAGAGATAATAGCCTTTTTAGAAATCGTGGTAAGTCCTACGATTCTGGTCTCCATTCTGACTCCGAAATGTCCGACTCTTCCTCTGTCAACGGCGAGCTTTCGGACGAAGAGGGTATCCATCCATTGAAAAACGGGTTCCACGAAAGTAATGGATTCGCAAAAACGACTCAGAAGAGGAAGAACGGAATGGTGAATGGACATGCAAGCGAACATTACCCGCCCAAAAGTCCTAGACGAGCCTCAGTCGCACCAGCAGCCCTACACGATGAAAAAGTCTATAACTTCTGTCGCCTCCTCATCCGACGCATGGGAAGAGGTAAAATAAGCGCTGATATATATTCACTAACATATAATTTCCGGTCAATAAATGTTTTATAAATTTTCGTTTAGAAAACGAGGTAAAATTTGTCGAAGAGTTGCTCAAACTCAAAGAAGTCGATAAGCGGACCCGCCTCTTCACGGTTCGCAAGTTGCAGCGAGACGCTATCGGCTTCTCGCGTCATTCGATGTTCCAAATCCTCGAACAGTTCCTCGATGCCACCGCCACAGAATCAACTTAGCCTTACTTTCGTTTCAGTTATCTTTCCCTTTATTTTTTCCTTTCTTTCACAATGCCATCTCCTCTTCAGCATATCCGCATTTACGCCATCGTGCAATCAAGGAAGAATCACTTCCTTGATGGCGATTTTCTCTTGCACCGAAACAGGATATCATGAAGTTTCTACGCTTTTATTGCTCTTTAAAAAAGTACTGCCGTGTCCTCAATTAAGTTCAAACGGTAACTACTCTCCGCTGCTTTCTTATTCTATTGTACTGTTCCCAGCTTAGTGTATGTCCGACTTACAGGTGTTTACTTTTGAAAGCCCACGTGGTCTTCAACCCTTTATGCCCAAAAACGTTAACAATGTCTCTCAATCACGAGAATTTTGCTCGACTTTTCGGAGCCCAACCTTTATGCACCTAAACCTCAAATACTGAGCTTGATAATGTATCCTTTATCATCCGTTTATTTAGTTAACTTATTGTCAGCTTTCCTATCAAGATTCTTCAATTTTATTACTCTGAATTAGGCTTTCGAAATACCCGGCGCACCTTATACAAGCGAATATCATCAACTGAATTTTATTCTAACTACTTGTAAAAATGTATTTATTACAAAAAGCGACTGAAACTAAAATACTGCCAGTTGTTTATATAAAACTTATTTATTGCTATTTACAGTCACCAGATAATAAAATGAGCGCGCATGTTTTGTGCCTTAGAAAAGTAAAATATGTCTTAGTTTTCTAGCAGGAGAGGGTTTCAGGATCAATGGATGTGAGCGATATTGTCAAAATACTCGTCGGTGGAAATCTCGCCATTCAGAACTTTTCGAGGTCATGAAAGAATAACTAATTGCAGATTATTTGAATAAGGGACCTTTCCTTGATCTCTGTATCTTGCTTGCTGCATATTATCGAGCACTCTGTTCATTCCATCAATGCCTTTCTTGATCGAGCTTCGTAAAAACTCGATTCTGTCTTGAAGTTTACGTTCTCTTTCGAAGCACGTGGCGCTCTCTACTATTCGACTAGAAGCGGAAGGAAACCAGTTTCCATGCTGCTGGGAGTCGTCATTGGTGTATTTGTAAAGAGTCTTCGTCTGTGGCTTCTGTCTGGGGGCAGCTACGGATGGATTCTCACGGAAGATTCTATCGTCGTCGGAGATTTGAGTTGTCTCTGATGAGAAGCTGACCTTGGATCGGGATTTTTTGGATCGCTTTGGTTGAGATTTCACAGACCGTGGTTGGATTATAAGAGACTGTATTAAAGAAGATCAAAAAATATTGACAGTCTATAAAAATAACCCAAGCTTGATATCTTCTTCCGAAGAGGATGTCTTGACAGATGGGTCCGATGAAACTTCGCCTGCGCTTGTGATTGGGGAAATCAACTCGGATGACTTTGACTCTGCGTTTCCAAAAAGATTAGCAGCAAGATTCGTGAGCGATTGAATAATGGTAGCGGAATCTTTACGCTGTGTTTCAGGAAGTTCCATGGAATCTGAAATCCTTTCTTTCAGGGCATGAGGATCGATTTTGATGGTGGAAACGGGTGAAATTGCTAGTTTGTGCTTCTTCACGCTGCTTGCGCTCATACGCGACCGGATCTCATTTGATGAATGTTTCTTCCTTGATGCATTTTTTGACGGAGTTCTTTCCTGAACAGCTGCTCGTTCTGTCTTTCTAGCATGATTAGATTTCTCGGGAGTGGAAGGAGCCGGTTCATTTTCGTCGGCAGCTGCACGAGCAAAAGCGCTGGATAGACTCCATTGAATGATCTCCGGCAAAGGCCAGATTGGGAACGAGATATTTCCACAAAAACGCACAATAATCGGAATCAATGATAGAATCGCAAAACAGAGATGCGGAAAGAAGGTGAAGGTGAACTTTACTGAATTCTCGTTGAAGAAAAACAAAGTTTGAACAAGTTCTAATTACCTATTCTGAGAAGAAATACTGCGGCTGTGTCTGGGAGCTTTTGAATTGTCCATGCCAGCGCTTTCAAAAATGCGTAGTAAACTTTTTCGGTTTCAAATTTCGATGGCTTTTTTAATAAAATATTTTGTAAGAAACCAACCTGGATTATATTGCCTTTTTGATGCGAGCTAAAACGTTTGCATAATTATCTACGCTTGAATTCATTATTCATATTCATGACGATTGTAAATTATGCTGTATTTACGAGAGATTGCGAGATGTTTTGTATGGATGACAAAAATAGTTTATCGAAGGATTATTTTACCTGAAACATGTTGTCGAACAATAAATCTTTAAGAAGCTCATTGTCAATATAGATTTATGTTCTAGAGATATTGTAAAAAAACTTTATAATTATGAACAGCAAAGAAATCTGAATATGTTGTGCCCCTTGAATAAAATATGTTTTAACGTTCGATTATTCGTTCATTGGCATCACGGCGTGTGCCCAAACCGAATTTCTGTCTACCTGAATTTACCTCCTGTCAGATATGCGGCCGGCCTACTGTCAGTTTACCATTTACAAAAGGCACTTCTTACAAAAAACACCCAAAATCAGAGATTTTTTATTTTTTCACATCAATCAAGTTTTGCATGGCGATACAACGTATTGTCCGATAATTAGGGAGTGAGAACAAAGAGGAGAACCGCCGCCTCCCCGATGAGTTAATTTCCGAGGGGAACTAATCGACGATCAGCTAATTACATACTGAAGCAAACTTCGATCAACTTTTACATACACTCACTATCAGAAAAATAGAGAAAAAATATGATTTGCCAGTTTAACCTGAATGATTTTTGTTAGAGTTTCAGAAGCATGTAGAATTTGAAGTTGTTGTTCCTTCAATTTATGAAACTCGAAAAACAGGAACGAAAGAGTACTCCCGCAACAACAAACAGCATCTGCCCGCCTCCGAGAATCCATCCAGATCGTTTCTGAGCTTTTGAAAGAAGTCGAAAAAAGCGAACCTCGTTTTGTCGGAAATCTCCAGGAAATTGATGGGCGAATAGAAGGATTGCATGTTGTTTCCCAGCATGAAGTGGAAGTTCATCTTTATCTCAATCAAATGGGTGTTTTCAATCTCGTCGATGATGGTAGCGTTCCTGGTTGCGCGTCGTTGAAGTTGAGGTATCGAGTTGATTTATGAATGGGAATCATTTTTGGGATTATTTTAGCGATGGGAGAAAAAGAAGTATGAGCCTGTGGGTTGAGTTTATCACTGCAAGCGGTTATCTATCAAGTAGAAAGATTCGCGCGCGCTTCCAGGTTAGGAAAATCAATCGATTTTATTTCAAATCAATTCTTAGGGACTACTTATGACTGCGTTGGAGAACTCCCCGTACAACTCACTCGTCGTTCTCAACACAAATGCAACAGAAGCGATTTTGACCATCCGGAATGGATTCATTGTCCGTATCGTTCCAGCCTTTCGCTGTGGTGGAATGTGGCCGAGGTATGTTCTTTTTGCTTCTCAGCTTTGAACCCTTTTTGCATTTTCGCAGGTAGACTGACGCAACCAGACCCGGCATAATAGATTCTCGATTGATAATCGAAATCTGACCTTGTTCTGAATTTGATAAATAAGCACTTATTCAGATCCGCGCAGCACTGGCCCCAGAGTCAACTTTGGCCAGCTCCCCAAATTGTCTCTTCAGTCAAGACTGAAGGATTCTCGCTTCTATCAAGAGATGGAATCGCTGGAGACAGTTGGGCATTTTCGTTCGCTGAGGCGTACACGAATTTACTCGAAGATGCAAACAGAAAAATGGTGCTGGCGATTTTAAAGACAATTTTCGAACGACATCTTGAGGTAGAAATATAAATTGTGATTTATGATAATAATGTTGCTAATTATCATATTTGTAATTTTGTTTTCTAAAAATAGCGATCGCCGATCGAGCAATATTAAAAACGTCAAATAATTATCTCTTCTTAGCCAGGCCTAATCTTGTCAAAACACTTGGAATCACTTCTGTTGATTGAGTGTGAGAAACACCCTTCTGACGATCGCTGGAAACCGGAAGACATCGGAGATAGACTCGTTGGAATCCTCCTGCAATCGATCTCATGCATGCAATCAAGGTAGTAGAATATGAGTAAATACGATTATCACGCGTTGTTTAGAAAGTGCCCTCATTACATCCTTGACAATGTCGATTTGTTTTCCGGGTACGATCCTGTTATTTTGAATGGAATGGCAAAAACGACCTGGAATATTGTGAGGCTTCTTATTATCGGAAAATCAGATACTTTATAAATGAATAAAATTGGTACTTCTTCAACAAAAATTCTTGTAATTTAATCATGGAAAAATTGGCGTTATTCTAAACCGTTTAGAGTAAATTGAGCAGTAAAAATAAAACTGTAAGAGCAGGTCAATGAGAAAATTCCTCTTTCCCGCTGCTTTTGAATAACTTGATATAACCTCCGTTTGCCGGATGTTTAAGCATTATCGCATGGACCTACCGGGTAGTTACAGGTTGAACAAGGTCATTCGAAACACAAGATTTTTTTATTCAAAGTAACAAATATTATCAGATCTGGACAGCAGGATTCCTCTAACTTAACTTCAACTTCTCACTCTTTATGATTCATTTTATCTTCTTATCAGAATCTCAAAGAAAAATCCGATCGAAACTAAAAAAGGTTGGATTCTCAATCATCCCGGAATTCGCCTAACTCATTTTTGGCAGCCTGACTCGTCATCGTCGTTATGTGGACGGGCATGCGCTACTGATAAAGCGACCTGTTTTTGCTGCTGTTGTGTGTGGCGCCGGAGAGCTCATTGCCCCCTCCGGCGAGTGCCAGATCCTTTGCCAGAGTATCAGATAGCCGCAGATCATCCAGCACAATAAGAGATCATCAGCTGATTTTCGAGCATCATTCAAGATAAATATGATCGCGCCTGAGAACAGAATCATATCAGAAAACACGGTAAGATAGAAAGATTTTATCTAAATGAGCAAATGATTTTAAATTGAATCGAAAATGCACAGTTTCTATGATTTAATTAAATTAAATTCTATCTGTTCGTAGAGAAAAATTTTCGAAAAGTGACAAAATTTCTAGTGCACTTATTTGGTTACCGGTTGTAATATGAAAAAAGGGGGATCAGCAAAATGTTTTCTTAGGGTACTCAAAATTTTATATCAACGATTTTACAAGATTCACATGATAATCATCCAATCTTTGACCCATAAAGCTCAATTGGATTGATACGGCAAGGTGACCCCTCACAAAGTAGGAAGTGAAGTTCTCAAATTTGAGTTCCAGGATGTGAGCGCTGCTTCCGTCAGCTGCCTACCTGTCGAAAGTTGGAGTAATTGCTTATTTATTCGTTTGCTCACATTCAAGTTTTTGATCCGTGCCTTAGCCTGTTACCCATTATCGCTTCAGATTTACGAGGACGAAGTTACACAATCGGCTGTATCAGCAGCTTCTCATGTTGAAGTGCATTCAGGTGAGCCGATAATATTATCATAAACTTGGAATATTCGTGTCGAAAACGTAGTTTTAAAGCAAAATTCATGAGTTGAATAAATTTCGCCTTCGGTTTTCCTCGAGTTACATCAACAATTGCTAATTCCATCAAATCGCAATCATTCTAATCAGGATTATTTAGATGAGAAAGCCGTGGAAGATCAGTTAGTCGTGGCCGCGCCTCACATGAGCGCCGATGATTCGATGGTTTGGCGGGAGAACCTGCTGCAGCAGCAGTTCGCTTCGCCGACTCAGGAGCGGCGTTAGAAAGTCCAGTCACTCAGAAAGGAAAGTGAGTTGCTTTTGCAATTCCGACCATTCAGTGTGGGAAAGTTGATAACCCAGATACGTGGATTCTTTCGAACGCGCAACACAGGCTTCCTCCGCCTTTTACTCGCCCTATCAGAACTACAGCGGAAGTTTCTCCAATGTAAGATCTTTCTATAGACGCAGATCAAAAAGAATGACCGCTTTTGTAGGAGACTTTCGCACACGCAAGCCCGTACATGCTCAACTTCCACCATTCCATTCAAAACTTTGGCCAGGAAACGACGATTGTGCGAACGGAGCAATGTCCGAGCTGTGGATCACGTGGTTACGTGGGGGATTTCAGCCCGGATCCCACCAACAACAAGGTAGCTTACAAATTTTCAAAGCTCCTCTTTACAGAATTGTAGATATTTGTTTGCCGGAAATGTCAACAGAAATCTTCTCGCGACAAAAAAGTCAAAAAGGAGTGCTTCAACTGCAAAACCTCCAACACCACTTTGTGGAGAAAGTTCAAAAGCCTGAAGGATATCCGGCTAAAATATCCAAACAAGGATTTTGATCAGAGCTCTGCAGATCCTGCTGGCAAAGTCGGATGCAATGCCTGCGCGCTTTACTGGTCGCTTCATGGAGTAAGCACCTTGTCGTCTTTTTTAATTGTAATTCTAATCTCAGAAACACCGCCCCGCTGACATGAAACGCTCTGACACTCCAACAAGGCGGCGACGAAAGAAAAACGGGAAAGATTTCCCCCAGTAAGATAACCCAATCCAGCCCATCTAAAATTCTATAGACTCTTCAATATGGAAATGGCGGCTGCAGCTCACCACCAGCAGCAAGCTTGGACCGCGGTGCGAAATCCTTATCACCAAGCGGCCTACCCCATGATATCGCCATATGCCCTGCATGATGGCAACGCTTTCATTGTCAAAGAAGAGTCCTTGGGGATTGGCCTCAATTGATTGCTATTTATAAACGGAAAACTCTCAAGCTAAACAAAACCTCTCCTGTTCCTCGAACGAATCAGTGCCTATTATTTTATGAAGTGTATTGAAAATATAAAGATATTGTACAGTTAGACATGCAGTGTTGTTTTGTTGTATGCAGAATTTCTTGAATTTCTGGACTTGATGGATCTCCAGTATTCGTAGAACTCGTGGTTTAAAAATCACTGAACATTGTCATGTTGAGGCGGCGCATCATGAGGCCCCCTCCGAACTGCGCTTCTGTTCGGTACCATTGAAGGAACTCGTTGTTGAGATCTAGGACTTATAAATTGTTCTAAAAATGTGGCTATTACCTTGGTAGCCGTTTGGTAATCGTCCTCTTTTGTCGAATATCTGAGCATAATCGGCGATTGTATCCTTTGCATAAATAATGTCTGGACGAGCACCAGTCCATGCTTCGGAACTATCGAACACTTCTTGGCTTGTTGATGAGCAAATCTACAAGTATTTTGCTAGGATTCGAATGATTTGGTTAAACTTACCTGATTTTGAAGTGATGAAGTGACAGAGTCAAGTTCATTGAGTTGCACCTCGTAGACATTTCGTTGATTTCCGGTTGCAATTGTGTAAAGATATTCTTTCATCAGTTTTTCGCCGATTCCAACAGAAATCATGTTGATTCCATCTTATTTGGGTTATTGGTAAGCGGACGTAGAAAGAACATTATTTACCTTTGAAAGCCTCCTCTCCGTGAAAAACTGGAGTTTTCGCATCCGTGTTCCAGCCATCAGTGAAGACAATGACAACCTAGATAAAAATTATCAGACGTCTAGGACTTATCAGATATTTTTGTCGCGATCTAATCGAATCGCATCACCGTCGCATTCTCAGGTCAAAACAACCGCGGGGTAACCGAGTCCACATTATGGATTTAGGGCAAACTGATTCAAGCCTACTTACGCTGTTTTCGTCTTCGAGCCCTTTCAGAGAAACTCTTGAAGTTTTTAGGGCCTTGAGAAGAAGTGATTCGGAACTGGATGAAGCACCTTGCTTGCGTAAATTCTCTACGGTGTCCATTATGTGTTGAACATCGTGATGAGCGAGATCCAAGACGATATCGGAGTCATCAGCAAATGTGTTGATAGAAATCTTCTGCTTGGACGAGTCGAAGAACCCGACGAAGCCTCTGAACCAGCTCCAGAATTCGCGGACCGATTCCATTGAAGATGAAATGTCGACCGAGAATACGATGTTGAGATTTGTTGCTTGGCAAGTTGTTGGCTCGGCTGGTGCGTATGGGTTGTTGTATCCATCATTTGATCCTCCATCATTTGATCCTCCATCTTTTTCAGTTGTGAAAGTTTCGAAGGGAAAGCTTTCTGTTGTATCAGTTACTCCTGGCGTCGTTGTATAAATAGTTTCCGCCATTGTAGTGGGCTCTTGGGTAGTTGGTTCCGGAGTAGGCGTCGTTGGTGCTTCCGTTGAAGATGTAGTTCCACCAGAGCATGATCCAGTAGTTGAAATATGTCCGTTCGCGCAGCACATGGCATCGTTTGTATTGTAAGTTTTGTTGTGGCAGCATGCGCGTTGGCCGAAATTTGTTGCAAAGGGGAATCGATTTGGATACTCACCACAGCACTCATCATGAGTGTCATAATCGCCAGTCCAGGCACACATGGCGGATTGATCCCATTGGTTACTTGCGTGCAGGTTAGCATTATCAAAGTCTCCCTCTCTTATCGCGGCGACGAACTGTGCAGCAAAGCGAGCATCGCATTGGCAAGCCCATTTACCACAACCTTCCGCATTACCATCGCAACTAGTTGTAGCTGTTGATCCGGGAGAATACGCGCTGCCAGACGACTGCGTTCCCAAAAGCACGGAGTAGTCTGTAAGTAACGGTTGACAGTCTGTATCGTCCATCTGTGTGCATTTCAGACACTGCTCCCAATGCTGACAAGCCAAATCAAGACTATCAAGAGACTTTCCAAATGCTTTTCGCGCATGATCCCGATCGTGGAGGACGTTGCACCAGCAGCCGTAGTTGAGAAAGTCTGTAGCTGGCCGCCCGAGATCTGGCAGACCACCTTCTGTCGAAATGATGTGGTTAATCATCGAAAGAAGCTGATCTCGATCGTCGAAAAACTCTGAGTTATTGCTTCCAGAATCATTTGATGAACCAGAGGAGCTGGAATATGTCAAGGAACCTGAAGATCCAGAAGATCCGGAGTAGCCAGATGAACCCGAAGATCCTCCATATGGTCGAGTCGTTCTCTTTGTGGTTGTTGTTTTCCTTGTTGTTGTAGTTGTGGTTGTGGAAGTGGTAGTAGTAGTTGTTGATGTCGTTGTTGTTGGTCTGGTTGTGCGTCTCGTCGTTGTTGTCTTCTTTGTTGTGCTCTGGTATTGCTGGCTACTTGTCGCCAACCAAGCTGCGTATTTGGCTGCTTTCTTTTTCTTCCCTCGTTCCAAGTCAAAAAAGTTCAAATACTCACTATCTCCGTAATCCAGGCTGAGCTCATCTGTGTTCAATCTGAAGCCGGGCGTCTGCGCAGTCGCCGCTCCTAACGCGACGTAATCTAAAAGCTTCATCGAAAAAAAACTAAAGCTGCTTTATTTTCTTCAATGGACAGGCAGGGTTGAAGATTCCTTCGTTTTTATCCCCCGGACAGCAGGGACTGTCATTTGCGGTCCGATTAGCATCCGCCTTTTGAGCATTGTTAGAGAGCTGCGCCATCGCTTTTTGCATAAATTGTCATTGACAATGAGCTGGGACGCGGCTTTCTACGGGAGCAGATTTCAGGAAGCTATCATTTCATTAGGAATAATTTAGTTTCCTTCTGACAGATTAAAATCCAAGAAAGGGCCATTAGGGCGAACTTTTGATTTGAAACTCTTTTATCACTTCTAGATACGAGCTTTTGACCGAGTGGTATAGCCTATACCGTATGGGGATTTCTAGAGTTGAATTTCAGCCTCGAGATTCCTTTCCACGGTGCGCACTTAGTCATCATTGATAAAAAGAAGAAGTGAAACTTCTCAGGAGAAACGAAGATTTGTCACGAGCGAAGCCAACTGACGATTTGTGCTTCGTTTTTTCTCCTCGTCCAATAGAAATTACTTTCCTTGCCTCCACAATTTTCCCAACTGGTGAGAAGTTAATATTTTTTCACTTTCAGACGGCGTAGATTAGAGATTCAACTGCGAGTCGCAGTCTGCGACGATGTCAGCGATCGATAATGTTACTCAAGAGGACTCGGCGGTGTCTGCCTCAGCGGTGTCTATCTCGGCCTGGGATGCGAGAAAAGCTCAATCTTTCATCGGTGAAGGTAAAGTCCTTCTTGTTTATGAGCTTCTGAAAGGGTTGTTTTTTGAATGAGTAATTTTATGATCCTATTTGAACGGTATTTGCATGACAAATTTTGTAGGCCAAGAGCGGCGCTACGAAGCGATGAAAAAGCCCATTGCCGAGGATGAATCCAGCGAGGAAAGCCAAGTCACAGAGATCCCTGACGACGAGAGTGAAACCGCCATGAGCGCAGTATCTACCCGAACGGTTACTTCTTGCCGTTATCGTGGACGAGGTCGAGGACGAGTCATGAAGAGTGACAGAGATGACCTTCCAGGAACAGGTCTCGGGCGCGGAGGATTCAGCCGTGGAGTCATTCGAGCCGGAATCGGTCGTGGCCGAGCAAGACCGGATGATGTTGTGTCTGTGATTGAAGGAGACCTTTCCCGCGTATCCTTAGCCACGAAAAATGAGTCTAAGGTTGAGAATGGTCGAGGACGATCGGAGACGGAGGAAGTAGGTCCACCAGACGTCAACAATCGCCGACCCCACGTCACTGGGGTGAAGAAGGAGAACAACACCTTCACCTATAACTTCGACAACATCGCGGACTTGGAATTCCCGCGAACTGTAATCGACCCTCGAATTCAAAACGTTGAAACTTGCTCCATGATGGGGCAATTAGACAGCGACGATAACGAAGAGGGAAGTAAGATGTTCGAGCAAGATGATAGTGAAGCAGGTCCTTCCCCGCAACCGGCCATCACTCGCGCTGAATCTGTCTGCTCGCTTAGAGACAATTTCCAATATGAGGAGTCTATCGATGACTATTGTGAAAGGTAAAATGGCTTCTTTACAGACAAGTTTTCATGTTATTTTAGTGTCTCTAAAGTTGATATTTCTCCTCAGCGAGAACCCGAAAAGCACCAAAGCTTGATGCCAAGCCGACGAAGAAAGACACCACCAGCAAGTCCGGTCGTGCCAAAGTTTGGTCAAAACTTGATCCCGAGAAGAGTGAATCGAGTACCGGTAGTGCGCAGGAAGATTGACAATGGGCCGACCGAGAGCAGACAAGAAAAGATCAATTTTTATAAGAAAAAGGCGGAAAGTTCGAGAATCACGGAAGAGGAGGGCGAGAAAGAATTTCATCGCCCACAGTCATCCGCTTTCCGACGATCAGACTACGATTCTCGTGACTTTACCCCCTTGCCAACGGTTCAATTTCAGAGAGGTCCAATGGAGAGTAAGGAGGAACCACCAAAAGAAGTGAAAGCGGTGAAGCGGGAGGTCGAAATCGTCGAGCCTACAGTGGATACTTTCCGAGGATTTGCACACGAGAATGACTACCAAAGCGAAGGTCGAGAACCACGACTTCTTCCTGCGTATCAGCATCTTCTCAATGAATACGAGAAAATTGTTTCAATCGTCATTCACGTGGAGGTAGAAAAATATTTAAATTTTATCTTCTAAAGACAAAATTTTAAGACTAAAAGAGAGGAACGAAGCTTGATGAACAAGTCCCCTCATATCGACAAAGTCCAGCGTTCAATCGAGGCGTTCAAGTGGCGATTGTATGAAGAGCAGCAGACTTTTTATCAAGCGCCTACTGTGGACTACGGACCAGTTATCGATCTCAAAGAGTTCAAGTACGAGCAGACTTCTGAGAAACGAGAGGTAATTTTGTTTTTTAAGGAAAAATATTCATTTTCATTAGCGACAATTTCCTACGGAGAAAGTCATCTCTGTCGATGTCGAAAAGGTTCTTCGGGACTCTCAAGTTCGCTTCCAACTCAAATTCAAAGATGTGGGCGAGATCAATATTTTCTTTTTCCGGAAGAGCATTGACGAAACCGAACTCATTCTCTTCGAGGCTTACCCTTCTCACAATTTCACCGGGAAAACTCAGTTTGGGATGGAAATTATCCCGAACAAGAAGTACCGTGATAGTAAGAAGAAGGCCAAGCAGTTCGTCTTCGGAAACGAGATGACAAATGCTATGCCCATGAGAGAGATTTATATTGGTAAGAGCGAAACCTTCGAAAGTTTTTTTAATTATGTTTTTAGATTCGAAGTTCAATAAGTACTTCTTCGATCATAACAGTACCTTCACGGCGAACATCTATGTTATCGGCTTCGAAGTGTACGTCTCTCCCTGCGTCCGAGTTGTACAGCTGCTTCAAGAGAGCCAGAAACAGTTCAGAAGAGGAGTGAAGGACTACATTGACTTCATCAACAGTCCCAGAGATGTCCATGACGATTTGGTTGCAGTTGGCGATGATTCTTCCGACTCCGAAGAATTCTCATCCTCCTCATAGAAAATAGTTCAATTGGAATTAACTGCCACCACTTTAGCCATTTATCACTGCGCTCTCATAAAATAAATTCAATCGCAAGATTCTTGAAGATGGATAAGGACTCAAAGTCTCTAGAACGGTCGTCGTCCCAAAAGTTTTTCATGTTTGACCCGATTAGTTTCGTTTTTTCTAAGGCGCACGGAACATGCCGAGAGGGAAGGAGAAGGCGGATAAAAAGACAAGGTATCTTAGTTTTGAACGCGTTAGGAATAAATGATGTTAAGCTTTTAAAATCAAAAAATGGTGCCTTCCTTTGCTATGGTGAGCGTCCAATGTACCCCTTCGATACTCCCTTTGACTTCCTCGGCAATCGAATAGTTCCGATTCGTGGGACACCTAACTGCTCTCCAGCAAATTATCATCCGCTGCAGAAGAATATTGCTTATGAGTCCAAGCATTTTCATTGCTCCACAAAAGGATATTCTTGTCGTGCGCGAACAGAGAGCAGATTCAGGTACGAAATACAGCAGCTATCTGACGAAGAATCCATCATTTAGGCCCCCATTTCATACGAAAACTCCCCGCGTTACGAAGTATTTTCCAAAGCAAAAAGAACTTTCTTATCAAGCAAGTAACTTGATTTGTTCGAAGAAAGGATACTCATGTGGTGCTCGTACAGAAGAACGATTCCGGTGAGCTTGTTCTACTGATTTATGAATCTAATGAAATTCAGTCTCCCGTTTCATACAGTTACCCCAGCTGCTAAATACCAGCCAATCATATCTGAACCAAGGAAGTTCAAGCCTGCGAAGAAACCCTTCAATTCAAGTGAACCTCGCCAGGTTAGTTAGTCACAAATCGACTTTTAGAGTCAAAAAATTAAGATGAGATTCCGAAACAACATAACTTTCCCTTACTACGCTGATGAAGACATTTACTCTGATGACGAAACTCCTGATATTGGTGCGCTTTCCTGCACGCCTGGAGTTGGACGATACGACCACGATGTTGAAAGAGACCGACAAGTTGCTAAGAAATGGTAGGAGTCTTCGTTGATATCAATTTTAATGTTCTTCAGGAAACGAGCCTTTATGAAGCCTGAGCTGCCGTCGAAGTCTTACATGAAATCAATCAGAAACATCGAAATGGTGGAGGATAGAGTTATGCGAAAGTATCAGAAGCATTTGAACTACATGAAACTTTTCTACTGAGACTATTTTGCTATTGGAATACACTTTTAAAATTCTATCTCTCTTTGAGCGTTTTCTTTGAAGGGCGAGAGGCATCGTAAAATTCCAGTTGCTGTTATGTTTTCTTTTTCGAATCTGAGTCCCTCTAATTCTCTTCAAAGTTCATCGCACGTAACGCAACACTAAATTTTCTTTATTCGAATCAGAGCTAGAGGATGGAGCTCTTAAAAAATAAGAGAACGATAATATGCTGCATTATAGCGTTTATGTTCGTCTTAGCCTCTGTTTGGGCAACGCAGTTCAAGAAAACTGGTAGATGTTAACGTTTTTTGTCGGAATAAAGGTGATGTTTATAGCGTGCGATCCGAGTCCTTGTCTAAATGAAGCAGTCTGTTCTATTGTCAACGAAACTATCTCAATGTACGTGATAGACTGCGATTGCAACGAAGAAAGTACCGGTGAATTTTGTGAGCTCTCGCCTTGCGAGGACAATCCATGCAAGAACGGAGGAAAGTGTTATGTTGACGAGAGTACGTACTCGTACGAATGTGACTGCCCGAATTCGCATCACGGGCTAGATTGCGAGGTACAGTAATAATAATATCAATTTTACGAATTCAAGAGAAAATAGATTGCTTATTGCGACCCGAATCCTTGCACCAATGGCGGGGTCTGTGTGGTCAATGAGAAGAGACCCGGTTTTACCTGCGACTGCCCTCTTGGAAGATATGGTGATTTATGCGAGGTAAATTTTATAAAAGAAATCTTGCGAGCGTTATTATCAGAGATCCGCTTGCGAGCCAAATCCATGCCGAAGCGATGGAGTATGTAATCTTCTTGGGGAGGATGGTGTGGAACAGAATGAGGAAGAAGAGGAGCCCGTTTCGAATGAAGATGGAACCGTAGAAGAAAATAGCGAAAGTGAAGTCTCCCAGTCATATGAATCGCAATTAGATGTGCCAGATCGACCGCAAGACCAATTTGAGTGCACTTGCAAGCCGAAATTCTACGGGGAGATCTGCGAGTACGAACTTTGCAAAGTGAACCCTTGCTACAATGGCGGAGAATGCAAAGTCTACAAGCGAGAACAGTGGTGCAAATGCCCAGATTACGCGTTTGGAAAGTATTGCGAGAAGAATCCTTGTGTTGATCAACCCTGTCAGAATTATGGCGAGTGCACTGTCGATAAAAAGTACAGAAAACACAGGTGCAAGTGCAAAGCTGGATTTGCTGGACAAAACTGTCAGGTAATCATGATTTCCTGCTTCCAACACTTAATTTCGAGCAAGCAAATGAAAGGCTTTTTTGTTATGAACGAATTCGGAAGACTTGCAATCAGTACAACAGGAGAAGCAACACTGAGTTCAATAAATTACCCAGAAGATGGGATCACTCGGCTTGTCGATGTTGGAAGTACTGTCTATAAAAATACACTCTACTTATTTGGAGGACTAGAAGATGGAAGACAGGTTATTTGAAAAAGCATTTTATATTTTGAAAATTTTTAGATATCGAAATTAGAGGGAATCACAATTGAAAAGATTGATTTGAAACTTCTCTTTACGAACGGTTTCAATACTTACGAGAGCCTTTTTAATAACTTATATTTGAATTTGATTTTGGAACATTCTCAGTCAGCAAAAGTCTCAGGCAATCCAGACTACTAACGATTTCGCAGAGGGTAAAAAATTTTCGTTTTATTTTAAAGTCACAATTCTTCTAGTTTATTTATGTTTCTCAGCAGAATCCAGGCCAAATTTGAGTAAATGCCAGGTATTCAATGGTGAAAAAGTTGAAGAACTTGGAGTTGACACTCCTTCTGAACACTTTATGGGTGCTTTAGGGCTTTTCTTAGGGAAAATTACCGGTAAGAATATGGAAAAAGTTTATAAATAACTAAATTTCAATAGCTCTTGGAGGCGGGATACTTGGAGCTGGGGATAATTCCCTTGTTGAAATTTTCGAATCGACATGGTCCTCTGGAACTCAAATGCTCGTCGGCCAGTATGTTTTATTATCATAAAAAGTTAAATATTTTTTATGATAGACCTACTATTGGTATTACCTGTATCAGTTTACCGGATGGAAGCATGATGACTCTAGGTGGTGGAAATGAGGACACAGCTTCAATTTATCTTCTAAATACTGAAGCAAGGAACGGATTCGTTATTTTTTAAAAACTTAAAGTTTATAAATTATAAATACAAATTGAGGAAATTAAGCTATTGGGTTAATAAATATAGTAACAGATGAGTTTTTCAATCAAAAATAATTTTCTCAAAATAATTATTTTTGAAAATTGATTCATATATGCTCAAAAATGGTGAATCATCGCTTCGCGGCGGATCGCGCAGGCTGGGCCAGTTCCCGCTCGATCTCCGAAGTCAAACTACGACGGGCGGGGTTAGTACTTCCCTCGGGCGACCGGGTTGGAATACCGCGTTTCGGGAGGGAACTGTCGCATCGTGCGCGGTTAGCTGCGTAGCACTGGTTTTTTATCATTTTATTCAATCCTCAAAAGCTGGTCGAAGCTAGGACATCTTCAAAAAGTAGGATATTTTTTTTAACAATTATATTATTTTTCTAAGAAATACACGAATGCTGCTGTTGCTCACTACGATAATCTGATCTATGCCATTGGCGAGAGTGAAATCGAGAGATTTTTCTTCGACGAAAAGACGAAGACAGTTCAAATTAGCGAGTTTCTTCTGCCGATGGAATTTCCATCGACGTATTCTATTGCATACAGCTTAGATTAGCATTTGCTCGAACATTGTGTTAAATTTAATTCTAGAAAAAAAAAATTAATGACAAACAAGTCGAAAAACTCAGCGTCTATATACTGCATCAAAATCGTTTTTATATTGATAAAAAACAACGAGAGAAAAGATTCACGTATGTTACAATGGTCATTTATTTTAGTTCAACGTGAATGTATCATCGAATGGAGGATTTCTTAAATAATTGACCATCTTTGAGAAATCTCCGTCTGCGAAAATTGGGAAATATTGCTGCAATTTGGCGATCGCATCCGGATGATGTCCAGGAAGAATACCTAAAATATTGTTTGTTATCGCGGACTCGAATTTCGATTATTACCAGTCTCGCAGGAGTAGTCGTTTCCTCCAGCAGTAAATCCTGTATGAATTTCGATGGGTCCTCGTTCAGAATTATCTGCAGACCAATCAATGTATCCTAAAATTTCATAAATAGCCAACAACAAATGTTTATTCCTACCTTTGTAATAACTACTCTTTGTCGTGCAAGAAAGGGCTCCTTCGACAAGCTCGCATTTCTGTCTATTCACTCTTGTTCCCTCTCGAGACAAGAAAGACCAAAGCCTTCCATCTGAAGACTGTTCTGATGGATACCAGTCTGCGAAGGCGATTCTGCCGTCTCCTCCATTGATTCCACCGAGAGTGACATCAAAAGGACTAAAATAGGTGTCTATGGGATACATAAGGAAATGTTCTACCAGAATACAAAGAGTGTCGATTCAGAATCATCCCAGAACTGTTGTGTGAGATATTCTGGATGAGCAACGTGGTCGATCTGATCGTGGCTCCAGTTGTCGACGTTTCGGAGGTTGGAGACTCGAGTTTTCATGACCAAATACCTAGGTAATAAAAACCATGTATATTCTTCCGGCTATCTTACCTAGAGAAGGTGCTCTTGATAAAGTTGAAGGTGCCGCCGGACCAAACTGGAATGGAGACTTCATTATCGTTGGAGACGCAAGAAAAGTCGGGGTTGTTCATGGTCCACTGGCAGACCCCGTCAGTACAGAGACACTTTGTTCCCATGAATGGCTTTCCGATGCTATTCTGGTAGCCGAGTTTGCATCCAAGTCGAATAACATCATCGGGGTTGTGGAAAAGATCGGATCCTTCTTCGCCATAATCTCCGCCCCAGTATGGAACTGCGGGTTTTCCTTTACTCTCGTCGCCGAGGTAGCCTCGTCCAGCAATAACCTTGTTTAGAGTTTTCAAACATAACATTTACAAACAATTTGAAGCGGTTTCATAATCACTTTTTAAACTCTCACAAAACAATCTCTAGTCCCTGGCCAAGTCTCTGTAAAAAGCCATTATCAGTTAGATCTTGATTATAAGTCTCAATTCCACTGCATGTTTCCTGAGCCACGGCTAAAATAAATTAGGCTAAAAATCAACCTTCATTTTAAATAATGAAGCACTATCTATCGAGCAAATAATCGTCAAAAATGAAAATTCAACATGCTGAAAGTCATGTCAAATCTTCAAATTTGAATGAAGCCAAATCATGAGTCCATTCTGACGGAACCCGGGTTTTCGGAGATAAAGCAACGCAAATGTTTTTCTGGTCGGAGAAAAAGCTGAATTCGGATGGCATATAAAATATAAATTTGTCGGTGTAAAATGATCAATATTGAGGATTACACTTATTCACAAACCTATCATCAGAAAATTTTTCATAATTATTAACCTAGAAAAAACGCACAATCATCATATTATTTCGGAGAATACCAAGTTTACACGAATTCAATTCTTTTGAAAACCGCAGGTGCCTCTGATCGCGTTGGTTTTATGGTATTAAGAGCAAGGCCATTTGGATTTCAAACAAATGATTCTGAAAGGCTTCACAAACTCTGGTACTTCAAAGTATGCCGGCTTGTCTGAAACGATGAACCCGAGGGTGGCTCATTCAGAAACCACAGCGCGTAGAGACTTGCTTTTGTCACATGTCAGGCTGTCGCTACCTTTGAATAGAAGGATCGACATTTTTGGATCAAGGGATATCATCATGAAGCGAAAGAAGATGAATCCGAAAGCTGGCTTTGTCTACCCGCTGTTATATATTCTTAGCGAGATGTTGATTGAGCGCATTCAGTTTTTTGCTGCAGTCGAGAGAGAAGGTTTCTTCATCGAGTAAGTTTATTTAACAAAAAATAAAAAGACAGTAAAAAGTCTTGAAAACGGAAGCAAATATAGGTTGCCCAATGCTTTCAATGCTTCTTGAGCAATTGGGTCTTGTGTATGCACAGAGGACACCTTGTATGAATTTTTTACAACAGAGAAGAGGGGACACGTTGTGTTCAGATTACTATCGGTAGAATATTAGCGCGATGATTTTGAGAAAAAACGGAAATTCAAGAGAATATGATCGCCCTACATTTTGACGCGCGAGAATATTCTTGCCCTTCATAAAAATGCATCTATATTTGCATGGCAGATAAAAACAAATTGCCAGCGATCCAACTTGTGAAAATCATATTTTGAGACTTTACCTTAGATATAAGAGAGCTTTAATTTTTAATCTGCTGTCGATCCTGACATTTCGTAAGTGGCACAAAAGAAAATCCCAACAAAGATGGGATTACTTTTCGAAACAACGAAAACTAAAGTTGTTGATTTTTTTTATTTTATTTTCTAGCACACTGAGAAAATCGTCAAAAGAATATGTCTCTCGAATCGATCGTTTCAAGAAGATTGAAAATCAAAAATGTCAGAGTTCGTCAATTCTTAGCTGAGTTCCACGGTAAGTTACGAAAAATGCGTTTTCAGTATTAAATAATTGCAGGTTCATTTATCCTCGCTTACATCGGAATCGGTGCTGCCCACATGACAAGCAGTCTTCTCGGGTATGGAGGTGCCAGTAGCATTCACGGCGCCCTTGCCGGAGGACTCGGCGTTGCGCTTGGAATCTTCTTCTCCGCTGGTGCTTCCGGAGGACACCTCAATCCTTCAGTTACGATGGCTCATTTTGTACTTGGAAAGGAATGGTCACATTTTCAAAAGTTCAATAGTGACGCTGTTTACTTTGTCTTGAGTTCTCACAATTCTGACCTTATAAAAGATGGGTACCGGATTGGTCCAAAATATCATCGGAACACTTGTGTACCTCTTGGCGCAATTCCTGGGCATGTTTGTCGCCGCTGCTATGTCTTACTGGGTCTACTCAGAAGCGGAAAATACCGCTTACGATTCAGGAAGTTCCAGTCAATTTAAAGACTACCAATTCAGCTGTTTGTATTCGACATGCCCTAATAATTTGCCGAATTCCCAAGTAAAACATATAAAAAACGTAGATAAACATATTTTTAAGTTGACAATGCTTGTTGACCAGATAATCGGCTCTGCGATTCTAGCGACAACTGTCTTGGCCGTCACTGACAAGAAGAACAATGATGGAGGTCCACAAGGAATGGCCCCTTTGATCATCGGTTTGAGCGCAACAACAGTCGGTCTTGCTTACGGAGCTAATGCTGGGTAAACAGTCTTTCTGTTCTAAACTTTTAACAAAAATTTAGTGGTGCAATTAATGCTGCTCGCGACTTTGCCCCTCGATCCTTCGCAAGTCTTCTTTATGGAGAGACTGCCTTTTCTGGAATTTCTGGCACCAACTCCGAGTATTTCTTCTGGGTTCCTCTTCTCGGCTCGTTGCTTGGAGGATGCGTTGCTGGCATCATCTATCTTTTTTACGTTCTCGCCCATTGGCCTGAAGATGACAGAGAAAAGTCTTACGGGGAGAGAAACGTAACTACTGAGGACTCTGAACAGCTTTAAAGTGAGACTCATTCTTCCGTGCTGATTTTTTTCTGTGAATCAATTTCATTTTCCTTCTAATTCAGACACCTGTGCATCTATACTTTACTATTTTTATGAGATATTTAAATAAAGAATAACATGCTGTTGTGAACTCTGATTCAACATGGCATGCAAAGTGATGGAGAACTCAAGAGCGCGTTATGGTATTATGAAACTACGTAGCGATAAGCCCAACAGGGATTTATGGCTGAGGTGAGCATAACATGGCATTTTCTCACACGCATATTTTTACTCTTATCATTAGAGCTCAGTCACGAGAAGTTCCAATTAATAAAAGGTTAGTATATTAGCGGAAGTAAAATAACAATTAATGCAAGTGTAAAGAATTAGCACTTGATTACATTCCTACGCGAAATTTTCAGATAGAATATCATCAGAGAGTCATCTATAAAAAAACTGCTATTTGTCGGTACTCTTCCTTGATATCAATGTCCGAGATCCCCATCGATTGGGGGCTTAAATTTTTGTATACAGTTCCGCAGCTTACCCGCTGCAATATACGATCTGTTATATATTTTCAGAAATCAATTTTGCTTGGCTAATCCTTATGCCCCGCTGTAAAAACCTTTTATGCATTTGAATTTCCCCCGGGTAAACCCTTGATATCCTGGCGGCCTGTTTACTACATCCTGCGATATTCTGGGCTCTGGCAGTGAGAGAAAAAGAAAGAGCCCGCATTTCTGGCACGCGATAACGTTTCATTTTATGCGAAAAATAGTACAAAGCCTTTCATTTAAAAAAGGGAGCCCAAGTGTTTTTCCTTGGTAAAGAAGCATTATCAGCTGATAGCAATATCCAAACGCGGTGTCCTTTTGCCGAGACAGACACATAAATGGCCACTGAAGTAAAGTTTTAAAATAGATATTGATATGGCACCATTTCGAGTGAGTTTTTACGCGAAATACAATACCACGAACTTTTTCGTCAACCATTCTGAACTGTAACTAAATCCAGTGTTCGTACCGACTTTCAGTTTTCAGCAAAATAGACGGTAAATTTTCATCATGACTCGAAAAACTGATCGTGACTTAACATTCTTACTGTAGCGTTACATTGGGAACAGAACTTTTTCCTTTGAATTTCCAAGTGACATAATTCTGATGGATGCTTCTCATGAAATTCCGAAAATGGTGCGAAGTCATTCAATCATTACGCACTAGAAAGTCTGTCTCCATATTTATGCAATGAGATTCTGGTGCCTAGCCGGGCGCAAAATCGCGGTCTTACCTGTCCAAAATTGCGAGAATTTATTTTCTGTAAACAAATACGCTCAAGTTGCGCATGAATGCGTTAGGTTTATCATTGTGAAAAATCGAATCGAATCGGACAATCGTGAAGGGACTTTCCGGGGCCGAACACGAACTGCAAATACGGATTACTTAGTTCCGGATTTTAGAACCCGAAAAACGAAAAACACAAAATTCAGAGGATCATTTCTCGTTGAGCGATCGATCCCCCAGCTCAACCGTGAAAAGTAAACTCCCGAAGTAAACCAATAACTCGATACTGTAACATATGGACGCGAAATATTGATACAGTAATCCTGATACAAACACCTGTCATCACTTTAGCAACAGCGCACTTTTACAACAAGATAACACCATAAAGAAAAAAAAAACGTTAAGTCTTTCCTAAGGGAATATTCATCGATACACGGTTAAAATCCGCTCATAAATTAAGGGTGTCATTAAGAAAAGTTGAGTCCTTCGCATCGATAAGAAGTAGGTCCCTTTTCTGTATGACTCTGTATGTAATGTTGATCAAAGAAGTAATTTTCCTTTTGATTGCAGCAAGAAAGCGTGCTCATTCTGTTATGAGGCCATGCGTTTTGTGTAACGCCATCAATCTGGCTGTTTACAACGATTTTAAGTTCGGTTAGCATTTCGGGATTTGAGGGTATGAATATTGAAATAAATGAATTTATTTCGGCATAATCAAAGCGCTCCACACGCCGCAGGGCAGATGAAACACGATCAACGGGGAGAACAATTTATAACCTGTCGAATCAATAATTGCCTTTATCAGCGACCAACAGTAAATTCGGCCCCAATTCACCGTTTTCATAAATTGATTGAATTTTATTGATTCCCGAATTCGAATCAATTCCAGACTGGAATTGGGAACTGCACTTGGGAGCAGTTTGTAACCGCCGAAATGTTACGTTGGTACTGTAAGCCTGCTGCGATGACAGTAAGAATTAGTAACGAGCGGGGTAAATCCGTGAGAAGACTTCTCGAGTCTTGCCAGTTTACTTTTTGGCACAGTGTTACAGTGTGAATACGCCAAAATTGTTCAATCATTTATTACTTTACAAAAATAAAGGTGTAAAGTCTCATCAGGTCAGCTGTTACAAAACTCGCGGGAATTCGCAGCTGTCGAAAAAAACGATAATCTTCGTTTTTGAAATCCCACGCTCGGCGCTAATTTTAGCCGCCCGTGAAACTGTGATAGCGAAATTACGTTACTGATACGCTAGCGACAGGTATCAACTGTTCCATAATTTATAAATTGTCTGTCAGTTAAGTATTTACAAGGTTGCGGCGCGTGGTGCAACCTTCCTATCTTGGTAATGCTTCATTTTTATCCCGACTGTCAAAAAACGAATTTGAAAATCGATTCAAGCTGCCTTCGTAGCATAATGAAACCGCCGCATAATACATACAATTTACACTCTCGTCTATCACTTAGCTTTATGGCCGGTCGATATTGCAATGAAAACTCATCCCCACCAGGGCTGGTAAATTCGCGTCCTAAAATCTGTCGAAAATTTTTAGTGCACTAAAATTAGTGCGCGAATTTATTTTGTCGAGACTTTAGTGACTTTCGCGTCTCTTTCGCGTGTGTCTCGAAAAGTGTCGAAAATAAGGGCTGCTGATTGGCCCGCCAATGAGCGCGGGCTCTTTAATTCTGAAGAATACGTAAGTTTGAGAATTTCAAACTTCGTTAATATTAGAATTTCAAAGAGTTTCAATAAAGTGGATTGGGTAATCGAGGGAGTGAATTTTAATATAAAGTCAAAAAAGACTTTATCAATCCATTTGTTAATTTTCTTTATAAATATAAAGTAACAAAGATAGCTTATATTATATAGGGAAAAATAGAATTCATTTTTCGTTTGCAACTCTTTCTGTGCTGGATTTGAATGATAAGCTTAGACTCTTAGCCTAAGATAAGCTTTCTAAGGGAGGTCTTCTCCCTAATTTTTTATTGAAGCTTGTTCTTCTTGCATTTTCCCTTTCTTGTCAATCTTCTTCTTGTCGTCGTTCGACTAATCTTCGGTGTCCTCAAAAGTCTGTAGCAGGAGCAGCCTTGTGCTGCACAAGTTGTGCAGATTGTTAATATAATTCATAATTAACAAAATCATATTTATTTCACAATTCAGAAGGGAGATCTTCTCCCACGTTCATGCTTACTTTATAATTCAGAAAGCAGATTTACTCCCGATATATTTTAATCTTAAAATATAGCATTGCTATATCCTAGAAAACTAAAAAAAAACAGTTTGAAGAAATTCTTCCCTGACAAAAATCGTCTTCCATGAAACTATCATCCGGGAAGAGCCCATTGGATGATGAAAAAGAGCCTCTTTTTTCGCGTCTTTAGTGCTGATCAGCTCTCGAAAAGTCACTAATTTCCCCAAGAGGAAAAATTAGTGTCATTTTAGTGCACTAAAGGCGCGAAAGACGCGAAAATGTCTCTAAAAAAAATTAGTGCACTATTTTTTTTTTCTTCGAGAGAAAATAGTGCGCTAATTTACCAGCCCTGATCCCCACAATTGGACTAACTTCCTGACTTTTTTATATCAAAAAGTTTATTGAGCAATTTTTGTTGAAAACGTAAAAAAAAAAATGAAATCTTGAGAATTTGAATGGTAATCTAATACTTAATTTACCAGAATTATAAAGAAGATAAGTTAAGTTTATTGAGAGTTGTGTATTCGTGTTCATAGGTAAGCGGCTTATTTGTTTAGGCGTTTTCGTCCAGGTCGATAGTAATGAAACGATAGCTGTGTGCCTGATCTCGCTCTAGGCGGGCCTCTCTCCTTTATTTTTTGTGAATTACGATGGCAAACTCGCCGCGGGGAGGGTCGGATCATCCAGACTCGCCCCGCAGAGATAACTCGGCCACTCACGCGGAATATAAGCCACTTTTGTATTTTCCACGTCTTTTCATAAAGGGAATTCCGAACTTCTCCTTTTTAACTGAAGATTTTCATTTTGAACCGTTCTTTTTTTTAATGATCTTTTCTAGCGAGGTGAAATTATTAAACACTCCGACCGCCCTTGACTTTCGCGAAGAATAATTACCCGTTTTTTCGCTGGCGTGAAACTGCGTTTTTATTTTGATTTGTTCACTAAAGCGATGGGCACTTCATCTATCAAGCACCAGATCGACTGTAATTGCTCTCTTACGCTTTCAAGTGCCAAACGATGCGTCTTTGGCAGGCGAAAACGGCAATTTTAGCGATTTTACGGAGACGATTCTAACTTCCTTTCAAAACAACCTTCTTCAACTCATTCTTTCTAACTAGAATAATCAGTTCTTAAACAAAAAAATTATAATATAAAAAAAACTTCAAAATTCAAAGAACAAGGAGACGAGATATAGGGATAAACTTTTATTTTTAACTAGCTGAGGGTGTGAAAGATCCGGTCTGCCAAAGAGAAAAGGGTAAAAATAGAGCATAACCCTCACACCTAAAGGATAAGTACTTACTAAATCAGCGATACGGTACTAATCACTCGCTACGCGATTAAAAATAGAAAATTTCTTCACACGTACGCGAGATCCTGATCGGGGCAAAGAGCTGAGAAATGAGCTCGATCTCGAGATCACTTTTTTACGAAATTCTGAACTTACGATTGTTATGAAATCATGTTTCTAGAACGAGGTCAAATTTGGAGTTTACGTTCAGATCCAGAGTTACTCTGTTTCAGTTACAAAATTATATTTTTTTTCGAAGAAATTTGAAAGAACGAACTTCGAAGCCTGGAACATTCAGCAGGTAAACCAGCATTTCCTTTGATACAGGGTCCTTACAGATGATAGAACAGGGAATGATTTTGTTTAATATTTTCTTTCAATAATTTAATAAAAAAGTCGACTTCCCACTTTTGTGTAAGTTGGACCTAATTGAATGATGTTTAGGGGGATGAGTGAAGTGATTTATAATCGAAATATATGACTATTTGCGAGAGAATAAAATTGATGATTTATCTCGGAAAAGGTCTTGAATTATTGATCCTCGTTCCATAAATTGCGAAAGCGGCGACGGACGTCTGGGAATCCGCGCTGCTACTTCCAGACCATATATTATTTTATATCGCATTTTTATTTTCACAATTGCCGCGAGTTAAACTCTCTTTACGATCCCAATTTATATTTTTCTCAAAATCAAGTCGCGATCTGATTCCGACGCTCCGGCGCGTGAGAAAAGGGTTGAAAATGTAATAAAAGGGCGGTTTTTAGTAAAAAGAAATTTTACTGATAAGAACTATTTTTTCCGTTGGAAACATAATTTTCAACCGATGGCTAAAAGTAACTTAACCGGAAATCAATACGAAAAGCGCGTCTAATTCTGTGGGATTGGGCGCAATTAGCCGACTCTTTTTGCCGCTCTTTGATGTCGGAAAATCGTAGAGGGTGATATGGTTCCACGTTCGCTCGTAACACGCGCTGCGGGGGAGCAGAAAAGAAGGAGGTCACAAGTTGTGACACTGGAGCATTTTCCGCCCGCTACGAGCCGCTTTCAAACACCAAACGGAAGTTGTTAGGCTTCAGTGGAATTTCCGAATATTTAATTTCAAGCGAATTTATCACGCTATCAGACCGGAAATAGAAAGCCGGTTTATCCAGCCACTCGGCTGGAAAAGGTTGATATTTATTTTCAGAATAAGGAAGTTTTAATAGTGTCACTTACTCTTCACTTTTCTGGTTTTATTAATGATACAAGTACTGAAGTGTTCAATAAACTTGATAGATAGATAGAAATTCTATCATAGAATCATCCGTTGGAAAGATGAAAAAGTATAAATTTTCAAGTTGAAAAAAAAATTTTAAGTTTTTTAATTCTCAAAAAAATTAAAAAAAGAATCTTGTTTGTTTATATTTAATGATAACCGGTTAAAAATTTATTATTTTGGCTCTAGAATCAAGCTATGCTTGGTGGCGCTGTTCATAATTACGATTTTAGCCAATCGTAACTTGGCTCGTAATAATTTTCACGCGCCTTGGTGGCGCTGCCGCGTCATTTTTCGGAACTTCCTGTGCGCGTGCGGGTATCGCCGGACGGTGGCGGGAGATCGAGGGCATCATCCATGCCTGTATAGAAGAGAAAATACGTGTCCTCTGGGTGGCGCGCGCATCGTATTTGCCTTCTGTGGCAGCCGCGAGCTCCCTCGTGAGTAACGCCTAACTCGTCATTTTCACGCTCACAACCTAAACACGTCAAACTAGAGTTGTGTGTGTCCAGAAACATACAATCTCAAATACGAAAAGTTAAAAATAAAACATATTTTTTCATCAACGAAAAGAAAAAAAAGACAAACGTAACTTCAAGAGACTCCCGTAGCGCTTATCAAACCCTTATCAACTCACAGTCAATCCTAAAGGTAACCCCATAACATATTTTTTCAAGGATATTGTCTTTGTTTTTTTTTGATCTGGGTTTTGGATAAAGAGGGAAATTAAATTCTAGCTTTAATGAACGGAGCTGCCGCGACGTGTGGTCCGCGCCGCCACTGCCCTTTTCCCGTGTGGTTCCCTCGTTTTTACAAAATGCCTTCCAACCGGTGTTTACGAATAAAAAACGAAAATACCACCCTCAATTCGTGCCCTTTCGTTTTTCACCTCGAGCACCTTCTTATGCGGCTTTCGCCAGTAGTCTGTCCTGCGTGACTATTTTTATGACGGATATTAACGTACGGATCGATAACGGAATAAAGCCATGTCCCCAGAGGATAGCCACTTGGATCAACCTTCATGCGCCACCGTAATAACTGCGCGTGAAATCATCCGTTGAATTAGTTGTTTTTCGATTTAGGAATCGACGGTTCAGGAATTGTCGTTTCTCCTTTACTTCTACTTTTCTGAGCGATATCATTTCATCATCAAAACCTGACCAAATGTTTACTCCCTTCTAGGCTTACTACTTAGCAGTTGTCTGGTAAACACACCCACTGTAGAGTACATAAAAGAAGAACTGTTGTGTACGAAAATGATTTATCGCCCTTTCGCGCATAATCACTGACAAGTTACAGTCATTTGTCACTATTTAATCCCTCTTTCGTGAAGCCGGCGCCCAACCAACATGAGCAGCTGAGTCAGGAGCTCAGTCTTTCCCTTTTTTACCTTTTTGTAAAGTGAAACTGGATGGGATTTTGAAAACGACCGATAATAAAATCGGTTCTCCGGTTGCTGTACTACACATAATCGGGGTAATTGAAAGAGTAAACGAATGACGGGGCGGTGTAGTTACACTCTGCACCACCATACTTACCTGACTCGCGGTGCACCACCGCCGACTGTCCGTTTTTACCATTAATATTCGTATAGTAACCGATAAGTAACCTTACACTACTTTCTGCTTCTACCGCTACTCTTTACCGCCGCGCCACCATTTTTACCGGACATTTTTCAACACGAACCCGGCCAACTTGCTCACAACAGAAAGACAGATCAGAATTCCTCGAACGTACATATTTTTAAATTTCGGATAGAGAGAGAGATATCCAGAGAAAATCTCAAACAGGTGATTATAACATTTTTTCGCATGAAGAAAAATGTTCGTGTATGAAAAATCCGGACATGCGTTTCATCGCAGCTGCCGGATTTCGGATTTCCCGATGTCGATGTCGGTAAAAATGTTACTCGAAGGTGGCTAATCCGGCTGACACTCGCAGACGGCATCTTTTTCGAAATTAATTCGTACGTTACCAACCACAGTTTTTGCATGGGACCGGAAAATCCCGGTTACGTAACGGCCGAGACATTTTTTGCCACAGCTGCGACCCAAATTACACATGTCAGAAAGCATAAGTATATTCGGCGGCGTTTCGAACTAAAAATAGTGAATTCTCAGCCTAGTTACGAAACGTAGAGACGTTTCAATCCAATTCAAAAACAAGTAAAGGAGAAAAAGCGAAAGGGAAAACGCAGGACGCCCCGTAGAGAAATTCGACGATTTCACGCTGGGGAAAGGGGAGTCATTTTTTATGTGAGCCGGTCTGTGAATAGGTTTATAGCACGTGACTTATTGTCACGTGACTAGATGTTACGATATCACCGCAGGGCGTCCCTGCGGGGATGTGCCCTGATAGATCTTTTTCTATATTTATCTTTGCGCGAAACCAACTTGAAAGAGTTACGAGACGTGGAAATAAAGCATATCTTTCAGATAAACAAAAATGACTACGACACACAACGAAACCTTGCCAAACGAATTCTGGAAGCATCTGGGCAAGTTCAACTTATCAGAATACTCCGAACCACGATGGTCGATTTTGGTCAACGACATGGGACTACAGGTAAGACTGACGATGAATAATAGATCAGCATAATGTACGTTTGTTAAGTGAAAATGATTACTAGCAAATTTCATTCCTCTCCGGGGAACTATCACGTGACATTAGATTTGAACGGCCGTGGTTGGTTTCCTTTGCCCGTTTCTAGTTAGACGGGGCTAATTGGCCCGTAATTTCGAGTAAAGTATAGCCGGGATAATTATCCCATTAAGCGGGCCTATCTAACTTGTCATGGAACATTTTTTTTTCTTCATCTTCGATTTCGTGGATAACAGATGGCGCCCCTTTTCGGAAATTTTTAGAAAGTCGACCCTAAGGGGCCCTCCTCGCGTAATAAAATGATCAACCTTCATAAAATAAAATCGATAGCGCAGCGTATAAGTAGGATCCGCGATTAGCGATCAATTATTAACGCGATAATTAAGCCCCACACACAAGTGTATTCCGTGTCTATATTATTTTACATATTCGTTACTGCCGTCTGGCTTGCGAATCGCTGTTCGAGAGCGCGCATTGTAAAGTGGAACCACTTTACACCCTGCAGCGGTTTAGTTTTTTAAGTTTCGAAAATCGATTGTCGGGATGCATGCCTGTGCACCGTTTTCATATCAAGTGGATTTCTGCATATTTATTCCAATCGATAAAAAGACCTCTCTAATCGTGAATCCTTCAGTGCACTCTTTACTGGAGCTCTCCGCATGCAACTCCTCCATCTCCGCCCGCGAGTCCGGAGAAGGAAGCCAACTCGCAAAGCATCAACAACACGAGCTCGGCCGCGCTGCACAAGATGCTCCAGCAGCGGCTCCAACAAATGAACTCGAAGAACTTGCTCTTGCGCAACGTAAGTAGACCTAGAGAGGGCTAAGAGCTCCTGTCCGACATTTTTCCGAAACTTGGACACTCTGTTTAGCCGATTACGACAGTTGAAGTGCCTACCCGTCCCTGCTCGGTGGGCGCCAAGAGAAAGGACTCTCCTCCACTTCCCAAGCCTGAAATTTACGGACAGGTAAATTTACTGAACAGATTACCATTTATGCTTTATTTTCCTCCTCTTATTTTATGTTGATTCAAATTGGGCCACGGTACTATCGTTTGAAAGGAAGTTAAAGAGGTCCCAGTGGACCATTATGAATCAATTTTCGGAATACGGATGGAGGTATAACCGGTGAATATTTAACCGCCTGGTTGTTGAATAATTCACCCCTTTTCGATACTTTGCCTCGACGCTGCGCAAACATACAAAACTATGTGTGCTTAATTATTTAACCATTTTTATAAATATTTTACTGAAAGTAAAATGTTTGGGACTCTCGAAATGGCGCTAGCCGACCGGTGGGCCATTTTAACCAATTTAAATTTTTAACGCGTCCCAGTTAAAAAATCATAGCAACGGCTTGTCCCAAGCCATTTTATTATTCACAGAGCGTTTTTCAAAGTGTTGAAAAAGGAGAATCAATACCGTTAATAGGATGCCGTTAGACACTCTTCTAAAATACGCTTTCAGATGCCAAAGAAACCTTGCATGAATCCTACTTCATCACCGAATATCCATCCAACAATGACTCCTTCAATGACCTCTTCTTCTAACACTTCTTCATCTCCAAATCAATCCCGCGAACAAGACGATAGCGAGCTCGTCATTGCCGAAGACGACGATGAAACTCTCGACAAGATCGTCCGCAACCAGCACCAAGCCGAATCCACGCCTACCCATCCTCAGTCTCTCCCTCAAATCCCCAAAGATCTCGCCGCTCAAATCCAGGTCGCGACCCAGAGCTTCCAACAGAAGAAACTCTTGATGCCCAACTTGGGAATGATGGGACACGGACTTGGAAACTTGGGACAGAAAATCGGACAAGCTGGCAAATTCCAACCAAATGACTTGATGCAAAAATTGCTCGGCGCCCAGGCAGATCCCAACAGCGCGATCAAGAAATTTTTGGAACAACAAGCTGGCATCAAGCAGGAGGATACTAACGATCTCGATGAGTCTGATGTTGAAAATATTGACATGTCTGACTCTCACGATGACCTGAAAATGAAGCTCAGTCCTTTTATGGTAAGCAAAATAACAAATTTATGAGCTGATTTTCCTTCTTTTTATCAGCCATTTTTCTAACATTACTTTTTCAGCACGCCAAAAGCATGCCAACTCTTCAACAAAACAGCATGATTGTCCGAAACGGCGAGGTACGTCTAAATCCTCATTCCCGCGCTTATTTTATATTGCAAAGCCCATTATGATAATTGAAACGTATTTTATATTGTCCGGGTGATAGAGAGGAAAGGGGGAGGAGAGAGAGAGGGATAAGTGAAATCCGCTTTGCGGTTTAGAAAACTAAATTGAAGATCGATTTTCTCGACGACGGTTCATTTTTATGTGTGCCGGAGACCTTCTGCCCGTGGGATCTAGCATTTACAACATCTGGGTCCAAAATCGATGGCTAACAATAGCCCATCAAAATCCGGTAACGAACATCGATCATCGCTATTTGTTACATGGCGGATTCCAACTGCGATTACCAAATAATTCCTGTAAGGCGAAAGGGTTTAAAATTTATCTTGATGTGGAATTTTTTCCGCTCTGAAATGTATCTGGAAATATTTACTTATAATGCGATCAATTCCGCATGGCTTCTCGCATCTGCATGCCACTTTTCTTGATCAGCTGATCTGTTTATGTTCGTAACGAACTGTGTCACGCCAAACCACCCATGCAGATAAGGACTGAAATTCCGCGCTGACTTGAGCCCCAAATTTTTCCGCGAATGCCTCTTTCACACCCCACTGAGTGCACTTACGAGTAAACATGTCCCACGGTACTTGATAATTCGATTTTGCAATTTCGAAAAAGAGAACGCGAAAATGATCGTGTAATCGATTGCCTCATGTGGAGATGCAAATTTCATTTGCAAGGAGCTTCCGGGTCAAATCTGCCGCCAAAATATGTCATCTTCGGGCTTTGCTAGTTTTACAAATACTTAAAATAATAATCCATGAATATCTCTAACGATCTTAATCAGGGTCAATTCGGAAACTCTCCGCCAACTGGCGCCACTCGCAAGAAGATGGAGGACTTCATTTCCGCTCGCGGAAAAATGATGGACTTGGACCTTCTCCGTCAGCGATTCTCCAATCCTCTCGCTCGACCTACTTTGACCAAGTTTGTCTACGCTCTCACTCGACTCCTCTTCACCGACGACGAGATCATCGCACCTCTTCGCGATCTCGATCAGGAGAAGATCGACTGGATCTTCGACGAGACTTACCGCATGTTTCCTGGCTGTACCTATCCAACAGTCAAAAACGCAGTCGGCCAAGTTGGACGAACAAAGCGATACAGAGCCAAGTACGCTCTCGGCGGACGACAAGGCGCACCACAGAATGGAAACCCTCTTTCTCTCCCCGACAACTTCCTTTCGGGACTTCCCTCTCTTCTCTCGATGCCTACGTCGTTGTCTTCACCCCATTCGACGCCGGTGGTGTCGACATCAGTGCCAACCATGCCAACGATGATCACATCTGTGGACGAGCACGGCGCAGAGGAGTAATCCGATCACTGTTAGCTTGCTACTGTATTATATTATAATCATGTACGATTATTATTTTCTATCATAATGATGTTCGAAGATTCGTTTAAAAATAAGCGTACAGGACCGTGCCGAATCTACAGTGGTGGATTCCGAATTCGTCCAAGTTCACTCACTCGTTGCGCCTCTTAATTAAACAAAAATGACCTTTCTGGATATAAAACTTGTTGATCACGATTTTATATAATCGTAATCATGATTCTCTTTCTTATCGTTATATGCCAAAAACGTACTATTGACAACACACTGTATAAACTATTTTAAACCACTTTACTACTCCCTCTCAAAAACATTGAAAGCAAATAAAGAGCTGTACAAAGTAACTAAGCCCTTATTCTTGTACAATTTACTTATCAAAATAAAGTAAACTTCAATTGAAAGAATGCGTTGTCATCCATTACTGTAGTAATCCATGTTGAATAGAAACAAGTTGTCTTTTATTATTAGAGAGTCCAAGGCCTGGCCGCCCTGTTCCGGGAGTTGCTTGAGTGGTTGGGTTCTTTTATGAAATCACTCTGAGTGGAATTATGAATAGCCACTCGAGTCGCATTCAAGGGCCGCCCGGGTTTTTAATGAAAATAAAAATGAAAACGAACTTCGCCACAAAAGAAACCCCGGGAAGAAAACTCTTGAGACTACTTGACAGAACGCCCTTTCAAAACGAATTGTATCATCATTTCTCGTAACTAGGCTTTTCTACATGCTATTTTCTATTAGAACGGCAAAATAATCAAAATATTCAACTTACTTAATTAAATAATAAACGACGTTAAATCAAAAGATCCATTTTTATTAGACTCTCTGCCGATCCAATTTCCTATGCCGACAGTAATTCCGAAAGGTCACAGAGCCCCATGCTGCGCCATACGGAAAAATGAAAGGGCCCTAACCCCATGACGCGGTAAAATAATTAATTTTCGTTGAAAAGAGAAGATTTATGCTCTTTCTGGAAGCATAAATCAATACACGCTGTTGTTGGTTTAATTATTTTACCCCGTGTATGAAATAGTAATCAATTTTGATTTCGCGTATTTCTGTCCGCATGTGGAAATTATTTATCGACGCGAAATTAAAACTGAAACACGTTATATCCCTGTCCATGTAAATTGCGAATTACGACCTTGGTGACATCACCTGAGCCTGCTTATTAAAATGCAAGAAAGGTTGAGCCGTGATCTTACTCTAAATTACAGATAAACATGTCGAAATGAATCGAATAAAAAGTATGGAAATCACACGTTTCCGGGCTGAACAAACAAGCCCATGTCATACTGGACGAGTTAATAAAACTCCTAGCGTGACAGTAATTCATCATACCAGCCGCTACTGTAAATATCACACGCACTTGTGAAATCCTTTTCAACCCGTCGATCTAATAAAATCGTCCTTCAAACGATCTTCCGGGGCAGATTTCCACCGCGACTAAATTATACTGCGAACATTGAACTTGTAATCGATTGAAATCAAGGAAGACTCAACTTTATAACCAGCAGAAATGGCTATAAAATTAAAGATCTTTTTTAGCGAAAAGTTTATTTCGAGAATGACGCAGTGGAATTGTTCAGAAGTAAGTAAGCTGTTGTTAGAAATCATTCCCTGCCAGAATTGTTAGCGAGCGATCTGGAGATGCGAGCTTCTAAAAAGTCGATCCGTCTTTCAAGAGTTGTAAGCTTCTCGTCCATCTGAGCGAATCTTCCCCGACAACTTAAATTCCATTTATGCGTGAGTTGGTATGCCTAAACGTACCTAGAGTCAAAAGAGTTGAGGAAGTCTGAGATTTTCTTGATTTGTGTAGTGATGACCTCGACGTATTCTCGGTTATTCCAGTCCTCTTGGATCTGTCTTTGTGCGTGATTTGCGTCTTTGATCATTTATCAACTCTTTAATTCAAAAAATTATAATCTATTCTTATTATTTCATTGTTAGGCACCTAGTTTTAAAATGCACATGCAATAATAATAATGGGCGTTGAACTTTGAGATAAATTTTCGATAAATTACTTGTAATTGTTCAGTGTGGATAGAAGAAACTGTTCAGATAGAATTTCGAAATACAGAGGTCAATAAAGTTTTTGAGGGAAGTACAATTTTGGTTTGTCGGGAGAAGAAGGGATTTTGTTGCACTCGTAAATATTGAACTTATAACAATTTTACTTATTTGGCGTATTGAGGAAGCTTCATTGTGATTGTTTTGACTTCAGTGTAGTTTGAGAGGGCATACTCGCCAAGCTCTCGGCCAATTCCGGATTGCTTTAAATATAGTGAGATTTTATAATTTGTATTTTTGTACCTTGAATCCACCAAATGGTGATCCAGAGCTGAAAACGTCGTAGCAGTTGATCCACATGCTTCCAGCTCGCAAATTCTAAGGGGAGTATAATATAATCTCATCTTCACTAGTGTACCTTGGCAATATACATGGCGTTTTCGAGATCTTTAGTGTAGACAGCAGCAGCAAGACCGAAGTCAGAGTCATTACCTCGCTCAATAACCTAGAAACTCATAGTTTTTATCTGAAAAGCAAAAAGGCCATAACCTCATCGAGAGTTTTGAATTTCATGATCTGCATGACAGGGCCGAAGATTTCTTCTCGGGCAATGGTCATGTTGTCGTCAACGTCTGAGAAGATGGTTGGTTTGATGAAGTAGCCCTCGCTTCCGTCGGCAGCGCCGCCACACTCAAGTTTGGCTCCCTCTTTCTTTCCAGTTTCGATGAGAGAAAGAATTTTGTTGTACTGATCTTCGTCAACTTGAGGGCCTTGCTCATTGCTCAAACTCCATGGATCACCAACGCTTCGTTGTTTAGCTCGCTCAACTGATCGCTTGACAAATTCATCGTAAATATCTTCCTGAACGTAGGTTCGGCTTCCAGCGCAGCAGCACTGACCCATATTAAAGAAAAGGGCGAAGTGGGCTTGCTCAACAGCGTAGTCAAGGTCAGCATCGTTGAGGATGATGTTTGGCGACTTTCCACCGAGTTCGAGTGTGACTGTTTTCATGTTAGACATAGCAGCGTCGCGCATGACGATTTTACCAACTTCACCGGAGCCTGTGAAGGCAACCTTATCGATGCCTTTGTGCGAGGAGATGGCGGCACCAGCAGTTGGACCGAACCCGGGAACGAGGTTGACGACGCCCTTGGGGAATCCAGCTTGCTTGATGAGCTCACAAACGTAGAGAGCAGTCAAAGGAGTCTGTTCTGCTGGCTTCATGACGACAGTGTTTCCAAGAGCAAGAGCGGGGCCAAGTTTCCATGCCTGCATGAGGAGAGGAAAGTTCCATGGAATAATTTGGCCGACAACACCAACAGGCTCGTGGAGAGTCATCGAGAAGAAATCGCCATCAATTGGGATGGTCTTTCCGTGGTGCTTGTCCGCCCAGCCAGCGTAGTATCGGTAGCACTTGATCGAAAGCTCTAAATCGGCAGCGTAGGACATCATGTAAGGCTTGCCATTGTCATACGTTTCAAGGGAGGCGAGCTCGACACGGTGCTCTTCCATGAGATCGGCAAGTTTGTTCAAGAGAAGGCCTCGTTTGCTGAAGTAACAATAAGATTGGCCCTTCTATAGAAAAGAAAAGTTTTATGAGTGAAATATTTACGTTGGATCCATTTGTCTCCATTCGGATTTCTGAGCGAAAGCACGAGTGGCGGCTTGAACTGCAAGGTCCACATCGGCTTCTGCTCCTTCGGCGACGTCGCAGATTTTCTTGCCATTGGTTGGATCGTAAGTGCCGAAGGTCTTGCCAGAAACGGCATCGACCCATTCGTTGTCGATGAAAAGCTTCGTGTACTTGGGCGTGGGTCGGATGATTGGCTCGGGAAAGTCTGAGTTGTATCGAGCAGCAGATACAGAAAGTGGACGGACGGAGGCACTTGCCTTCGGCAAGGCGCGTCGGAGAACACTGAGACTCATCTAAAATTAATTCTCTGATGACAAAAGAAGTTTAGAATATCCGGCAGCAGTTTGAAGAAAGTACAGTAGAAGACTCTTCTACTAGAAGAGAAATAAGTTATGAAAGGTGAAATTAGGCACAGTCAGGCCTGCCGTAGGAGAATTGCGAGGTCTTCGATTTTGTTGTCAAAGTTGGTTTAGGTTTCATCTGATCAAATGGTTTGGCAAAAATATTAGCGGTCTTATCAAGCGGGTAAGTTAAATAAATGAGCAGTTAACTGAAAACGCACAAACTACGCCAGTAGCAAATGATTCAAATGGTAACTGTCACTTCATTTATACCTGAAATGAATCGGCCATTAAAACGCTGCAAACTTTATTATTTAAAACCAAGCTTTTGTTCTCTTCGTTTCTCTAGCTCCAAACACTTAGAAATGATCTTATCGTGACTGCTTCGGGCGCCGCGTCCATTCGCCCATGCTTGAAACCAGCCGGGTAAAATTTTCGAAACATCATCGTGATAAGTGAGGAGGTAAGAAAATCCTTTGGCGTCGTTTGCTTGAAGTGGGTCAATAAAATAGCGCTGCATCTGCATTTTGCCCTCGAGTGATCATCAAACAACTTTCGCCCGAAAATTACAGCGACAGTAGGAGGTGATGACACGCCCCTGAGAGAATTTGAAAATGAAAATATTTTTGAGATTCTCTTTTATGTCTTCAGCTACAAATGAAAGACCCCTTTCCTGCATATTGGATTATCATTACTGATTGATAGTTTTCAACCCTGACGGTTTTCTTTTCGGCCTCAACTCCTGGCACATCATGCGCCGCAATAATCACCATTCTATCTTCCGGGAAATGGAATACTTCGCGGAGATAAATGTACTCTCTTGATTTCAACAACGCGCCTGGCATCTTTTGGACCCATTTGTAAACACACGATTCGCCGATTGTTCCTTCTTTATCAGTTTCACTAAGACACACATAAAATTGCTAATATCTTCTCTATACTACCATTGTAATGGTTCCAAAAGTTGCACCCAACCATCCCACTCTTTTCGATAGTCACAGTTTAGTTGAACTTCGAGGAAATCTTGCCAGTAAATATTTTGAATATTCGAGTAAAGCCTGTACTCAGTCTGCATTAACAAGAGTTAATTACATTACTGTTCTTGTCATTTAAGACGTTGAAGATACCTCTCCATTGAGTCGTTTTCGGTTCCACACTTTAAGGCTGTCGTTTTTGTTCAGAGAATCGTGGCTGAGCTTCCACTCGGTAGCCTGTTGATCTGCATACTTTCCGCCAGCACAAAATATATCGCCATCCAAAACACAGTCGTTTTCGTTTCGTTCTCTCTTGATGATTAATTTAGACTTCTAAGAATCCACTTTGAAATAACCTGTAAGCTTTCCGCATTTTGCTTGAATTTCTCAAAGTCGAAATCAGGGAGTTGATTCGGACTTGATTTCGCCTGCGTAACAGAGTTTCTAGCCTTGCATTTGAGCATTATTGCGGCCGAAAGCGGGATCGCAATATTTGCGCAACGAGACATCATCCCTCTTAATTTTCAAGATAGATAATGAGAATTAAAAATAAAAATAGATTTTTAACGAATAGAAAAATAAAAAGGAAGTGTGTGTGATTGTGCAGAAATCAAATCTGAGGATGTGAGGTCAGTTTCCGTTGACGAGGAATGGCTTGAGTTTTTGCTAAATAAAAAATCGTAAGACGAAATGATTCCAGAAAAGACAATACCTGAAGAGTTCCAATTCTTGCAGTGAGTTGAGCGCGATCCCGCTCGGATTCTTCTAGTTGTCTTGCGAAATCTGCATTTTGATTCATGATCTCCTGCATCTCTTCGCGAATATCTTTCATCTTCAAGTTCAGACCTTGCTTTTCTTGCCTATTTTGACGGAGTTTCTGGTCAGCTTCTTGGGCAATCTAAAAATATCATGAAAAAACAGATATCAGTTAAAGCCGGCGCCAAAAATAGGCCTCGTGGAATCACACCTTCTAAGAAAAACAAATAGTGATAAGAATCTACGCATGAGAAATGTGTAATCCATCTGGAGATTAGAATCACCACTTGGTGTGATATGCGCGCTCCGGGGGTGCATCCCAGCTGACTAGGGTTCATATAAACCGAGGAAGTTTTGAAAATTCATCAGAACAAAAAACAAGCTTCGAGAATAAAAATGAAACGAGTTACATGCTTTCAAGAGCTCGGCGAAATGGTTCAACCAGCTGAAGACGCAATGGTCGTCATCTCCAACGGTCTTTCAATTTCCGGAGAAATGGTCGGTGTTGGAGGAACCAGATCTACACGAACCTATATCCAGAAACTGCTCATCGACCTCGGCTTTCCCGAAGTAGAGATCTACTCGATGGATCTGAAGTTCTCCGGCAAGGGATACAATTTCATGTCCGTCAGTCTTTCCAGCGCGCAAGCAGCAGAAGCCATCATTAACTACTACTCGCATCAACTCGGAGGCAAATCAGTAACGATCAAGCCGGCAATTTTTCAACCAAAGAGGAACATGTCCCGTCCGACTGGTAACGCAAAAGCCGTCAAGCACTTGCCGAGTAAGCAAGGAATGAACTTCCGACAGAACTTGAATCCCGATGCCTCTTCCTTCAAACCCCGATTTTCGAAGACACGATGGTGAAATTAAGTTATGACACACTTCTCCTGTACTTTATAAAATGAAACTTCAGCATTTACGATTGCAAGAGGTCCGCAGTCATTGACTCATTCATATATCTGTACCAAATAACAGTGAAATAAAATGAAATGATTACCTGAATTGCTTCGCTTTTCCATCTATTGAGTCCAGCTCTTGCAGTAGAAATTTCTTCCTGAAGCTCTCTAATTACAGTTGAATTTTGTTCTTGACTTTTGATCGCTCGCGATTTGATATCTGCTTCGACCAGTTTCTCTTCCAGCTCGTTTACTTTGATTCTAAAATTTATTAGAATACTTTCTTGCATTATTTCAAGTTTAACCTAAGAGCCGCTTCAGTTTTTTCTCTCGTTCCTTGATCTTTGATATTCAAGCTTGCTAGCTGCGTATTTTCATTAGTAATGTCAGTAAGGGTTTTTCTCATTCGGAGCATTTCAGCCGTAGCAGTTTCTTCTCCATTTTGTGCTTGCTTGACCTCACTCTCGCGCCAAGAATCGCGCTCTATGATCTCAGCCTTGAGGTCCTCCACTCTCTGTTGAAGCATTCGCACTTGCTCTGATAAATTGTCACGTGATTTGCGCTCAGAGGATAGCTTTTTGTTCAGCTCAACGATTTGCTGGTAATGATCGTCGCCGTCTTTTCGGAAGGAAAGTAGCTCTTCGAGCGTACTCTCTGCTGTTCGTTTTTCTCTTGATAAAAATGTTTAACTTTGCTTGTTGAAGTTCTTTTACCTTATGGCTCGATCAAGAGTTTCTTTGATTTTAGCTTCATTTTTGACGGCAATATCAAGTTGAGTGTGAGCTTCCTCGAGCTCTCTGTTGGCCTCTTCTTTCGCTTCAGCTACCGATTTTCTGACGCGTTCGCCGACTTCTGCGATCAGCGCCTCGTTTGCTTCGCGCCAGTGTTTTGCTAAAATTGAATAGAGAATGTTCAATCATTGGAGACTAACCTTGGAAAGATGAATTGGTCAATTTTGCCTTCATTTCATGAATTTCAAGTCTGTAATCTTCAGCAAGCTGCTCGACGTGTCTTTCTTTCATACCAAGGTTTATTTCTCGTTGAACCGTTGCTGCAGCTACTTGCTCCATTTCACGCATTTTCATCGCCATTTCGTCGCGAATTTGCGACTAGAGCACATTAATACAACCGTTGTTGTATTTTTTTTTACCTGTCGGCTTAGTTCACCATTCAATTCGAGCATCCTTCTTTCCGAAGCTGTCGCCTTCTCTTTCAACAAGGCTATTTGATTCCTCAGCGCTGCCATTTGCTCCATTCCAGAATGCAACTCAAGATTTTTCTGATCAAGAGACATCTCTGTCTTTCTCGTATTCGAATTAATCTCATCTCTTTCCGCTCTCGTTTGGCGAATAATTTCGTCCTTGTTTGAAACATCAGCTTGCAATCGCTGGACAAGTGCCTCGAGCCTGCTGATTTCTCCCGCCTTTGTATCAGAGGTGAGTTGATGTTGCTGGGTCTGTTTGTTGAGAATATCGAGTTGGCGCTGGAATTCGCCTTTTTGGGTAGCAAACGCTTGTTGTGCTTGAGCAATGACTCGACGGAGCTCTGCGTTTTGCTTTTGAAGCTGGTTCGATGTCGCCATCGCTGAAAGTACAGTTTTAGCAACTCAAAAAAGAACAGTTAGAAATACCTTTCACGGCGTGTTGGCGCTCTTGAATCAAGTTCTGCTCCGTATTAGCTAATTGCTCCGAGAAGTTCTCGCTTGGCATTCTTTGCTGCATTTCGACAGATTCCCTTGCTTCTCTGATAACTCTGTCTCGCTCAACTCGCAGCTGCTCATTTTCAGTCAGAAGCTTTTCGAGCTCAGCTCTAAGATGACGGGAATCCTCGCGGAACTGGTTTAGCAGCGCGTTCACCTCCGTGTCCGACATTTTTCTGAATTATTCAAATTTATGAAAAGTCAGGAAAAATCAACTTCCGTTTTACGGAATCTAGAACTAATTATAATAAGATCTATTCACAATTGTAAAATAATAATAGCTGTTCATAAATATGTTCACAAAAATGTTCTTATTTACAGGCAGTTGTGTGTTCGTAAGCGTCATTTTGGCTTTGAAGGATAAAAGTTTGACAGTAAAAGATACGCGAAGTTATATTCAAGGAGCGACATCACGATTTGTATTGATTGGGGTTATTGGTGATAGAATATCTTCGGCCCGAAGACTTCGGCTGTCCCTTCTATAGAACAATCGCTATCAGTATCTAAAAGTTAGATAAAAAGTGTTTAACTTTCTCTTTCATACCAGAATCCACTTAAATAACCGACTCAAATTTTGGAAGATCACGAGACATCGGAATACCATTCGTAGTTTCAAGCAGTTCCCGAAAATTCATAACGAGCCGAGCATGCTCAACTTGATCAAACCGGAAATGGCTGAGAGGTTTTTGAATGACTTTTGAAATGTCACCGGCTGATGATGTCAAATCACGATCCAAGGGCCCATCTGGTACGGGCTTTTCAATCATCCATACCATTTGGGTTGGAGATAAACTCCGGCAGAAAGGCTTTTCCGGATGGGATCGGAATTTTGTTGGTAGTTTCAATAAGCTCCCTAAAATTCATCACAAAACGGATTTGCTCGACTGGATCGAATTTGCACTGGCTCAGGACGTTCGTTACTATATCAGAGATTTCAACAGCGGAGAGAGTGAACTCGTAGTCAGTTGGTAAGTCGGATTTCCTCTTCTTAGGTAAAGGAGGAAAATCGACCCCGGCGTCTTCAAACATTTGGCGAAGCCTTTTTTCTTGAGGAATGGAGATCATGTTCGCTGTTGCTGGAATCAAAACTGCTCGTTTTATTTCGTCTGCAAGAACGATAATTGATCTGAAGGAGGCCTTGTGAAGACCGAATTTGCTAGACACCGTTGACACATTGACATCCGGATTCTTCGCCTTTTCGTTTTCCCAAAATTCGATCATATTAGCCTTTTCGGCGAGAGTGATTCGTTTTCGGCCCTCGCGCACGCACGTTCGTGGTCCTTCGTGCTTTTTCCTTTTATTTTTCTGCTGCTCAATAGTTTCTTTCATATGATCCGGGACAGGTAAATTCATCTTCAATCTCCGCTTGTTGGACGCGATGCTATTTTTATGATATCGTTTACTCTCGCAAGCGTTTGGATTTTTCATCGCCTCGATGACCCTCTCTCTGTTTTTAAATATTGTAATGACACTTCTCTTTGGGCTAGGCAACCTGTATTTTGTAAAATCGAAACCGTTACTAATTTTATGAGACCCGAGATCAGAGCCTGGTTAATTGACGGGTGAAGCTGACACTGTACAGATTGCCGAGCCCAGACTGCCGCTCCCTAGGTCGAATTTGGCACCCAATTCTCTCCATGTTATTTTTGGATTCGCTTCTTTGTAGAGAATTATTTCAAGTTTCTTTTGAAGAGTAATCGTATTTCTTCGTTTTGGAATGCGCTTTTCAACCACCTGTTCCTCATTATTGATAACGATAGGTGCTTCAGGAGGTGCTGGCATGGGTGTCTGTTGTAACAAAATACTGAGCCCAGGTATCAAGAATGGCTTAGGTAAGAGAGCAGGTTTTGAAGCAAGCTTCGGTAGATCATTGATAAGTTGAATTTCTTGTTGACCTTTATTTCGTATTTCTTCTCCATTTGCTCCGATTTCGCTGCCCTCCATTCTTGAAAATTAAGTTTATTTACCTAAGAACGCCAGGGCAAGTCAAGAGAAAGGTATTTTATTCATTTTTTGTTTAAAACAGTCATAAATTGAACAATTCATTTTCCTTCAACTTGATTACTTCCCAGACCACTCTTGACGCGCTTATCAGTATATCAGCAGCCTGACGCTAGATCGCTTCGTCTCATCGCCAAATATTTTGAAGAGCTCCTTGAGCTGCTCCTTTATGTGTTTGTCGTCGATCAGACGGGCTTTCTTTTCGTTTCGGAAGTTGAAATCAACAACGATGGACTTTGCGTTCAGGCACCCGTCTTCAATGAGTTTGGCGATTCGGCTTGGGGTTCCAACGGCTACTGATGTCTTTCCTAAAAAGAAATTTTTTGATGTTTAGGTGCAAATATCACTGACAACGATTGCAAAAATTTACCTTTGTTCAAATGCTTGATTTGATCTGCAATCTTGAAATGTTTAGCGAAAAGTTTCGCCGTATTTCCTTCCTTTTCTTTCGACCACGTTTGAATATCCCTAAGAACATCTGTGCATCGCTTTCCAGCGCCGCATACGATGACAACGGGACTGTTGACTTCGCAGAGAGGTTCTTTGCTTTCGTTTTCTTCCAAGAAATTGGTCATTGTTTGGTCCACATCCTTAAAATCTTATGACTTGTAATTGTTTTTTACCAACCAGTCTAATCGTTGCACTTTCGATCCAATTAGACAGCTCTTCTTTGAGTACCGTCCCAGCTACATCAAGTAGCGCCGTCTTGACATCGTCCTCCGCAGACATCGCAGTCGTATTAACTTCTTCGATCTTTCTCTTTCGTTTCTTCAATTTTTTCTGTCGCTTCGATAACTGATTATCATTTTTGTCCGCCTCGTCTTCCTCGGCGCTCGATTTCTTGCGGTATTCTTCCCACCACTCGTCCTGCAGATCTTCCGCCATTTTTGGATTCTTTTAAAATGTATTGCAAAATAAAGATACGAATTTTGAAGGTTTATTCAGTGAAGATTGAAGAGATACGCAAGTGAATTGAGTCGAGTTCAATAGAAAATACAACAGCTTCCATTTCTCCTAACTGTAATTCGCGGAGTAGCGAGACAATCGTTTGATGCTCTGACAGTGAGAAATAGTGCACTTTATCATATTTAGATAATACTTTCTTTTTTTGCGATGTTGCTTGGGGTCGTGGGTTATTTTTCATTTTTACTTTGAATATTGCTCAGAAATATGAGTTAACATAAAATATGACTTTGAATTTTAGTTTGACTTTTTTACTTCTAATCGATAGCATTTACGAAAACTGTACACAAAAGCTCAGGGTCTCCTCTACAAAAGCGCTTGAATGAATTTTTTTTTTAACATGCTTTGAATGAAAAAAGTTGGCCGCTCGCTTGCAAGCTTGAAATTGAATTTGTGACTTGATAGTTGGGAAACAGTTGTGTTGATGGGATAGAAGATATAAAAGGAATGAATTTGAAGTGACGGTTTTCTTGACATCAAACGCTGTACTTGATATATTCCTAAAGATAGAGAATTAGATGAGGAAACGCGAGTCGCCAGCTTGCCTTATAATATTCTGTCCTTTTGAGTATATCCATAACTGGTCCCATTACGCGCTCAAATCTGGAGCGGTCTAATTTGACGCACTAATAAAATATTAAGACGCTGCGCAAAGTCCAAACACGATTTACCCTCATGTACGTCTTCGCCGTTACTGTTGCGGCGCGAGGCCTGTCCAAAATCAACGCCAGCTCGCCAAAGTAATCGCTAATAGACACAGTTTCATTACCAGTTCATTAATTAACACGCTACCTAGGCCCGAGTTGGCCAACTTTTTTGATGCTGCCGGCGCAGTTTTGGGTCACGTCCGCCGTCCCGTCGATGACGATGAAGAATTCATTACCAAGTTCGCCCTCTCGCACTTTATAAACGGCTCGCTAACTGTCCTCACTGTTTTGTTCAACAGCAAAGAGGTGGTTTGTGAATAAAATTAGGCTCTCTAGAATAGGAGCTGTTTGCGCAGCATTTTTCTTGCTGACCGCCATTCCAGCGAGAAATTATCAATATTGACTCGATGCAACGTTCAAGTCTACATTCCTGCATTGAGAGAGAATTATCTAAATTGATGAAACGTCACTTTCTCAAGAGAGGAAGCGCCGTCAGCGAAAAATAGCGAGTCTGGCCGACGGTGCGTGCTCTTGCTCCGCACATAAATGAGCCGCAGTTTCGCGACCCGGCCCTATTGCCATTCCAGCCTCGAACGAGACCGCCTCCAAAGCGTCTGCTACAGTCAGTCGTTCCCAGTCTTGCAGATTGTCGAGAATGCGCACCTAGAGATATGGATAAATACGGAATTTTTCAATCAATTTAGATCTCTCTAAAAAAATTTGACAAACAAAAGGGGATAATCCGCGTCTTAGGGAAATATCTAATCAATGAGTCATTGATAATGATGTAATAAAGTGCGAGCCGGCCCTCAATTCAACTTTTGACGCTTTTCAAATAAATTTATCGCTAGGGCGAAAAGAGAAACCATAAATTGGGAAGAATGAAAGAGATTCGGGGGCTTTTGTGGAGGAGTTGACACTTTTACAAGTCCAGTGACAACTTGGCAGTAAGATGATTTAGTACCCTAGATCACAGTTGCAGAAATCCAGGGTACTGATTATCCTGCCTCATTGTTCTGGGCCCACTCGACGATTTTTGCAAGAAGAAAATTACCTTAGAAAGGAAGTCATCGTATTTCTCCCTCTTTTGTTGTTGCAAACTCATCAATATTTTCCTGTACGTTTCTCTATCAATAGCCCACAGTTTCACAACATCAGTTTTCGCCACTACAGTAGCTTGCCGAGGACGACCGTGGATAAGAGCCAGCTCTCCGAAGGTTCCCCATTCAGAAATGAGAGCAACTTGTTTGTCGTTAACCAGGACTTCTACTTCTCCCTGGTCTAAATGAGAACTGAGTTGGTAGAAAAAATATATCGAGGGTGAAGAATGATTTATTTTTATAAGTTCGGAATCGGTCTTACAAATCAAAAGGGAGAGTTTTTTGTTTCATTTGTACAATCAGAAATATTTCCAGAAATGCAATGAATGAGAACTTTTCAAAAAAAAAGGTACTTCAAAAAAGGAAAGTACCATTTTTTGAAAAGTTCTCCGGGCCCCCTTAAAAAAAACCTGTCAATGCTATAAGCCATCATTTAAAAATAATCATTTTTTCACGTAAGCTTTTCTTGTGAGAGCTTGAAAATTGTTCCGACTTATATACCCGGACTATTGCGGTAGATTACAATCGTTAAAAATGCCTATCGAAAAGAAACTATTTCAAGGTACCCCAGGTATAAATCTCTAAGATCGACCCACTACAAAACTCACCGATGACATAGAAGAAGTTTCCTGAATCGCCTTGTCTAATGATGACTGTTCCTTTCGTAAACGTTTGCTCAGACATTGCATCGAAAATATGCCCTCGTTGCTCCTCGTCGCAAGATCGCAATAAAACGTTGTTCTCAAATGCTCGTTCCAGCGCTTGCATAGTTTTGTAGTCTTTCGGAATCACCTAGATTAAGGAAATGGAAAGGCAGACAACAATCAAAAACTCACCGTTCGCGTAAAGTTCTTTACATCGGCGGGGGAAATTACTTCAGCGGAAATTGCGCCTCTTCGTGTGATAGAAGGGCGACTCTCCCTCGTTACAGTAACTTCTGGCTCGGGATCGGCTTTGTACTCGTCTTGGATTTCGTGGAGGGACTTTGAGTTTGATAGCGAAGTGTGAACAGGTTCGTATGCTGGAGGAACGCGAGAATTGTGGTGCTCTTCTGATGCTAGTTTTGCGAAGTAGTTGCTCAGGAAAGCATATGGTCGCTAAACAAGATCAATTTTCTCTGACCTACGCGTTTTAAAGGCTCTTTCAGAGCTTGCTTTGCCCATTCGCTAACTTCAGAAAAAAAAATCTAGTACCTCTGGGCGTGTGTAACACAATTCTCTGATAGCTTCTTTGAGAATCACATGCAAATTGAAATTGTGAATGTAGTCTTGCGCACTTCCTCCCGAGTTCGCCATTTCGATTTCAAGCCGACTACTTTCTAATTCTTCGGATTAGCAAAAAAAAAGTTTTGATAAAAATTGATTTTTGGTTGCAAGAGAACATCACATGTTGGTCTCGTTTAATAAATAATGAAGAGGAGTTTGCAAGACATTTACGAACATTGCAAAAAGGCAAAAATTGAACTACGTATTGAAGATAACACGTCCTTTGGTTTTCGGGTCTTTACTTGAACTTATGGAATATTTGAACAGGTTAAATGAGCTGTACTTTAGTTACAGGTGCATGGTGATGGGCTGTTCCAAGAATCCAGCAAAGGCCTTAAGCCATTGAGCGCCAACAGCACCGTCAACAACTCTATGATCGGAAGACAAGGTGACTTTCATTTCTGTCGTGGCTCGGAAGCCCTTTTCAGTTGAATCGTCAACAATAACTTTTTGCGTGCTTGCACCAACGGCTATAAAAGCGATAACAATTAACTCGAAATAACTACATTTACCAAGAATACACGCTTGAGGAGGATTAATAATAGCGGTAAAATGATCGATGCCCATCATTCCAAGGTTAGAAATCGTAAAAGTACCGCCTTGGAACTCATGTGGCTGCAGTTTGCCGTCCTTGGCCTTTGTTGCCAAGTTCTTGACATCTGATGAGATCTGAGACAAGCCCTAATAAAAATGTTAGCATCATTAACGTATCTTACAGTTCTACCTTGGCATGAGCATCGACAACTATAGGAGTCATTAAACCAGTTGGTGTAGCGACGGCCACACACATATCAACAACGTTGTACTGTCGAATACTATTTCCCATCCAGGCACTATTACATTCTGGGACCTTCAAACATGCAAGAGAAGCTGCTTTGATGATAAAGTCGTTGACGGAGATCTTGGAGTCGGAAATAGCATTAAGTTCTTTGCGGAGAGCAAGAACGTTGTCCATGTTGATTGCTCGGGTAAGGTAATAGTGTGGGATAGTATTTTTGGATTCGGAAAGACGCTTGGCGATAGTTCGTCGCATATTACTAAATTAAATTTAAAAATCGGTAAGTAATACGAGCTCTTACGTGACGTCGATCGCGGTGTATTCTCCGGTGGAAGCAACTGAAGTCGCAGGAGCGCTAGCCGCAGCAACTGGAGCAGCGGCGGCAGCAGCAGAAGGTGCGGCGGCAGGAGTGAAGTTCTTGACGTCAGAAGCGACTACACGGCCTCTGGGTCCAGTTCCGCTACCAGCAAGTTGATTAACATCGATGCCTTGTTCTCCAGCGATTTTCTTGGCGAGAGGGGAGATGAAAACGCGATCACCGGAGGCGACGGCAGCACCGGTGGTCGCTACAGCGGCAGCAACCGGAGCGGCAGCAGCCGGAGCAGCAGCAGCGGGAGCTGCGGCAGCTGGGGCAGCACCAGCACCTGAAGCGTCGGCGATAGTGAAATCGGCGAATTTGGCGACGTCTTCTTTTTCTTCAACGATCACGAAGAGTGGTTCTCCGAGCTTGATATCTTTGTCCCCTTCTGCTCGGAGAATCTTTGCAACAAATCCCTCGATACCGGTAGCTTCAAAAGTAACAACAGCCTTGTCAGTTTCGATTTCAGCGATGGCAGTTTCGCCCTCGATGATTTCATCGCCAACAGCGATTCCCCAAGAGGAAAGGGTACCACTCTCCATAGTGGGGGAAAGAGCAGGCAGAGCAACAACTTCGTGGCTGGGCCAGTTACCTGCTGGCTTAGCAGCTAAAAACTTTTTTAGAACTGCGTTTTCTTTTAGACGATTTTACCTGGAGCAGCCTGAGTCGGAGCAGGGGCGGATGGAGCAGCTGGTGGAGGGGTGGAGGCAGCCTGTCCGGGAGTCCAGTTCTTGAAAGCAGCAACATCTTCTTCATTTTCAACAACAATGCAAACGTTCTCGCCGACCTTGATGTCCTTAGTTCCGTCTGGAGCGATAATCTTGGCGAGGTATCCTTCGATACCAACAGCTTCAAAGGCAACGACGGCCTTATCAGTCTCGACTTCACACAGGACGTCGCCCTCTTCGATGGCGCCTCCTTCATTCACCTAAAAATACAATTTGTCGCCTTTAGTCTTATCAATGGCGCTGGTCGGGGCGATAGCAGCGGGTCTGGGCCAAAGAAGAGTAAACGGCCAGATCAGGGAATCTCAAAGAGAGCGAGAGATGGAGAGAAAAGTTAAATTTCTAAGTGGAATTATTGCGCTTTTGGCGGTTTTCTGCGTCATCTCTCTTTCTTACAACTTCCATAAAGAAGGTAAAACATAAGTTCAAGTAGCACTTGTATTAAATTTTAAGGATGTGCTCGAAAATTACCTGAGCCGACTGCCGAAAAAACGACAGTTGCTAACGAATTGGCTCGAGCAAGTACGACTTCTAAAATATTCAAAGCTGATGAAGAGCCAGCTGAAGAAAAATCAGTCAGCACTCCTGAAGTTGGAGAGGAAACTGTCACTGAATCAAACTCGACTGGTAAGTCATCTTTCTTTCAAAGATAATGAATGCGAATACTTTAGAAACTGAAATCATAGAGGACTACACCGAGGAAATCAAGTTGAACGACACTATTCCTGATTACAATTCCTCCGACATCCGGCGATGAAAACATGTCTCATTTATCTCTGACCAATACTAGGAATAAACGATAGAACTAACCTCCCATTGTTTGATAGTGCCAGTTTCCATTGTCGGCGAAAGTGCAGGCAGAACAACGACTTCGTGCGCGGGGAGCATGCGTGTTGTCGTAACAGACAGGCATCGCTTAGGCACAGTCTCCCACTTGGGCGCGCCAAGAGTGCGGAACCGCGAGACGATGTTCAGCGCCCGGGATCCGGCTGATCGTCGAGATGCCGCAAATCCTCTGCGCAACATTCTAAAGCAAATGACTCCGAGAACGAGCTAAAATCAACGGTTGCTTTTGTTTTCAATTTCGCGAAATTTTCTTTTGTAATCTTCAATTTTATATCTTGCTTCTCGATCTTCCCAAGTATGCACAGTGCTATCCATTCCTTGAAAAGCCTCGTCTCTGTAGAAGTAGCCGCCGACTGTATTGACCTCTTTCACGAGAATGATGAAGAATGCAGTTCCCATTAATGCCATTGCATAAGCGAAACGCTGACGAGGGACCATTTTCATATCGCGACTTTTTGACCATTGTTCGTTGTTGATCAAATCCGCTTTGAGATCAGACGCTTTGCTCGAAATATTGAATTTGTTCTGGAATGATAGGCGAGTTTCTTTTTCGATTTCTTCGTAGCTCTATAAATCGGTTTTGAAAGAAATTCCGGTAAAAACAAACCTTTACGACGGATGTTTTGCTTTTATCTGATACTCTTCTCCATGAATTTCTGCATAGACTCTGCCGTAGCATCTCTTGAAAGCACAAAAATTATGAGTTTTGTTGAATGAGAGGTTTTCGGAAAGAGAAGGCGCATCGAAAAGTCAGGTTCAATTATAATTTCTTCTTGTCGAAGACTCCATCGTCGAAATGTCGGATTTTCAGCTTCAGATTTTCGACTAGCCCCTTATCGATAATTTCGTCACATTCGAACTGCCTTTGCATAAATGGAATCCATCGGAGAGATTCCGAATGATGCCAATAGCCGCCTAAAGCATTCATTTTGCTCGATTTAGATTTAAGGTCATACCAGGCTCGGTCATTTCTTTAAAAATAATCGTAACAACCATCAGGAAGAAGAAAACATGGGTTGTGTTCAGAACAATTCGTCTGTAGTCATTTCCCGAAAGAAGGATACTATCGTCCGGCTTGAGACTGTCAGACATTTCTTCATACAGTGACTTTTCCGTGCTAAACTTCGAACGTACTTCATTTATTTTGTTCTGAGACTCTAGAGATGGTTCAGTTATATGATATTCATCTTAAGGCGTTTAATTTATTACCGATTTCTATTTGGGCGAACGAAGGATATTGATGGTTTCTTCTAAAACCAAGAAACTGTTTTCCCGATCTAATCCGATTCATTCTAATAAACAGAAAGTAATTATTTTACGAGGCTTAATTTATCCTTTACAAAAGCTCCGAGAAATCAGCACTTGAAAAATTTCATCGCCGGTCAGCTTTTCTCTGTGTTTTTCGCAATCTTCTTCGCCTTCTTTTTCAGCGCTTCCTCCCTTTTCAGTCTCTTAGCCTCGTAACGTCTCTTTTTCGCGATCTCGATTTTTTCCTGCAATTTTTCATCTTTCATTCTGTTGATTCGGCGCTTTTCGCCAAATTTATTCTTTTCAAGTTGAAGTTCTGCCTCGCGCTTCATGACTTGCACTTGTGTCTAAATTATATAATCGCAACCTGTCTTACGGCGTGATATCCCTTACTAGAATTTTTACAATCTTATCTTCTTCCAGTGGGTATTCTGTCATCTTGCAATCGACCATTTTTTCTATTTCTTTTACCCGCTCCGTGTCGTAAGGGGACATCATTGTTATTGATGTTCCCTTCTTTCCCGCTCGAGCTGTTCTACCAACACGATGGACATAATTTCTCGGTGCGCCTAAAAGCAGATGAGATCTAACTTAGATCATCAGATTCTAAGAAAATCGATTTAATGCTAGACAATTGAATCATATTGCCTTTTCATATAAATGCTGCTCGAAATTCGTTCCTACATAAAATATGCACATCACTTTTGAAAAATAAATCTTTTATGGGAGCATTGAGAGTTTTTATGTAAGCATTTTTACCTGGAACATTATGATTAATAACAATTGAAACATGTGGTAAATCCAATCCTCTCGATGCAACATCAGTGGCAACCAAAACTCTCGCTTTCGAACTTTTAAACTGTTCCAAAGCTGAGAATCGTTGACTCTGTTTCAAAATAGAATGCAGCACGACCGCTCGCGCTCCTATCTTTTGCAGCATCATTCCAAGAACTTGAACGCTTTTGCAGGTTTTTGAGAAAATAATCAGTTGCTCGTTCCCGTCCATTTTTTCTTCCAGAAGAAATTTGACCATGTGGACGAGATACGGATCTCGGATGTCTTCTGGAACGAGAACGTATTTCTGCTCGAGCGTTTCAGGCATCACGACGACGTTTGAATCCACATGATTGTCAAGTTCTTCTGCCTGCCAGAAAAATGGCTCTTTGCTTGCTATCGAAATATTTTTCTTATCAGAACGGGTGTTATTCGCTTACCCTGCGCTCTTGCTTCTTGAATCGTTTCAGAAAGCGTCGCCGAATACATAAGAGTCTGTCGTTTTGCCGGAAGTTTTTCGACTATTTTCGCCAGATCATCTCCGAAATCTCCATCTTCTCTGTCCAATAATCTATCCGCTTCGTCCAATACGAAGAATTTCACCTTGTTCAGCCTTAGATCCGTACTAAATATTGGGTTTCAGAACTATGAAAAAAAATAACTTCAACCTGGATAAAAGCTCCGCTAGTCGGCCTGGCGTAGCGACGATGACATGTGGCTTTTCTGAGAGCAAAAGAGTCTGTCTATTCTGATCCATTCCTCCTGTGACGAGCTCAACTCTGACATTCATATTCGTTCCAAATAATTTAAACTGATCGGCGATCTGCGAGGCCAACTCACGCGTTGGAGTTAAAACGACGGCGAAAACGCCATAAGGATCCTCAGCAAGCCTTTCTAAGATTGGAAGGGCGAAAGAAGCGGTCTTTCCTGAGCCAGTCTTTGAGCATGCGAGAATATCTCTCCCTAAAAAATATCCCTCAATAAAAAAATAAGGAATTTCTAAATAAAATTGGCGGGAATCCAAATTGGATTATTAATGTACCTTCCAAAGTTGGCTTTATACAGGCTTTCTGGACTTCTGTTGGTGATGTAATTTTACAATCATCGAGCGTTTTTAGAAGCCATTTCGATATTCCTAGCTCCGAAAACGACATCTTTCTGAGAGTGAATACATTTATTTCAGATTTTATGAATCAAGCTGGTGATAGGCATTAGTACAGAAGCAACGAACGTAAAGAAACGGTAGACAGGAAATATAGAATAAATGATGATAGGAAAAAGATGTTCATTGAAGAGCGGGAAGAATGTAGGAGCGAATTTCGGAGGACATTTGGCCAATCTGGGGATCTTGTTGTTCGTACTGGCGCACTTTGAGGTTGAAGTCGAGGATCGCTTGTTGACCGGGAAGGCCACTCGCACTCAGCGCCTGTTGCTGCGCGCGGGAAATTATTGGCAAGGTCTGGAATTGAATTACTGATTGATCATTTTTCATATAAGATCCTACAATTTGGAGCAGCGTAACAGCATCATTCTGCGCCGTTGGTCTACTTTTTTCTAACTGCGTTTGGTACTCTGGCGTCGAGAGCAATTTCAACGTCTCTGAGAGGATATTTCTTACGTTGTCCCTTGTCAATTCCATTTTTAGAATTCGCCTCTTAATGAAAGTCATCAATGAAGTGTACTTATATATAGTTTATTGCACGCGAGAAAGAGTCGGAAAGAAGTTTTGAATACAGAAACTTGGTGGTTATTATGTAAATAAAAATAAGGAAATTCTAAAAAAGAAAGAAATGAATCTCTCCCCGTTGGAACGGTTTTAGGCAGATTGGGCTGGTGCTGAAGGAGCGGAAGACATGAACCTAAAATCCTTTAAAATAGAGCATCGACAAGATATTACCGAGAGAGCATTTGCTTGCCGAGAAGATTATTGGCGTAGTTCTTGACAGCATCAAATCCTCCGATCTTGCATCGAATGTATCCGTAAAGATTAGCGCTGTTGAATCCAAAACCAGTCAAGCAAACAATGAACGAAGGGAACTAGAATCAAAGTTTTATAAGAAAAAATCGCCAAACAAGCGAACCTTGAGAGTGAAAAGAGCACTGAGGCCGAAAAGTGCCCACAGAAGAGGGCAAAGAATGAGTGCTCCCCAAAAAGCTCGAAATTCATTCGGCAAAACTGGCTTTCGTTTGAAGCCTTCTTCCGATCTTGATTCGTAGACCCAGGAGGATTGTCCTGTCGCTGGATCGATGTTGTTTCTCCATCTCAGACCGACGAGAAATCTTCCAGTTACATTCTACCAACAATCATCAGCAAAGAATTCAAACAATTCAACGAACCTTTACTGTCCAAAAGTCCATCGCCAGACAGAGGAGAATGAAGACAAAAGAAGTTACAAATGACATGGAGAAGATCTTTAATTTCACCAATAAAAAAGGATCGATTGAGGATTTACTCACCCCTCCGAACATGTAAATAAAGAGAGCAGAGATACGGAAGCCGAGATGGGCCACGACAACTCCAGGGTGACCCTTCTTTTCGACATTTTCTGATCCAAATTCAAGATTATTCATTCTAAAAATGGCCTTTCTCAGTTTCGCTCAGACTATCACTTTGGTGCAGTATTTTATTCCATCATCTTTTCTCAAGTCTTTCAACAAAAAAAAACCTGGAATCTAAGTCGAATGCGTTTCGATAAGAAAGAGGCAAAAGGCTGAATTTTCATTGTACATTTTATTGGTTTTGAGAATATGTTCTCAATGAACATGGCAGTTATGAACAAATGGATCACGATCAAGATTTAACCGTCGCTGCTGAATAATGTTTGGTACAGAATTGCTGGAGATGAAAACACGAGGGTAAAAAAGGAAAAGCAACAGGGGTTATCGAACATATGGGCGGTCATTGATGAAACGGGGAAAAATCTCTTAGATTTGACGGTTAAAATAACGGGTAATCCAAACTGAAGGAGAGAGAAAACATCTTTGGAGCAAAAATTGTATTTGGGGTGTGCATTTTTGTCTGAGATGAGTCAAGGTCTCGGCTTAGAAAGCGTTTTTTTTCGGGGAGAAGTATTGCTGTCGTGCAATGAAAAAGAATAATGGTAACTTGAGTATGAGTTTTGTTTGAATATTTTTACTTTGTCAATAATTGATTTTGTTAGATAGGCGGGAAGCTTTAGTTGCGCGTATTTGAAAAAAATGAACCTTCAAAATGGGGATGACTCAACTTTCAGCTCCGTGATGAAAGTCGTAGTTTATCAATTTATCATTTCGGAGTTTATCAGTATTGGCTCGTTGTAGAGATTACTCGGCTGTGGACAGCGTGACCGTTCTCGCCACGCCCAGTTCTTGCCCATCGCTCACCGTTACTTCGGTCTTTGTCGATGGCACTTCCTAAACAAAAATGTAAATTCGAAACGTTTTTTTGAAAATACCTGAAGCGTGACGAACGAGGCCCCATTGGCGCCGACCATGCCCATGGCGGAAGCGTCAGCGAGCTGGAACGTCTGGCCGGACGAGGTTCGGATGATTTGACCGGGCTGGAGGTTGGAAAGGGCCGTAGCGTACTGGGCCGCTTCTTGGGCTGCATCCTGCGTTGCCTGGTCATTTGACTGCGTCAGAATGGTCGCATGCTGCTGAGGTGCGCGGGTGGACATGGCGATTGGCACCTAGTTTTCATGTTGAGAAAAATGTCGATTGTAAGACGATTTTCTTACCTCCGGATGGCGAAGAGGTCTTCCCGTCGAGTTGTAATTCTCCTGTTGGTTACTTTCGCCCTCGGTCGGTGGCACATTCGAGTGGAATCTGCCACCCTCTCCACGACATCTGTTCATTGCATGTCTAAACAAGTTCATTTAGTCATTCAGCTCGGACTAATTCTTTGTACTTGTGTCGGGATTCGTGCAAGTACTTCTTTCGCTCTTTTGGCAAGAGGCCCGCTGCCTCGAGTTTTCCACGAGCTTTTCTTCTTTTCAGAATTCGGTTGTACTAAACATCTATTTTCAAAAGGCAAAAAACGGGGTCTTGTTGACATTCAAATTGACCGCAAATGGCGGTCAAGAGTCCTCAAGAGGGGTAGAAGTATAGATCTAATGAGGCATTGATTTATACCTGTTTGGCGTTGACGTAGAGTGGCTCTTCGTCAGGGACATGATCGGGCGCTTGTTTGATGACGTGCGCGCCGCCACCGCCAGCCATGCTCGTGGGAATCATCTAGCCAAAGCCGATCAATGGTTATTCCGTAAACAGATACTTACAATAACGGCCCCCTGTCCAGCATTAGACGGCGAGAGCAGTTGAACGATCTGACTGCTTCCATCAGCATTTTGAATCACCAATCCTCCTTGTTGCTGGCCTTGCTCGCTCTGCTTAACAAAGAAGATGAGTCAGGGAAATAGGAAATAAACATTTGCTCAATGCAATGTTTGCAGAATCGTGCAAATCGCACCTTTTGCTCGCCGTTTCCAACAGATCCAAGAGTGATGATTTGCTGCCCATTGCCGTTGAATGAGTTTCCTGTTTGAATAAGTTGGATCTAAAAAGATTCAAAATCAAAAATCGATGAATAGAATGAAAAGTATTGATGCTAGTAGTAGATGAGATTAAATCTGAACCAGGGCCATAAAATCAATAGAGACACTAGTGCTAGCAGGACTAAAGATGGAGAGAAAAGTAGAATATTGAATTGAATATGCCCCAGTGCAGAGCTGACAAAAGGTCGTTAACTAATTGATAAAACAAAAGCGCCCCGAGCTAAAGCGGCTTTCTCCAACAACTCAACACTCAGACGAAGAAAAAAAATCAATTTTCCGCTTCTCAATCAAAAGAGCTATAAATTTAAATTGGTGATTATTTACCTGTTGACCGGAGTTGCCGACGATGTTGTTGGCACCCAGGGTGACCAACTGTAGGGGCTGCCCTTGTACTGTTGCATATTGCTGTGTGTTGCTTTCTGACCTGAGAAAGAAGGGTTAGACTGAGGACGAGTTAAGATTTTAGAGCCGTAAATGATAAACGAGAAATATTTTAAATGAAAAAGAAACTGAGCGATAATAGTAATTGATAATTGATCGAGTCGAAAGAAAGATCGTCTTCTTACTTAGTCTCTCAAAATGATTCGATTTTCGCTCTGGAAAAAAAGGAAAAGTGACTCGGGTCAAGTCTAAGGTGTCTAAGGGAGTCGTAGTAAGTCCGATCACTTGCAGATCGGCTACTGACTGGGTCGTGGCTCGACTAATCGTGTTCCGGTGAGAGTATGATTGGTCGTTGTCTTCCAATCGTTCCTCTCGTCTGGCTTACATTTTCTCGAGATTCCCTCCTATTCGCCGAAGTGGCCAACAAATGAAATCGGGGCGGCCCTCCCAGAGCGCACCCTCGCTCGGCCGCAACCAGACACCCACTACCGCCCACTGTTTGACTACGCGCCGCCCGCGCATCCCGCCCTCCAGAAACGTCAGCCCGCTTTTTCCCGCGCAAAATCAACTAAAAAAATAAAACTAAAATCAACTAAATCAACAAATAATCACTAAAAACCCGCGAAATCTATTTTTAGTGAGTCAGGACCGGGAAAATTTCAGCAACATTCTTTTTTTCAACAATGTTCATTTTCAACAATTCTATGTTAAAAATAACTTAAATGTTAAAAGAATCTTAGATTCTTACTAAGAAGGTATTCAATATTTGGAATTATTCATTTGAACTTACTTTTTCTAAATGTGTCGATAACTGTTGAATCGTCAAATCGTTGATCAAAAACTTACTGAGCTGGTAACTCATCAGTACAATTTGAAATAACTTTCGTATCCCCATAAATCTCGGAATTATATCTCATCGAGGATGGAGGTCGAACAGTTGGCGACGGTAGAATGGTCCCTCGGTGGTTCCATTTTTGCTTTCGATTCCTGTCGGCAAGGCATTGTTGTTCTAAGTACGCAGCCTCGATAAGTTCATAAGCGCATTCTACAGGAATTTTTTTGATTGCATTATTCGAACTTTGCCTGATAATAGGGTTGATCTCGAGCTGAAGATTGCCAGAATGAGTTTTTAGTATGTTGAACCCGTTGAAGATGGCGGTGTTTTTGATTATAAGCGCGTCGTAGCTCTTCCATCGAATCAACTTGCAGTGCTTGTGGACTATCTGACCTGTTGATGATAAAACTCATAGATTCCGTGTGAACAACTGAAAGTGGTGCTTCGTAAGCAGGAACGACTCGATCGATGCTCTCGTCCGCATAAACGACTTGTTGTTCATCACCAAAAAGCTCGATAGTTTCCTCGTCAATGTTGCAGCAACCAGCAGAAAGCAAGGGATCGGTTTGATAATCGTAGATGCTTCCGTCCTTCATGGTCTCTTAGCGATTCGTTTCTATGGACAATCGATGGATATAACAATTTCATTTCGCCGGTTTCTAGAGATTGGAGGTTTTGGAAAGTAGTTTTTCCAGACTTGACATCAACGAGAATCAGAAGTTTATTGCATCAATTTTACAGAAATTTTATTCACGAGTTGCTGCTTGGTACTTCAGGATGAATGATTCGCGAGTCGCAAGCAATCTCAGACAGCTCTCGTGATCGAAGATGTGATCGCTGTCGAAGCTTGGCGATGACCAGTTCGGTTTGGAAAATCTTCGAATCCTCGGCGTAAGCTTGTAATGGTTTATCATCGTATCGGTTTTATCTTGACAATAGGGAGGACTTTTGATGGTTCGTTTTGTATTTACTGATTAATCAAAAAATGGATTGATCGAGCTGTATTTGCTGAACCTGGGAACCTGCTGGGATCTTTTAGAAAAGACAACGAGAGCATACAATTCACTCAAAATTTTTTTGAAATGACGACGAGTGGCCCGAAAAGGTCTGTAGCTTTACCGAACATACAATCTGAATAAACCAAATATCCTGAATGAAAGTTTTGAATAATTCCAGGCAGCGGAAGCGACATAAAAATGATTCCAGAGAGAGACGCCGCAACCCCAAGAAACTTGCCATAATTTGTTGAAGGCACGATATCTCCGTATCCAACTGTCAGTGCAGAAATAATTATGTACCAAATTGCATCTGAAATCATTCAATAAAACATTCACTATTACAATTACCAAAAATTGAAGAAATATTTTCATTACTGCTCTTCTCAAGGAAGAAAACAAATGATCCAAAAATCGTCGCCATTGTCAGCAACATTGTTCCAATAAAAGCAATCTAAAGCAATTGTTTTTTCTCAGCAGGCTCCTGTTGTTTACCTGGACGACAGATCTAACAAGAGTCAAACCTGCCAGACGAAGCGATCTATTGTATTTGGCCAATTTTCCCAGACGCGCCAATTTGCATATTTTTAGCGAACTTGAGCTTCAAATTTCAAATGTTAAAAGTTCCTTCTTTCGAAAGAAAAGATACCTTGAAGGAAAAAGAAAGGGGACGACTGACAAAATATCAAAAATAAATGATGCTCGAATGAGAGCTTTTAAATTCCCGATTCTTGATATGACAATCAGAACGATGTCGCAAATAAAGAATACATTGCAAGTCCTCTCCAAAGTGAAAGAAATCCTCTTCAAGAGATCAGGAAGATCTGTGGTTTCGAAGATAATGAGCATGATCGTCGTCAAGATTGCACCAAAGTTCATGTTGTTGTAAATCATCGCCTCTTTTGATGAGCTTGAGTCGGTGACGAAGCTTTTTGTGCAATCGGAAATAATGGCGACTGAACTTTGGTTTCTTGGAGGGTTGTATTTGCCGAAAGTTATTCTCTTGCTCGGGCGGTAGTTGTGGAGGCCAAAGAAAACAAGAACCTCCACGAATAGATAAGGCGGAAAATACTGCGGCTTCAGGAGCACTTTCCCGTTTGTTTGATAAAAAAGCAAAACAGAAGAGAACACTTTTCTGTTGCAGTCTTATTTCAGGATAGAAACCCTCATAACAAAATACTTCTAAAAATATAAAATGGTCTATCCGTTCTCAAAGACAAAAGTTCCACTTTTTTCATCGTAGTATTCCAATCTCCTGGAAACATCACCTAACAACGTCTTCGGAAACCGTCGCAAAAGTCCATCTGAACATTCATAGATCATCCCCGAAACATCGAATCTCAATTTCTCTCTTTTCATAACGCCAGTAAACTCAAGTGTCTTCCGTCATAAATGAGCCAAAAATGCAGTTTGAATATTTTACAAAACGTGCAGTGGTGCGTTTTCTTTTGTTTCGTTGCTTTTTCATGAATTTCATTAACGAATTTTGTATGGTCATTTCTTTTTTCGTTCTCATGAGTTCAATACGGAATTTTTCCAAAAATGTCTTCCTTGATTTCAATGATATTCGAAGTTGACATTCTCCGCACTATATCTTCGCCTGAATTTTCGCCAAATATAAATTAATAAACAACTGGTAAATAAAACATGTATGTTTTAAACAAGATAAAGACCAATGCATTCCAAGCAATTTAAATCCAAAACCGCAATAAACGTAAGTTCGTAAGTTATTTGCTTGTTGTTAGAATCCCGCCTTGGTCGACACGACGGCTCCGACTTCTGAGCTATTTCTCTAAGTCGACACTGATCTTGATAGGAGCATTAACGCCCTAAGAATTCAGAACCGGACTCGATACGTCTAGTTCGAAGGATGACCGGGCGGATTACACTCGTTTTTTGACGTCGCATATCGTTCAAATTTAACTTCGAAAAATGAAAGGGCTTGACCGATGTTATCCCTTCTGAAAAGTCGGATGACATTATTTTTCGTTTATTTTGATTTTGATCAGAAAACTTTTTGATTCTTCGAAAAGAATAGGCTTTTCTTTTAGCCCAATGTTTGAATTTTGGGTGACTCTTTAGGTCCTAAAGTTTAGGATTCAATAAGTCAATTCAACGCCTACAGCTTGGCATACAAATTACATTTGAACGTGATACTCAACTCTCAAGCTGCTTGCGAACGTGCTTCTCATTGCAGGTGTCGTTATCTGGCAAATAGTGGTCGTTGTGGTTGTGGTTGAAGTCATGGCGGGCTCAGTGGTTGAAGAAAAAAAATCGCTCTTGAGAGCTTTGCTGATAAGACTCAGCTGATCCGGAGCCAATTTCTAATGCCACAAATTGGCAGATAAACTTAAAAAAACGCTAAAATATTGAACAACGAGTTCTTTTCAAAACGAATCTTTTGTTTCGGAAGAAATCGAACCGCTCACTCATTTTCATGGAATCTAAGAAGACGATGACTTTCACTGAAGGTCTCTTTTTGCGATACCACAATCACCAAGTGTCTGGCGAACCACGAGTACTTGGTCGTGGAGGCGTCAGCGTTCTTTGAGCCGGATGTGGCTGAAAAAAAGCAATGATTTGGCGATTGGCGATTCTTTGACTGATCATCTTGTTTGCTCGCGTGTTGCTTACCGCAAAAGATTGAAATGGTGCTTCATCGAGAGTGAGAAAACACGAGTCACGGCCCCTTTCACGGCGGGTTAGAATTTCTTTGGTGGCAAGCAATTTTGAGATTGCGGAGATTTGCTGCTCGAATCATTCGCACTCAAACAGCTCGTTATCATAGTATCCTTCCATCAAGGGCGTCAATCTCCGGCAGTGGGGCGGGTTGACACAACCCTCTCTAAAGTTTGCACCACGGTAGATTAGACGCAATATTATCTCGATTCTAAAGACTCTCAATAATATCGTTAAAATTGCTTGAGAAATTAGCACTGGTCATTCAGCTTCCGCGGAGCCGCTAAAATCCTCTAAAGTGATCGGCTAACACCCCGGAAAGGACTCGAATATCACGCCGGAAACTCAACCTTTTGAATTAAATCTGTCCGTGGCCGATCGGCGAAGCTTCTCACGTGATAGTCTTTTGCTCCATATGCTCGCAGTGGTCAGAGACCGTGTCCTGTCGAGTCTGGCACTTACTTGCTGCTCGTGGTCGAAGTTCGTCCCGCGTCTGTGGTTTCGAACTCGTAATCCTCTGAAATAATTCCGTCGCGGGGAAAATGTCGAAAAGCGAGCATCGTTCCCATCAGGTGCTCATCGAAAGCAAGAAACATTGACCTCAAATTTGTTCGACTTCAACCTTGCAGCTGAAAACAAAAATCGCATGTTAATAATTTTCAGCGGTTTCTTCTACTGAGAAAATTTAACGAAGTGATTTTTTCAGTTAATAATTTATTGTAAATGAGAAAACAGAAACTAGCGATGCAGATTCTTGGAAAGTAAAATTGCTATCTATGCTGCAAATTCTATGCAGTTTCGAGTTCGCACATAGATAAGCCTAATTTTTCTTTTTGAAATATATTCAACTGGAATTTGTAAATAACGAAACAGTAAAAAGAAAAGAACTGCTGAGTTGGGTCTACTTTTGACTTAGGCACGAGGATGATCGAGTCGATCCAACCAGCGTTATGCAAATTTTCCAGGACGAGAGACCGGTGTCGAATTCAACAAAAATGCAAAGCAGGTTACCTCAGTTCTCTGCATTTTATTTCATTCAGTTCCAGCAAGAAGAATTCAGTGTTCTGTATTTTGTGAAATCATCATTTTCCAAATTTTATTTATCCGTCTATTCGGCCATCTGGCTACGTTTACAAACTTCGTGTCACGGCGGCAACTCCTGCTACAATTCAACCTTTTTGCTTATTGCTATCTTCTGCTCAAGGAAGAGGAAAATCGCATGTTTTATACAATCAACAAGGTATACTGGAATGATACGTCCGTGAATAACATTCTACGATTAGAGGAAAACGCGAAATAGCGGCGATTTGCGTGATGATAATCCAGTAACGATCGCCGGTTCTGGAAATATTTTCGAAGGGCACTTAAGTCAGGAAGTCGTTTTAGGAAGAGATAAGTTCGATTCATTTTCCGCTCGCCAGTCCTTCTCGAAAAGTAGCTAGTTCTTCAATTGCTCGCAATGGATGGCACTCAAATGTATAACAATACACTTTTGAGCATGTGCAATAAAACCCGGCTTTGTTTAGAAGAAGAGAGAGTCACTTTGAGCTGACAAAGTAAAAAAACAAGTGGAGAACACCGCGATTTCATGACACGCTGTTTGATAGAAAACTCGAAAGGTTAACGCAGGAACATTTCACGGCCGCTCTTATACGGTTCTATACTCATTATTTGGAGTTTTACATCAAACTTTTGGGACTTTGTGGATTCCGGAAGTGGGGGAGACTGCAAACAAGCATGGCTTTCCCTTCTTTGGAGTTTACTTTTGTATGTGAATTGATGGTCTTCTCTTAAACTTTTTCTTTACGTATTTGAATTGGCGATAAGGAATCTATTCCATAAATCTTTTGCAGGTTTTGAATTTATTGTGCAATATGCATAAAATATGCGCACAAAGTAGGACACCGTCAGATCTTTCAAAGAAAAAGATCTTCAACCATCTTTGATTTTTGTCGATCAGATGACCTATAATCAAGCAGAGCAGTCAGCTGGAAACCTATTCAGCGCCAATAATGCATACTCAGTTGGAAACGAGAGACGATGCTTTATAAAGACAGGGAATAAGAAGAGCAAAGCAGTTTGAAAAAGCGATGACAGAATATGTTCAAATTGATAGAGCTTACAAAATCGAAGAAGACGAGATCGCGGACTGTGGCCCGATCAAGTGTTCCATCAAAAAAATTGATTTTGATGGGGTAAAAAGACACCAAGTTAATGACCTGTTTGCTAACCTTGGTTTTTGGCGAAAGAAGAAAACAGAATACGAAGAAAATATCCGACGCCAAAATATACGAATTCAAAAGTTCTCGAAAGATGAAGAGCTTATCGAATCCGGAAAGATAAAGAAAAGAAGGAACCGAGCTATCAAGTCAATCAAATTATCTAAGGAAAGAATATTACGATATGAAAAGAAAATCAGGAAAGCTGAAAGCCATATCTACTGTCATTTGACTAATACTCGTTCTCTTTCTTTTAAACATATCAAGCAAAAATTCTTGGGCAGAAAAGCTGAAATGAAGAGTAAAAACCAAAAGAATATTCAGGCTGAAAACGACTCGAAAAACAATGAATTTATAATTTTAGATTCACTTTATTGAAAAACCCTCTATTCCATGACATCTCTTTCTGCTTCTCTGAAATTTTCTGTGTGTAATAAACAGTTCTAGCTAACGACGACTTACCTTTCCAAATCTTCAAAAGTACACCCCTCAAAAATTTATAAAGGTGCAGCAAAAGCGGGGCATGTTTAATCACTATCTTTTCTTCCTAAAAACAACCCCGTTCCAGCAATAAGGGTGATTCTAAACCGTCCTGTCCGAAGAAGTACTTGACCAAATGTACCCGTCAAGCACGATAAAATTAGCCTGCGTTTTGACAAGTTAATTAAAGTAGAAAGAAAAAGAGATGGCGTGCAGCTTGAATTTCTTTATCAGCTGAGTGTCAAGCGAACGAAAAAATAGAAGAGCAACTCTTCGGGAAATTCGGCTGATCCAGCTGCCCCCTGAAGTGCATTCCAACTAGTCCAAGTATTCGAATACTTGAGAGAGACAGAGCCTTGCTGAGCCCTCATTTCCGTGTTCTGCGGCGGATTACAATATTCGATAACCGCGTGATTAGCAGAAACTAAACTTTGGCCATATTTTCGCTGAATGACCAGGAAGCTTTGTTAGGGAAGGACAAAGAACTTGATGTTTCTCTCACACATGCTTTACTTTCTGCTGAATTTTAAATCCCCGTTTTATTCAGCAAGTTTGTTCTTGTTATAAATCACTGTTGAGTTTCACGGAAAAGTAATAAAAGTGTTCTTTATTTATTAATATAGAAAATACGGTTCCTTTTTGAACTTTTTTCTTGCCTTCTTATTTTCTATAAATACAAAGCTTCCTAAAACGTCGCCCTTAAAAACTTTGCTACTCGAGCGTTGCGTATAAAAATATTGTTTCACTGAAATTCGCACCCTCTGATCTCTTCGTGTTTACGTATTTTCTTGCCGCTAGCATGTTGAGTAAACGAATTTATTCCCGTACTTCCACTCTTCACCCTGCTGAATATACATTCCCTAAAATTTGTTTTCAATCAAAGACGTATACTTTTCGACTTTGGAAGTCGTTTGCTTGGCACACTGCGCCCAGGAGAATAAAAATACTGTTCAGTGGTTAACCCTCCCATTTCCGAATGGAAGTTTCTTAAATTTTCATACAGTAAATTCTTCAGTATTCGTTTTCCGAGGCCAGAATTTGCGAGGAAATAGATTTGAAGGAGCCTACTTGAATAGAAATTCACATTCACAGTATTCTGAAGATCTTGACTTTCGTTTATTTCCAAACTCGGACCAGGAGGGTTGAATTATTCATCGATTCAACGAGGCCCGTAATTCATCACGCTGTCACTAATTCATCCGCTCCCGGATGTGGCTCAACTGTAACTGCTTTTGTAGCAGCTTGTGAATTTTCATCTCTTCAATTATGGAACATTTTCATATGTTGAAATAAAATTAAACCGGCACTGCTGGCGTCAAAAGGTTAACGCGCAACTTGAAGTTTGGAGGGCGTAGAGACGCTCTCACGGCTAGAACTTGAGCCTCCGACCATTATTACGGCTCAAATTGATCTCAAGGGATCAGGTTGACGGGCGAAAGTTGCACTGCAGGCGGCGCTTGAAGGATTACGCTCTCTCTTCTTTTTTTTTTTTGCTTACGGCACCATAATTTTTATTCCCCGTTTTGACACTCTCTCTCTGTTTTTACTGAGGATCAACCATTGACACTTGCACTCTTTATTTTCAAATCAATCTTCAAAATAACGCAATTCAGAATTGCCAATTCTTCTAAAAATAACTGTCCATCGCTATTGAGCTTTATGCAATTTACCCATGGTTCTTCTAGTACACACTCATTGAGTCATTCCAGCAAATATTATTTTTATTTGTATTTTATAGTCAAAATCGATCACGCCCAAAAAAAGTTTATTTTGGAGTGAGCGAGCAGATTTGAGATTTACAACGATTTTGAGAGAGATAAAATGGCAACAAAGGTATTTTTTTTTTAATAAAATTATTTTGAAATGATAAATTTGCAAAAGAATAAACTTGCGGAGGAAAGCACCTCAATTTGCAAAGTGGGCATTTTTCTTAGCGATAACACGTGTGGGAGCTAATTATGCCTTGCCCTTACTGATAGGCGTCAAATAACTTATTTGAAATAAGGCTCTGGTTACATTTTCTCATAGAATATGATTATCTACGGCGGGGCTGGAGCACTCGGACGCCACCTGGTGGAACACTTCAAGGCAGCTGGCTACTCGATTATCTCTGTCGATCGAGTCGAAAACGCGAACGCTGATAAGAACGTTATCGTCTTGCAAGGGCAGGCTCTCTTCTTTGTTTTGCGAGGCAAACATCGTAAACACCGAAATTTCACCCTAAAGGGGTCGACACGCAAAACCAGAAACTCCTTATCACTCAGTTTTTTTGCGTTATCAATTTTCGCGGAGACGCCCAATTTTCTTTACCAGATAAGCTTACTTGCTTATGCAGCGAGAACTTCAAGTTTGGACTCAAGTTAGTAAAGCTGGGAGCGAGAATTCTAGGGCGGTTTTCAGACTTTTTAAATCATAAAAACTCATTCAAAGAAAGAATATCTCAATCAAGTTAAATCAATAAATATTGTTGATAAAAATTTGTATCAAAAAAATGATAAAGCAATAGGTGCTAAAGCAGGGAGGAAATATAACTTACGCAGTAATTTTTTTCGCCCTCGAACGGACGTTTTTCCCAAAGCGAGCCTCTCAAAGACACACTTGCGGAGCAAAACAAGCACGTCCTTGACTCCCTCGCTGGCACTGAGAAAGTTGACGGTACGCGCGTCCTTGACACATTTTCTTTTGCAATTTTAAGCATCGAGAAAGTGGAGAAGCAGCAAGTATCATTTCTAAGACTTATTTTCAGCCGTCATCAACGTCGCCGGAGGGTGGTGTGGTGGAAACGCTGCTGACGACAAATTCGTGGCCAACGTTGACCTTGCTCTTCGACAATCAGTGTGGACCTCCGCGATCACGTGTTCTCTTGCCGCTAAGTTCCTGAAAGAAAACGGTCTCTTCGTCCTTCCGGGCGCCGCGCCTGTCCTGGATGGGGCTACTTCTGGCATGATCGCTTACGGAGCTGCCAAAGTGAGTTAAATTAAATGAAATGCTATCGTTTTCCGAGCAGAAATCTGGCGGAAATCGTATTTGGGTTGAAATTATAGCTCATGTAGGATTGCAAGGATCAAATTTTGCAAAACAAATCTCGTTAATTTTATGTTCCCAGCGGACGTAATAATATTCTTTACCCAAGCAAACTGCTGCCCTTATACCGCTGCTTCTTTAAAGTTCATAAAGTCCTAAATAACTTCATTTAAAAACATACATTCAGTAGACAAACTAGTCTCTATCAGACCTCAAAGTTAAGTACCTAATTCATCTTTTTAGGCTGCTGTCCATCACATGCTTAGTTCCGTGTCGACCAAAGACGGCGGGCTTCCCGAAGGAGCGGCCAGTTATTGCCTTGCACCTGTGATCTTGGACACGCCTATGAATCGTAAATTCATGCCAAAAGCTGACACCACGAAATGGACACCACTCTCTTACGTTGCCGAAAAATTCCAGTGCTGGGTTGAAAAGCCCGACCAGCGTCCCAAGAATGGATCAGGAACGGTATTCCCTGATAATCCCTAATCGATGGCAGCTCTTGAATAGATTTGAATGAGGAGGATTTTGAAAACATTTTGCAAAGTGCTTCCAACACCGGATAACATGAATATTTAATAACTTTAGGAACTTGTTATTCCAGAATAATAATTTCATATTAAGCATTTTTTAGAAATTGTAATATAATGGTAAAATAATAATGATGGTGGTCAAATGAATGTTTAGAATAGAATACTTTCCGAACACGTTTTCAAAGCTTGCAAAAAGTGCCTGTGAAAGTCGTCCTCTTATTTCCGAAAAGGTGAATACCCTCTCAGTGCTCAAGCTGGTTACTGCCGAGAACGAAACCACTTGCTACGAGCTGTAATAAACTCAAACAAGCGCGTCCCTGCGTCTGTACTCAATTGTCATAATTTTTATCCGCATCGGCTTCTTGCTTGAAGTCTGATGCTTCCCGGGACTAATCACTTGTTACTTTGTTCTTTTCATTTTGAACGCTTGTAAGCATGTTTTTTTAAAGCTTCGGCCAGAGCATCGCTATTCTTAAAATTCCATGTTAAAGCAAAGTAAAGCCCATGGTATTTTAAACAACAGAAAATTCAAATTCAGATTTCTAATTTATTTATTTCTTTGCTTTGAAGGGTTAAATTTAGCCAGTGTAGAGTAGCTACACCTGGCGTTACTCCAATTCAAGCATCCTGTCAACAATGTCTCGGCATAATTTCGATTATAAGGGCTGAACGGAGCGAGGCAGGGAGATTATTTTTTAAAAGGCCTTGAGACAGCTAAATTGTGAAGGGTCCCACGACTCGACAAAACATACCGCAGGCGTCAAAACGTCTGCCAAAATGAATTTTTTCGCGCGTGAAATTTCCGCAAGAATTTAATAAAAGACTCTTTCAAAAGAAAAAGACTTAGAAAGGGGTCTTAATTGACCCAATAATTTCGATTTTCCGTTATGAAAAGAAAATATCCAAATGGTCTCGCCACAGCGAATCTCTGAAGTTCAACCTTCCAAAACTGAGGATTAAAATCGCATACACGGCGGCTTGCGAAATCCGGGTTAAGCAGAACGAAGGAAAAGATAGGACTCAGAGGTTGACATGTTCTGAATGAGAAATTTTCTTAAAGGGGACGGCGGAAATCACAATTTCCGAAAGTCGCTTCGCTCAAAGCACAAAATTTTGCTAAATCGGGGCGATTTTATCAGCCCCAAAATAAGCCAACTAAAGGGTTGAGTTGCAGGTTTCTTTCTTTCTCGGTCCTGTTTCACGAAAGTTTTGACGATAAAGACCAGGTTTAAGCGAACTTACTTCTGTACTTTTCTACTTAGTCCCTACTTATTTGTACGAGGGATGTTACAGTAACGTTCTAGCGTGGAGAGCCATTGATGCCGGGTTAATCGAGGTCGACGCCCGCAACTGACCTAAAACAAAGACGGTGGGCCTTGCGAAGATAATTGGGGAGCTTCAAAAAACGTTCCATGCTAGTTTTGCAGAAAGGGCTGCACGGATAGTCATTTCCAATCCTTCGACGTCCGGTATGTCCAAATATTAGGGAAACCAAGCCCACTAAAATTCCATCCCTGAAACAGAGCTTGTTCATTGTGCTCCTCTGACCCTGTCGGATATTTGTTCTTACTAATATTTTTAATTCAAATTATTTTAATAAATTCGAGAGTCTCTGATTTAATTTTATTTGAGTGTTCTGTATTAAAGAAAAAATAAATAAAAAGCTTGTTTGATGTATGGTTGGTTTTTAGAAATCGGTTTGAGGTTTCCACTGAGTTAAATTTCTTTCGCGGCGTTTTGCATGTGGATAATCGAGTGTTTTTTCTTGGTATAAAGTCACGAGTCAGGAGCTGCGGTTTGGCATCTTATTCAAATCAGTCACGTAAGCTTGCTTCGCGGTCCTTTCCTGTGGCTGACCGAAATTGGATCCAATTTTATCAAGGGTCCGGCTCTTGGCTAGCGCATCTCTTCCTCTTTCGGAAAAGAGATAAGAAAACTCGATGCCGAAGGACTTCAGACGTAACTTGATTTTACGCCACTCCTCTTCCTTGACTCACTGAAAATAGCGTTACAGACTAATCTTAATCAACGTAATTAGACCTAGTTAAAATAATTGCCACTCGACATTTGCAACGCCGGTTGGACCAATCGGTCACGGTCATTCTAATTACACTTTGACTTTTACTCTGTGGTCGCTTTCTAGCGCGTTTTCTTTTTCGCAATAAAATAAACTGGTTTGTAATTAACCTTCTGAATGACTATTTTTGCCAATGCATTTTCCGCCCTTTTCGAAAAAGGTTCAAGAACCTTCGACTTTAAAATGTTCCTTTACATAGGAGGTGTTAAAATAAAGTTGATAAAAGACAGCATCAATTGGTCAAGAAGCAAGCCGTTTTTCGCCAGCCTTCTTTTATGTTTTAATCAGCATGTTTGATGGAAACAAATCACGTTGCTAATCAGCTCTGTTGCAGAAACCCGCGTCTCCAACAATCGGCCAGAATAAACAACAACAAAGAAAGATATTCGCTGAAATACTAAAAATAGCAGCTCGAGTACTAACATGTTCCCGGGCGTCAAATATGTTCTTGAGAAAAAACTAAAATTCTTGCGCCTTGTCAACAGGCGATTGAAGAACACTGCTATGCTAAAAACGAAGAAGGAGAAAATAACTTACTCTCGATTTTTAATGAGTTTCTTCGAAATTCTGCCATGCGAACTTTGATTCTTGTTTTGAGAATATTCAAAATTGCAGCAAAAATAACACCGAATCAGCGAAAATCAGTGAAAAATTGAGTCGTCGAAAAGTTCAACGAAAATTCGCAGGTGAAGGCAATTGAGAAACCCCCTTCGATGAGCATATTTTTGGAGAGGGAGGCGCTTCTCGAATTCGCGTTATTGGCAGCGTATCTGCTTCCCCTCTTTCAAGTTTGGCGAAGGGGATGACTCTGATCGGATGTCGGCTCGCTTTTTTTGCAGCTTAGCTGGGCGATAACTCTCAGCCTCTCTCAGATAAAGTCGACTCTTCTCCCTCCAGTTCGAGCTCGTTTTCTGAAGCAGGGGTGTTATCAGGCGAGACCCTCTGTTTGGGAAAAGCTGCATTATGCGGCAATCTCGGTGTTTTGGTGACAAACTAAAGCCAAGAGTATCGAAATGAATTGGCGGTCAACTGGCCGGTCGGTTAATCCACTTTGACGGCAGTTAAGCTAAAAATAATCCTATTGAATATGGTGAGAATATATAGCCACCCGCTATTGCGCCGTATGTAGAGGAGGTGCTTATGGAATGCACTTCTGGTATTGTGGCAATTTTGGAGAAAGTCCACTCTGCGAAAAAAATCGAAAAAAAAGAACGATCGGAAATTCGTAAATTTGCAAACTGAACTTGGAAATAGAAAAAGAGGGCGCGGGAAATTATCATTTCTTATCTCTGCCGGCGCCATAATTACTGATTAGACGAAAAGTAAAAACTAATTTTAGCACAAAATGGAACCGGCTCGTTATTTTGACGCTGACAACAAATAAATGCTCTCTTTAGACAGGCGCTTTGAAAGGGAAAATAACTTACTGAAACAGGTCTTTTTTGAGAAAAAATATGAAAACTGGCTTGTTTTATTTCTCGATAAACTGCAAATATGCGCCTAGACATAATTGTTATTATAATTATTTGGCGAGATCCAAACTTGAAAATCAGCTCAGTGCGCAGTAGGCCACGTTCTCGCCCGGTTTTTAGCGGAATAATGAAGATTTATGTTTAGCTCAGCGAAACGTGAACTCGAGATATAAGATGTTCTCTCTTTGCATTAAGGGTGTCCACTTCCGTTTTCCGGATTTTCCAGACCGAGTTTGTTAGTACTTTCGAAGAAGTACTTGAGCTTTCCGACGAAGGTTTTGCTAATACGAATGTTTTAATTTATAACTGTTTTTATTACGGTGGAAATTCAAGTAAAATTGCTTGTTCTGATGAAAAATCGGAATGACATTTTTTACGCAATGATAAGTGATGTTTGAGTTTGTGAAGTGGATGTTTACTGTTTTCTTGATTTTTATCCTCTTACTCTCGGCGCGTCTGATTCCGTCTCGCTTTGACAGTAAAAAGGGATGAGCCGACGCGATGAGCAGTTGAGCAAGGTCTCCGTCAAAACACCGCCTCTCCACAAATCCAGCCATCTTTTCAACATGCAGGCCGACCAAGACTGTGCGGCCACAATATTTTAGGCAGCAAAATATTTTTCTTATCAGTGAGATCAGCGGGGGATGAAATATTTTCTTTGCGTTTGGTGGGTACGCGGAACCGCGCGCGCCCACCCCTTGATCGGCCCAGTTTTGAACCCGGTTTTATTCTTGAACTTTCCGTTTTCGCTGATAACGTGCGCCCGGTTCCCCTCTCAAATAATTATTGATAATATTGAGATAGCTTCAATTGAAAACAATTTCTTTTGACGAGAATATAAGTTTGAGAAATCTTCATTTTATCCGAGCCTCTTGATCATAGTTCAAGATTGGCGAACAAATATTTAGGGCAGGAGCCTAAGGTCGTCGATTTCTGGACGAATTTGATAACGAATTTTACCCGTCACTGGCAGGAAACGTAAATTCGTCACCTCGCGCTAGGTGTGTTCGAGAGAACACGTCGCAAACGTTTTTTCGCGTAATTAGCGGAATTATAAATGTAATAACATGAGCCGGGCGGGGCATCCACAGATCAAAGTCCTGTGGTTTATGCACGGCATCCACTTGAGGAGGGTCACATGACTTGAGCCGGATCAAAAACGCGCGCCCCGTGCTGTTGATGCCTTTGTTTATCAACTTTGAAAGTACACGGTGTACCACTCGACTGGCTTGGTCCGCCGCCAGGCCCGTAAAACATCTCCAAACTTACTACTACCAGCTTGTCGGGCAAGATTTTCTCTCAGAATTTTTTAAAGTGCGCCTGACCTCGTCATTACGAGCTCATTAGTCGTTTTGTTACGTCTCCTAGGCGGCCACTTCGCGAAACAAAGCTTTGAAACCTCCTCTT